TGTGTATTTGTGATTTTCCCCAATATAAGTATTAATTAATTTGTGTATTTAAAATTATTAATTTTAAACAAGTTTAATTAAACTCCTTATTATATAAGTAGTTTTCATATCATAAAATGTTTGTATGGAAATTTTTTGGATTCAATTAATGAAGCAACGTATTATATATAATCATCTAATTAGTTAATGGATAAAAACAATCCAAACATAAAAGAATACATTTTATCCTAATTGGGAGAAGATCCTACTGAGGAGGCGATAAATTAGGTTGCTCAAAAAACTTAGGTACTACCGATATTGATAAAATAATGGTTGCTCTTTTACAAAAGGAATAATTCATCATAAAATGGTTTGGATCTATCAACGCAAAGGCTTGAGAGTGTTCCTATATTTAATGGAAAGTTTGATCAATGTTACGAAGTTGAAGACCCCAATTATGAACTTAAACAAAAAAAATAATTTATATCAGACAATCATTAGAAGTATACATCTTAAGAAGACAGAACAATAGAAAAATAATTGAAAGAAGTAGAGAAGGAGATTAAAAAGAGAAAAAAACTAATGAAAACTGATAAGAAATAAACAGATCCATATTTTAATGAACTTTATGCATCAGATGATTTAAATTAAGAATCGAAAACCTATGATAAACAACCATTTAACTTAAAAGAATAATATATTAATGTGCCAATCTATTACATGATCAAATTAGAAGAGAGTCTTATGGAACAAGCCATTAATATCCATTAAAAAATAGTAAAAATCATAGAGGCGAAATATGATTATCTTAATTTATTATGAGTTTCTAATATTTATATAAAAATGAATTCAGCAAATGATGAAATAAAAATGAAAAAAACAACCTCTTAGTTCTCAGTTAAGCCTACTGTCTTGCCGTAAGTAATGTCTACTTGCAAATTGGGTCGGTTTCCAATAGACGGTAAACTCGGCGAATCATTTCAGGAATCGAACAAAAGATATAACAGATAGTATTTCAGAATCCAAACTTAGGCTGAGAAACAAGAAAAGGCAGAGAAAGATAAAGGAATTGAGGTATATTAATTATATTAATAGGACAAGGATGTTTTTATTTAGATGCAAAATAATCAAGAAGAAGCTTATGAAGACATGAAATAGAAAGACTTGGTTGGACCAGATTCAATTAAAAATTATTACTAAACCTATAAAAAAATAACTAGAATCAAGGAGTAGAATAAGCTCTTCACAGTCTAGAGTATGATAAAATCCAAATTAATTTAGACTCTGTCCAAACTAATCTCATAATTAAATCAGAACAACTAAGATTACTGCCATGTAAGATGGGCCTAATCAAACAGAAAGGAGAATCCAAAGTATTGGCCATAGAAAATCATAAATACGGCGATAAATATGTTGAAGTACTATCTGAAGGTTTGAGAACCCTCCCTGTAATTTAGGATTTCAACTTCAATTAAAACAGAATTAAGGAAAACGGTGCTTCTTTGCTATTGCCTTTAATATCTAAATAAGCGAGATCTATTGAAATGGTATCAAATATAATTGGGAAAAAAGGATTAGAACCAGTGTTAAATGTGCTTCCATTGCAAACTTGCAAGTATTTATATCTTCATCAATAACAAGAATACAAGTCTTAAATCTAGAAGATAATCAGTTGGGCGATGTCTTAGCCTAAGAACTCTTCAAAGCCATGTAAAAAAATAATACTGTCAAATTACTTAATGTATCTAAAAATCAAATTACTAATGTTTCTCATACTTTCATTAAATAAATGATCGAAACCAATGACTCTTTGGAAGAGCTGTATCTTCATTGGAATTTAATCAAAGGAAGTGGAGGTGCTGAACTTTTTAAAGCTCTGATTAATAATAAGAACATGAAAGTTTTAGACTTGTCCTATAATTTATTAGGATGTGGAGGTTCTAATTTGACACCTGTTCTAAAATAGTTTTTTGAAGAAAATAAAGAAATGATTCATTTAGATTTATCGGCAAATCAATTTAGTTTAGCTGATAGTTAATCAATTTCAGAAGCGTTAAAGGAAAATCATACAATCTATGGTTTTCACTTTTCTGGCAATTTTGGATATGTGGATTCTAAAGGTTTCTTAATCATTTAGAATGAAATGAGGAACTTCAATTAAATACATACAGATTATAGAATTAGAGGATGCGAAACTCACAGTAAACCATATTCAAAAGGTCCTAGATCAGAAAAATTAATGGATGTGTGTTGGATTTGTGATGGTTGGCAGGGTTAGAAGTTTTAATGGATTCCAAGTAATATTGATCTTTATTATTATATAGATAAAAGTGGAAATGCATCAGATGAACCGATATTCATTCATTTAGATTTTGAAGGATATGAAGCCATATTTTTAGGTAAACCAGATGAAAATGGTATTTACTAAACAAATCGAATGGTTCCAACAGGAGAATTAGATTATTTTTATACTGGATGTTAGTTATAAGTGGCAAGTCTGACTGAACCATTAAAAGTTCATAATGAAAAATTTAGAGTGAGAACTAAAATTGCTGATTAAATTATAGATGTGTTATTGGATGAAACCAATCACTAAACCATAAACAAAGGGAAACCAGTTATATTAGATTGGGATCCAAATTATGATGTAAAACCAAGAACTTGTGATCCAATATATATTCCTGCTAAAATGAAAAAATAAAAGCGGGCATGGTCATTCCCAATATCAATTTGGGCACCTAAATACAAATTTGATACTGAAGAACTCTTACGTAAATGTTTTGAGAGAGATTGGAATTGTTCAAAGATAACAAAATTTGTTAAGAAAATTGAAGAATAAGAGTAAATCAAAGAAATGTTATGGCAATCTTATAAATCAATAAGAGAGACTTATAGATATTATTCAGCCATAAATCCAAGTGCTGATGTATTCTCTATGTCTCAAAACCCAACATCTGAATTTGTGAATTAATGTTAATTAATTGATGGAAAATAAATGAAATTGGCTGATGTAGATTTAAAATTTATTGCTACTTGTAGTGCTTCATAATCAGATTGGAAAGGTAATTTTAGAAATCCCGAAAGATATTTGGTCAGATATTAGATGATGGAATTTTTGGTGAGGTTATCAGAAGATAAATACATTAGAAATTAACCTGGTTCTCCATCATATGTTTAAGCGACACGTATGATATTAGATTAATGTCTGCCTCATATGTCTTAATATGATTCTCATAAATGGAGAATGGAAAGGTACTTTATAGAATAATGTGATGATGTATGTAAAAAATACAAACAAGTAATTGATTATGTGTACATGCATAATTCATAAAAAAAGGTGAAGCCAGGACAAGCACCATTCATGTGTCTTGATGAATTGAAGGATGTGTGCAATAAGGCCAATCTTTTTGATGAAAACTTTGTTGAAAGAGATGTTAATTTAGCATTTTGTTTATCTATGTTGACTTAAGTTGATGAATTAGAAAGTGATAGACTATTTTAAATGTAATTGATTGAATTCATGGAAGCGTTGGGAAGAATCGCTGATAAATACTCTCCAATAGGAATTGGAAAGTAAAATGAAGTATTTATATAATAAATATGAATAGAAAGAGTGGACCTATGAGTAAAGGTTTGCTCAGCCTCTGTACTATAAACTAGAAGCCTTTATGATTCATTTGATCCATACTTCAGTCGACGAAGAAACCAAAAAGAATTGGAAGATACCAACAGTTTCAATGTTCGATTTAATTGAGGAAGATGATTAATGATATTATATACTTATATTAACTGAATTGAGTTACAACTAACTGGTGCAATGATGAATAAAATAATATAATTTAAAGATTTAGTGATAATAATTGTTAATGGTTAATTTTCAAGAGTTCCTGAGCTGCCTGGGCTAAATCAAATAGATGGAGATACCTTTTTATTATAGGAGTTAATTCAAAATCAAGGAAAACTTTATTAATCCGAATAGCAAGCATTTTGATCAGATTGCTTAAAAGTAAATCATAATATTAATAAGACTCTTATCAGAAGACAATAAAGGATTGAAAAGAAAATGGGATAAGCAATGCAAGATGTTATTTATTTGGGTTATTGTCAAATACTTCTAAGTTAAAAATAAAAAAACTATCAATCCAGATTCAGAAGAGTGGGTGGAATTATCAGAAATCTTTAATTTTGACGAAGTCACTCTGAAATAAAGGTGGATTACATTAATAAACCCTATGGCAAAGAGTTTGAATTGGGAAACAGAAGAGGATGATATAATAAGATCATTGATGATGTATGTTTTTATCAGCTTAAATTTCTTCATTTAGATAATAGGAGGAAAAACACATTTGGACATAAATTGCTTTAGAGCTTTACAATCATAACAATGGATAATATGTTAGAACACCTAAATAAGTCAGAGAAAGATGGATGAATTATTTAAATCCTAAATTAAACAAGTAAACTTCATTTTTAAGACTTTAATTAGATCTAGTTGGACTGATTAGGAGGATAATTAATTGTTGTAATTAGTCGTTACTAATGGTAAGAGATGGTCAATGATTTCTACCTTATTGTAGGGGAGAACCGAAAATTAAGTGAAAAACAGGTATCAATTACTCTGCTATTTAATTTAGATTTAAGAGTCTTATTCATAAAATTTATAAGGAGGAAGATGATGATGACATTGAAGAATTGGCAGCCATTAAATAATATTTAGCTAAATAAGCTGGTGGTGAAAGTAATTAAGACAACTTCCTACCTAAATAAACTAAAAATGAAAACAATGTAAATTATGAAGAATCACAATCAAATAGTCATATCAAATAAAAATCAAAAAAAATGCCATAAACAAAAAATGGAGAACAATAGAAATAGTAAATTTAAATTAAAAAGAAAAAAGTAAAGGTTATTGAGAATTTGTAAGTAAAGTAAGAAACTGATGAAAAATTGCAATCTTAAATTCAATCACTCAATCAATAATTTTGTTTATCCACCTACGGAAATTGTGATACACAAAGTTAAGAGAATAGAAAAGGTATTTCAAGTTCTCATTCTTAAGGATCCTTAATCAATCAAGAATTTGAATGCAAATCCTAATAATAAATTTAATCCTAATCCAAAGGTTCAATTCAATCTCCTTCTTACATGGGATAAACTTCTATTAAAGACCCTATACCTTAATATAATGGATTTAGACCATATACAAATGATGCATGCAATGATATTTTTTAATAAACACCTTGCCAAATTAATAGATTGGGATTTGGGCTCAAATAACATTAATATCCTTTCTAATAGTTATCTCCATTTTAATAATAGATTTAATAAACACCAATTGTGTATACTCCTCTTTATTTATATAATTCACAATTCATTTCCTAATCTCCTTATAAAAGCCCAATTTTATCACCACATATTTGGATGCAATAATAATAATAGTTTCAATAATAATATGAGATTGAAATACAGAATGAATAATAAAAATAAGAATAGTTTGTAAATATTTAGTTTTATCTACTTAGAATAATAAATTAGAGTTTCTATAAGGATAAGATTTGGTTTCTAGATGGAAAAATAAGAGAGTCTAAGAAAAATAGAACCAGTAAGAATTAAACAAAATTATAGATCAGTGAAAATTGTTTATATTAATAAGTTGATATAATACTTTTCAACGTATTTCAAGACCAGTTAAAAACAATATAAGTGTTATTTTATTTTATCTTTTTTTCTTTATATATTTCATTATTTCTTCAATAAAAAATAATTATTCGATTATTTTAATTAACATCTAATTCTTTCAAATCTATAAGCTCTGTGTACCACATTTTTGCTTAATAAAATATTATTATATGAAATTTTCGAATTCGTATCATTTCTCTATTAATTATTTAAAAATATTTCAGTTTATACAAAAGTGTAAATGTATTCAGTTGTTAATTATTCAAAAACAATTGTTACAATATTATAAAAAAAAAAATTTTTATTAGAAGAGTCTACTGTTAAATAAATAAATAATTTTTAGTTCTTAGATTTACAAAGAATGTGAGTTTTAGAAGAAAGATAACATTAACTGAGTTTATCATTAGAATTCTGAATTATTTTATATCAATTAATATTTTTATTCATTATACGTAAATTAAGGAAATGAAAAAATAATAGCTTCTATTAAATGTTAACGAGATGGATTTAATTTTGGATAAAACTTCAACAAAAGGGGCTCTTTGGTTAGGCAATCTAAAGGCGGCCTAAAATATTAAATAATTAAAAGAAAATAAAATCCAAACAGTCATAACAGTGGCCAATAATATTATTGTAAGTTTCGAAAACTCTCTAAACATCTCTCACAAAGTAAAACTTATTATGAAGTCAGATCTATAAAGTTGAAGATACAGTAAAGGCACAAATAATAGAATATTTCGATGAAATTAACAAAGAAATATAGACTGGGTTAAACTCGGGTTCTGTTTTGGTACATTGCGCAGCAGGAATTTCTAGATCAAGTGCATGCATTATAGCTTATCTAATGAAAACTTACAAGTGGCCATATGAACGAACCTATTATTTTGTTAAAGAGAAGAGATTAGCAATAAATCCAAATCCAGGTTTTAAGAAATAACTAATGCAATATAGCAAGAATCTAGAAGCAAATAGTTAAAATTAAAACCTAGACCTTTAGGAAACTAAAGATTTTAAGAATTCTAACTCATTTATATTAGGTTATTCAAATTCATGGGTAAAATTAAGCAAGAAAAAGTTGTCAAGTCCCCATGATTTAGTGAATTAACTTTCCTAAAATTTGTTAAAATCTCCTCTAAAGAAAATTGATCAATTGAATAGGACTTCGACCTCAGAAGAAAGATAAATATATAGATAATAATTAATGAAAAAGCTATTTGTTAATACATTCTCTACCAAAAACTCTGATTAAACAACAAATTATAAAAGTGAATAATTGCAAAAAGAAAATAAACCTATAGAAAAATAGCCTATCAAAACAAAGGCTCTATTAAGCATGTACAAGAGAGTTGAGATAAACAATTTGGATTCTGAAAGAACCTCAATTTGATAATATTTATTACTATAATAACTTAACATCTAATAAATTAATCAATCAATTCTCTGATTTGGAGTCTTCCTTTAATTTATTGAATTTTCTTGGAATGCACGACTTTCCTATGTATGAAATCAAAAAGCATAGACTTTAAAATAGAAATAAATAATTATAAAATGAGGAAATCCTATTAGATAGTAGATTCAATTACATATAACTAAATTACAAATTCTTATAGCAACGATTAAAATAAGCTGACAAGCTATAAAAATTAATCTAATTTGTTACATAAACAACATAAAAGATTTTCCAAAATCATTTGAAATAAATCCAAACTATTCATTTATCAACATCTATTATTTCTATTTGATTTGTTAGGTTCCAAAGAGGTAAGCAAAAAATCAGCTAATTTAATGAAAATTTTACAAGAAAATAAGTGGACCTTATAAATTAAATAAGGTCAATTCACCTTTTTTGAAGAATAAAATTGTTAACCAAATTCCTGAAAACAAAAAAGTAGATCTAATTAAGAATTTCTATTTACGCGTTTAATGCTATCAATACTCTATAGAATACTTAACCAATTTTAAAGAGCATATTTTTAAAAGTAATTATAGCTTGTATAAAAAAAATTAAATAATAAGTTTAAGTTTGAATAAATAATTTATTTCATTTCATTCCTCCTCCTTAATTTCCTTAATTTCAATTGCTTCTAATTTCTACTTCTGATCTAATTATTTATTCAATTCCTCAACTTAGACTAACAGCTATTGTTAAAACCAAATAATACATTTTATATAGTTGAATTTAATTTATTCATTGCTTCTAACGAAGTTTAAACATTGCTTTCTAATTCATTGATTCTATTCTGATATTAATTCGAATTGCCTGCCAAGGTATTTGATTGCTCTCTAGTTGAATACTGTTCAGGAAGATTGGTATTTAATTTAGCATCAGAGTCTGGGGTTGTAGAATTATTACAACATGATTAACCCATGTTATTTATTTTATTAATTTTAGTAAATTATTGATGCATAATGATAAGAAAATAAAAGAGATTAAAGATGGTTTGAGCAACTACCAAATAAAACCAATAACAATAATAAAAGGGATATCTGGAATAGGAAAGTAATTTAGATGTTCTATTTGAAGGTTGCATTTGGCCAAGGCAATTTTAGCAGAATTCAAGTATAAAATTTTGGAGGTAGATTCAGCATTCAGAGATATCTGGATGTTAAATGATGTGCATCCTCTGATGTATTCTATGTAAGATCAACTGTCAAAAATTGATGATTAACAAGGTATTGATGTTGATAATGGTGTTAGTTATAATTTTAAAGGAAATAAGTGGGATTAGTAATTTGAATTCATTAAGACAATTGTAATAATAATATACATACACAAAATGCAATAAACCATTAGTAATAATTGTAAATACAACAGTATTAAAAGATTATGAACTGACGAAAATGTTATGTTAAGAATTTATAAAAATATATTGCAATGTTGTCTTGCTGAAAAGTCCAACCAACAATAAGATTGAAAAGTATTTGCACAATTGTTTTCCCAGAGTCAATTCAAATGTGTTACGTTAAGTAAATATGATATATTGACTAAGATAGCAGAATTATCCAATGGAGATATTAGAAATGCATACAATTAAGCATATATATTCTCAATAAATTACAGAGAAGAGACCTAAAGCAAAGATTCTTAATTAACATTTTTTAATACCGTGGGTAGAGTACTATATAACAAAAGATTGGATTATTATAATACACCAAAACAATTAACATATGAAGAAATGATATCTAAACCTGAACCCAAATATTATTTCGATCCTTTTTAGCTGTTAGAAACGATACAAGTGACCTAATAGACGTATAGAGGGTATGAAACCTAATGTTTAATGTTAGGTTTTTGTTTATCAATTCATTGAAATTCTTACACGACTTGAAAGAAATGAAATAGTTTTATGAGATTCAGAGTGATGCGGATGTAATTGAAAAAGGATTGTGCAGATTCGATAGAGTTAATATGCATATTATCTTTAGTATTAAGGAGACATCTTTAATAATCAATAATTAGTTAGTATGGTTGTTACCTTGGGTTACATGTAAACTAATAAACACGTTAAACCTGCTAAATCCATGATGCTCACATTAAATGGTCCATAAGATTATTAATTTAGATAGGAGAGACTTCTAAAGTAAAATGAAATGAAACGATTAAAGCCTTTCAAAGGTTATTAAAAGGAACTTGTATTAAGTATTTTATGTGGAAAACGTGTTTCTTTGCTCAATTCTAAAAATAGCTTCATGTCATAAGTTTCAGTTGAGGATGATCAATATGATTAACATTGGTTTGAAGAGGATTAATAAGATCAATAGAAATTCTCTAATAAAACATTAAATTCAAAAAATATAAAAATTAGACGGAATTAAGGAGATCTGATTTCTAGAAATAAAAATCAGAGAATTGATTGAGTTGTGTAATGATTTATTTAATTGATTATTAACATACATTTAGCAATTTCATACATCTTCATCATTATAGAAGAGCAATCACTTTATTTTTTTATGTTTAATCTTAAACATTCAAAATAATGTTTTCAATTAAAGTTTTATATTGTTGATTTTGAATCAAACCTTTTACGGTAGTCACAACAAAGTTTAATTATTCTTCTTTAAGCTATTAATACTAGAAATATTTAATACCTTATAGTGTTCCTTTTAAATAAGTGAATCTAATAACAATTTGATAACTTATTCCATTCTTGGTGTTATAAGATCAGGAATAGTATTTCCCAAATGGACTAAGAATCTTAATCCGGTGAAATTTTCTTCGACATCTCCTTTGAAAGGTAATTGTGCCAAAATGTGGTCAAGTGTGGTTTCTAATGGTAAAGCTTATGGGAATCTAATAAGAATTCTGCAAACAGCTGCAGTGGCATTTTCAGCAGCTTCTCTGTAAGTAGTAGCACTTGTAAATATATTAGTAAGTGTTTAGATAATTTATGGGAGAGCTGAAGCAACATCGTTTTATGGTCCAAATTCACAATATGTAGCCAAAGCATAAGCAGCATTTCTATTTAATTCTTAATCTCCGATGGCAGGAACAGTATTTAATAAGAATGGAATAGCAATCTATTGGCATTCTGCAATTAGACTTGGTTCATATTCAAAGATTTGGGCAAGACATCCAACTGTGCAAATAATGTCATCAATTTCTTTATTTTTATTGAGATTTCCAATCAAATAAGGGTAGATCTATCTGAAGAAAAGGACAAATCCATTTTTCAGATTTTTAGCTAATGTTGGAATTAAATCAGTGAGGTTTTCTAGAACATTAAGATTCATATCAGAATCTTCTTCTTCTTCTTCACCTTCTGAATCAAGATCAGCTCCTAAACACTTGATTTTCTTGATCAATACTAAAGTAATAACTTTGGCTAAATCATCTAGATTCTTGTAGACAAATTAAGGACCTAATTTCTTGGTTAGATGATCAATAACATCTATAGCAAGAGCAGCACATTCATAGGATTCATCTTCAGCAATGACTCTGATTAATTTTTACATGACATCTGTTTACAAGAATGTTAAGAATTCAGCATCTAAATTTTCAATGGCTGGTAATCCTAACTATACTTTTGGCAATACACCATTGTGTTTGAATAAAGCATATCCTTCAATCAAATCTCTGTAACATTAAAGAGTTTAAATCCTGATGTTATCATAGAAGAAATCAACAGTTTCATCTAAGATATCAAAGGTGGTTTTGAAATATTGTCCAAATTATTATGGGACAGAAATTGCAAATTAACCTAAGGCATGGATGGCAGCTGCTTTCTCATCCATTTAGGTGACTTTGACTCTCATAGGTCCTTGTTGATTTTCATCTTCAGATTCAGTATCTAAAGAGAATTCTTTCTTTTCTTTGTCATAAGAGATTCCTTCTTTGGATTCTGCCAACTTGATAGTATAGCTGATGATTTGAGTGAAGATTGGAGCAAACTTCTCACCTTAAGCTGCAGCCATATTATAAAAGAAGGCTAAGCAAGCTTCTCTGATTTCAAAATCTTCATGTTTAGTTAATAATTCATAAATTTATGGAGCCAATGGAGTAATCAATTGATTTTACACTTCTAAATTAGACTTGAATGATTCAGCAATAGTTCCAAATACTTGGATTGCCTCTGATTTAATACTCATTACTTCAGGAGTATCTTTTTCTTTCAATACTTGTAATAGCAATTCACTGACATCCTTCAAATATGCTGCAAATGCCTCTTTAGATGAAACTATAATGCTTCCGATTGAAGATAAACAATGTCTTCTGGCAATGAAGGTAGTTGTTTATTGTAAGAACAATTGAACCAAACTAGGCAAGAGAGTTTACATGTAAGGAAGTATCTTATCTGATTCCATATTCTCAGCAAAGATGTCAATAGTCAATAATGCTTTTTCATAAATCTTATGATCTTAAGATTTAAGACAATTGATCATTTCTGGAATAACGATCTAATCATAAGTCAAGATTTCTGGGCATAACCATTCACTGAAGTATGATAAGCATTTAATTGCTGCACCTCTTACAGCTGTTCTTTCATCTTTCAATCCTTTAGGAATAATGACATTCATAATTGGATTTTGTAATTATCTTCTAATTTAATCTTAGAGTCCTTCTGTTATAGCTGCTAATATCAAAAATCCTGCATTCATTTAGTTTACATCTCCTGAGTCTATCAATTTTATGATTGTTTCCAAAAATAAACCGAACAAAGTCTTTTTCTTACCCAATCCAATCACTAAGGTTTCCAAGAGCCATAAGGTTACATCTTAAAGTGGATCCTCATCTTGAGTCAATTAATCTTCTGTGTATGGTTAGGCAATGACTAAGGATAAACATTCGATAAGTTATTTTAATAATGTTGGGTTCTTATTCAATACCTTCTTGTGGTATTCTACAACGTTATCAATCAAATCCAATACACATTCCTTAAATTTACTGCTGCATTTTGGATTCAACAAAAGCTAATTGATTAATTATGTATTAATACATTTTAACTTGCAGCATATTCTACAATCATACCCAAATGAGTATCTAAGATGGTTAATTTGCTTTCGGCTAAATATCCAAAAGCATCAAAGCAATGATAAGCATTATCTTCATCTCCTTCTTTTATGCATTAATCTACGAATCTTAAGATTGGTTCAACTAGAGTCTTGTATTATTAAGCCTAAATTAATAGATTAATTAAATTACTTCCTATTTGTTCATATGTTCTATGTTATCGAACAAGGAAATCAAACATTTGACTGTTTGTACTCTGATTTATTTGTCACTATCTTGGAGATTTTCAATGAAGAATGGATAAAACACAGAGTAGAATGGCTTCAAACTATCTCCAGAGTAATCAAATATTAAAGCTAATAACATTAATCCTCGTTATCTAGTGACTATGTCTTAGTTTTTTGCGGTTTAATTTTATAGAACTTAAAAAAGTTCTGGCCATTTATTATCTCCCAAAGTTTAAATTGCAATAGTTCCTATCAAGGATCCGATACTTGTTCTGATTGGATTGATTGGTTCTGCGAAAAATCTCTCCAATAGCAATTGCTTTAATTGAGTTTGTGCTGTGGCATCCAATTTATCATAATTTGCAGCCATGTTTCTTTTTAATAAGACACCTGCCAAGTGTCTAAATGATTACTATTTTATTAAACTATAACACATACATTCTCATTTTGAGATATTACTAATGCCAATGGTCCTATGCAATTCACAGACTTAGTGTATACTTTTAAAACACGTGTGGCCTCTTTAATTTTTTCATTATCGCCGGAGAGAACGAATGTAAGCATCTAATACAATTACTCTTGTGTCAAGTTGGATAATTCAGCCATAAAAAATCACAAATTAAAAATTTTTTACTTTTTATGTAAAATTTATCATAAATTAAATACACCAGCAAAATTATATTCAGATTATTACAAATTATTTCTTTTTTATTTTTATTGTGTTCTTGCTAATCTTGTTTTCTACTTTCTTGCCCTATTTCCTCTTTTTATTTTTGCTCTTGATTATCGTCTTGTTTTTCTTATTTCTTAACAATCTAATCCTTTTTTAATTTCTTCACAAAAGGTTATTAAAATTTGGCTCTTCGGTCTATGTCGTCAAAACCCAATCCTTATCTTCTCTATGTGTATTAGATCATCATTTGAATATCGCTCAAATCGGTATATTCTCTCTCATTTGTTTATTGCTATTTTTTTGGTTTCTTTTTAAATAATTCATTTAATATTTCCATTTTTTAATTATAATAATAACATTTAGTATATAAAATATCAATTCAAATATAATTATTTAGCTTTACCAAACTTAAGAGCTTGAATTATTTTAAATGAATTTTAAGCATAAATAAATTATATTATCTCATCACCAAACCTATATTCTTTGAAGGAAAATTTAATGAAATTTGCTTGTATGAATATCCTTCTTATTAAAAGTATTACAATTAACAATTCACAAGTCCATAATACTGCCAATATAACATATATAATCGTATTTAAATTTAAGAACATGGTGATCAAAATTTCGATTATGATTATTATAAAAATAATCAATAACATGACACAATACTTCACTCGCTCAGTTTTTGTCAAATTTAGCAATGACAATCTAAATAAATTATAATGATAACTACTTAGATTCCACTTCAGTAGGATAATAGAGGTTACAATATGAGCATTACATAATACCATTTCCTTATCTAAACCCTTGATTTATGTGATTTAATAAACAGCTTTAATGAAATTGTCGATTCGAGCATCCACAGTATCTGCCTGTTGACACAGATGTGCTTTTATTACAAAACTAGCAAAAGAGATTGACACAGTTAAGGGAAGAATTTTAGGTTTTATTCAAATGGAATTAATTGGCAGTAATCTGTGGATGCAATTGTTTCCTCACTCTATACACATGTTCAGTGGGTAGCGAGGATGTACCTTATATTGTAATCAATTTTTATTCGAATATCTCTGCCTGAGCTTAATTATGAACTGCAGTAGTATCCATATATAAATAAATAAATTAATATGGTCATTTCTCTTTCCACACTTTTTATCCTCCTTAAAGGGCAATAACTTTCTCATCGCAGAAACTAATTTCATCTAATTAAACTCATGTGGTTTTTGATAGAAACACATTTAATCAATTAGAGCCATCCTAGAAATTTAAGTTATTCTTTAAATCTCGTAAAATTAATATGTCTCCATGTGTACTCCAAGATTATATTATTAAGAATTCTACATTTTCTCAAATTCGTTTCATTTCCATTCTATTTATCTATTTAGTAATTTGCCTTATTCCTATTGATTAACCTTATTTTACTTAATGACTTTTAAATTTATTATTTATAATGATAAAACTAATTGCCAGCAAAAGAATACCATTTCATTCTGCCAGGTTATGAGATGAAAATGGCGCTCCATCATCTGATCTTTGAAATGTAATGATAATGATTCAAAGTTGCAAATAACTGGAATTTATAATAAATATAATTATCCATTTAACTTGAATTCATATTATACATTTCATTAATAAACATGATTTTACAACCTGTAAGTTCTGGCTCAATAAATATCTCAGGAGATAGTCATTAAAATGGACTTGATCATTATTTGACAGAGTTGAATAATTAAAATTTGATGTAAGTCAGACGACCCAATGAAGATCAGATTTTAGCATTCATTGATTTTGAGGGACTTAAAGCTGATAGATTTAAATAACACAAGACAGTTCCTGATTAAATTAAAGATGATAAAAGTATTGGAAGCAAAGTATTGCATTAGGTTCGTAGGAACAGTGCAGAGTAATCTGAAGAATCACCTTTAAAGTAATCACTTAGAGATGAATTCATCCAATATGAGAGTCCTAATATGGAGCTAAAAAAATTTGGGGATACTGAAGAACACAGAAAGAGTAAGACTGTTATTAGTCCTGCGATTTAATCATCAAAATCACCAAAACGAAAGAGTAAACATTTTTCAAGAATTTTCACAAAAATTACAAATAGAATGCATTTGGCAAGAAAATTTGTTTAAAAATTGAAATCATTATCTCCGTTTTCAAGAAAGGTTAGCAAATAACAAATGTAAATAATATAGGACTTAAGTTCTGATATTAATAATTCAAATGAGAAATACATGAATTAAAGTTATATAAAGATGCATGATTCAGTTAAATCAAAAAAGAAACTGAGAAGAATAAATAGCTTTCAAGCATTTATAGCATTAAAATCATATTTTAGTGTTTGTAAATTATAAACTGTTTTAAATAAAATCAAAAATGGAACAATAGATCCTTAAGGGAATTTCCTTTTCTTTTGGGAATTAGTGAAATTTTTCATTACACTATCGTCACTATTCTAATTATCAATACAAATATGTTTTAATTTGAACGTTTTAAATTGGTATTTTGTTGCTGAAAAAGAGAATTCATAAAACATATTAATATTTATGTTTATATATTACTTAATAGATATATTTCTTGGATTTAGGACAGGTTACTATGAGAACGGAGAAGTAGTGATAAAATATTAAAGAGTGGCAAGAAGATATTTCAAGACTTATTTTTTTGTAGATCTGATATCAATCTTGCCAATTTTTATTAACATTATATTGATTCAATCATTTGAGAATGATAATACTATAATTAAGATAGTGAATTGCTTATCATTTTTAAGATCTAATGCTTTAAGTAGAGTATATCATTCATTGGAAGGTAGATTATTGAGTAATCCTCGATTTGTTATAGGATATAGATTTTTGAGTGTTATAGGAACAGTATTTTTGTATGCACATGTATTTGGATGTCTATGGTATTTAATGGCTTAAAAAAACCATAATAATTGGATAAATAAAGCAGGAATAGTGGAAGATTCTTGGTTCGCTCTTTATAGTTATTCAATCTATTGGTCTGTGATGACTATGACTACAGTAGGATATGGAGATTTAACACCAGCAAATCATGAAGAAGCCTTATTTTGTGTTTGTACGATGTTCATAGCAAGTGTAGTTTTTGCTTATTCAATAAACACTATAGGAATGATTATTGCTGAAATGAATAAATTTGATGAGAAGATAAATGAGAATATGGCTATAATTAACAGATATATGTAACGAAAGAACTTCGAATAATCTTTGCAATTTAGAGTGAGACAATATTTACAAAATTTATGGACTTAAGAAGATAAATTTAGAATAGTGGATGAGAATAAAATTATCAATTGTTTAAGTCCAACATTAAAAGAAGAAATACAAATATGTTTATATGGTTAATTTATAACTAACATTCACATATTTTACAGATATTTTAGTTAGGAATGCCTATTAGAGTTAACTAAGAATGTTTAAGAATATAGGGTGGCACCAAATTCTTATGTAATTGAGAATGGTACTCATGAAGGCATAGCTTTGTATTAATTAGTAAGTGGGGATGCTCATATGTTCGTAGATCTGCAGGATAGAAAATATTATATAGGTAAAATGAAGCAAGGAGATATTTTTGGTCATGGACCATTTTTTATGAATACTTTGCATTCTTATAGTGTGAAAACTGATAGTGCCTGTTCTTTTGCTTATTTATCAAAATAGATGTTTTTAGACATTCTGTAATCCCATCCAGTAGATTATGTAATAATTGAATTTATTTAGTAAACATACAGGATGATAATAGACCAGTGGACATTCTAAAATCAGAAATTAGATTTGGGAGTAAAATGCATTGGGTGTGGAGAGAGCGAGCACGATCTAGATCAATGCAGCAAATTACATCTAATATTGAATAAGAAAATGTTAATAGCAAAACATTTATTTTCTATTCCCAATAAACGATTACCATTCAAAAGAAATAATAGAAGGACAACAAATGCAAAATTTGGTCAAAGATTATTTGAAGATGCAGTCTCCTTATTTTAAGAAAATAATTTTTCATTCTCATCCGATGAAGAGGAGCCAGATGCTAGCCAACTTGAAAGGACTTATCAAACTAAGATGACGTAAGAAATTAGATATTAAGAACATACTTCGACTCATAAATCTTAATAGCCATTATCAACATAATAACATTAACAACCTAAAAATGTGAGATTTAGAAAAAGGTCTAGGTCTTTGAACTCTTTAAGTGTACATTCTGAAGAAGAATCTAAATTCTAAAAATCTATGTCTGGAATCAAATCGAATGATTCCCAATTAGATAAAATAAGTGGCATTCCTGTTAGGATATAACAAATACCTAGCTCATAATTGTCTTAGAGTTCATTTAACGTTTTTCTCAAAGAGCATCCTAAAAGAAAGATCTCTAAATAGTAGGATTCTGATAAATATTCCAATCATTCTATTGGTCAACGGTAATAACAACCAATACACCTATCTTAACAATTATTACATAAATCTAGCAGTTAATCTAGTAGTGGTAATCTGCCCTAAAGTAGCATGGGTATAGCTCTAGTACCCAATACATCTCCTCCTTTATTCTAATAAGATGAAAAACAATTGTATTAGAGGAATAATTTTGAGGATAGCTTATACATCACACAGGATAGAAAAAAGAAATCTCAAATTGGAACTAACTATTCCAATACTAAATCTATGAAGAGTCCTTTATAAGCAATACCTTCTGTAGGAGAGATCAATGAAACAGAAAAATTTAATAATAATCATTTGAAAGAGGGCTCTTATACCTCAAAATAATTATCTATGCAAAGTAGATCAAGAAGCTAAAGATACACTATTTCATTAAGAACTGATAGTTAAAAAATTAAGGAAGATACTAAACATGACACTCAGAAACACGATTTTAAATATCGAACTGATACTTATAGACAATACAATGAAAATAATAGTCCATTAAATGAAGAACAGTTTCACAATAAATTTGAATAAGCTTGTGATCTTAAATCTTATTATCCACAATATAACAAGGATTAGATTATTTAAAAATATAAAAGACAACAACTCAAAAAAGTAACTTATTCCTATTAATTAAAATTTTGATTAAATTATATATTATATTTAGTAAAGAATATTTTAATTGCTCAGAAATTATCAAACAGCTCTATTGAAATTAGTGATTTGATATATTTATTCATTTATATCTATATCAGAACAAAATTATGAATAAAGAATCAGGTGCCAAAACTTATTAAAATAACCAAGGGTAAAAGTCAAGAAAACAAGGAAAAGGATCAAAAACAAAAAAGGAATATAATTGTAGATTAATATTAGAAAAGAGAAATGAAAAATAAAATCTTGAGAAATACATAAAACATTAGAATGGCAAATACATAGATAACATTTATTGATTAGATTTCATTTCTATATTTATATTTCTCAAATATTATATTTTGTTACTAATAAAGTTTAACACCTTAGTTAAAATATTAAATTTATATTTTTACAAACTATTTCTAATACATTAAGATAGAATTAAGATAGAATTAAGATATTATTGTTTCAAAACATTTTTACTAAACTCATAATTTCTTACTCTACATTTCAATTCTTAATAACATCTTAATAAACTCGAAGGGTTTAGTGAATTCTTATATGTTTTAAGAAAAAAAGAGCAAGCATTAAGAATTAAATATGATAAATGAAAATGTTAAATTGATTAATTTAGTAAATGAATTCAAGAGACCCACCCAGTAAAATTTTGTTACTTATCATAACTTACCTACCTCCTTCTTTCCCTCTTACGAATGATTACTTGTTTGAGACTTTCAAATAATACGGAGAGATCAAGAAAATACTCATTTTTGAGAGAGGAAAAACAAATAAAGCCTTCATTGAATATTATGACATCAAACATGCAATCTAAGCTAGAAGAGATATGATGGGTAAATCAATTACAATTTAGGGAGGCAGGTATTTATCAGTTGTTGAACTCCTAATAGGCTCCTCATCCACTTTTCTCGTTTAAAGTAGCTCAATCTCGAAGTGGTTGATCATACGCGTGGCACTCAATATTAACCTCATGAAGTAGAGACATAAGTTTAACCCGAAAAGCAAGTCTAAAATCTGCAAAACGCTCCAATTTTAATTTAAGAAGAAATTAAACCACCTATAATTGATTTAACTTAGGTGATTAAATTAGAAGCTGTCGATGTGTCTCATGCTTCTGAAGAATCTCCGACTAAAGCGATGTTTAAAATTATAATTAATTAATAGTATGGAAACATAATTAAAATAATTGGAAAGAATTTTAGATGAAGATTATGCAAATGAAGTAGCAAGATCTAACCTTACTCAATTTGATGAATAACAATAAGTCATTAATTAATTACTGACTTAAAAACCATCGAAATATTTGAAAGTACAAAACATTGATGAGAGAGTGACCGCTAAAATGTTGTATAATATGTTCAATAGATTTGGTCATTTGAATGCATTATTATTTTAAAAGAAGGACAATACTGCAATCTTACAATTTACAAATGTCGATCATTCTACTATTGCTAAAGAACTCCTCAATAATATTATGTTTTTCAGCAGAGAAGTACTAAAAACCTATTTATTCTTAGATAAGAATATTGTTTCATTAGGTTGATAATCTTGAAGCATCAAATCCTAATGAAGAATATTATGTTGGTAGTTAAACTAAGTTTAAAATTGTTCCTCTTAGTAAAGTCCTCGTGTTTTCTGGAATCAACGATTTGCTTGATATTCAAGACATGGTAAAACTTGGTCGGTAAAATTCAAGGTATTAATCAATTCTATTAACTAGAAATCAAATTAGAATAAAACTGTATTTAGATTACTATGGTGGATATCTATGAGGCATTGAAGGTAATTTCAGTTCTTTCAGAATATGAGTATAAGGGAAACAAAATCAATCTAACTCTTAAATGATAAATAAAGATGTGTATATAATATGATTTTATAACAGTAATCAAAATAGTAATAAACTACATAACAAATTAATAGTAAAACAGCGAAAAAATAACTATTAAGCCTTTCGATTATCTAGCTGCATAGTTGTTATTATTATTATATTAGATATTATTATTATTATAGATACTATTATTACTGTAGGAATTAGTATTATTATTATTCTTATAATTATCCTTATTATCATTCTATATAATATTATCATTATTTTTAATATTTTAATCACAATTATTATATTTATCTTTATTATTATTATTATTAATATTAATATTGTTTTTATTAACATTAAAGTTAGTCGATTCCTCAAGTTTTTATTCCAGTAAATATACTTTAATTGCAGTTTATTATTACAAAGTTTCTTGGATTTCCTTTTAAAGAATACCTAACTCATCAAAATGAGGAGCAAACAATTTAACAAATTATTGATTATCCAAATTGTGCTTAATTGAGTTTTTTGCATATTTAGTTTCTAATTAACATTACAGGCTACATGCTACATCTCCTGTTATTTGTTCATTAGTATGCATGAAGGAGATTAAACCAATAAGCATAGATTCAATTGTCCATGAATAATTCCAAGTTTCAGGATGATAATTTGTAAATGATCTAAGTGCCTTCTAAATGGAGAATCATTAGCAAAATTAAATAGAACGAAATGCAATTAAAAAATATTCTATTTATCAGGTAATGCTAAAAAAGTATTACTGGGGTTCAACTACATTTTTTTTTCTCCTGCATTTATCTTATAGCTCTAATTTAACTAGCCATTTAAATATATTTTATGTAAATTACAAATAATAATCTAAATGATAATGGAAAATGACTCAATAGATCGAAATTAAAAAAAAATCAGTATCTTTACTAGATTATCAAAAATTTTGTTAGAATAGCATTCAAAAAATATCATATATCAATTGCATTATAGCATTAGATCCTAAATATACTTAGGAAAAACTTTATGAAATAAAAGTAATCTAAATGCTGAAATAAAGGAACTAAAAAAAATAATCTATTGACTTAATTTAATAAATATATTATTTCAGATAGGAAAATAATATATATGAATAAAATTTGTTTGTAAATTGTATGTTTCTTTGATGATATCTTGTAAGATGGCTCCTTGATTTAGAAATATGACTTTAATCTCTTAAACACAGGGCATCTTTAAATATAAGTCTTCATCTGAGTAATTTGGATCACCTTAATCTTCAGAAGGTTTCATATCAATTTTCTTAGTGCTTTGTAATTAAATAGAAGTTTCATTTTCTATAATATTGTACCCATTGTTCTTTAGCCACCGATTTTTGAGTAATATTTTGTACATTGAATTTAAAAACTTCTAGCCTCTATATAATAAAGATAACTTTCTTTCATGTTGGAAAAATATTTTGACATCATCTCCTAATGAACTTCCACAATGAATCTCAACTTATAATGGGTATATAATGGAGGGTGTCATTTTTGCCTATTAACATTCTGTTTCATGTTTTTATCTACCATTCTTCAAACATGTTTTATCACAATAAAATGCTGAATAACAGATGGTACAATGTTGAACGATGTAGATAAACATGCCACAGGAGGCACAAGGTACAACCACATTAGGAAATGTTTCTTTGCTCAAATTCAGGTTGGTTATTGATTAAAAGACTTCAACCAATATTTCTGATTTGAAGTTCATCAACCTAATGAATTCATGCAAACAGCTTTATAATTCATTATAATATGGATACTCACCCTGATAGAGACCTAATTAAAATCTTTTAATGATTCCATTGATAACAGATTCATAGAATTCTTACATAGATGGAGGACTGTTTGCATTGGGTCTGTAGGTGAATTCAGCATATTAATCAGTTTTAGTCATGATGCCTTGTTTTTTCATTTGTAAAGTGGGATTGGTTGATTCATTTTTCTTAAACAATTACCATTCAATCCATAAATTCTTGGCTAGATTAGTATTATTGTTATTCATTAATTTTAAAAATGTATATCCCCGTGAATGACATGCTTAAGCACTTTAAGCAAGATGCCCCTGCAATGGCCAATATTACTCATAAGAGTGATTAATGGAGTCCATATCATGATAATTCAGGGACTGTATTAGGTAAACACAAGAATTAATTCAAAAGCTGTGGGCATTCCAGGAGCAGTAATCGTAGCTGGAGACACAAGATTGAGCAATGGATACAACATCTTATCAAGAGATGCCACTAAGTTGTCATAATTGACAGATAAATGTGTATTAGCCACAGCCGGTTAATATGCAGATTTTATTGCATTGAGAAAATTTCTATAACAAAGATTATAATTGTATGAGTTTTAGAATGAAGTGCAAGTAAGAATGTATCATAATTATCAAAGGCTTCTACAGAGACTGTTGCTCATTTGCTGTCTAGAGAATTGTACTCTAGAAGATTTTTCCCATATTACACCTTCAACTTATTGGCTGGATTAGATGAAAATAATCACGGAGTAGTTTATGGATATGATGCAATTGGTAGTTATGATTAGATGACTTATGGGGTTCAAGGAAGCGGGTAAGAATTAGTAGTGGCTGTGTTGGATAATCAATTGAAAGGTTATAATAAAATAAATAAAACCATTCCTCAAACAAGGGAGGAAATACTGGATATCATTTTGGATTGCTTCAGTTGTGCAGCCGAGAGAGACATTCATACCGGAGACAATGTTGAGATCTTGATCATCACTGCTGCTGGAACAGAAAGAATTGTTAAGCCTCTTAGAAAAGATTGATTATTAATAAATAAATTAGTATGAATGTTATTGTCGATATAATATATTAATCAAGCAAAAAACTTCTTTTTTAAGCTGTGTGCCGAAAACTCCTTCATTATTTCTTTCTTATTCGAGAAATTTTGAGCAAAAGTAAAATTTAGTCCCTCGATTTAATTCTCCAGGGTAATAGCTCTAATGTGTTTTTGTTATTGCACTTATTATTATGTTCTTGGTTATTGAGATGAATATAATTGCTATTGAGCCTCTTTCACTATCTGCAAGATCTTCTTACTCGACATTGGGTCAGATGTAACAGGTTTCTTGATTATTTTGTTCTCCTTTTGCTTAGGCAGTTGTAATCTTTTCTCCTCAAACTATCTCAAATCTATTAGACTTGATTTCCTTGCTATATGTGTATGAGGCTTCGATATTAAGTTTGGTTCTGGACTATATCCAAAATGGCCACTTTGCAAAGGACTTAACAATCTTTTGCTGTTCTCTTAGGTGTATTACTTAAAAGATCTAATCATTTTTATCTAATACTTAGTTATTTTATTTAATATTAAATGCTTTTTATATGAATTTTATAAATATTGATACTCATTTCCTCTTTTCTCATAACTGACAATTTACTTATCATCCCTCATACCTTTCGATACCTATTTTCTAATCATTAAACTTTCACACATCACAAATGTACATTCTTCTTTTGAATAGTCTATTTTATTCTAACTTTGAACTCATTTGCAGATCAATTTATTAAATTACATTATTTTAACTTATTCATTATAAAATATAATAATAAATTAATTTTAGAAAGGCATTTCTGTCTTTTCACTTAATTTTCGGATTGTCGTGATATTAATAAGATAATATTGTAAATAAATCAAAACTTGATCTTCCCAAGATTAATCAATCTAAACTTAAATGTAAATGAGGATCTTAAATGCCATTCTCAATGTTCTTTTGCATCTGATCTCTAAACTTCCTTAAAGCATCTCTAACATCTGGAATCTTCTTTTGAACTATTTGAATCAATAAAGGAGAGAGAAAAAGTAAGGCTTGATCATCCTAATCACCATACCAACTGTGTATCTAGATTCCATTATCTGGTTGAAACTTAAAGTTCTCAGCTAGATTATCAATAATAATGGTTCGCTTTACATCTCGACCAATCTTTTAAATATCTTTCACGTATGTGTTATTTACTAAAGTAGTGTGTTAACGATACAATCTATATCCAATCACTTTATCCTCATCTATCAGATCCAATATGAAATCAGCATAATCTTACTGTGCAGCTGTAAAAATAACTATCTCATAATATTTAGACATTTCCTTCAAGAATTACTAGGCATATGGTCTAACTAAGAACTATCCATCATCCACTAACTATATAGAAAATCACTCATTTACTTCTTGATAATGGACTAAAGTTTCATCTAAATCTATAACCAAAGTGTATTTATTTGTTTTAGATAAGTAAGGTATCTGTTAACAATCAATCACTTCTTCATAGTCAAACTAAAAATCTGAAGAATCTCTTGTTAATCTCAATTGCTAAATGTGTACTAACTTTAAAATTTAGATTTAGAATTAATACAATTTTATCAAATTAGTATTTAACAAATTTAGTTCCTTGTTATAAATTGATTTTGTCTATTATTGTTAACACTTTTTCTAATTAGACAAGGTTATTATCAGTTGCATTTTCAACACTAAAATTGATTGACAAATAATCTTACAATAGAATTAGAAGAGAGTAGACTACATTACTATTTTTACGTATTAAATTAATATCAATTAATTATAGAGTTTTTCTGGCTCTGAGTTTGTTTAACCTTGCTTAGATTAATGCCTTTTAAGATTGAGATAAAGCATTGGATTATTGCATTAATTCTAGATGTAAAACCATACTGCTGTGAATATAAAATACTAAATTTTTTAAGTTTTATTAATCCTCATCAAAAGCTTCTGATATGGCTTTATATAGAACAACTAAAATGCCAATTCTTTCCAAGATCATTGATTTACATAAGATTTATTAACGGATTTAATCTTTTTCCTCAACTATAAAATTGGTAATTTAATTAAGATAATTTTAACATTATTTAATTACCTTTTACTTTTTGCTGATAACAGCTAAAATGGTAAAGACAATTTCTTCTAAATTAATAAACTATTAAACATATTCTTCTGAATCATTAATTGTAGAACTCGTGGATTCATTTTTATGAGACTTTGATTCTTCTGTTTTGCATTTTGAGGAATCTGGTTTTTAATTTTTGTTAAGCATTTTATCTTATTCAACCTTACTATTTATGTGTTAATAGATTTTCTTTAATTGTTGAGGGATCTAATACAAAAGTTATGGTGAAATGGACCTTTGTGTTTTATTTGTTGATGACTTTTCGTGTTATGAATTTGGAGTTGAAGTTCTATTGAAATATTAGTCTTTTTAGTTGGTTCTCTTTTAAAGTTCTTATAAAAGAGCATTAATTTTAGGAGTTGAGTTTTTTTTCTCATTGAATGATACATTCAAGGTTTGTTTATCTGTAAATTATTCAGCAATATTTCTGGAAGATCGATTGTCAAGAGGAGGCTTTTTGTTTTGAGTTTTCTGTGTCTTTTTCAGTTGTTATAGATCGTAATTCATGAATTTATTTAATATATATTTATATAAAAATGAAAAAATCTAGATTTAATTAAAATATAAACATCAATCAATCATGCTTGGATTTTTAAGATGAATCATTACTGTCATAGATTTTATTTAGCATCTATTCATATAAATATTCTTATCTTTGCATCATTTTCGTAACCCACACAGGCTCATCAGGTATTACTTATTCAATTAGAAATTTTAATCCGATCACTATATGTTCAGCGGCAATCAGCAATAGAAAGTTTCTAAGTGCAAACTAAAATAACCATGAACACATACAGTCTCCTCATTTGTATGGCTATCTTATCCTCCAATCAAATTGTTCAATTAATCTTAATTTGCCTAATAAATAGTCAAGCAATTGATGACTGTTCCGATGTATCCCACAATTAGTAGAATGTCATTCCATAAACCAATGGATCTTTTGGCCTCTGCAATAGGTCTCTTGACAAATGTGATATAAGCATATAGAAGGCTATCAATAGTGAAGATATTAAATAACAAAATGGCCACAGGAATCAATTGAGAACTAGCACTGAACATAGTAACCATACAAAATTGAATAATCTTCGAGATAGTGCGATAAAATTACAAAATATGTGAATTGATCAATATGATTAGGTGTGGGCATCATAATCCTATTTTATTCAACTGTTTTAAGAAATCTTTTACCACTCATGCTACTTCTATCAAAACTTTTATTTACTTAATTTTCAGTATTATTCTCTAAAACACTTGCGACCTATGAAACATACGTCTTTTTCCATTTTTTTAACATGTATTATTGATATTCAGTATTTAGAAAATAACTTCTTATTTGATGTTTAATTAAGGGTATTATTGTAAATCTTGTTAAATGGACAATTGCCCAAACAATCGTCAAAGTTATTGACATTATATTGAGTTCATCTGAATCAGGATTTATGATGGATTTGTAGAAGAGTCTAACAAACGAGTTTAAGAATGTGAATGAAAATACCTTAATAATGTAGACATCCTCTAATTCATTCTGATATTGATGATTTTCGTATTTCATTGATAATTTAGCAAAGTAATTGAAAATCTCATTTGTAATTTTAATAGAGATCCCTAAACCTATAGAGCAGATAATAGTATAATTAGTGGTTCTATTTTAGAGCGAGATAATGTATTGATAGGCAATCTATTCTCCAGCAATCATTATGACAGCCAAAAGTACTAATGGAAAAGAAGTCTTATAATACTTCCACTTGTCTCTCTTTGAGTATTGTATTTCGATCTTATGTGTAACATCATCTATCCAAAATTAACCTTGAAATGATTGTATTTTCTTCTTTTGTTCTGTCTCTACATGCATATCAAATTGAAACATTGTCTCACTCTATTTCCTCTTCCAAAATTCAAAAAAAATAGTAGCCCAAACAGCCAATGCAATTGTGTATATTGGGACAAATAAAGTATCAAATCTGTTAGTTGAATAAATATATACTCCAAGCATTATACCAGGAATAGCAGGTAAAAATAGCCAAGTTGTAAAAAAACTTAAAAATACAAAGAAAAACCCTCCTTCAGATCCAAAGTATGCTTTAATTGCACTCGGAGTTCTACATCTATTTTGGTATAATGATAAAGGCTCCTTTAACAAATCCCATTTCTCACATTTCCATTAATTGTATATTAATTTCTTTTCTTCTTCATCATGCAATGGGAAATGATCTAATAGTAGTTAATCATGCATAAATTAATCCAAATTGAATTCATCATATAATAAGGTTAAAATGATCTATTAGTCATGATAATGATGAAAGTTTTCATACATATAGGCCTTATCTTTATTGAAAGGACAGATAATTCCCTGTGTGAAATTATAAATCATCATTTTCTCCTTATGAGCCACTTCATTTTTTAATTGATTTTACACCTTTATTATATAATACATGCATGATTCATTATATGATTTAAGAGGAACAGCCTTGAACTTACCACCTATCACCTTCTCTTTAATATTGTTTAATTGTTATTTGACTAAATTTGCACTCATATTTGTTCCAACAAGCACATATTTGTATCCACTCCTAATAAGATTTTTTTCTGTTTATAACAATGTTTGTCTAAGTTCTTTGATTCTAGCAGATCTGGATGAAGCGAATGCTGCTTAATTTCTGAAATTATATATATTGTGATCTGCCCCTAATTTAATTAAGTAGTTCACTATATTTTCATGTCTCTAAATTCTAATTAATAGTATATACTTGTTCAACTGCAATATGTAATGCCGTTTAAGGTTTTTCAATTGTCATTAGATTTACTAATTTTTTAGATGGTATTTTCTTGTTTTCACTATAACCTTACTCAAAAAACAATTGCACCAATTTTTCATGTCCTTAGTATGTGGCTGCATGAACTGCATTTCTACCCTTATATGATGGTGCAAAAGCAGAAAATTATTATTTTAAAAAAGGAATCACTAAGTCCTCATCACCGAGAACACTAGCCCAAAATAAATAATTCAAACCTACACTCTCATAAATTTTTCTATCCATTTTTTAACAATTATAACGATGATCTGACATTATATCTCTATCACCAAAATCCAAATCTTTATTCAACTCTTATAGTTAGATTATTTATTATTCACTATTTAAGAAATGGGCTAAGAATTTCACAATCAAGTATTTTACTACTTACTTTTAACATTCTGGATCTTTTCCGTTAGTCAAAGCAATATCAATTGGAAATTAATGTCTATCATTTTTCCTCAACACTATTTTATATATTAATTTTACTTAATTCCGGATTATAATACAATAATAATTAAGCAAGTTTTAAATCTCCAAAATAGCAAGCCCAATGTAATGGATTGTTGATGTGATCTTTCAAATAATGTTATAAGCTTGCTCCTCTCTACAATAACATCTTTGCTATTTTGTATTTTCTAAAATCACAATCTGTATGATCACTCTGTTCTACTGATTCGTCAAAATCTTGATTATATCCTCTCACGCAGACCAACATAAGGGCGGAATTCCCTATCAAATCATTAGAACTCCTAGATTACCTTGTTTATCGGTGGAATTCAAATCCAAACACTGTAAATTTAGAAAGTATTCTACTACTTCGTAATGTCCTCTATATGCAGCCTATATAAAATATTTCTTTACATAATGTAAAGCATTCCTGCCATAATAATCAGATTTCTTACAAGCTTCTTAAAGTTATTTCGACGCCAATGATGCCAATTACTACTATATAAATTCCAGTTTCCCATCCTATGCTGCCTTAGAGGATTAAATTCACAATATTATACTTCAAGAAGGTTGATTTCCTCATGACCGAAAAAATGCATTTTTTTAATAATATAAAGAATATCATTCATAATCTCATGTCAAAAATGAATCCTAAGACTTAACTAAACTTACTCCTTCTTCTCTAAAAACAACAAAACTACTCAGTTCAGCTCAAGATGATCACATCAATCTTTGCTTTTGGCATAATCAAATATAAGATAATGTCAATTGAGTTTTTATATAAAGTTGGATTGATGCATTTTAATTTCTTGAAGTAAATAACACTCTTTGTCTTAATTAGATATAAAAAGTTGAATAAAAAGGGAAAGGAATATGTTAGAATTACTCTGAAAATATCTAATCTTGGTTTTTTACCTGGACATATTCCCCTAAAATAAAATGAAAGCATAGTCTCAAGAAAGAATTAAATATCACATAGGACTGAGATAGAAGCTCATGATATAATCATAAGTTGTCTATGGGAAAAAGGATAATTGCGAAATTAAATTATTAAGATTGTATTGCATTATGTATATCTTATTGATTATCATTTTCATGTATCAAAATTTCTCCTCTTCTACTTATTGGGTATGTATAGCAGATTGAATCCTTGAATTTCTGTTTTTAATTGAATTGATAAGTGATCCAGGATCGACATTTTATTTTGGAATTTCATCCTCCAATAATTGATTTATGCTTTTAATTATAAGATAACATTAATTACTGGTTCATTTGGGTTTATCTAAAATGTGATAAATCTTATTAAGTGGATATGAACTCCACACTCCATACTTCGATTCTATCAATATTCAATTTTGTGATATGAGGTGCCAATATATGACCTGTTGCAAAAGTCTTATCGTCATCTGCAATATAGCTATCCTTCAAATTTTAACCATCAATCCAAATTCTATGTTATTCATATCCACTACCCCCAATACCCAATCCAAATTTGCTTAATTTCTTTTATAAAGATTAAGGCAATGGTCTCCCTTGATCACTATTCAATAAGGCATATTTGCTTTATCCCTTCCCTTTGCCTGTTATAAATTGCTAGTATTTTGGGACTATGGAAAATATAGATGAGTTCTTGTCTCCAGTGATGTCTGGTGCTAATCTCCACTTGGATGAATTGAAATAACCAAATAAATAATGTTATTCAAAGGCATCTAAGTTTTCATCAGGTGTGTGTTGATATGGTAACTTTTCATACTTATTTAATCGTTCAACATGTCTAAATAGTAGCAGAGTTGGAGAGTTTTAGGATAACAATTGATTTGATAGAATGTTTAAATCAAACTAATCTTAACCATCTTAATAAGCAAAAAGCAAATTCAACTTTTTGGTTTTAGTAGAACCAAGGAAGTACTTAAATAGAACAATCCCAATATTTGATAGTTGATAATAAGGGAATTATCAGTCAGTTCTGGGAGTTTAATTTTGTGAGAGGAATCTGTAAATTTCCCTGCAAAATACCTTCTTATGACTGTATTAATCAAAGGAACTTCCATCTTTATTTAGTTACAAAACTGTTATAAGTCCATGTTGCTTGTTTTATCTATAGGATATTTTCAATTAAGTTACCTCCAAAAATATTATTGATCAATAATTTAGCTGCCACATCATCATCATCGCTTAATTTATTGCCTTTTGGACTCAACATATTTATTATCTCCTTGATGAAGATCCCTGCTTATAAATATGTTATTTCAACTTTTGTTAACTATTACAACTTGAATTCTTCTCTCTTATAAATTTCAGGATGTTATATGGATATCAATAATAATAACTGATATTGCTCCAAATGCTTGTAGTTATTTGTATAAACATATATTTCTGATTTCTATTTTGTAAATAGTTCCACTAATAATCGTTTTTAACATAATTACTTGATAATACAAAAGTTTCTCTATTCACTATGTTAGTATCACTTTAACTTTTGATAAATTTATAGATTTTATCAGCTAACTACGTATTTTCTGTAAAGGCTGCTCTAAAACCTTCAATGGCAATAAATTGTTCAGCTTTTCTAATTTTATAAATTCAACATTACCCTGGTGCTATCGATGATAATTTCTTAAATTTCTCGTTACACTTCTCAGAGCTCTTTACTATTTAAAGAACTCTTTTCTTAAAGATTTTTTCTTGAACTATTACAGCCCATATATCTATATCAATATAATTAAATAAAATTTATATAAACTGAAATAAGTATTTCAAGGATGCTAGTTGCCAATTTTTTTAGGATTCAGGTAGAAATTATTATAAGCAAATCATTTACACAAATTATATATAAATAACTATGGATTCAGAATTTCGATGCTAAGCACTTGATTCATCTTCTTATAATTAATAGTTCATAACTTTAATACTCAAGCATGAAAGTTCTTGTAAACTTACTGATATTCGTAAAAGAAAATCAAAAAGAGGATCCCTTTATTTTTCGAGTTAATTATATAATATACATTTAAAACCAAATTTTCTTCATCAGTATTTTTACTTTTAATTCTGATTCTTATTGATATTTATCCGCTTACTCTTATCGTTTATTATCCACATCCTCCTTTTATATTTTACTTAAAATGTAATACAAAATTAAATCAATTTCTTCTATTTATTGAATTAATAATGAATTGTGATTTAGTTGCAACTGAGCAATTTAAATCATCCAATATTCTTCTAGGCATCGATATATTATATTTAATGATTTAAAAAAAATATTGTTTTTGGTATTTATATTTCTAGACTAATTCTAACATAATTTATCCTGTATTTACTTTAGTTTTATCTCTATATTATCACTTCCTTTTGAATTTTGTGTTATCAAATTTTACTATTTTATTACATTAAGATTATTTAATTATAATTATAATTTCATTTAACTCATTTCTTTAGAAATTAGCAAAAAATAGGAATATTTTAAATTTATCATTATATCTTAGTCGGATACTTCTTTTTGGAAACAGCTCTAGAAAGCAGTATAATCAGTTATTATGTCACCATCCCTATTATAATTCTTCAAATTGTACATAACTTAACTTTTTTATGTAAATATTTAATGCAAATCAACTATCTGCATAAATCTGAAGTCTTTAGATTTTGAAATTGATTATTGCCAATCTTCTTTAATTTTACAATGATCATAGTAAGTAAATTTATAATATAATACGCATATTATTAAATAGTTTATAAATTTAAATATTAAAGTTATGTGCTTTGTGTTTAAATTACATCTCTAATTTTTATAGACCTATCTAATTATTCGTCGATGGATATTCTTCTTAATAATTTAAGCCACTCTTATCTTTTTAGGTTAACAATGTATTAATGATAAAATGGCTTAAAAATGTAACAATATTAAGATTATTATTGACTTTCTTTCCTTCTGATGATAAATTTATGACCTTTATTAAAATGTGCTAGCATTAAATACCAAATTTAAAAATTGTGATTCTAGCCAAATTTTTGATGGAATGTATTAATTATGTGAGTAATAATTCCTTAAAAAAATCAAGGACGTAAAGAATATTGATTAAATTTACGATTTGATAAACATCTTGGACACAAATGAGATTCATCAATATAATAATCAGTTTAAGTGTATGCAATCAACAAAATTTAAAATTAACAAAGCGATTGATGTCATTAATGTTAAATAATTTGGAGAACAATATTCGTAAGGAATGCTGCTTACATAGAGTTAAATAGTAATTGAAATTAATATATAATAACTTGTATATAAATATTTGGCATCGAAATTAGATTCATGAATAACAATATCATAAGGATTGTAACATTTTTTCATTCCTTCTCCAACTCATTAAAATGATTAAATATATCATCGATATCTTCATCCCTTACTTCTTTTAAGCTCTCAAGTCTGTTTAAAGGTAAAGGTTTGATAGGCTAGATGATAGCTTTTCTTAAAACATCAATATCATTTGTAAATTAACTTTCCTAAGATATCTAATTTGAAATTGATTAAGAGGTGCGGATGAATATTTATGAACCACAACATTACTTTGCTCCCATTTTTATTTTAATATTAAAATAAAAGTTCATGAGTCTAAATATTAATGATGAAAAGTGCTAGGCCAATAAATAATGAATATTAAATAAATAAACTATCCCTTCATCTTCCCACTTGTGTTTAGATAGAATAGCAAGAATACATGTAAAGCAGTGACTTAAATTGAAAGATATTATTTTTTAATGTTTGATATCAATGATGTTATTAATAAAATTATTATTTATTTCGGAATGTGGTATAAAAACTTTTCAAAACAAAGTTGGAATCTTAGGGTTTGGAGGTATACTTTAGTGATTATAGTATAATAGAAAGGCTAACATATTATTCAACCAAGACGACATTGGTATGTTCAAGACAAAGGGCGTTTTGAGATGGAAGGATACTGTATTCAGAATGGCCAGAAGTGAAGCATGTGTATGAAATTATTCATATGAATGATAGTTAAGAGGATTCAACTTCTTCTTCTTTGCTGGAATGATTGGGTCATTCATTTGGGTTAAATCAAACTATTATGATCCAAAATATGTAGCACCTAAAAAAGTAGAGAGCGAGAAGGAATTAGAGAGATTGGATGCAGAAGCTGATAAAATATTGTTTAAGAATAGATTGGAGGCATATTCAAGACCTCATAGAAGTTTGGAAGACTTGATAGCCTTCTTATCTGGGTATTGATAAATAGATAATCGTTCATAGTTCAAAGACCTTCGATCAATTTGCTGACTTTATCAGTTATGAGGAAGCAATGAATAACAGTATGGATCAATAAAATGGTTTGGATTCATGGATGGATGACTAAGACTAAAGAATGCTTAAATATTATCAAAGAAGTATTGGACGTACTCCAAAGTTTGATTGATTTAGTCAAATGCATATAAATATAAATAAAATATATATGGACATTTGTTAATATATAATAAAATCACATGCCACAACTAAATACAATTTAAGTTGATTACTAGTTTAGTCCTCCTCCTGCTTCTGGAACAGTCCATCTAATATAATCTTTGGGAATCTTGATGTAATAAGTCTTACAATGTAGACAATTTTAAGCATTTATCTATAACTTTTTGCCTTCATTTTTATCAATAAATTCATAGACTTTTGCTGGACAAAATCGGACCATCATACAAATTCAAGTTTTCCTTAGGTTCAACCTCTTTGATTACTTTAAGATGAGCTGGTTGATCATGTTCATGATTGGTCCCACTTTAAACGCAATGATATATAAATCTTACCTTCTTTCTAAGTTATCTAAAAATCAAAGGTTAATTTTCTATCTGGTTTCTCATATTTAATCTAAGGAACCTAGTCTTTAGTCAAATAAGATTCGCTTTCTTTGACATGTGATTTGATATTCCAAGGTTCCCTTCCTTTTGAGATGATACCATCAAATGAACCATATCAATCCAAAATAAATATTGTATTAAAATGAACCCTTGAAATTTCTTGATCTAGACAATTCATCATAGATCCAAGATTATTTAACATCATCCTCATATTCAACTAATTCTTATCTTGGTTCTACATTTTGTTTTGCACAAATAGTTTCTGCTGCCAACATTCACAACAACTGATTTGTTAGAATCCAAATCCTTAATTCTTATTACTCCTGATAAACTTGCTGGCCCTACACCAACTATAAGTATGTCAAATTGGATCTTTTAGAGTGAGAAAAGAAATTTCGCAACTTTTTAGCATTAATATTATATTTAGATCTAAAAATAGGCATTATTAAATTCGTATTAAACTACTATTCTTCTTTATTTATTGAGGTATTTCTTCGAAATTATTAATTTTTATTGCTCATTTTAACTAAAAAGAACTGGAAATTGATTTCTATTTATTATAATTATGTAAAATCTCAATCGACTTTTGGACTATTGATAAATTTAACAAATACCCTAAATGAAAAAAGTGATCAATCATAAGTTTGATGGGATCATGAAATAAAAGTGAAAATACTTTTTTATAAATTATTAATATTACCTAAGTATTAAGAAAACTATTAGTTACAAAATCATTTTCTAAATTATGATATGTATTTAAAGATAAAAAGTAAATAAGAAAATGTACCCTACTTGATGTATTTTTAATTAATGAATAGGGATATGAGAATAAACTGAATGGTTTTTCGGATGTAAACATGAAAGAAAAATATAACTAAAAATACATAATAGTTCTGAATTTAATTTTCTTATTTATATAAACTTATGAGAATTAATGAATATTTAAATAATTGAATAATCTTAAAAATTACCCAAAATCACTGTGATGGGAATTTAATAAATCTATAAGTTTACAATAATATAACTAATATTTTGCCATCAAATTTTTCGATTAAAGAAGAGACAAAAATAAACCAAATATTAAACCCTAAAGCACTAAATTCTGTTTCAATAAAATAGAGGTATTTAGGCTGAATCGTCAGCGAATAAAAATACACAATGATATCTTAGTATTATCTCTATAATAAATATAAATGCAATTAAATTTAGCAACCAATAACTTATAAGAAAAGATTGAATAATCGATAAGGACAAAAATTACCATAATTAATAAATATGATGTGAATAGTACTTCCCCGATTTTCTGCAGACAAAAATATTTATTCAACAATGATTAGTGGTGAGAATTATTCTAAATCATTAGATTGCTTAAGATTTTAATATGTACTATAACATATAAATGCTAAACTAATAAGAAGACTTTAATTATTAAAGGCATGATTCCTAAGAATTTAATTGAAAATGATTTTAACTGTAATTATATAAAACAATCATGGGAGACTCTTTTGTATATTTTCTATGGTGTGCAATATGCTATTGACTGAATTAGTGAGCTAGTTGAATTAAAGGAATTTTTACCTATTCAGCTGTACTTTTGATACCATTTATCTAAGCTTCCAATTGATTAAGTTTTTCAGGCACTGCTTTGAGTGTTACTGCATTTCTTTAAATTGCTGCAAAATCATCTTCCATTTATTGCATTTGTGGTACTTAGCACTATCCCATTTTATCTAAATAAAAATTAATTATTAATAAATAAATTAATTAATTTAAGGATGTCAATGAGTGAACAGAGTAAAACAGAAAATCGGATATTTGTGACTGGATACTCAACAAAGGATAAAAATGAAGAGGATATCAAAGGTCTTTTTTCTAAGTATGGTGAAATCATTGAATTCTCTTGGAAGGGTCGTTTTTGTTTCATTGTAAAATTAGCGTCTATTTAATTAGGCTTATTCAAAAGCAGAAGAAGCTACAGAAGCTGTGAATGAAATGAATTAAAAAGATTAAGATGGCAACACTTTTGTTGTTGAGATAGCTAGAGCCAAAAAAAAAGATGGCGAGTGCTACAAATGTGGAAGAATAGGCCATTTGTAATTATTTAGATGAAAATTAATTAGTGCTCGAAATTGTAGATAGAAAGGAAGATCATCAAGCTCAAGTTCAAGGTATATTTAGTTATATGTAGACATCATAAAAGAAAGGCTAAAAGACATAGAAAAAGAAGTCCATCCAGTTCATCCAGTTCTTCTTCATCTTCATCATCTAGGGATAGAAAGAAGAAATAAAAAAAACCAAAAAAAGGAAGGGAATCCTCATCATCAAGTGATTGATTTAAAAAGAATTTGGATATATATCGATGATAAAAAATTATCGTGTTTTGTTGTTGTGAATAAATCAAATCATTTTTTCAATGCTTATTCGTTGTCTCTCAAAATTTATAAAGCAGTCTTTAACGAATTCAATTAGCCTTCTCTCTTGCTTGCATTGGATCTGAAATTTGAATCATATAAATCTTTTTGGACTCTTGTAGTTTCTAATAATTATTAAGTATTGGCTTCATTTTATTATAATTATTTGTTTCTTCTTTGAGTAATTTTCTATACAAAATACATAAGATTTAATTACCAAATCATTCTATTTGTTCTTCAAAGCACTGGTAGTTTTTTGATTATCCTATTGTAATTTATCTCTCACAACAGTGACTTCATTCACTAAAGAATTGAAGTTTTCTTCAACTGCTGTTTGATTTGATTCTCTGTTTACTTGTCCTTCTTTGATGGATGCTATGATTTGTTCAATCAATTCAATAGCCCTCTTGGCAGTAGCCTCATCAAATCTATGAATGCTATTAATCATTTTACTTAGATGAGAATTCTAATAATAATGCTAGTGGGTGTGTACGTCCTAATTCTTTTTTGACTTATTTGATCATTTCTTATTTTTCACTTTCCTCTAAAAATGAGCCTGTATTTGAAAGAACTGCCTTTACTAATCTATCGTGAATATCTTCTAATGCTGCTAAAATCTTTGCACCAGCAGATTACTTTGTTTCCAAAGCTTAAACCTCTCTCTATCTATTATCTCTAATTTGTTCCTCTCTTTGATTGATTGTTTCTAATTATTTTTTTACAGCCACACTAGTAGAAGTAAGAGTAGAGATAGCTTAAGTGATATCACCAATTTTTCTGTTGTTTGATTATACTTCACTTGATAATGATGCCAAATTAGCTTCTAATTACTCAATACTTGATTCAAAAGCAGCCATTCTTGAAGCATGATCCAAATTTGCTGCATTAATTTATCCTGTTAAATCATCAACCATTTTTTATAGCAATTCGAACACTTTATCCAACTATCCACCTGCCAAACTTAATTCTAACAATTCAACCAATTGTGAATTATAGTTATCATTTTAGGCTAATTTATTTCTTAATTGTTAAAGTACAGGACTCTCTGTTGCAACTGCCATCGTTACCATAAGCAACACTATTAGAGTTTTAGATTACATAATCCGTTTTTATAATTATTATTAATAATCATTATTATCATCACATTTATGCAAACTATTCCAAATTGATTCTCCTCTCTTAAAAGATCTAACTAAATTTGCATATAACTATCAAATGCTACCTTGAGATCAACATGAGTGATTTTTCATATCTTTTCTTAGAGAATAATAATTTGACTTAATTTATTTACTTTTTAAACATTGATTGAGTTATTATATCTATTTAAATAAAAATAATGAGATTTGATAACACTAAATATTTAAATAAAATATTGTGGTCACTATTTTTGTTTGAATAATTCTCATATATTTCAATTAAACGTATAGATACTGACCAATTTATCATATATTGTTAGTGATTTAATGTAATAGTTCTAAAAATAACTATTTCAATAGATTTCATTTAATACATCATATATTTTTATTCTATTTTAATATGATTTTATATATTAAGAATAACTATTTTTTTTTTATTATGATGAAAATACATTTATTTAATGGTAATAACAAAACATTTTATAATAGAATATCAATGTTTAAATAGTATATTTTATTCATTATTCTACTCACTTTTGGACACTTTAGATTTTTTAAAATGCTAGAAATTATTGATAGAGAACATGTTATTTAATATTGCAAATAGATATATTTAAGTCATTCGATATCATTCAATATCCCCTGATATTAGTTAAGTACAGCTTAAAGCTGGCCGTCTAAATCATGATCACCATCAATATATGTACTTATACATATCGACTCAATTCTTTCGCCAATATTTATTAATACATCTTCAATCTATTCCAATATTCTGTTTTATTATTTTTCATTATTTTCAATTACAATTGAGTGTTTGAGTATATAAGTTGGTACTCTACTTTATTGTTGTTCATTTATATTTTATAAGCTCATTATTAAATTCATATCTTATTAGTTTATGAAATTGGCTATGTGACTCATTATATCTTGATATACATCGTAATTCATGAATTATTTTTTTTTTGAGGGGTTCAAGCAAATAGATTAAGATAAAAATGTTTATTCAAGAAAATGCTTAATGGTTTTGGTTATTCGATTTTGGTGAATCATTATTTCACTTTTGTTAGGACTCAAATTAATAGCCGCATCAGGGTTTTTCATATTTTTTCTGTCTTCTTCAAAATTTTTCATCTTTAATGAAATATAATTTATATATATATTTTTTTTGCAATCAAAGTAGAGACTAGTTGATATTGTTTTATTAAGGAAAATTTCAGATTTCAGTTGTAGGCTCTTAAAAATATAGCATTTTTAGAACTCACGGCTTGGTCAAAATGCACAAATTTAAACGATCTATGAGTGAACGACTTTTCTTGTTTGTATGATATTTAATTTTGGGTTGACCTTTTTTTTAATATACTTTTAATAGTCGATTTTTAACTGGATGTTGATATCTTTGTATTAGAGAATGATCTTGATTTTTAGTAATCAAGCTTTCCTTAGTGTTTTTTTAAATTTTATGTGGTTGTAAACTCTTTTGTTTCTGTTTAAATTTACTAATTAGGTGAGGCAGACCTAATTCTATGATTTTTTTTTCGCAACAAACGTTCGTATTGTTCCATAACCAAAAAAAATCCAAAATCGTCCTCTTGTTTAAGGGATTTCATCATTTACAATGGCACAGGTTTTTATGGAGGATTCTTAGTGGGTAACCTTACTTCTTGGCTAATTTATTGAATTATGATGTTGATTTCTGAAAATTAGTTTTTGGGAGATTCACAACAGCATGGCTTTGAACCCATCGAATGTAAAAGCTTTTGTAATAATTATTAAATTCTTAAGAAAATTCTTGAATAGCATTATAAAAATATCTAGAATTTTAAAGAACATCTAAAATTATTAAGACAATCATTTCCTATAAAATAAGATGAATCAAATTCGTAAAACTGATTATTTTCAACTTATTTTTCTTAATTTAAATTTATATCTTGACTTAAAAGTAAATTTGTAACTGATTAAAACAAATTTAGAAATTAGTTATGAATTTACGATTCATGATTTTCTTAAATGAACAATAATGGATAAAAATATATTTCTTAACTACTTGCAACATTAAGATAAGTAAGAATTAATATTTCTATTTGTATCAAATTTATCTCAATCAAATTCATTAGTAGTTTTATTAAGCTTTTTATTAATAATCTGATCTAAACTCTCTTTATACCTTTGTAGCTTTTTATTTCTTTATTAATATCTAATAAATAGTTTAATATAAACTTTAGTTAATTTTGTTAATTATTTTGTACTCGGTTTATAGAATTCAGAATAACAATAATGAAACAGTATATAAAGAATTGGATATAAAAAACAGAATTTAATTCAAATATGTATTCAGAAAAATCAATTGTAGAAATCAAGTTTCAAAGTCTTGCTTCATTTATTTTAACATTGATAATATAAAAGTATTTGAATGGAATTATAATATTTTAGCATGTAGTTTAAGGTAGATTACTAAATTCTGCCTTCAAATGTAGCTTAAATGGAAACTATTTTAATTGTGAGATTATGGAAATGATCAGACATCACAATCAAATTATAAACCTAAACTCCAAATATAAAATTAATGAAAATTAATTGTGTTTATCAGAGAGAAGTAATAATTGTTGAAGCCTTAGTTTGTAAAAAGAAATTAGACAAGATGTCTGTGATAGTATATAATTAAATTAATTAATTAATATATCTATGTATAGGTTTAGATAGCTTTGGAAATTCAGCACACTCTAATTTCACAAAGGAGTTAGTGAATATTAGAGTGTTTCTGAAAATGTTGTATTGAGAGGAGTAACTTTAAAAGGTCGATATAATGATTTACCTAATTTGTTGTTCTTTACAGAAGCATGTGATCTGGTTGAAAATTGGATACCATTCTTTAGTGATCCAAACAACAAAGTAGAATTTTAAATGAAATACTTAGATCCTGGATTATAGAAATGTGCATATTTTGAGTCCCAGAAATTTTGGTACATCAGATAAACATTATTCATTTGATGTTCAGGATCTAGCTAATGATGTAGTCAGATATATGTACTATAACAAAATTACAATGGCTACATTAAGTGGACATGGTTTTGGAGCTAAAGTTGCCTTAGCAGCTGGATGTTATCACCCAGAGAGAACAACTGGTGTATTTTGCATTGATTATTCTCCTATGGATTAAAGATATCATGAAGCATTCACAGAATTCAGAGGCTATATTGCAAAGTTATCGTAAATAAATACTAAAGAATTAACCAAATCATAAATTGAATCTTATTTAAAAGACAATATTGATGTATTCAAATTGAATTACTTAGTGTCCAAAATGGAGATCAATTTTCAGTGATAACCTTATTAAATTGCCATCAGGATAATGGGATTGGAAGTTTGCACTAAAATTCTTAAATGATAATGTCTCATTTAATAAAGCTGATTCCATAGCCTTCTGGCCAATTAAAGCAGGTCTCTTTACAGGCAGAACTCACTTTGCATTTCCTGAATTCTCTAGATGGGTACATCTTGGAACAAATACACTACCTATGTTGAAAGTCTGTCCATAAGTGAGAGGATTTGGTCATGATGTTCATTCTGTTTAAGGAGATAACAATACATTAAATCATTGGATCTATGAATTTGATAGTCAATCTTTTGTCTTTGCTAGTAGATTCACAAAGTAATTCAAGATTGCTATTTAGATTTTTGTCTATGTATGATGGAGTTCATTTATTATTAAAAGATAGAACTGAAGTTGGAAAAGAATTTGTTCCTTCAATTATTTATTCAAAGAAAGACCCAAATCACATCTATTCAGACTATTCTCCTGCTCATTATTATCATAATTGGAGATTCAACAATGTCTATAAAAACTTAGACACACCAAATAAATGAAAATATCAAAATCAAACATATTACATAATATATATACCAATCACTAAATCTATTCTAGCTTATCTTATTTTAATATTCCAATTAATTAATCATTTACTTTAATGGCTCAATTCCAAGCGGTCTCTCTTAAACATTAAATTAATGATGAACTATCAAATTAAACAATTAGATGATCAATCTTGTAATAAATTGAATCTGTTTAATCTAGTAGTTGTGCAATTTTTATCAAAAAATTCTCAATTCTAAAGTTAAATTATTAGGATCTACTACAACCTTTTCTTTATTCACTCAAATTGAATTCATTTTGATTCGAAGTGAACCTGTAATTCTATATCCGTTAAATCCAATTACAAAAATATCCTCTGACATACAGAACCACTCTAATCTTATTTTTAATATTCTGTTTTCTTTACTAATTTTGAAACTAAGCCCTAGCATCAAATTTGTACTTTTATTTCATGATCAATTTCATAGCCAAGAACAGGTTACATTAAAGTTTGTGTGTGATCAATCAAAAATATAAAAGTCAAGGGCTTTTGAAATATGACAAACATTTTAGGTGGTTCTTCTAATTCCTTTTCTTAAATATGTTTTGCATAATTCATTCCCACTTCCAAAATTTTGAATTGTAAGGATTTATTATTTTCTTAAATAATTCTTCCATTATAATTTTGCTAAAGTGATTAATATGTAATTTTGGCACCTTTATGCTAATAATATTACTATAGAATAAGATAAGGGTGATTAAATAATTACAATATGATTCAATTGGAGTTATTATGTTTTCTGGCAAAATAAAAAACCCAAATTCTTTATGAAATCTTGTATATTTTTATATTAATAAATGGATTCAAGTGACTCATAAGAAGATTCATATTAAAAAGTATTAAAAATTATGAATAAAGGATTCGTTACTCGAAATACTCAGAATTGAATAATTCAAAAATGATAATGAAAGGGGGAAATTATCAATCGATTTTTCTAATCAAGTGTTGAACTTAGGAATGTTTAAAAAGCAAAAACAAACTTACATATAAAATACAAATCACACCAAAGAATTATATATTTCTGTGATTAAAAGTATTCCAATATATAAATTTAAGAGATCATAGATCAATTAGTTTATTATGTAAAATCAACATCTTGAGTCAGGAGCAGAGGAATTTATACAGTCCAAAAAAGAAAACTATGGGACCTGAAGATTATTAGTTAGAATAGTAAGTCCAGAGAGTCTGTAACACTGTAAGAAGGAAAAGCTGTATCTGCTTATTATGTGGTCATTAAGGCGATTTTGAAAAACGCATGAACACTTTTTAAGTGAAAACCTAGCAATAAATAAACAGTGAAATGAGGTTATTAAAGTACAACACAAGAAACCAATTTAAGCAATAAACTTTAATTAGACTACACAAAATAAAACAATTATAAAACTAAAAATGTCACAATTCCAGTCTTTCAGCTTAATTAGACAATTAAATACAGTTTAATTAAACTCCAACAATCGCACCAGCCATAGTTGAGGTTTAATTGAAATTCAAGAAGAAAACAGCAAGTCAACCTGTAGTGCTAAAGCAATTCTTACCTACTACAAAAAATTATTATGTGAAATAGTTTCATCTTACCTCGAGAACAAAAACTAACAATACTCCAACATAAAACACCTTGCCATCTCTTAAGACTTTGAGTTAAAGTAGAAGAAATCTGTTTGATAATAAATATTATTGATTTAAATATATTTATTTATATTTGATTTTGCAATCTTACTTATAAAATAATAATGAATTCACTCTCAAGAAATAGGTATTAATATGTAAATAATTTATATAGAGCAAGCAGTTAAAATCAATAGATTATCAAAAAAAACATCCGAAAATATAGTTCCGACTATAGTGACTCAGATGTTTCTAATCCAGAATCTTAGGTCAAAAAGAGAATTGTGAAAATTTGGACTGCTGAAGAAGATTAAATGTTATAGACATTTTATGAAAAATATAAGGGCAACTGGATTCAAGTGGCATAATCTATACCTAATAGGAATCCATCCTAATGTTCATAAAGATGGAAAAGAATAAACCCTGACAGAGTATTATAATTTGTTGATTTCAGTTACGATCCAGAAGATAATGGACAGAAGAAGAAGATCTTTAAGTTTTACATTTGATTAAGAAATTTGGAAAGAATTGGAAAGCCATAGAAAGGAACATGGATGGAAGAAGTGGAAAACAAATTAGAGAAAGATTTATTAATAAACTAGATTAAACAATTAATCATAATGTATTTACTTAAGAAGAGGATGATAAAATTGTAAAATTATACTATTAAATGGGACCAAGATGGAGTGACATCTCTAAGTTATTCTAAGGAAGACCTGTAAATATTTGATGAAATTTATTAAGGAAAATATGATTAAAAATAGATTTTATTCTCACATCAAAAAGCACTACAACATTTAGTCAAAGAATCCTGAAATTGTTGGAGATGAAATGATGCCTTAAAACCAATTTCAAAATACCAATTCACTCTCAGATGTACTCTAAGAATAAGATTAACAAATTTAAGGGGAACCCAGATTAGATACAATACGCAGTTAATTCGAATAAGAGGGTTCATTCATCTCTAATCTAATTAATAGCAATCATATTCTGCTACCTTAATTTCAAAGCTTAATTCAAGGAGGTAATTATTGATATCTAAGTAAGAATCATTGATTTCGAATGGAGGATCATTTATAAATAAACAAGAAATGAATCACGAACAAAAATAACTCTACGGAATTGATAGTTCTGGTGCAGGTTCTCACGTCTATTAAGATATTTAGATGCCTCATTCAGATATCTACGATGAACTAGATTCAAGTCTTAAAAAAACACCATAGTATCTAAGAACTGATAGTGAAAACAAAGAGAAAGAAAACTAATTAATGGACCAATTGATAAAAATGAGTATGGAATAAGATTGAACTGTATGATTGTAAAAGAGTTTATAAATAATCTGTTGTTAAATTATTTAGAAGTAAAATATTCCTAATATATACAATTTATATATATATCTGTAGCTTAATATTAAATTATAATAAATTCTATTAAATTTTGAGTTAATTTAGATATGAAGAGTATTGATATGATCAAACTCCTTTTTTTTACAAAAATTCCTCAGCTTAAGCTACCTTTTGATGATACAGCATTGTAATCTCAATGATTATCTAATTTTCTTCATGTCTTTTTTATTTCTCCATTACATATTTTGCTTTCTATTAGTTATAAGCATCTAAGAATAGAGAACCAATTGATTACTTTAAGTTTATTATAAGATTCTTTGTGTATTCCCTAATATTTTATCACATTAACTTACAACGTCTTGGGCTAACTCTTTGTCGTCTTCTAAACTATTTAAAAATTTTAATCTGCTATCATATTCTTATTTTAAGAGCACTTGTTCATTTAATAGATTTCTCCTATAATCTACAAAGTCATTAGCAGATGTAATTTCTTATTCCTCCAATGTTTTAATATGTTCTTATATTTTGGAAATCAATCCTTAAACTTTTCCAACAATTTCTGAGACCACTTAAGCAGCTTAATCTTCTTAAGAAACCTCTAGAATCATATAGAAATTATACCTACTTAGGAAAACACTTCCTTGTGGTCTACCATATTAGTATAGAGTGCCAACTTGGAAGTATATTCTTGTGTCTCTTCTTTTTATAAGAATGCATTCTATTCTTTGAGTTGTAAATCTCCATTAACCCATTCTAATACATTTAATGCTTCTCTATAATCTCTTAATGCATCGATGAATAAGGAGTTTGCCTCACATCTCTATTCAGCTAGATCTTCTAATTTCATGTCGTTTGACTTTCTTCTCTTCTCATTCCAATTCAAATAATCAGTTGTCTAAGCAATTTTATCATCGACTGCCTCTAAATCTTCTGAATTCTTTTGCAAAGATTCATTATTCTCTTTCATAATGCCAGTAAAAGCTGCACAATCATTCAATACACCACCTTCATATTCTTAGAATGCTTTGTCTGCCTATTCTCTAGTTGTAAAGATCTCATACTTTTCTATCTAGTTCTTCATTAGCGTTTTTCAAGTCCTCCAATAATTACAACACTGCTTAAATAGCATCTCTAGCGGTTCCCAAACCAGTTCCAGTGCTAATCAAATTTAAAAATTCAGGGTTGAATTTATGTTATTGCTAACAAAAGATAATTGTAATAAAAGCTAATCCTATCAGAAGTCTCATTTCCGTTTTTATTTCTGATATTAAAATATAAATTATGTTTAAAGCAATAAAATAAATAATGATATTATACAACTCCATGAAAAATCGTAGAATATTATAATGATAAAAAGTAGATTACTCTATCAAACTTGTATGTGCTTTCTCTACTTATGCAATAAATTCTATCGTATTTTTTCATTAAAGGTGATAAATAATACATTAAATTCCATTTTCAAACTTATTATTTGAATTTTTAGAATTCTATTTTCTTTCAGGATTAACGATTTGTAAATAGTAATTACTCATCATTTGGCAATGTTGCTGAGCTATTCCAAAAGGGAAATAGCATGATAAAAAGGCTTGCTTTCTTAATTCACTTTTTTAGATTGTAAAACTAAATTTATTATTATAAATAAATTCAAGAATGGAATCGCAACAAGGCTTACGAAATATTTAGCAGAACTCAAGCTTTTGGGAGCCCAAGTATTACCTTATGGTAATTATCTTTTGCTTTTTAATTTATTTTTTTTTGAAGAATAATTAAAACAAATAAGAGCCGATTAAGGTATAGAGTTTGTGAATTGCAATAGGATAAAGTATGGAAGAAGTTTGCGTTTGCATATTAAGACATGATGAATACATTTGACGATCCAGAGAAGGAACTTCTAAAGCATACTTTTCACAATACTATTTTTAATACAAAACCACCTCGTGTCAACAATGATAAAAGAAAACAAAGCAAAAAGACTTCTAATGTGTCTTTTGATTTAGCTAAAAATGTTACTCATATGTTTTAATAAAATGGGTATTGAATCTAATAATTTCCTTGAGAATTCATTAATTAAATATGTTAAATATATTCAAAAGTCATCTCTTCTTTTTGATAAATTTACATTACTCCCTCTTATAAATATTTATTTTATATCCAATTAACGTCAATCCTTTTGATTATTAATAAATACTTAGTTCTCAATACATTTATTAAAAGGAGTACAACAATTCATAATTGTTACTTTAATATTATATAAATTAATCAAATAACTCTAATATAATAAACTTTAACTTTAATAATGTAAATAATAAATTTATAATGGTTTATAGGTACTTAATACAATATTTCATAAATTTAATAATCTTCTCAACAAATTTAAATTCCAATTATTTAAAATTTGACTCTAATAATTCGAAAATAAATCTAAAGAAGCAGCTCCAGAGATTGACGCATTTTGATTCTAAAGCTCACAAATAACATTTGTAAATTGTGTAAATCCAAATCAAAACATTGATAGAACCATTGTGATGATTTTAATATTTTTGAGTTAATTTACGATAATAATAAAGTAAATTAATATTATGTTTGAGCAGTAATCTAAAGCAAGAGAATATTTACATTTGATTTTAAATATAGCTATTTCCTCACTTTTCGCAGTAGTGGAATAGCTAATGTGTAATATTACAGGGGGTATTATTTGGGATCTGGTATTTATTCCTTGTGGTATAATATTCTCATTACTCTACATAACTCAATATTTTCAATGGAATAAAGGTATGGCAAATTAATTTAAGTAGGCGATTTGTCTTCATTTTTTTTTTGGGTCCTGATAATGAAGAGAATTTTTCTTTTAGGAATTAACGAAGGAGAGTTTGTCTACTTTTTATTTGGATTATTAAATGGAATTTATACAAACAAATTAAATGTTAATGATAAGAAAAAGTATTATTTGAAATTTAAAACAATTATTTAAGTTCTAGTAGTATCTGCTTTGATAATTTATAATTTTATTCAAGAAACTAGAGGATAAAGTTCTACTTTAATAGTAGTCTACATAATTATTTCACTAATACTTGGCATCAACGATAATATAGATTTGTAGAATTAAACCCCAATTTAAGAAGAATATTAAACTGATTTGAAACATAATTTAACTGAAATTAAGAAATCTCAAACTACGATCGTTTAATTGCAATAATAATAGCAATAATAATAATAATAGTTCTACTACTAATAATAATAATTATAATAAAAATCAAATTGGGAATAATATTAATAACAAACAGATGAGTGGATTTGTAAATTGGATCTAAATAAATATTGCTTATTCGATAGTTTAAATTCAAGTGAATAAAACTATTCAATGAGAAAATCCTTAGGGGATTTAAAAGTGTCAATATAGCATTTATTCCAAAATTTAATGATCACTAGCCAATCAACTAATTTATAATAGTCAATTAATCTATGGTCAGAAATAGTTGAAAAAAATTCATTGTAGAGTTGGTTGGAAAAAAACTTTTTTTCTGAAAGTTCAGCTGGAAAATTAGAATAAGCCAGATAAAGGTAATACAGATATGGGATTGATGGGATCTAAGGAATGCAAGAAGATTAATTATCTATAATCTCACCTTAGAATGAAGGCAAAGGAACATTTAATAAAGATCAAGTACATGAATTATCTGCAATATCAGCTATTTAATAGCATGGAGATATGCAAGGATCTAATTCTCTTTTGTTCAATAAAACAACACTAGGATGCTATTTCTTGACTAATTAAGTAAAGATAGAAATGAGTGTGTCTATATTTTTGATGGAAGATGAATTTGATACTAAAAAATCCATTTTAATTTTGGTGTTGCGAAATATAGACAAAGAAGTAAAAAGGATGAAAACAAGCCTGGAGAAAACTGAATAATAGAAGATTGTATTCTATAAATATATAAAACGAGTAGCTGATGATGTAGGTCAGATATTATAATAAATTAAGAACATCAAAATGAAATTAGATTAGCGTCAAAAGTATTATATTATTATAAACTAAAAGAGAATTTGAGAAGATAAAGTAAAGCAACTTTATTTCATTATCATTTTGTGATGGTGATGCATTTATCAAGTCTGAAAAAATGTTAGGAGATATGAAATTATCGCAACATCTAAGTGTGCCTAATTAACCTGGATAAAACTCTAATTAACGTGTGACTTCTTCTTTAAGTTAGAATCATGATACTTAGGATGAATAAATATAGAAATTATACTCTTTTTCGTAACCAAGTGATTTAATAAGATAGATAGATAAATGGTAAACTAATGTTTTGTTGGTAGAACAAAACAATTTTAATTTTTTTGAGTTATTTTCAACTATTGAATTTTCAACACATAGATTTAATTTTGTTAATAGTTTAAACAGTGTGAAGGATTTATTTAAGCAGGACTATAGTGTTTAAAAGTATAATATCACAATTTCAATTGAATTAAATAATGAAAATGAAATGGTGTTGATTTCAGACAAACGCAAAATAAAGCAGGTGCTTATGAATATAATAAAGAATTCGATTTAATCCTTTGATTTTAACTTATCAAGAAGACAATCGGAAAAGCTAACTGCAATGTCAAACGAATAGAAATAAGACATAAAATAGTAAGAATTAAAAGTATAAAATACAATCGTAATTAAAACATGGGCAGATGAGGAAAAAATCATTGTTGAAGTTATCGATAATGGGGGAGGCATTACATAAGAAATGCTGAAGAATAGGATCTAAGATTGTAAATTAGGATTGCAAGCATGTCGGAAAATATTGAAGCAACTTTCACATGATCCTAGAAAACCATTAGAAATTATTAATTATATGAAAACCAAAGATGGAATTAAGGGGACTGTTGTACAATTTACATTATCTAAATAATTTGTGCCATCTTAATCTATTGAAGAAAATGTATTCTCTGATTCATTGACTATGAACAACAAAGTTGAATTAAATTGATATAAATTAATTATTATATATTCTGAATTATTATGCCTAATTAGATTGGGCCAAGGTTATTTTACAGGTGAAGAAGAAATCTACTTTTAAATATCCAATAAATTAACATTCAGGATAATGATATTTAATTAATTGAAAAATGATTTAAAAAGGTTTCATTTAATGGATTTTAATGATGAATTTGTTTTTAGTGCAGTTGATTATTTCATCTATTTTATTGGTGTTATGTTTGACTTTAGTTTGGCCAATTAGTTCAATGATTTAGAAATTGATAATACACTTCTTCTACTTGGGCTTTTGTTTATACCATTTAAATTGAGATTGTAGGTTATTTACTCCAAATTGTATTTCTACTCTTACAATTACGATAGTTAATTGTTCATCTGCAATATTTCCTATTCTAATTATGCTTTGTTTGGCTTTATTTTATTGATCATTTAATCCTAAACCAATTAAACTTATTATTTTATTTCAAAAACCTTATTATTTATTTCATTTTCTTATTTTTGAAATTAATCCATCTTCTTTTTAAATTCTTATTCCATATACTGAATTTCTTATTCTATTTTACTAGTTCTTTCAAGCTAATGCTTATCATTCTGATTCAAATGTTCAATCTCCCTTTTTAATTTACTTAATTATTGAACAACTTATTTAAATTAAGGTAAAATCTATTGATCAACCATAAAGATATTAGTATTTATAGCCTATTCAGCAGCCTCGTATTTTTCAATCAATTTAATAACATTAATAAATTGCATCTAATATTACAATTATACAATTACATTTTCTTTCTCTGAAATTAGCTAAGTTATTTCTTACTAAATGCTCAGGAGCATTTTATCATAATCCTAATGCTCCTTCATTTATTATAACTATTCTTTATTCAAAGTTTTGTACATATCATAAGCCTCTAAGGCAGACTACTCAATCATACTTTGGAATTGATCTTAAGCACTTTCTTAAGTTTGAAAAAATACATTTACTCATTAATTTTGAATTGTTCCTACTATTCTTCGAATTCTCTAATCATCTATCTCTTCATCTCGATTTAATTGTCAATTTCTGATATCTTATTTTAAATCTATAATTCCTCTCCATACTATCTTAGTGTTTGCTTCATTTCCTACAATTAGGTCTATATCAATTTTTATTGCATTGAAACTATTATAAATTATTCTAATTATGTAATGAATTCCTTCATGCTGGTCCAATTGGTGCCCTAATTTGAGTTTTTAAACAAATTATTTCTAAATAATGAAAGATAATGTGTCAATTTAGAATTAAAATCACTTTAATCAATTGATTACACGTCACTCTATTATAAGAATTCTTGAAATAAATTATCAGGATGAGCTAAATTCAAACTTTTATGCAATGGAATAATTTTATTTCTTTAGACCTTAATTTTTTAATTGGCTTAATGTAATTGGACTTCAAGCAAAGTAGCTTGATGCTACAATCCCAATTATTACTACTTTTCTTCTCTTTATTATGACAAGAGTTTAATCTCTTTATCCTGCATTGCTATCTAATTTCCATTTTCTTAATGTTTTTTACCATTTGTAAAGTACATCTAGGAAATCATAAATAATTATTCATTCTAATTCTTAACTTATTCTACAAATTCCTCCAATTCTTCCTTTTATCCAACCAACTCGGCTCTTTGTAATAAATGAGTGTTCAAGTCCTCCTACAATATTTGCTTAGTTTCGATCAATTAACAATATAATTCGTTAGCTTGTTATTTTTATTTTATAAATCCTTAATGTTCTTTATTTATGGTTTCGTATAAACTCTTAAGCTTATTGAATTCGGATTCATAGTAGTCAAACACTTAGCTCTACTATCGGTCAATGTCCAATTAGATTTAAGAATAGCTATTGTAGAATAAGGATGATTACTTTTGCTCTTCTAATCTGAGATCTGACAATTATTTTTGGAGACTATCATAATCAATTGATTTCATAGTATTATTTCCAAGCAATACATTAATCTTCTATTTTATCAATTGTTGGTAATTGTATATACGTTTGTTGATTTAATCTAACTATTCAAATAGGTAATCCTATTCATCGTTTTCGTCTCTTTTTTTTGAAGGGCTATCTGAAATGAATTTCTAAGATAACATAGTTTAACGATAATATTATTTAAAATTAAATTTGTAAGTTTTTTTTCATTCGCCACATTTAATAAAGAGAACTAGAAATAGTCAAATATTAATATTTTAAATATTCAATGGCTTCTTAATATGATACAACTCCTTAGAAAATGCTCTCAAATTATAGCACTGATCATTCTTAAAGATATGTGTCCCCGTGTAGTGATGATTCTGACTAGGACTCTTAGAATCTAATTAAATAACCTACGTTCAGAAAAAAGAGTTTTGCAACTCCCGGTGATAAATATGATCAATCAGATGGCAAAAGACAATAATTAAGAACTAAATTCTGCAGGAACTTTCAAGAAAAAGGCTATTGCCAATACAAAGACAAGGTACATTTAAATGAAATGAAAGTGTTCTTTTATACATGAGCCATGCAGAATAGAGAACTCTGCCAGTAGAAGAACTAAGCCTTGTAGATGTTTCTTTTCAATGGGTGTTTGCCCTTTTGGTCTAAATTGTCAGTATGCCCATTACGAAGTTATTGATAAAGAGGAACTACGAGATTTTGTTGAAAAGGCGTTTAGGGAATAAAAACTAATGGTTCCCCTGCATCCAAGTATGAATTTAATCATCATAATTAGATAAATTGTAGTTAGATATTAGAAAAGACCTACAAAGATTTTAACATTTGTATAAAATTTTTGGAAGAAAATTAAGCTTCAGAAGAGATGATTTACTAGTCAATATGTGCAGAGAGTATTATTATTATATTCTATATAAATAGAAGAAATTCCATTTTCCTTAGACTTTGCTAAAGTGAGGTACAGGAATTCGACGATTTTTTGTAATGATTCACCTAATATATATATATATAATTATCCTATAATACTAAGGTTTTTAAAATAGGAAGGATCTTCACCCATTAAGATTGGTATATCCTCTAAATATTGTTGATTAAACCTATTCTATTAATAGAAACTTGATAAATCCCAAAAATATCAGATATATAATCAAATCTTAGTGAGAAGATTCATGTGGATAAGTATTTATGTGAATAGTATGTGAAAAACGATAAATATAAAATTTAATATAATTTAATAAATAAAATAAAAATAGAAATTCTGTTTCATTCAGTTTAATATAGTGCCTTCACCATAGGCAAAATGTTTTTACCATTGTCTTTCCATTCCTCAATACATTGCTAAGCCCAAGAAGTATAGACTTATTTTTCAGATTGATTTCTTTATTGCATTTACAGAGACTCTTTCAACTCTTGCATGTATTAGTTTCTACGATACTACTTTTTAGCTTCCTTGTATAAATACAAAAATTACTATCTAAATTTTCTAATATTCCTATAAATCTTTATTCCTTTTTTTCAATACATCATTCTATAGCTGTTCAACTTATTCCAATTATTCCAATGCTTTTAATTTTTATTTAAAATCTACTTCCTAGTCAGCCTATTAATTAATTTTTCTTTATTATTAAATTTGAAGCTATTTCAACCTCATAGTTTCTGCATCTTAAACCATTTATGTTTTTTCTAATTCTTTCTATCTCAATTCTTCATCCTATTTTTATTTGAGTTACTCTGCATGTTTTTAGATGGTTTACATATAATTATCTTCTTATTATTTTTATTGTTCCACTCTAAGATCATAAATCTATTTTCTGAGTTATTCTTTTTTCTGCTATTTTTAATTTTCCTAAATAAATTATATTAATTTAATACTCTATCTTTTCTCATCTATAACACTTTTTCTTTGTGAAACTCATGCTCAATTATTTTTTTATCCTCTTCATCCAAAACACTTTTCTCTAGTTCTTATATCTCTCTTCTCTTTTCCATGAATTCCTCATGTTCTTTGAGTAATTTTTATTACTTATGTTTGATCTCTTATTTTTATTAACTAAATTATATACAATGATTACTCTCTTAGAATTTCATCCTCCTCTGCTTTTTTCTTAATTAATTAACCTTCTTGTTTATCTAGCATCATTTCCTTCAAGTATCTCTCCTTGACTTATTTATGCTAATCAGCTAAGATCTCATTGCATTCTTTTTTCTTCTTTGCTTACTTCTCTTTTCTAAACATTAATTCCTATTCTTTATAATATTCCTGCATCTCGTACTCTTTTTCTTTTTCCTCCTCTTGTATTTTTCTAAGTTCTTTTTACTCTTTATTAATTGCATTTAATTGTTCATTAGTTCTCTCAACTTCACTTAACATCATCTAAGCCTTCAAATTACGAACACTATAATTTTGTAAATGTGATAATACTCTGCTCTTTAATCAAATATTTTCTAATTTGATTCCTTTACAAGTTCATTTTTAAGTCTCTCTTAATATTCTTCCTCATCCTTATCAATTTTTCTTCTTTCTTCCTCTTCCTTAGTGAACCTCTCTAATTTCTCAGCCTCTTTTTATTATCTCTGCTTAGTTATTCTTTATGCCCAAAGTCTTTAATTATCGAGAGTCTATTAATGAGGGTTTGCATTACCTTTTTGGTTTGTTTTTCACCTTATAAATGATTTTTAATTTAATATAATTCACTTAAACCAATAACCGAAACTGAATTTACTTACTCTTATTTAATGCTTGGTAATTAAACAGATTGCTAATTTACTTAAATTCTTAAAATACAACTTTTGATTAAAGAGCAGCTTACTCTTCTGTTGAATATCTAGATTTTGCTTTGCTCATAATTTTATATAATTAAATATTATAGGATAAAGTGAATATTATAATCCAAAATATTGTATGCAGAATAACACTATAAATTAAATTTATCTTAACACAAATTAATTAATTGGGATGAGAATTAAAAGAAAATCATTATTGCAGCGTTTATAGATTTTGTGAAGGTTTCTTCTCTATTCTTATTTTTGAGACTTCAAAATATTTTGGCATCGAAAACTTTTTCTTTATTGATGCAAACTATTTTTTATCTTGATTTTGCAATAAACTACACATCTCCTTTGCACAACTTCTAATTTCTATTTCATTCAAACCAGTAAGAGGAACCATTAAATCCTAATTCCATGATGGATGGATTCGTCTAATCTTGTGCACCAAATAAATTGAAGCACTAGCCAAAACATTATTTGAAAATTAGATCGTAGAATACTCCAAAATTGATAGTTCTATCAAATATCTAAAGTTATTTAATATTTTAGATTACCTTGCTAGCATGTAGTTTTTTTAATCCATTTTTGCTGTTTCTTAATAGACATTCAACATTCTTAAAGGGCTTGTTGTAAGCAAATCAAATCCCAACAATGAGATGATTTTGCCCTCTGTTGCCAAGATCTCCTCTTTTGTATATGCATTATCACAAACGTAAACAAGATCCCTTACATGAGGCACGGAGTACACTTCTTCATATTTGGATGCTATGAACAAGGCTGTCACTCCATAAAGTTAGAATTTTTATTTAGATATCTAGTGAACTTCAAGTACTCTCAAATTAATACAATATTTACCTATCAATTATCGAAATAGTTAAAAATAGTGTTTCTGTATCCAATTTGAATTTGAAATGAACATCCACTATCCAATCAAGTAAGATGCTACGCATTTTTTCGGTAATCTCAGTTTGAAATTAAAAAGCGTTCATTTTGTAATTTGATCGACACTACTTTAAATTAGGTTTATTACACTTTTTTCTTTCATATATGTCACTATTTCTTTTTTGTATGCATTGACAGATTAGGGATTATCATGTTTTTAGGGCAATAAAAAGCTTTTATTTGTTAATAATGTAGTGACTCCACTGGTTATACTTAGGTTTCTTCCATTACGCAAAGGCATTGGCATATTAGAATCTGTTTTGACTCTATGAAATCCTTCCTTTGTACGATTGCTAGATTCATCATTCAATTTCAATTATGGTTTTTACTGAGGAATCATCGTGTGGAATGAGTTTGAAGACTTGTCTCTGAGTGCCATTGATGACTATACTCTTTGATGTTTGGTGGCATAGTTGAAATTTTCTTTGTCATAATCAGCAACACAAAATAAGCGTGGGATTTGATTTGTTTTCATTTTGAATATAAATTATTTAACGGAAAAATACTATTAAATTAAATTAATTATTCATTTACGAGAACCTTTGGCTCTTAACTAGCATAACTTGAACTTGTCTTAGACTTTCCTATCTATCCCTATTTGTGGGTTATTATATTATATTTAACACGACTTTCAAATTAATAATAGCTAAAATACCTCTTCTTCTAGTTTGGTAATGGATGTTAATTATTCATTATTACTATGATGATCAACAGAAGGTCTCGATTTTCTGTATACTTGTTAGCATCTGCTATTTTATTCTCGAGAATTAGTATGAGGAAAGAGCCTTCTCTATCCATTTATGGGTTCAATTTTCACTGAATTGTTTAAAATATTGTGAGGACTATTATCGTCCAATTAGCCTTTCTGTTCGGTATCTTGGTAATCCATTAATGTCATAGTCTACAATTTAGATGAATCCTTTGGCGGAACATCATTTTGTTATTTTTTAGCACTTTAGTTGTGAGGCCAACAGCTGGGATCAGTAGTGGTTTACCTGAAAATGTTATCTGTTTATTTTTAATAAAACAAAACATAAGCATATTCATTAACGATAGCCTTTTCTAGCTCTTGTATCTAGAATCAGATTAATAGTACCTTAAAAACTGCATCATCATTGTACATGTACCATTAATTATCAACCCTATGTTTGCAAATAGAAATGTAATGGCCATATTATAAAGAGCCATGATGCTATGCAACTGCATACAAATTATAAATTGTGTTATCCTATTCATTACAATAAGGAGACATATTTAAATCATTTATTGGAAAATTCACCTTTTAAGTGATCTTACCTGTCTATTTAGATCCAAACTCAAATCTCTTAAGATGAATAATTAAAATATTTGGTAATTTCCATATTCGAATCCCTTTTTTACAGTCTCTTGTTTCTTTACATTATGGACATTTCCACTGTATGGTTTCTTCCTATTAAAATTAATCCAAGCATTCTGTTAAATAGCAAATTGTTTCTTGCTTCAGTTAGGAGTTCCCAAGTGATTTAGATTAAAATGATTATTATTTTTGTTATTGTTATTGTTATTATTATTGTTATTATTTAATAGGTAAATTTAGAAATAGGAACGGTTCCCATTTATGACTCTGATAATTGCATGTTTTACATTCAACTTTAGACTTCAATTATCCCTAAAACAAATCAACCACAATACTCTTATTGATTTTTAGATGTTCACCCCAAGATTCAGCAGCCCATTCTTCTCTTGGCTCACCTATGTAATCCTTCTCTTTAATTATCTCCTTCTTCTTACATCTATTCAAATCTTCATGAATCATATCTAATAAATAACTCAACAACTCTTGACAATCCTCCTACTCTAATTAAATGTGTTAATAGTTTACATCCGATTTCAAATCTCTTCGAGTATTTCTGTATCAACAACAATAACCGCAAAGGATCTACCCAATTCTCATATTATTTTTATTTCTTTTGCATGTCCATACTCAAACTCATTTAATTTATGCTCATTCCAATACTTCTTTCATCCTTCCAAATATCACTCAATAATTAAGCAAAGCATTCAGTCACCTACCCTCTTGATCCTAGTTTGCTAATCTTGTTGATTTCCTTTTCAAAAACTCTCGATAACATATAATCAAGTAAAGGCTACGTATGACTTAAACAATGAATTGCGCAGTTGAAATAGCATGTGTTACCCAAATTTTTCAATCCTACTACGCCATGAATAACCTTAATCCCATCTTGATTGTCCTCCTTCCTCATAACCAAGGGAATAGTGTGATAGCCTTATTGAAGTTTAGTATAAGGATCTGATATTTTTAATTTCTATTTATTTGTCGTTTTTAAATTAGCATGAAGATAATGCGATGATTCTGCATAAACAACTGGAATTGTAAGCTATTTACCTGCTCCACTTCCCATATTAAAATATATTATTATTTAACTAATAAACTTAGAATCTCTAATAAGAAAATTACACTTTTCCTAAAATTATAAAATCATTTTATAATTTCCAATTCCCTCTATTATGTATTTCAGAAAAATTTATAGTATTTTTATAAAGTATTTATTAAGATGAGTCTCTTATTCATTAGATCTATTTCCAGATATGTATGAAAAATTGTGCTTTTTTTAATTTATAGAAATTTAACAAATGTATAATGATTATTTATTTCTATTTCAACATAATAGTAGTAATTAAGCAAAAGACATGATCAGATAATACTTGTAGTAAAAAAATAGATTTCTTTTATTTATAATAAAACTAAATTAGATCTATTAAATTGAAAGAAATAAATAAGATGATATTAGAAAACCAAAAATAGATTCACAAAGGATACTTAGGATAAAATAAATAAAAACTATTAAATAGAAAATATTAAGTATAATAAAATGATTAAATAATTAACAAATAAGATTAATTTGAAAGCGAATAAATAAAATAAGAACAAACAGGCTTAGACAAATAATATATTTTTTATTTTACCATTATTTATTTTAAAAGTGTATACCTTTATGTTATCATAAATGAAAATTGCAAACAATTTGAGTCTTAGAACTACGGAGTCTAATGTCAAGCCATTAGAATAGGTTGATTAATATTATAAATGTTTCTTTTTTTGATAAAATATTTCAGGTTTAATTTTAAAATAATTAGTTATTCAGATTTAGAGGGTCTATTATGAACAGAAATTTTAAAGCTAATTCATGAGTACCCTAAGACATTTAGCTATTTTTTATTTAGTTCTTTTATTTTAATTTATAAAATCCATTTAAGGATTACTGTAAAGAACATAAATCTCCTAAAAATGAAGTGTAAATTTTCCTTCTTTATATTTGCTTTTGAATATTCTGAGGAATGTCACTTTCTTTAAATGATATATCCTTAATCCATAAATTAAATTATTTATCTTTAACAACAGAGAATAAAAATTAGCTATATTTTAATTTTACTTGCCAATATTTTGATTTTATTCCATTACATGATTAAGTCATAAATAAGCAATTACAATAATAAAGGTATTTGAATTTATTAATACTTCTAAAGATATATTAAATCTTCTATAGCCACTTTATTTTTTAAGCAGAAATTCATTATCATATTGCTGATATATATTATTAGACTTGCTTCCAAAATTGTATTTATATGTAGTTAGCCAATTTCTAATAGAAATTATAAGGTTTAATAAAGTTCATAAGAGATTTACACTATGGTTTTGATATTTTAATCATTTCAATTTATTCCAAGAATATTATTGGTAGTCCCACTATCAACTACCTAACCAAGAGGATTCAAAAGACTCTTCATCGTAATAATTATTTTTTGAAAATTAGTAGAGATTGTTATTGGAAGATACTCGTAGATATAGGTTTACTGATTACTTTAAATTCTCAAATAGAATAAGGAATTTAATCTTAGTTATGAATAAAATCTTGAGTTAGATTTTCGTTGATTATATAAGATATTCAATTGTAAGATTCAATAATTATTCTTTTTCTTATACTTTTTTATTATAAACTATGTTTTATCTTTATTTTTGATAAATTGGTAAGTTAGTTTATATCATATTTGGATCATATTGGATAGAATTCTTGCTAAAATAACGAAACACAATATTAATTTATTTATCAATAAATTGAGTTTTATTATTATTTAAATTGTCTAATAAAATTGAATAATGGTATGAAATTCATATTTATTAATTGTAGAATAGTAAACTTAGTAAAAGGTCCAAAAAGAGTCTTTTGACAGAAGAAACCTAAAGTAAAGTTAAAATATATAGCTTAGATAAATAAAGAAATGAGGAGTAAACTGAGTCAATCGTAAAAAATGTTCGTAATGGCGATGCTACAAATCCGGAAGTAATGGTAATAGGTGAAGGGGAATTATAAAGAATGAAAGTATGAAAATATAATATCTATGCTGTCAGAATAATGCAATAATCACAACGAAAGAAGAGCAAATATATTAGAAGAAATTACTTGAGGAATAGAAAGAGAAGTAAATGGCTGCTGCAAAAGCAAAAAAATAACGAATGATATAAATGGAAGAAGAAAAAAAGAAATTAGTTCCGTTGACATCATAATAAGAAGAGGATAAAGTAGTGAAAGATTCACTTCTTGCAAGAGTACTTGTTGATGTAATATGTATTTTAGGCAGCAGAAATAATGAATGAATAAATGGATGATGTTAAGGAAATGAATAAGATGGTAATGTATGCTAAATGTGTAACTGTTCGGGATAAATAATTAAAAGAAAAAAAAGATTTGGTTGACTAATATAAGGTTCAGGAAAAGAGAAAGGATTTGATGATGGAAATAGAAAGATTGAAATCTATTAAATATCATGAAGAAAAAGATAAACAGCGAAAAGTTGAATTGAAACAAGGTCACGATATTATAATTGAATAAATTAAAGAAAGAGAATTAGTAAGACTAAAAGATAAAGAGGAGTAGGAAAGAGACGGATAAGTTATGCTTAAAAAGATTAAGTAACTACAATAAGAGGAATCTTAAAAGGCAATGCAAAAAAAAATATCTTAACAAAAGGTTCAAGAAGAAATCTTAGAGGCAAATGATAGAGCTATTTTAGTAAAAGAAAAAAGAAAATTAGAGGAAAGGGAAGAGGAAGAAATGATAGTCAAATATAATTTATAAAAAGCATAAAAAGAGGCTGAACTACAAGAAGAGTAAAGGAGAATTAAAGAAGAGAAAGAACGTGAAGTTTAAAGATTAAGAGAAATGCAAGAAAAGGCATAAGACCGATAAGCTGAGTTGGATGCATTAAGAGCAAAAAGAGCTATGGAATAAAATGAAAGATAAGCAAGAGAAAAAGAAAGAAGAGAAGCAGAATTAAAAATGAGATTAAATCATGAAGTTCATGAAGCAAGAAAACTATAGTAATTTGAAAAATAAGAAAGATTAGAAGAATAAGTATAATTGAAAATTTACTATTATAGGCAAGATTAGAAAGGGATGAATTCTAAAGGGTTATTCAAAAATAGAAGTAAGAAAGAGAAAATGAACTGAAGCTATTGCATGATAAAGATGCACTAGTTAAAAAGCATGCAGATGAGTTAAGAAAATAAATATCCCTGAATGAAGAAAAGAGAAAATAAGAAGAAAGAGATAAGTAATTAGTTATTAATAAATTAGATTAGAAGAAGGTAAAAAGATTAGAGATAAAATGTTGAATGAAAAGAAACTTTTAGAAAATATCAAAGATACTAAATTGAAAACTTTAAATGAAAATGGAATTGCTGATAAATATAAAGCAGAATTAGCTAGAAAAAAAATTAATATCCTAATTTGATCAAATGATATTTGAAAATTTATTTTATATCAAATAAATATCTATATTCAAAGAAAATAAATATGTAAATTTATTAAATTTGTAAGTTTATTAGCAAATAATTTGTCAAAAAATACAAACTCATGATAAGTATAATAATGTATTATTACTAAAAAAATCAAAATAATTAAAATTTTTTATAATAAATCTTTTTAACTCTTTATCGATTAATACTTCTAAAATAGTATTTTTTATTTCTTTAAACTATGAGGGTTTAATGTAATGCATTAAACTTTAAATTATCAATTATTCTAAAAATTATAAAACAATTTAGCTTGTGCTTATCTAGATTATTTATTTTGATTGTAATTTCATTACCCTGAAAAAGTTGCAATATATACAAGAACCATTTAAGGTTTTGAATCTCTGTTGCAATGCAATTAAGGTGAGGTTTTAGCATAAAGTAAATTTCTCATGCATCAAAACAAATCAAATTTACTGATAAATTAAATAGAAATAAAATTAATAATATTGATATTCATAAATTGAAGTTCTAGAGAATACCGGATTATCCATTTTAATAGATTTAACTATCTCTCTTATTTTTATTGAAAAATGTGATCTAAAATATAAGAATACTGTAACAACTTTTAAGGTTTTATCTTTACTAGCTGTGTATAACATTTCTTCTTCATCATTCCAATATATCTTTGTGATAGGGCCATTGTGAAGTTAGATTTCATAAATTGGTATTTTTTTTTGAATATCCCACACAGTAACAAACCCTTCCTGATTTCCAATATATGCTTCTCCTCTTAAAAGAGACCAAGCTATGCATCTGCTTTTAATTTTATTTTTGAACTATATAGCCTCTTGCATTTAAACTTCCTTTAATATAATTTTATCAATACTTTATTGAAAATGTTTAGTATGATGGCTTAGCCTGTTTGAAATCCAATAGCTATGATGGTGTCATGGGATTTTTGAATGATAAGATCCCTGATAAACTATAAATTTGTATCGAGACTGATTTTTAATGTAGCCTAATGATAAGCATAGATTATTCCTCCTCTATCTCCTATAAATGCATAATCTCTGGATTCATCGAATTTCAAACAAGTTAATTCATGCTTATGATAAAGATCTTTAAGATAAGATGTCAATATTACCTATATAAGTTTCACCCTTTTTGATGTTCATCACACGATATCTCTAATCCTTACTTACTGAATAGATGTTCTCTCCATAAATATGCAACCCCATGATCCTAGCAGTATGCTATTAGTAATCCTGAGATTCTAGTAAATGCTTCTTTGATTTGAATTAGAGATGATTAATAATTCCATTATCTAAACTAAAGATATAAAAGTTTAGTTTACCCTACTAAAATATTGTCTTTGATAACACTCATGCAAATTGGTTATGAATTATATTTCTTTCTCCATATCATTTATGGTCCGATTAAACAATCCAAGTATCCTAATGGTTTGAGATTAGAGATATCGATATCCTCTTGCCAAGGAAATTTCATATTATGAAAATTTGTGGTTGCTCTATTTAATGGGTTCATTTCGCAAAGTAATACGAATATTGCGTCTTCATAGAAATAAAAATCTCTAAGACCCAAATCAAACGTTCTTACACTATCTAATTATAGTTTTGAAGTATTGAAAGAGGGAGATTGGATGAATTCCTTAAAAAGTATCGAGTTTAAAATTTGTTCATTTTATATAATTTACTTAAGGTATTCTTCCAATCCCTTTTTCCTTTCAATAATTTCCTACTCTGTTTTTTTAACAATAAAAGTTGTGTAGGTCTATTTAGGTAACAATGGAATGGTGTTTCCAAAATATTCACTTAATCTTTAATTCAATTGCTTAAATTAATTAAATCTAATAGTTAACAATATGATGATACCTTTTCTCAATTCTCCAAACTTTGTCACCATCATTGATTTCAATTTCATACAGAGTTACTTTTTCATTATCCATGCTCGGATAGTGTTTTTTAATAAGGATCTTTTCTCATTAATTTTATATAATACTTCCATAAATCTAAAATTTAGTTTATAAAATAAAAATTATATCGTATTTATTCAAATAAATTTCAATCATTTTAATCCCACTATTCGATGTCATCTAAACTTTTCTTTTATTTTTCAATAATGATTTCGCCATCCCACCTTTTAGGAAGGCAAATGATTTTAATAGTTTTATCCTTGCTGGAAGTCATTAGGATTGAAGATTCCTCATTCCAAATCATTTTAGTTATTTCATCTTAATGTACTTGATACTCCTTTATAGGTGAGCAATCCTTTGCACTCCAAATAGTAATTGTTCCATCACTATTCCCAATAAACACTTCTCCTCTGCTACTTGACCAACACACACACCTACTTTTATCTTTGTTTTTGAATTGAGTAATTTTTTTTGTATTTTTTTCCTAAATTTATTTATAATGTTCATACCTAACCAAGTCCTCCAATGTCATATACTATAGTAGAACCAGTGTAAAAACATATTCCTATTAAATAATTCTTGATTGGATCAACAGTTAAATCTCTTAGAAATTGATCATTGAAATCCAAGGTAATTAATTTAGAAGAATTTTAAAATATCATAATTTATCCATTTCTATCTCCTATGAATGCACAATTTCTTATCTCATTGAATTTGAGACAGGTTAATTCATAATTGTGATGATAATCAACTTCCAATTACCCAGTTTAAAAATTCACTACTCTATAGTTTTAGTCTTTGCTGACAGAATGAATCAACTAATTAAATAGATGCACTCCCATCACTCTGCTTTAATGTTATTCAATCTCATAGCTTGTATTTATTTTCCCTGGCAATATAGTTAAATAATTGATCATTCCATTATCTAAACCAACCAAAAGTGATTGATTATGAAAATATAAACAAATTGCTTAAGAATTATATTTTTTTGTCCAACTCTTAACTGAATGTTCCCAGCATTCTATTGAGCCAACTGGAACTGTTGCTTCATCGTCAATAATGTTCTAAATATATGCATCAAATCTGCTTAAAGCATTAGTTTCTGCGTTTAATATGATCAGTAGATCTTCACTATAATAAAAATCTCTTATTCCAAATTTAAAATTTTGCAAAATTGTGACTTAGATTTTGCTTTAAGTTAAACTTAAAAAACTCTAAAATTAACCACTATTTATAATTCTTTCATTTTGAGAAATCACGTGTAAGAATTTTTCTAACTCCAATCTTCTTTGATCTAATTCTTGGTCTGATTTACCAACTAAAAATGTTATGTATTTCTTTTTAGGTAAATCAGGTAGTATATCACCAAAATACTATGTTAAACTGTCCTTCAACCTTTTAAAGTCCGAATATCTAAATCAATAATTTAAATACCTCTTTTAAACTACCCATTCTTTGTTCTAATTTTGAACCTTTATTTGATAATGAGTTGTCCTTCCATCTTCTTCACTTATTTAAAAAGAAGGAATAGATATTTTATAATTTAATTACATTAATTTAATAATGAGCACATCGATACTAACGTAGGTATAAGAATAAAAGCGTTAAAAAATAAAGAAGAAATAAAAGTATATGATTCTTAATATGTAAATCAATAATAAAATTCATTTCATCAGGTTTTTATTTAGATTGTGGAAATTTATAGTCTCTCTATTTTTTTTTCATTTGTTACTTGACCTCTTTTATAAGTTCTCCTTATGTAAGTTTCAGATTGTTAATTATGACAAACCATCCAATCTCCTGTTCTACAATTTTTATCATCGTAATATCCGCTAAATTTCACTTAGATTAAGTTACATGTATTAGAGATCCTCAATGTGATTATAGATTATCCATTCTCCAACTTTGTGTTTTCCCTAAAATTCCCCTTCTTCTCTTATTATCAATTTAAAAATATTTTACATTTTATCAGGATATTTAATAGTCCATTTACCAACTTTCTTTCCGTATTCATACATTCCCTATGCTACTCCATTTTGAGTTTCCTCTACGGTAAATCCATGCTTCATTTCTTCATCATTTCTTATTCCTAATAATTAGTTCATTTTAAATAAAAATATTATCAAAAATCACTTTGTTCTATTACTTTATAGCTCTACGAATATTCAATTACAAAAACATCATATATTACTAATATTTTATTTTCATATTTCAAGTTTTCAATTTTATTTGATTACATTCAAAGTATGCTCAGAAATAAGCAACATTTGAGTTCTAGCTCAATCAAAACGCAAAATTTATAAATACATAAGTTAATCAAATCCTATATTTTAGAGAAATTCAGAAAAAAAAATATTGTTTTTAATTCACACATTTATTCATCAAAAATAAGAGTTTTGATAAATAATATGATAATTTCTAATGTAATCCTTGTGGATTTTACTATATTCTTTCCTGTCGGAGTTTAAATTGTTAATTATTAATAATACATTAAAGTAGGATAAAAATATGATATATTAATATGAGGACATGACTAAAGGAAATATTCTTTTCTTAAATGAATGCTATAACTAAATGGAAGAGTAAACTTCTATTAAAAAATAATCAGTTATTTTGACAGTTGTTCTTTTTTGATATATTTTTCTTAAGCCAAAAATAATTATATATTCTAGCAAAATTTGGAAACGAGGATATCTTCTTGTTCCTTTGGATGATTCTTACTAGCTTGAGCATGTATTACTTAACTTTAATAAAATAAATCCCAAATGAAAGCATCAAATTATAACCAAATGGAGTAGATCAAATTCATTAATGTTGATGAGACTTACAATAATGGTACTGTAATTGTAAGGTTCTTGATCAATAAGTAAGAGGTTTTACCTTATATGGAGTTCTAATTGAGTGATGATAATTCTGAACAATATTCGACGGCCCTATATGATCATATTTATAATCGCGGTTTAAAAGAATGTTGCTTCTTATACATGGTAAGATATCGAATGTCTATTAAAATATATTAGGATGAGCCTTTAAGTTGCATCTAGAAAAACAGATTCAATTTAATCAGTTCGTTGAGTTCCGATGTTATCCTTAAATTATTAAATTTAAGTTATATACCCATAATAAGAACCAATATTTCCAAGTACGAATGTGACAAAGTATAAATTTATTACTCAACTTAGTCTATTCAAGAAGGAAGTCATTCAGTTATTTAAAAGTTGAATCTCCAATGGCAGGAATGCAAAAAGAATTCTATGATAACTAAAGAATTACTTTCCATCATAAAGGAATTCTAGTCCCTTTATCGCATAGAAATACTCTTGAGATCCACTTTAAAGCAAATAAAGAGGGAAACCTAATAAGATTACGATATTCTTTACATACCGACAGATGAGTTAGTACGCTTAAAATCTAATCTAGAAATATCAATAACAAAGTGCTTTCCTTAATTAGAAGAATTGAATAAAAGTAAATTAGCTTAAATGACATTTATATATAAATGATAACATAGTTAAAAATGCATGTTTAAAATTAGTATAATATATAATATTTATTAATTAAATGGCTTAATAGACTCTTAAATAATACAAAGCTAACTAAGATTAATAATCTATTACAAATTAATAACATAGAACATGCTCAATTAATTAGTCTTCAATTGTAGAAAATGATTCATTATCCTCAAAAAAGAAAGTATATTATAAACGATCACATTTAGAAAGTCTATGAGAGAATTATGAGTTCTTAAACTAATCGAGATAAATAATCAGAAGTCTCCTAATATTATGATCATCTAGGAGGTAGAAATTCAATTTTATCAAACTTAGGCAAATGTCTATGTTCATTATGTAACTGCGGAAAACATAAATGTAATAGCAAAAATTGCATCAACAAGCCTTAATTGCATGGAAATTACACAATATATCAAAAAGAATTCGTAAAAAAGACTCCAGAAAATGGATCAAGATACAACCAAACTATATTTTCATAACCAAAACCTTAAGGTGATTTAGGAAATGTGACTACATACAAAGTAAGTAAGTGGATATTATGATGTTAGCATGACTTCCCAGGATATAATAACAAAGTGGAATTCTAGAAAAACACTTCTAAACCTACTGTTAGTGGTGTTCCTTTTTCTGGAATTTCAACTTATAATAATATGTATTTAAATTGGGGAATGGGTGATACACCTCAATTATTGCCATAAAACAATCCTACTGTTATTAAAGAAATGCCATTTATGGGAAGGAGCATTTATAAAGACAGTTATTAGGGAGCTCAAACATTACCAGCACAAACCTGTAAAAACATGAACAAAGCTTTAAAGTAAAAATAATTACAATCATTTTAGATCACCTTTATCGCCTCCTGATTTGAAATTTAATGCAGAATCTATTGCGAAATCATCATACAAGCCATTTAAACCAGAAAAAACTTAAAGTTCCAAAGGCAAATAAGATGTAAATATTATTAATAAGATAGCCAAATTTAAATCCCTCCTATAATGGCTAGTACAATAGTGAATATCACAAAGAGTTTGATTCAAAACATTTGAATCAATGTCCTGCTAAAGAAGTATTAGAAGAGGTTGCTCGTAACACTTAATTTTGAAGTCGATTTAGAGAGTTGATTATAGATAACCATAATATTATTATATTTTTCAATTATTAAATTCAAGATGAATAAATAAAAGCTTAATTACCATTTGAGGACAGTTAACGACTTAAATTTAAACACTATTTCAGATTAAACTCAATCATTTATATTGAAGGATTCTCAAATTATGAAATTGACAACATAAATTGATTAATAGAATCAAAGAATCAATAGATTAATAAAAACAATTGATGACTCTAGATAAGAATAAAATAAAAAATTTAATCACCATTTTTAAGAACTATTCAAGTCTAATACCAAATAATACAATCAAGAAATTCTAAAGGAATTATCTGGTTTAAAATAGCAATTTCTTAAAATTGAGGAAACGTAGCCATAAAAAGCTACTAAATAGAAATCTCATTATTAATCACATTTACCTCCATTATAGTCCTCCTACTTTGAATAATAAAATTCAGAAAAAAAAGATCAAAATCTTTATAAATAAACATAAGAGATAAAAAATAGAGGAATGAAGAGTTCATCAATAGATGAAAAAGAAATCTAAGATTTTAATTAATAAATTTAGCCAAAAAAACAATCTCATAGTGTTCATAAAAAGTCTAAACCAAATCAGTCTAAAACCAATTATACTAAAACTGAAGTATCCCCTCCTTCATCATCAAAAAGAAAGATATAAATTATGTCAAGGTAAAAACAAAGAACATAAAAACTTTATAATAGTGATAATTTTCAGCAATTTTAAGATCCTCTTATGATTACCACTAAATAACCTTTTGAATATGATAAATTAACAACAAAATCTTAAAAAAAAAAATAGTTTAATTTAAAAAAAGCAAGGTACTTGTTAAGAAGATTTAAAGCTGTATCAATATGTGTTTGGCTATCTTTAACATTGTTTAAATACTGCAAAAAGATTTGGCATGAAAATTATATGATTTTTAAAGATTGGTCATAAGAATTGATTGGTCGTTTCGATTCTTAGTTTGTAAGTTTCTATTATGTAATTTAGAGAATTATTAATTTGTTGTAGATAAGTTTTATAAAGAATGTATGATAAAAAAATTAATAGACAAGTCGTGGGTATTCAAATAACAATCTGATATTCAGATTAAATGCCATAATATTATCACAGTGTTAGAAATCTTCTTTAAAAATTTAATTGTTCAATCATTAGATCTATCTGTAGACCATATTAATTTTATTTAAAAATTTTCTTTGAAAAAAGGATATTTGTTATCTGGTCATAGTAGATTTGTAATAAATAGGATTAATGTAAGACCAAATTATACTCTCAAGTAATTAATGAATATTGTATTAAAAGTATCACTAATCACAAATAGACATAAATGATAATTTTAGAATATTCATATATTTAGATTCTCCTTCCATTAATTGTAGAAGGAGAATTTTGGAAGAGGATGCCAAACTATAAGGAATCTCTGAAAATATTTGTATCCATTTTGCATAATCTGTTTATTGAGTCATTTCAAAATCTGCCTTCAGCATAATAGGATATAATTCCTGATGATGTATATTTTTTAGTTAGTTAAAAAAAAGAATTGGGTTCCATTGTTCGATTTTAGTAGAAACCCAATAGATGGATTTTATTAATTGATAAATTGTAAGCATCCTAAATATTCTTATAACAAAGATGGGGTTGTTTTGGGATTATATAACAAAGTTGAATTGCACCCAATAATTCTTCATAATGGTTATAAAAATATTAGAGACAACTTTAAATAATATTGTGATTATATTTTATCTTTAATATTATGATAATTTTGTAAAGGATAGATTAAAATAATGATTGGATAAATTTATTTTAAATTAAAAATTAATATTTAGAGAATAATTTCAATTTTTATTTTGATAGAACATTTATTCAATTGACGAGACAATTTATTAAAGGTTGCTGTGACAAATGTCACTCTTATAAAGAAACGTTGTATTTAATTTATGATTTTTTAATATGCAAAATTAATTATAAAATTTTTGGTTCATTGTATTTCTCTTAATCTCTTAAGCATTGATGAATGCAATGAACTATCAAGGTATTTATTGATATGATTTTTTAATCGTATTTTTTTAGCATATCCACAACTTTCTGATGATTCAATAGAAACTGATGTTGACATCTCTGCGGGTTCCCATACTTGCTTTACAAATTCTAATTCTGTTTTGTCTCCATCGCATAATAATTCTTATATAATTTGTTCATCGAAATGTTTAGATGCTAGTTTCAAGCATACAGCTTCAGAATTCATAAAATTATTTATGAATTAATATATAATTATTAGTTTTTGATAACCCTTCAGAAGGTATGCCAAAATTATTATTGAATAACTCTTATGACAATATTCGAAGTTTATGGATCTCTCATTTTCTCTTAAAATCAGTAAATAATAGTATTAAATAAAATATACCCAGGAATATAAAACATACTAAATATTTAAAGGAAAAGGATAATAATTCTAAGTCTGATGAGAATATTATCTTAACATTAGAATTTAGATATATATATATAAATATATTTAATTATATATATATATATATCGATTAGATAAGATAAGCATTAGAGTTTAATTGATGTTCATTCCTCTTCCCAACTATTTAAGTTCAATCAAATTACAATATTCTAATCCTAATTACTTAATCAAGTTGATTACTTTCTTAAAATCTGTATAAATTAGAGTAATCCCAATTCTTTGAACATAACTACTAATTTATAACTAGTAGAGTATCAATTTATGGTAACGATGATGAAACTTATGCTTACTTATGAGAGGGCAAAGAAAAAAAGTATATATTATCAATCATGAATTGAAAGGAAATTTCTTCTTTTTTTGCAGTAAAGAATCCTTCTTTATAGGGTTAAGGGAATATAATGGTATAGATGAATAGAATAAATACAAAGTAGATATAATTGTTTGAGAAAGAAGATTATCAAATCTTTGGAAAATAATAAAAAAGTATTTGTGATGATAATATAAAAAAATATATAGAAAAATTAGAATTACCAAAATAAATCTATATGGAATTAATTAATTAAATAAATAAAATAATGCTCTGACGTAAAAGTTTAATTATTAATGACATCAAAGAAATTGAGTTCATAAGTAATGATTGAATACTTTTGATAATTAAATTACAAATGTCCAAAACATTATTAGCATTAGGCACAATCGCCCTTCTTGGAACAATCATGATGGTGAACCAACCAGAATAACTTGACTTCGCCTCAAAATATCAAACATTCAAATAGAAATACGGAAAGGCATACTCATAAGCTGAAGATGCCTACAGAATGGCTGTCTACACATAAAACGTCTTATATGCTGAATCAGTCAACTTGTAATAAGGAAAGAGAGTCTTCGGTGAAACCATCTTCTTCGATTTAACAAAGGAAGAATTCGCTGAAACTTATTTGACCCTTAAGATCACATAAGATGACTTGAATGTCGAAAGAGTCCCAGCCAAGAATATCTCAGCTGCTGACAAAATCGATTGGACATAAAAAGGAGCAGTCACCAAAGTTAAAGACCAAGGATAATGTGGTTCATGCTGGACATTCGGTACCACCGGAGTTTTGGAAGGTTTCTTCTTCACAACCACTGGTGAATTACCTAACTTATCTGAATAATAATTGTTGGATTGCTCAACCTTCTAAGATTTCAACCTTGGATGCAATGGTGGTCTTCCAGCAAGAGCATTACAATATGTCAAGAGAAGTGGTATCACAACTCAAGATGCTTACGAATATGTATTATTTTAATATTAATATTTTAGAAAGGAGTTTAAGGGTCATGCAAAATCAAGGGAGGTGCTTATCACATTAAGGGATCCGTCGCCTTAGAACCAACAGAAGAAGCTTTGATCTCATATCTTAATGAAGGACCAGTCTCAGTTGGAGTTGATGCCAGCAACTGGTAATACTATAACCCATCCGACGAAAAAGTCTTCAGCACATGCGAAAAAAGCTTAAACCACGCAGTCTTGGCTGTTGGTTATGACAAAGACTCATTCAAGGTCAAGAACTCTTGGGGAACAGCTTGGGGAGACAAGGGTTTCATCCACTTAAAGAGAGGTTAAAACACTTGCGGAATTTACGATACTAACGTTGTTCCTGTTTGAAGAAATTCATAATTTATATTTCACAAAGATAATTTATCCACATTCAATTTATTTTCGCATGCTATTTTTATAAAAACAGTGGATTTCTGTGAACAATCAAAGAATTAATGTATTCATTAGGAGAGTACTCATAATTTTATTATTGATCTGTTTCACTCAATTCTTTCAAAAATATGTCAGTTAAACAATCACGAGTCTTCGTGTTTTCGATTTTTTAAGTGAATTTTTTATTTATATTGACAAACTCTATCAAATTGCTAGGATTCTTACTCACCTAAACTCTTCTATGATGTTTCAATGTCTCAAAGTCTGGAAGTTGATTTGACTTTTTATATTGTTTCATATTCATTTTTTTAATTTTAATATATTTTATAGTTTATAAATAATTTTCCATTTAATTTTTGCCTGGTGATATTTTACATATTTAAGAGTGTGATCAATTATTTGTCTACCTAAATAATAAAAATGATGAAAGAGCCTGAGAAAATCATGAAAAAGAATATCTTAAATGGACAAATTAAATACTAAGTTAAATGGAAGGGCTTTGATGAAACTACATGGGAATCTGATGAAACTATGAAGAAATACAAAGAACTCATTGAAGACTATAATTATTTCTCCTTGACTGGTGAAAGATATGATGAAAAAAAACTAGAAGAAATCAGATAATTGACTGTTCAATCACAACCAAGAACTGCTATCAAAAGAGTAGCAATGCCCAAATTAATGCCCCCAAGTGAATTAAACAAAAAAGAAAAAAAAATAGATAAAATTGATAGCAAACATGTTGAAATTATAGACAATCCTAAAAATGATTTACAACAGGATCAAGCAAATATACTCTAGTTATCCAATACTACAATCAATCTCACTGAAATATCTAAGTAATTATAATATATAAATTTAAGAAAAGCACCATAAAAATTAGCAAATTCCAATGACAAATTAGAATCCATAAAATTGTAAACTGATGAAAATAGAGGGTTGTTTTCTCTAATTTGGAAAGAGAGATCGGATGGTATTAGACCGTATTGTGATGAATACAATTATGAAGATTTCAAAATTTAAGCTCCCTTGTTTTTTATTTAGTTTTTTGAAACCTGTATTTTTGAATGTTAAAGTTAAAATGATATTAAGTAATAATTCAAATTAATTTAGATTTGAAATTCAAGGATAAGATATCGCTGAAAGAATTTAAGTGTTTAAAGATATTTTAGAAAAAAGAGATTAGGATAAAAAGTAAAGCGAATTCCAATAATGATTCTTTTTCATATAAAAGGCATATTATATTTAATTTATTATAAACCATATTTTTATTAATTAAATTCAATAATGTTATAAAGCTGATGTTTCTTAATTTAATATGATCATCTCTACTCGAACATTTCATTTGATGAGATTCTCGATTCGCTAATGATCTAAATTAAATAATCGAATTAACTTTGCCCTTTGCTCATTCATTAAGTAAAAGGCTTTAAATCGACTCACAATTATTAATATTTCCAATTCAATCCTATCTTTATTTTTTTACTTCATTGTTTGATTGCCTTTCCATAAGGAGATATTAAAATGTTTTATTCAAACCTAAAAAAGAATGTATTTTGATACTATAATTAGCCTTTTTAATTAAATTTAGAATTACTTTGCGAATCAATATTTGAGTATTTATCTTGAATACTTAATCAATGTTTGTAAGGAAACTAAAACAAGAATTTTTTTTGATATTATAAAAAATATAAAAACTAATATTTTAAGAACTTTAATGGTTTACTTTTTGCAATTTTCTAGTGAAATTTGCAAGTTTATTTAATATTCATAATTTATGATTGAATTTTTAGAGATACCAATAATATAGAAATTCCTATATGTGAAAATTTAGTTAACGCTATATTAGATTCTGAGTTAATCATATACATTATGTGAAGATCAAAATAAGATTTATATATATTTATATAATAAATTAATTCGTTTTTTGATGCAGAGCTATTCGTTTGACTATATTTTGGATCAATTTATTGGTTTAGGAAAATATTAACTACAAACATTTGCAAATAGTTGTGCCCTGTCTTGCAATTTCGGAAATTTGGCCTTGTTACTCAGTTTGCTCTTAAAACTATATAAACAAGAATTGGATATCACTATGAACAAAGTCATTTTATTGGCTGTGGTTCATAGAATAGGAAGTGCTTTGGCAGGACTTTTCGTCATGAAATTTAATAATACTTTGGGAAGAATAAAAATTATAAAATATTCATTATTAGTATTGGCATTTGCTTAATTATCTGCTTCAATTGCCGAAAAATACTTGATAATTTTGTTTGTATTTTTACTCCAAGGATTTATGCATGGGATATGTGCTCAATATAGTTAATTATTGACAATAGAAGTGATTCCTAGAGACCATAGAGGACAAATGGCTGCATTGGTTAATCTTTTCCATGGAATAGGAAGTGGCTACCCGATATTATTGTGGTATTTATTTTGTGACGATTATGAAAACGGAAATCATAAGGCCATCCATTTCTGTAATGCTTTGCTAACAATTTCTATTTACTACTATCTTAAGAAATATGGAAGAGATAATCCTAGATATTATTTATCATTGGGTAGATTTAGTGAATGTTTTTATGAAATAGATCACATATTGAAAGAAAATAAATGTACTTACTTTGATAAACTGAATAATCAGTAAAAGGATGCTTTGATTCTATGGTATACAGAAAACTTCTCTGAAACCAGATAGAGAAAATCGTAAATTTCAACTCTCTTTACAAAGAACAATATTAGAATTACTGTTTATGTGATTTCAATCTAAATAATTTACTATGCTGCAACATCCATTTAACAATACTTGCTGCCATTTATTTATCATGATAAATAAAAGGGGTTCGAATCACTATTTTTCTAACAAGTAGGTATTATTCCTGCAGTATTTATATAATCTTTTTTTATTGATAGTCCTACATTTGGTAGAGCTAAATCGGGTATGATTATTTCAATCTTATTATGCATCACTTATTTATTGATTTTCTATTAATAGGACACATATATTTCATAATAAGTCTTAGTTAGATTTTTATTGGAAATATAATTTACAGTAATGCAAATCATGATTAATGAATCATTCAATAGCAATCTTCGAGCATTAGGATTGAGTTTTACATATGTGGTGGCTAAAATCTCATAATTGCTTTCCCCTGTAATTATTTTTAAGTTATATGAAACTCAAATATTCCTGCCATTTTTATTTTGTGGATGTTTATTTCTCGTAAATGGAATACTTTATGCGACATTCCCAAGAGAAAGAACAAAAAAGGCATTGGATTTGGATTTATCTGAAAGTCTAAGTCAAAGCAAAAGGAGTGAAAGTGAGTATTGATTTTTTAGTAATTTTAATAATATTTCTTTTAATTAATTTTAATCAATATTTTATATCAGGTATATGATTATTTATTTTAATCTTTTGCGGGAAAAATTAAAGGGATTAAGTGAATAAATTATTAAATTTTGTCTTCTCAAAATCTTGATGCAGGCTAAAAGAACAATTGATTTCATCTACACCTATTAACCCTTAACAAAGGAGTGATGGTTTTAGATTAATTAGAACGAACCATTATGATAAATTATTTTTTTTTATTAATTGAATAGAAATTGCATTTACCTTTTAATATTTTGATAGAAGAGTCATTTCGATTTAATTGTACAATATTAATTAAATAATAATATAATTGATGAGTGATTATAACAAACTAAAATTGTACAAATTAACCAAGCCAGAAACCTTCTCGATGTCCTTTTATGATGCACATAAAGAATATTAAGAGTGGCTTAATAATATAAACAATCCTTAGAGACAACCGCGAAAATCTCATAAGTGGCATTCCAACATTACAGACTATTTTAATTATGGTTTTAATGAACATACTATGCAAATCTATGTGCATAAAATAACTTAATTGACAGAGACCTATAGAAAATTTAGACTATAATTTGCTGACAAATGTGATAATTCTAAAGAAACAATATTTAATTCAGCTTAGGAAATTAGACGACAATCCAAAGATGTATATCCAATTGATTTAGGTGGAATATTTATACCTGTTGATGATAAAGTCGTTGATTTTGGTTTTAAATTTTAAGTTGAAAATTTATATGAATAATATAATAATTAATCTAGCAATGAAAAATTTTTGTACAATTAGTACCATTGCACTGGTGAAGCATTATTATATAAATCCAAATTTATTTCTGATATTTATAGAAAATAGGTAAAGGATATTTAGGATCTCCATAAGTAATATAAGAAAGAACATTAAAGGGATATATATCTATTAAACACTGCAATTAAAGTGTTTCCTATTTAAAAAGAGGCTGACCTTTCTCTTTAGATTGCATAACTAGTCAAAAACATCACTATAAAATAAGAGAAAATAGGAAAATCAGAAAAAATCAATAGGCATGACAGACACGAAAGATCAAGAACCCCTAAGAAAAGTAGATCTAAAAAATATTGATTTATAATTATCATTATTAATATAATTTTTATATTTGAAATTCAAAAATGCGACGAAATAGAATAGGGACAAAGGCAGAATTTCTATGGGCATGTATCATATTCCATAGTAACTTTAGGGGATGTTGAAGATATCTCTCAAATGAATGGACCTTTAGCAGTCTAAGAATACATTTAAGAATTAATAAGTAATCTAACCTCTTCATCATATAGGAGCTGACTCCTCCAACATTAAATAAATTATTACTCCTCCTCCTGAAGTAGATATTCATGTTTGGCAATATGAACATTTGAGACAATTCATTTTAGAATTAAATCTATTAGTTACATAATTGAAAGGATTATGCACAGCTTAAACTTGTCCGAAAATGAAAGCCACTGAAGATTGGCTCTACTTGTGTGCTGCACATAAAAAAGCATAAGAATGCTCAGCTATAGATTACATGATACATAATTTAGATTAGAGTACATCTATCTTAACTAATATTAAAACATATCCATCAAGGTTATTAATTGTTATTTTATTAGAGTTTCAATCAACCCTTAAAATGCTACAAATAATTTTGCTTTTATAGTTAGAAGACTATATAGATTATTCTCTCACACTTACTTTAATCACAAGGAAATTTTTGAAGATTTTGAAGTATAAGTCTATTCTGATATTAGAATGAAATGTTTCTATGTACAAGATTTACAGAATTTGCCTTAAAATTTGACCTAATGAGTCCAAAACTAATAACAATACCAAAAGAAGCTTTAAAATTATGAAATTTCATTTTTTCAATATAATATTTAGTATATTATGATTATATGCTTAAATCTCATTTCTTTCTTTTTATAAAGTAAATACAACATGAATTAAAATAAATCTCAAACATACATTTTTATAATTTTTTCAGTTAAACTATGCATAGACAATATAAAATTTTAAGATATCTTTAATAAATGAAAGATTTCTAATTTTTTTATATCGCAAATATTATCAGTTTATATCCCTGTCTCTTTTTTGAGATTTGCGTAAGTTTTTTTTTATTTTACTCTCAAATTCTCTTGAAAACTACTATTGCATTTTTATTTTTATTTATTATGTTCTACTGATTTACTTATATTATTTTTAGGTGTATTTATACTCTTTTTCAGAGAATTTTAACCCATATCTTTAAGTTTTAAGTCTTTTATCAATTCCAGGCCTTCATTTTCATCAATAATAATAACATTTCCTTTTTCTTTTTTTTTTGCCTTAATGGAATTCAATAGCTCTAAACTTTTATGCTTGCTTTTAAACTTTTCTTTAAGTTTTTTATGTTTTTTCATTTTTTTCTAGTTGTTTTCATCAGTATCTTTTTTATTTTCTTATTCTAAAATTTCTTCAAAATTATCTAAATCAATCATTAGATTTTCAAGTCCATTCATCTGATCTGCCTCAATGATATTTGGGTTCATATCTCTATAAATAATCAATTTAATAATTGTTTTAATAATTCAGGGTAGACATAAAAAACTAATTATTTAAATGATTACTTAAAAAAAATGATATATTTATGAATTTAATTGTAGTAAATTCAAAAGAAATTTATTTAAAAAAATGAATATTTAATTCCAATAATCAATTAAAGAGATTTGTAATATGAGAAAATTAAATTAAATTTTTAATCGCGATAATAAATAATAAGAAATTAGTTTCATCAACTTGATAACTATAGTGGCTAATATTTATTCAGGCTTATCATTATAGTAAATATTATGTCATTTCTGAATTTCTTTTTTTAAGAATATTAAAATTAAATTACTCTTTTAGATGAAACTTTCAATAAAAAATTATTAAATTACAAAATTTAGACTTCAAAGTAAAGATATATTGGGATTCAACAGATTTGTTATAAATCTATAATATCAAGTGAGATGATTAAAAAAGATAATATTAATTATATAATGAATGCTTATAAAATAGAAATTTCTTAGAGAATTACTAACACAAATTTAAGCCTGCGTTTAAAAATGTATAATTATATGTGTTCTAAACAAATAGAAGTTTGAAGTCATTGGATCAATGTGAACTACATAGAAATGAAGATCAAAATGGAATTTAGAACCATAAAAGTCTCACACTTATAAATATGATATTAAGATGTAATTTATTACTGGATATGGAAATGATTAGTGTTCTTGAAATTTAGTTAGGATTTATAAAGATATTTAATTACATATTATAAATAGTTTAAATATTAAAAAAATGGGAAATCAATGTACAGGCGTTGACGATTTCTAAGGATAACAATTTGCTCCAAACATATCAGTTTAAGACGAAGTGTTTGTAGAAGGAAGAGTTCCAATAGTTGGGTAGAATCCTAGTCGATTTAACGATGATGATATGATAGTAAGCCATCATTCTATAAATATTAGACGGTGTATTAATCAAACAATAATAAATTGAATTATGGGAGAAATTCTCTAGGATAAGGGTACATGACAGCCATGAAATATAATCTAAAAGATAACATCTCTATCTAAGCATCTTCACATGTATAAGGGATTCTATAATATATTAGACATTGATGAACTAGCAAAATGCTGCTCTGATGATAACTATTAAAAGCAATGATATCTTGTTGATAAATTAAAGAGGTTAGGAGTGTGTAAGACAAGGAGTAGATTTGGTAAATTGCAATTTATAATTTAGGTTTGTTTAATTGATCATAGTGGTAGTATGCAAGGAGAAAAAATAAAGTTAGTTAGAAAAACATTAAAATAGATGCTAACATTTTTATAGCCGTGTGATAGATTATGTTTGATAATGTTTGATTGCAAGGTTTACAGATTAACAAGACTTATGAGAGTTACTTAAGAAAATGTTTAAAAATTCAGAGTAGCAATATCGTCACTCTAAGCAAGAGGTGGAACTGACATAGGGAATGGTATGAAGATGGCCTTATCAATTTTGAAACATAGAAAATACAAGAATCCTGTATCTGCAATATTTTTGTTATCTGATGGAGTCGATGAAGGAGCCGAAGAGAGAGTGAGAGATGATTTAATCTAATATAATATTCGTGATTCATTCACAATCAAAACATTTGGTTTTGGAAGAGATTGCTGTCCTAAAATAATGTCAGAAATTGCTCATTATAAAGAAGGATAATTTTACTTTGTTCCAAATCTTACTAATATTGATGAATGTTTTGCTGAAGCATTGGGTGGTCTGGTATCAGTTGTAGCAAACCATGTTCAGTTATCAGTCTAGCCAATGCATTCAAATAAGGTCTAAATTAAGAAGGCCTATGGCGATAAGTGGACTTATGATTCCTGGAAGGGAGTCTTCACTCTCTACTAACCACATCTACTATCTGGTGTGAGAAAAGATTACATTTTTGAAGTAGCTGATTACAAGACCTCTGGCAAACAAGAAATTAGGGTTCTGTTATAAGCTGATCCTGTTGAGGGTGGAGATAAAGTTACTATTGAATAAATTATTGAACTCTAGAATTCAGATTTATCAAATGAAGTTCTTCCTAATTATTATAGGGTCAAAGGTGCAGAATGTTTTGAATAGGCAAGAATTTATGCTGAATAAGGATAATATTAGGCAAGTCAATAGATTCTTAATAACATCAATACAGAAATTAAATTATAAAATTTCAACGATCCAAATCTATAAGTAGTTCAAACTGATCTGGAAATGGCCAGCAATTTCTGTTATCCTGGGTACTTATATGTATAATTATATTAGGTAATTTGAAAATGAAGGCAGACATCATATGCACTAATTACACATTGTTCATATGTATTAAAAATCAAGGGGGGTCTAAATTAATCAAAATTAACAAGGCTAAGTGATCAGTCTTGATTGCCAATATTAAAATAATCTACAAAAATAATATAAAGATTAAACTAGGTAAACTAAATAAAATGATCCTAATTATTGGAATGATTGTTGAATAGTTTAAACATTAATTTAAATTTATTTAAATGATATCTCTAGGGTTTATTCAATTTCCTAGTCGAATTTAATGGACTTTGGTTATTCAACAATTTTACAGGTTATAATTGTATTTAAGTATACTTATATTATAATAATATTAGTATATAAATTTATGAATTAAAATTTTATCATAATATAAAATAATATCATAATTTCTTGAATTGACATTGTTTATTGGTTTTTTCAATGAATTTATCCTACAATTCTTAAGATAGATCTTTTAAATCAAAGTACATTCTGAAATTCTGCTCAACCTTTGATAAACTCAATTACTCTCGATTAATGAAGTACAAGATCGTATATCGCTATATTTACTGTTTTTTGTAATTTGTTTCAGACTCTGTTCTAACTTATATCCTGGCATTGAATTTCGAACCATTATAACAGACTAGTTAAACTCTCAACTATTAATTATAAAATGAGTTTGAAATCTAATTTTATATAAATTAATTTTCCAAGGACCATCCAAATGGAAAGGACTAATTCCTGAGTAAGTAATGAATCATCATGTCTTAATTCATTCCAAACATTCTGAGCCAGGTATTATTGACAATTCTATTGCAGCCAATAACATCTTGATTAGGATTCAAGTTGAATTCAAATATTTCTTAAGGAACATCATTTTATTTTATACATTCCAAATTCCTCTCTGTGTCAAAATCAGTGACTTTACTTGAAACCTAATCTAAAAATAAGCAAAACGGAAAGTCTTTCTTGATATCTATTATATTTATTTCCTGAAAAGGTAGACATTTTACAATGATTTCATGTTTCTATTGTTGCATCGAAATAATTTTGAAAAGATTGCTGAATACATCACTGTCTAAATAACTCAGTAGGGTTGGTCTGAATTAATTAGTTTACTGCTTTTTATGGACAGCTTTGGTGCAAGTCAATTCAAACATATATTTAGCTTCATCTTTGGGAGTAAGAGTGCTACTCTAATGTTTAGCTAACTTCTTATTCTTTACTGCAGACCTTATTTTCCTTATTTTTTTGTTGGTACCACCTTATTTGGGAGTCAAATCATTTTGCTAACTGAATGCAATATTCATTATTCTTTTAATTTGTATACAAACAAAATATAAAAAATAGTCCTTCAGATATCTTTTTTAAATGACTTTATGATTTGGTTTAATAAATGATATTGTAATTCTAAGTTAAAAAAGATTAAAAAATTCGAATTCTAATTAATGTTTATAAATGCTGATTAATTTAATTTAGATATTAATAATGTATTATAATTATTAGCAATATAACATGATAAATTTATTTTTAAAATTTACATGTAAGAGAATTCGATTTTTAGATAGGTCAATCATAATTGACCAAATTGTGATCGACTCTATTTTTAGAAGATATAATACTTGAAAAATATTATTTAAATAATTTATATGAAGATCCTGAAAATTATAATTAATTTTCAGATATATTCACATATCAAAAATCTAATTACTTAAATCCGCAGTTTCTATTTGAAAAAATTGTCTAAGAATCTTCCGATACTAATCTCGTTCTCAACTTGTCTTACTAGAACCATTTTTCATTGAAATATTCTTCTTAATTTCTCATCACTCTTTAAGTTGTCAGCCACCTTGGATCACAATCATAAATGTAATAGGCATACTCATAGTAGGCATCCTCTTCTTCATTGTAAGTGAAAAAGCTCTTGTTCTAAACTCGAGCATGAAATATCTGACCATTATAATTCATAACCTCTCGGGTTCTTATATCTTGTTTCAAGTTCCCCTCAAATAATCCAGAGAGAATCTCACATACATCATCATAAGGATCTATATAGGTTGAAAAGGGCAGTATGTTGGTCGAAAGCACATGATCCTCCAACATCATGTAACTTATTCCCAACAAATCCATAAATTTGTCGTTGATAACCCTCTATATAGTTGAACACACACCATTTTTTAATTTGTATAAATAGCAGGTGAAAGGTTAATCCAGCTATGCCTCGAAGTCTTCTATGAATTGTTCTTTCGTTTACTTATAAGTATTAACATCTAAATTCCTTTAATTAAAAGCCTAAAAGCTCAAGGCAAGCCTCGGATTGCATGTTTAAATTTTTTAAAAGAATTATTCAAAAGGTGTAAAAGGATTATCGATTGTTTCTAGAGTGAATATAGTCAATTTGTTTTTCTTATCAATTCTAATCACCTTATAGTTATAGGAATGAGGATCGACTGACAAATTACCTAATTTAGCTTACTAATTGAAATCGTTAGGAAACTGAATATTTGAGAAGAGTCGAATAACTTATTTTTCAGCTACGGAGGCAGGAATTTTGAAATAAGCTTCGACATAGCTTCGAAGTTTGTCTGTGCTTACGTTTGATCCAAATTTAAAATCAACAGTGTACTAATTCCTTCTTTTGGGTTTGCGAATAGTTTTTTTCTATAAACAACTGCTTTCCTCCACAATTTCCTAATAATTTTTAGCTATAATAGACATTATAATAAATAATTTGTTATTTAATACATGAAAACACTTAAGATCTTACAGATTATAAATAAATCAAGAAAACCATAATAATCACAATTTAATAAAATTTAATCTTATCAATATATATTAAATTAAAAAAGACCTTATCAATTTTTGCTTTCATAATTCTTATTCAAACAATATCTATATTTTTAAATGCATTTGATGTTTTATTAATCAAAATATTTTTTGTTTGTTTGTTAAAGTAATTAATCTCAAACTAACTGTATGCTTCTCCGTAAAATTGCCAACAATTTAATTAATTTAATTATTGGGTTTTAATTAAAAGCAATTTCTCATATAACTTTAATTGGTTTTACATCAGCTAAAACCTGGCTCACACTTAAAAATACACTTTAGCCAAAGTCTAACTGGAATTGCACAATTCATTAAAAATAATATTTGGTTGACTATTTTTTCATTATTAAACAATTGGAACCAAAAATAAATTATACTTTTGCAGTGAATCCTCTTCTGTTTTCTAATTATTCTTGATTTTTTGAGCTTCTATTTTCAGAGTTCATATTTTTATCATTAATATTACATTCTTAGTAAATGCTTTGGATAAGTATTTATAATTATTTAAAATTTGAATAAGGCTCTCAACAAGTCTAAAATACAATAAAAATAATTATAAAATATATAATTATATGGCAACTTTTAAATCTCTTATGAAAATGCCTTTGGCTAAGCTAGCTTCGAAATGCATTGCATTAGAGGAGCTATTATAACGTTATTATTAATTTGAGGAGGTTCATTACGATTTACTTAATAAATATCAACTACTTTAAGCTAAATATGAGAGATTGAATCAATAAAACATCTAATTAATGCAAAGTTTACAGATTGAAAGAGATAGCATTTCATAGGCTAGTGCTAATAAAATGAATTCTTCGAAAAATTGCCATTCCAGAATATACAAAGATCCACTGGAAGAATTAGAGATTTAGTTATTTATGGACGATTTAAGAAATGAGAATTCAAAAATAAAGGAAGAACTTTAAACAAATAAGGAAGAATTAAAAAGATTATAATCAAAGTAAGGAATTATCTATCAAGGTTTGAATAAACATAAACAGAACTCCTTAGATCTGCATCAATAAAAACAGCTTCTGATTCTAAATTGAATTCAATTGAAGAAAAAAGTTATGATTCAATTCAATCATATAAAAACGAAATAATCAGATTAAATAAAATAGTAAGTATCAAATCATTATCTAGGTATCCTCCTTGAGAATTGAAATATCCAATTACAAAACAAGAGAATTCGATGAAGATTGGTTAAAGACCTAATTAATAAAATATCAAAAGCAATCCCAAATGTCCAATAACCAAAATTTTTTGGATTTTATTGAAAACTGAATGTACATTATGTATAACTCACTCTATTCTTATATTAAAAAGATAATGCTACTATCATTTAGTTTTATGTATTTATATAATATATAACATATGTCATTTATGAAATTTATCAAATTGTGTTAATGAAGTTTCTAATTAATCTCTTTGTTTTTCAAAATGATATTTTGGTATTAAACCAATAGTTGTTCCAATTTTATATGAACCAGGACCAACATCTTCTGGTTCTCTGATAGGAAATCTAGCAGCTTTAGGCATACTAAATTTTATAACATGAATTACCTAATTCTAGGTCCAGACTAAGATGACAGGGCTGTGTAACTCCCAGGTCCAATTTCTTTAAATTTAGAAATTGTTGGATCACTTCTGTTACTTTAACCCATAGAAGGAGTAGCAGTCTTAGGTACTGTGTAATGATAGGGTGGTTTATAATTGGATTGCTGACCATATTTGTAATCGTAATCAGGTTCGTATTTCCCAGGTGATGGATTTTAGTTGATTGATTATCTTTCATTCTTTTATCTCATAGAAAATTTGGGACCTCCTAAAGTTGAAAATCCAATTCTTTCTCTTTCCTCTTATTTTTATTGTTCTGTCTTTTCAGGAAGTTAGAGATTTTCATCTTCTGCTAATTCATATCTCTTTGCAACACCGAAACCATGTTAATTTTCAATAGGAACTTCTTTAGGTTTAATAGTGTCAGTATTTTATATATATTAGCCAGGGCCTGGTTTGAGTGTTGATTCTCGAGTGACTAGATCTTACCTCTTGTCTTTGGGCATTGAAATCTGTTTACTTTAAGGGGGTAATTTTTGATTATAAGCTAAGTAATACTAAATGAGTACTTCCAGGGCCAGGAACATAGAAATCTGAAGTTTTAAAGGGAATGTACTTATGTCCAATGCTGAATGCTTTCTTAACATTCACATTCTTAGGAGCATAAGCCCCAGGACCAGGAATATCAGTTGCTCTATAGTATTGTCTTTCACTTTTTGGAAACGAAATTGTTAAGCCTTTGGGAAGTTCATTTGGTTAATATTACCCAGGACCAAGATCAATAGATTTAGGCAAAACATTTTTTGGTGCTGAACCAAACCCAGCCTTTCTATGTTTACTGTCTTACCAACTGGTAGCAGTTCTAAATTAGCTGAAGGTTTCAGAATTGTAGTATTTATCAGGTGAAGGTCCATCCTTGGTCCAATTAAAATTTTCTTTATATCCAAAAGATATGGGAGCTTGAGATCTTCCAGGAATGTTCGGATTATAAGAGCCAGGCCTATTATTAAGATATGCAAATACCCTATAGGATCTTCTCTAAATTATTGCTCTTTGCCATTCACCCATGTTGGATGAGTGTCAATTTCTCCATTAGATTTTATTTTGCCTAAGGAGGTTTGAATTGTAAATTAAGCCTTTTTTTTTTCTTATTGTGTTTTGTCTGAAATATTTTTAATATTTTCTTCATCCAAAATAAGTTGCTTATGAAGATTATATTGCCCAACTGGAGGATTTGTTGACTTAATTGGTTTGATTCTGTCATCTCTAGAGAAATTAGATCTAGTAGATTTTTGTTAACTTTGTCGTAATTTTTCAGTTATTCTAAGGGTCTCTTCAAATCTCTCACATGCTCCAGTTTATTCTGTTTTTGATGCAACTTTATCATCTCTTTTAACCCAGTCTGTTCTATCAGATGTACCGAAGGTGAAAGCACCTCCAAATTGATATCCTAGAGGAGTGTTACCCTAAAAGTTTTGATCACTATTATTAATAAACATATTATTTATTCAAAATAAATAATTATACATTAATTATTTCATAAGTCTTCTTCGCTGTTTTCTTCCTCAGGCAATTACTCTCTATTGTTCATATTATCAGATCGAGCAATTCTTTATAAGAAATTCAAAATCTATGTAACTCCACCCTGTTGTCTCTAAAGCGAAGGTCTATCTTAAGGTATTCGTAAATAGATCAATTAAGTTTTCTTATAGTTATTATCTTTCTAATTGTGTACTCTACTTTTTAGTCTTCTACTGAACATAGATCAACAATTCATGTGATGTAGGATGAAATCGCAAGCAGGCTATTTCCTTATTCTATTCAGAAACCTTAATTCAATATATTCAATACTTAGAGTATTTCTATAGGCTTTTCTGATTTTTCAACATGCCACAACACTAATTATCCAGAGTCAGTTCCTGCAGCAATCAAGTAATTATTGAACCATCCAAAATGGTATTTAAATGAATTGATAGATTTTTCTGAATATACACCTAAGATTTTGATTATTTGCAATGTCTAAACGCAATACAAGTATAATTAAGGTAAATAATCATTAACATACACAATCATCTACTCAAACTGTTTATTCACCTAAGAGTTTATGTTAATTAAATTGTTAGAACTTGTTTAGATTATTTAATTCTTAGAGTACAATTGATATAATGTGATCTTATTTTAACTAACAATTAGCATAAGTTCTTTCGATTGATGACTATGTATATCTATGAGCTTTTCTTCGATTTTTAATCCCCCTCTCCTTTCATTCTCATTCCATTCGTAGAGCCATCCATCTGTTGAAATTGAGTATATATCATATTCATTTTTCTGTTTCTTTCGAGAGGGATCGCATAAAACAAAATTAAAAGATTTCACTATAGCATTATGACCTTGAAGTCTATACTTCCTTTTGTTGATAAAATTGTATATGAAAACAGTATAATCCTCCGATGAACTGCCTATGTATTTACTACAGGGAGAGAATAGCAAGTTGGTGATCTTTTTAGAGTGCACTTCTTGTAATTTATCTATTTCTTTTATTGATTCAATTTAATTAATCTAATACACTACAATTGATTGGCCAATTGCCAAGGCCTTGTATTCTCCATTATCTGAGAAAGAACAAAGAGAAACATTTTTGACTTTGATTACGTGATTAAATTCCTAGGTGCAGCTATGCTTTTTTTGGATACGATAGTCCTAGTGCAGATGATCATGCCATTTGCATTCTAGAACTTCATTTGATTTTGCTTGCTGGATCAAAGTTATTAATCTATTAGGTTCAAATAAACCAAGTTATTGAAAACAAAGCGAAATAATTTCATCAATAAGGACATTATTGTCCTTTTAATTTGAGATCCTGATTAAAAACCATAGAGCCGTATAAGTATTTCTGTTGTTCATCTAACTTTAATTCATATAACCCATACCTTGACAAAATCTGGATATCTAATTCCTTAATATTTAGACTGCTTCCTAATATCTTTGAGTTTTGATGAGCTGGATATAGAGTTGTTCCAACAAAAGTAGCATGCATTAATTCTTGGTTTAATTATCAACATATTGTTCCAAGATTGACTCTAATTCCGTGTAATTACATGTCTTGATGGATTGGGTAATCTTAAGCAAATTTGAGGGATCTAATTAAATTTATGATTGTTGTTGTAACTTTTCAAATGTTTTGTGGTAATTTTTGGATCTTAAGAATTAAAGAAATAGTTTGATTTTTTCTTCTTTGGTGCTCATTTTATATTTGATTAAAATTTTCTTTTTTTAATTGACCGCAAATAATGGATATCGTGGGAGTAATCATCAGTTTTATCATTAGAACGTGTTGCCATAAGTTTTGAAGGACGAAGCCACAGAACACAAAGGAGAGATGGCCAGATTGGTATTATTTGAATTTTAAAATTTAAGTAAAGTTTCGTAGGCGCAATAGCAGTGGCTGATTTAGTAAAAACAACCCTGGGACCAAAAGGAATGGTATGTCATTGTTTTTAAGAGATAGGATAAAATATTGAAACCCACAGGACCTGGTTAAGAGATGACTCACATCACTGTTACTAATGATGGTGCTACGATTTTAAAATCTATGTATGTTGAGAACCCAGCTGCTAAGATTCTGATTGAAATCAGCAAAACCCAAGATGAAGAAGTAGGAGATGGGACAACAACAGTAGCAGTGTTGGCAGGTGAATTGTTAAGAGAAGGAGAGAAATTAATTTAAAAAAGAATTCATCCACAACATGTGATAGCAGGATGGAGAATAGCTAGAGATGTGGCATTAAAGAGATTAAGAGATATTTGTATATATATTGATTATAATATCTAGCAACTGAAAATGACATTGAATCTCAAGAAATTCCATAATGACTTGATCAAGATTGCCAGAACAACTTTGAGTTCAAAATTGATTACAACAGACAGAGATTACTTTGCTGATTTGTGTGTCAAAGCAGTTTTAAGATTGAAGGGATCATCTAATTTAGATTACATCTAGATCATTAAACTTCCAGGAGGAACTATCAGAGATTCATATTTGGATGATGGATTCATTCTTAAGAAATAAATAACTATTGGTTGTAAAAGAAGAATTGAGAATGCCAAAATCTTGGTTGCTAATACAGCCATGGATTATGATAAGATTAAGATTTATGGTACCAAAGTCAAAGTCAATTCAATGGACAAAGTAGCTGAAATTGAAGCAGCAGAGAAAGAGAAGATGAAACATAAGGTTGATAAGATTCTTAAATTTTAACCAACAGTATTTGTAAATAGATAACTGATCTATAACTATCCTGAATAATTATTAGCTGATTCTGGAATTACTGTTATTGAACATGCTGATTTTGAAGGTATGGAAAGAGTGGCTGCTGCTACTGGAGCAGAAATCTTATCAACATTCGATGCTCCTGAAAGAAGAGATTAAGTATTAGGACATTGTGATTTAATTGAAGAAATTATGATTGGAGAAGAGAAGGTACAAATTATATTATATGTATAGATGATCAAATTCACAGGTTGCAAAAAGAATGAAGCTTGTACAATTGTATTGAGAGGTTCTTCAATTCATATCTTGGATGAAGTAGATAGATCAATTCATGATGTTTTGTGTGTCTTAATCACTACAGTGAAGAATAGAAGAGTTGTTTGGGGAGGTGGTAATTCAGAAATGCAAATGGCTGCTGCATGTGAAGAAGAAGCCAAGAAAGTTTAAGGAAAATAAGCATTAGCCATAGAAGCATATGCTAGAGCATTGAGATAGATTCCAACTATCATCTGTGATAATGGAGGTATTCATTTATTATAATCAAATTAGGTTACGATTCAGCAGAATTGATATAAAATTTCAAAAGTGGAATTGCAAAAAGGAAATTTAGCTTCTGGATTGAATATGAATGATGGAACTGTTGGTGACATGAAAGAATTAGGAATCAAAGAATGCATGAGAGTTAAGGAGTAAGCAGTTATGGCTGCAAGTGAAGCAGCTGAATTAATTATGAGAGTAGATGATATTGTCAAATGTGCACCAAGAAAGAGAGAAAGAGCATGATATTAATTTATTAAGTATTTCAATAAGATTAAATTATACACCATTAACAATAATAAAGATCTATAATCAATACTCCACATCATAATTTCGAAGACTTTAGAGTACTTGACAAAGTAGGAGGCTTACTCGATCTAGCTGACGATTAACTCGAAAAAATCATTAGATTATTCTGTGAACATTGTTATTGGTTACCATCTTAATCATATCCATTAAATAAATCTAAGTAGTAAGCTAATTATATATACTTTATATTGAATTTCGTCTTAACATTAAATGTTGTTCTGCACTAAGGGAATCATCTGAATCGTTTATTCCATCTGAGGGCAAGTAATTATCTTAATTGCACTGACTCAAATTTATTAGAACTTTACATTTGGTATAAATGGGGCTAGTATTCTCTTGTTTTCTAACTTCTCCCAATCAAAGTCTTTGAACCAAGGATGTTCTTTAACTTCTTCTGGACCATTTGAACCCAAACGATTCTGAGGTTTTCTTTGAAGTAACTACTTTCAAATTGATACACTACCTAATTAGCAAAATCTCCAGCTTATATATCCCATCCTGGGGGAATTTCTTGTCTTTTAATTGCTGCCTATTTGGATAGCATCTATTCTCTTATTTCTTGTCTGCTCCTTCCTAAATATGGTCTCCTTCCCAACATGCATTCATAAACGATAACTCCCAAAGCAAAGTAATCCACTCCTATACCATGATTTTAACGACACATCACTTCCGGAGCCATGTAACCTGGTGTACCACTAGTATCAGATGAATTCTCAGGCTTCCATATTCTAGCTATCCCCAAATCAGTTAATCTCAAATAACCTCACTTTATTTTCTAAACCAATTACCACTACTATCAAAAACCAAGTTCTCTGGCTTTAAATCTCTATGCAGTATCCCATTCTAATGTAAATATTCAAGTGCTATGATAATACAAGCAGCAAAAAATTCTAATTCAAATTTCAAATTCTACTTGTTTATTCTTCGTTAAATCTTCTTAACCTCCCTATATGAAATCTCAAATCTCCTCCTGTTAACAAATCCATTACTAAATACAAATATTCCTTGTCTTGAAAAGCACATTGCATGTTAATCATAAATCTTAAAATTTTGTTATTATCACACATACCCATTTCTCAGATTGCTTAACAACTATCTCTCATTCAAAACTGACTAAACTGACTTTTTTAGTATGATTCTTGAATAGACTTAACTGTATTATATACTTTGCTTTGGACATAACCTTCAATGCATAAAACAATGTATTTTTCTTTTTCTTCACTTTCCACACTTTTCCAAATCCTCCTCGGCCTATTGCATCAATAAACTAATAGTTTGATATTGAAGTAACTTAGTATGCTTATTAAACAATTACTATTGCTTTCAAGCATGTCTTCCTTTTTCTCATTAATATTACAATTTCCCATAAATTTATTATAAATTAATTCTAAGTTCTATTCTTGCACTAGTTGTTAATTAAAAACGAATATAATTAATATTTAATGATTCTATTTTCAGCTATTTCTAAAGGAACACTAATTTTATGTGAACATACTGAATCTAATGAAGATTTCCAATAATTAATTTCCAAATAGCTCAAATTCATTAAAAACAAATAAGAGAAACAACAATTCTAAATTGTATTATAATTCCCTACCTTTAATCTAGAATGAATACATTTCGTATCTCTTGCAAAATAATCAATTTAATTTCTTGTGTCTAATGCAACAACAACTAAAAAATGAAGAGCAATAAGAACATGCCTACAACTTCCTCAAGGACATTTCAGACAAGTTCTAATTGATGACTTAGAGTAAAAGAATAATTTAACTTCAGCCCAAGGGATTGATAAGGGTCAATTCACTAAGACCATGGCAGAACTAATGAGTTAATACAATACTAAATCAGAAAATTCCTGTAATGATTTGAAACATTAAATTTATGAGTTAATAGAAGAATGTAATTTTAGAATTGAGAGTAAATAAGAAATCAATACACCAGGGGTTTTTGAGAATATCTAAGATCTCCCCAAAAAAGATAATCTGGAATATAGTGTTTTTACTTGCAAATCAGTTTTCTTTGTAATTAACTTATTTCTCGCTGGAGTGCTAGTTGAATTATTTGCTAAATTTAATAGATATTTATGAATATATTGAATAGAAAAGACAGGTTATTTGTGACAAATTGCGTATACAAAATACCTATAAATTAATCGTCAATTATAAACATGTAATCATAAAGTTATATATATTTAAATAAATTCAATAATAATTATTTACCAAAACATCTAAAATTAACACTTTTTCATTATATCAAAAAGTAAAATAAGAAAATAAAATTTATATTATTTGAACATTATGGTATTGCTTAACAATAGATATATGTATTACGAGAGGGATTTCTTGGGGGAAGGGTCTTATGGAAAGTTGTATAAGGGAAAGGATACAAAAACCTAAGAAGAAATAGCTGTCAAAAGTATCCATTTATCGTTATTGGAAAAGTTTTTGATCTGTCAAAGATGGAGGGTGTCGAGCTAGAATTGCTCGAAACAGAAATAGCCACCATGAAGGACTTGTAGCACCCTAATATAGCCAAAATTATAGACAGCTTTAAGTTACCTCCAAAAAATATGGTAATATATAAATAAAAAACATAGGTTATAATTCTAGAATTGTGTGATGGCGATTTAAACAAACTGATGAAAAAATACGGCGGAAAATTACCAGAATCAGTTGCTTAGGTTGCTCTAACTTAATTAATGGAAGGATTCAAATATATGATAAACAAAAATTATATTCATAGGGATGTTAAACCAGCGAATGCATTGACAAAAGGATCTGTCTATAAAGTTTCAGATTTTGGTTTTGCTGGAAAGGTTAATGTTAGAGCAAAATAAAAACTGGATTTATTTTGTGGAACTCCTATATACGAGGCACCTTAAATTTTAGCAATGATTCCTTACACTGCCAAATGTGACTTATATTCTATCGGAGTTATGGCATATGAACTAGTCTATGGATAGTTCCCCTGGTCCAACAGAGCAGGAGACGAATAACTCTTGAAAAACATCAAAAATGTCCCATTAAGATTTCCTGTAGATATCAAGGTTTCTGAATAATATAAGGACTTCCTAAGGAGATGTTTAGAATATGATGAAAATAAACGTATTGAATGGGACGAAGCTTTTAATCATCCATTGTTTAAGGTTTAGGAAAGTTAGAAATAATATGTATTAAAGCTTTGAATAACAATTAGGATTCTTTTAAAGTGCCACAAAATGCTAAGGATTTACTAGGATAATTATAAAAGATTTCTTAAGCTCGAGATATTAATGTTGTTGAATTATTTGAAAAATATGATACTGATAGAAGTCTTTAACTGGATAGGAATGAATTCTATTTGTTCGTACTATAACTTGATCCCAGACTGACTAGAGATTAAACAACTTAGATTTTTAAGGTTATGGATAGAAATGGGGACGAATTGATATCACTTGACGAATTTAAGGAAATCTTTTGCAACTACGAATTCATCAATATCTCTGATAAGGCTGAAAGGATCATTATTGATTTAAGAGAAGTTGTTAAAGCCAGAAAACTAAATTTAGATTAATTGTTTAGAAGCTTTGATTAACAAAGTGATGGAAAACTGAACCCATAAGAATTCACATAATTCATTAAGTAAATAGCTCCAGGTTTGAAATAAGATGAGATTGAGGAAGTATTCAAGAAGTTTGATAAGAATAATGATAAAGAAATTACCTTTGCTGAATTTAAAGAGTAATTAGTTGCTGGTACTCAATTCGATTCAAAATTTGACCCAGAGCAAGAAAGAGCAATGGTATTATGATCATTTTATTTTAGAAACTATTAAGTGATCTAAAGAGAATAGTCAGAACTAGTGGAAGTAATCCATAATAGATTTTCAATAACTTTGATAAGAATAGGAGTGGTAAATTAGAATTCAATGAATTCTAAAACATTTGTAAAATAATTGATAGGAATAGTACACCTGATGTTGAGAAAGTCATGTTTAAATTAGTAAACAAGTCAAATAGTCAAGGAGTTTCATTTTAAGATTTTCAGTAAATATTTTAATGATACATTATCATCAGTATTTGCAATTATACAAAATAATCATGCAATAGTCTTAGTATAGTTTGATTTCAAACGAAAGTTTCTTACAATTGAGTCTTTATCTACTTTTTGTTATAGAGACTTATTAATCTGAATAGTATATCCAGTAATTTGAGGATTTTGCTGTTTATTAGGTTTGATTTGATTATGATTTTTTTAAATGAATTTGTAGTAATCTGACCATGAAAATGGTTCTTTTTACTTGACTTGAACAATCTGCTTGATTTTCTTTTTGTTTGCAGAAAACTTTAAACTAATTTGCTTATTATTATTTTTATTATTCTAAATTATTTGATTTTTATTTATTTATATGCTCCTCACTCTATCGACTATATTTTTGTAGGCAGCTTTATCGTTAATAAATCCTTAGTCTTAAAATAATGTATGACAACTTCCAGCTCTATCGTGATAAGGAAGAGTTAATTGAACAGTTTAATGAGTTTCATTCGAGCGCTATCTACTCTATGTTCGAGATTAAGGAAGCTTAATTTTTATTGATCTGGTTTTTCTATCTTAAGGTTATTCCTCTTTCTATTTTGGAGATAATTGAAGAAAATTGTCCTAATTTTCATCCCAAGGTTCTACATAAAAATCTTACTCATAATAAGAGGATTTATGTCTAATTGGCTTTATAAATTCTATCCCTGAATCAAGATTAAGAAGATTAGTTTTGGGGTCTTCTTAATTTTATTATTCATTTTCTAACATTATATAATTAATTGTTCACAAATAAGAATAGAAAATTGTTTATCCTAATATAACGATTCTTAAAATAAAGGGATTTAGAAATGGATAGAAAGATATTATATTATAAATGCGTGTAATTAATTTCATAATTATTGTTTTGATGTTGTCCATTTTCCATTAAATGCGAATATCAAATTGATGATAGTAAAGTATATTAAATATGATCACATATGAAACACTATTCAATAGGTGACTCTATTCTCATAAATATTGGATTATTAGTATAACCATTGCTACCAAGACTAATATCCATTCTTATAATATACTATAATAACAACATTTGTAAGGGTATTCATTAGATAAAATTAAAAAAATAGAGAGTAAATAATGATTTCAATAAAATGGGAATAAGTTAATTCTTCTTAATAATATCATTTACTACAAATTTTATTCCCAAAGGTAATTAAATATCTTGCTATTTATATTGATTCTTTAATATTCTATGAAAATGTTGATGATATCATTATTATGATATTTTACAATATAAATCTATTATATTGTAAATATGTTAATTTAAGATCTTAATTTAAGAAAATTAATAATTTTTTAATATAATATCCTCTCTTTTCATAACTATTTATGTTTTAGTATGTTAAACTTATAGACTGTAATTCTATTAATGCTTTGTCTTTTGAGCAACAATATCTTCAACAATCATTTGCCTGTTTTGAGTTGAAAATATAAAAAAATTAATAATGCTATATAATTTGATATTTTTAGAAATTATTCTTACTTGGCTGTTTTATTTAATTAAATTGAAATAAGAATGTTTATAAATATTCACAGTTCAATACTTGAAATATAGTAAGAATGAGTGAGGATTTTAAATTGATTAAGATTCAAATTTATTTATTTAGAAACAATCGATTTATCAAGGTAAATAAGTTAATTCTAATAATATTTTTTTATCAATAGCCTTGAAATATTGGCTATCAATATAAACTATCTTACTTATGGCCAAGCAGGTGAATTACTTTTAATCAACTCTATCATGATCATCATATTTAATGTATGATTATATTTATTTTTATATCTAGTCTAAGTGTGTGATGAAAACCGAATACTTTAAGAATATAACCAAAATCTTATAGAGAATAATGAAGATGGGAAATATGGAAATTCCAAATGTATCTTCAAGTAGATTAACGAAGGAATCAATTAAATTGTAATCTATTTATTTAAATTTGTCTTTTAAAAAGCTTCTATGAGACAGTACATTCATAAATAGATATATTTTACTTAGAAAATAAGTTGTATGGAATTGTATTCGAAATCTGAAAGTAAGAATGCCAATTATTCTGTATCTATGTCATTATTTTGATAAATTACAACATTGTAATTAGTTTCATTTTTTTATTATATATAGATATATATAATGATTCATGGTCCCAACTCTTAATTTTCTGGTGCATTCACGATAGGCAAAAGATATGAATGTAATTATTGTTTTAATGATAGGTGCAATATATTAAACCAATCCAAATCCTGGGTATTATATCTATTCACATTAGACCAAATCATTATTCAGTCAATCTCTTGGACAAGCCTTTGGGGTATAAATTTACAAAGTCTAAGCGGAAACCTCTCTATTAAGCTACTGCAGCTCCAGATCCTGGGGTTTATGAGAATAAAATTCAGGCAATTATTAGCATAACTTATTAGGCAATCTTACCTCACTCTTCCTCGGTTGCATTCACTAAAGCAAAAGAGACTTCTCCCAAACAGACTGAGATAGGTCCAGGGTCATATAATTTAGCTGTTTAAAAAAAAGCACCTGCATTTACTTTTTAAAGTCGATTTGATTCAATAGGGAATGAGATTATGAAAACGCCAGGTCCTGGAAATTATGAGATGGAGCATAACCATATTTTGAAGCCCAAAAATAAAGGGTTTTCGACTAGTTAAAGAACTAATATGCTCTTATCTAATCATCCAGGTCCTGGTTCTTATGAAGTGGAAAAGCCTCAGTTTCTAACAAATGTTAAGTAAGTTATAGTTTTGATTCAAAAAGGTTTCCGAAATCATAACGTAGCATGAATTGGAGTCAGATGGGACCAGGTCCAGGAGCATTTGATCTTAATCTGCCTAAACATTAAGGAATTACATTTGGAAGCAAAACTAATTAATCAATAGATAGATCGAATGTTCCAGGGCCAGGTAGTTACGATGCAGAAGTTGTGGAGGGAAAGTTTAAGAGAATGAAAGGAGCTAAGTAATTTAGATTTTAATTGAAGAATAGGAAAATCCGAAAGAGGTAGTCTAACTTACTCAAAGCTTGGTCCCTCTCCACTTGATTATGATGTAACTAATTATAAGTATCCAACGAGACATGCGAGGTTTAATTGGATATATTATTAATTGTAGTTTCAATAAGGCCATTAGACCATCAATGATATCCACAGAGCGAACTCCAGGACCTGGAACATATACAATAGACATGAAATTCAAAAAGGGTGGTCCTATAATCCCAAAGGCCTCCAAGGATTAAATCAATCTATCAAATTTACCAGTTATGAATTCTATCTATTTTAGGGGCCTGGAAAGTACAATCCCAATGATTCGATGACTTCTAACAAAGGACCGAGTTATCATATTGCTAAGAAATACGAAAAACCTCAAGAGTCTAGTTTGATAGGGCCTGGTAGATATAACATTCCAAGAGATATTACTGATGGACCCAAATACACATTTCCCACTCTTGAGAAGAGTATGGAGAAGAAGTCAATAGATTTAAATCAGTAAGAGTCAAATTAAATATAGATCACATTGCTATGATATCAAATAAACCATTGGGTATATACCTTAGTATGTTCTTCAGAATTGATTTATATTAAATTCAATAATAGTAACTAATGTTCATCAATATACAAACTCAATGATGATTGAATTGGGTCAAGGTAAAAATAGAACGATTGTTTTACAATTAAATATATTTTTAATTTTTTAATATAGATGCATAAAACTAACAATTCAGCTTCACCAAACTTTAAGTTAATCAACAACAAAAATAATAAATCAAAACTCGATACCACAACCAACAATGGCAATAATGTAAGCATGGTTAAGAAGGATATCAAGTAGCAAGGAAATTAATATTCACAATTATAATCAGCTCGGCCAAGAACTCAATCAACTTAGAAAAAGGAAAGCGTAAGTAAAGACAAATAGTAGCCCTTAAAACAGTATGAATAATAGATGTAATAATTAGTTTAGATCCTTAAAAGAGATTAGTCACCAATCCTAATTCAAGTGCTGAAAGGGTTGTCAATAAATAGAGAACTCATTCAACTTCTGGTAGGACATCCACTTTGAGTCCACAATCACGAGTTAAGCCATTGGCAACTAAAAATATCACTCAATAGCAATAATAATAATTGAATAATTCAAATTAATAACCCACTCCGAGATCTGTAAAAAAGTAGATGTTCATTTCTGGCAATGTTAAAGAAACCAAGAACAATTGTAATATAATAAGCAAGATGAAACCCAATTTTGAGAAGGGCAAAAGCCTACCATTTAAGAAAGAGAGTCCTGCTATTAAATTGAATAAGCAGGATTCAAATACAATATCATCATAATCTATATAAACTAGATCTTCGAAATAGAGTCTAAGTGTTCACAAGTCAATAACTGTAAATAGGATGGATGACTTGTTTTAAAGATCCAAAACTCCCTTAAACAAAAACCTACCAAATGACCCCTTTTATGTAATCCTCATATTGTTATTTAGTGTATCGTTAACCCATAATTTAAGGATGCAAAGTATTACTAAACCTCATTGATTCATTATCATTATGAGCAGGTAAGAAATAAATACTCTCCCTTTAAAATTCACTTTGAGTTGTAATATAATACAAATCAATTAAAAGAATATTTTAGTGATTTATTTTGTGAGCATTTTTAACAATCATTCACTTGTTTGCAATATTGTAAAAGATTAACCCAAACCTTAAAATAAAACAATAAGATTCAATATTTACCCCCCAATGAGAATCACACAAAAACATTAGTATTCGATTTGGATGAAACACTTTTGCATTGTAATGAAAATGTAAATGATCCCACTGATCATACAATCATGGTCAATATGCCCAATGAAGGAATGGTCAAGGTAAAATTATTAATAGATTCTAGACAAAAATTAATATTCGACCATTCTGTCAATAAATGTTGAAATTATTATCCAATCACTTTGAACTCATTCTGTTTACAGCAGCTTATTAATATTATGCTGACAAGGCACTTGAATTAATTGATCCTGAGAGAAAACTATTTTAATATCGATTCTACAGAGAGAGTTGTTTAGAAATAGAAGAAGGATTGTTCATAAAGGATTTGAGAGTTATTGGAAATCGCTAAATTGAAGTAAATTTTAATAATATCTGCTCTAGAATCTATTATTAATCGATAATGCTCCCTATTCCTATTGTTATTAAATAGACAATGGAGTTCCTATAATCCCCTTTTATGATAATAAATTTGATAAAGAATTAGTGTTTTTAACTGATTATTTACTAAAATTAGAAAAAAATAAACAATGGACATATGCAAATAAAGTGCATTTTAGAACGTACTTATATTAATAATGCCTTACTGCTGATGAATGTTTAAGAGAAATGTTTAAAGCATATGATACATATACATATTGATTAATATAATAAATATATAAATTTAATGATAACTAATACGAATGGCATTGCTGAATCAATATATCACTATATTTGGTTGAAGGATGATTCATTACTCAAGGAGTCTTTTCAATTGAGATTGCCAGATACAATTATATTTAAGAATGGAATGCCTTAGGTTTGGTATTTTACAAATTAATCAGGAGAAATCCTTATGAAGAAGAATGATTGTCGTAAACCTGAAAATATCATCAACCATTTTTGCAATAATAGCAAATAAAATGGATAAGTTGTTGCATATTATATCTACAATAGCAAATACAATGTGAAAGATCCAATCAATGATCCCCATGATATCAAAAAAACTAAGCAATTTGATGTCAATGAGAAGATCTGCATCTATTATTTGACCAAAGAAACATTTCCATAATTTATTAAAAATAATAATAAATCTCCTGAGGGAATCCTCCAGAGATTTATTGATCCTATTGCGAATCATGAACAACTGATCTAAGCTATTTGGAGTCCCTCAGTTTGCATACTTTCAAAAAAGTAAAACAACAGGGATCTCTATGATATGCAGTTTGATCCGTATGGTAAATAGTCATCCTATTAAAAACCTAGAGAGATGTGCAACATTCGATGGGTGTGAAGCATATTCAAAGGTGATTCCATTGAGAGGCAAACAAATCTCACATGAAATTAGAAAATAGTGTTAGATGATCATTCAAAAATTGACTAATTTAAGTTATGGATAAACAAATATATCAAGAGTCGTAATGTACTTTAAACCTGATAAACAGAACCACGTTTGGTTTCTGTATTGTTCATCTATTCGATTGCAAGGAGAACCCGATGAATAAATAGAGCAATATAAATCTATCTGGGGGAACTCAAATATTAAGAAGAATAACACTCCAATATCTTTCAATACTAATTTCAAAAGACCACATTAAATTAAAAATGTGCTAACTGTTAATACTATGCATCCAGTTACTCTAATTAAAAATATAGAATGTGTTGAATGTGGATCACTCTGTTAAAAAGATGATCTATATCATTTAGCTTATGAATTTATCATTAAACATTTTGAGCTGAATCCCAATTCCAATCCGATAATTAATGAAAACATTTTAGTTATTAAACCCAAATCCTTTTTTGTAAGCTAAGATCACATCAGAGACATACATTCTCATATTCCTCCACTCATTATTAAACTATACCCATAAATAACTGTAGCTTTATATGAATAGATGAAAGTTAATGATGCTTTCTTAATAAAAACGATTCTAGTTTGTGAGTCCTGCTTTCTTAAATACAGTTCATCAAACTCCACTTTGTCTGGTGCAAGCTAGAGAGTAACTAAACAAAAGAAAATGGCAGTGAGACTGAAGAGTGCCAGCATTTTATAGAGGAAACCAGAAATCAAGGAATATTTGTTTTAATAAAATTTAGATCTCATTAAATAAAAAAAAGAAGCCTTTTTTAAAACTAATAGTAATAAATAATCATTTAACAGTAACTCTTAATTCTCAACAGTCTTAAATACTCATTCAGCTTCGCATAAGTATAAGTTGTCACTCGAAAGCAATTTCGATCAAATTAGTTTTCAATTAAATACTGCTAGATGATATAATTATAAAATTATTATTATTATCATTCACAATCCTCTCACTACATTCAAATATGAATTAATTAATAGTTCTTATTATTTTATATTAAAATAATTATAAATTGCCAATAAAATTGTATATTATTATGAAATTATTCAAAATAAAAGAATTAAAAGAGTTCAATTACAAGCTTTGCATTCAATTATTTTAATTTAGTTCTTAAATTACTCATTAACATATATCTCATATTACGTGATCAAATAATCGCTATTAATTAAATAATTGCTCTTATAAACATATTGTTAAATAGAGAAGGAAGGCTTTGAATAAATAAATATAATTATCATCTAGCCAACATGTCAACTCATAATATTGAAGGAAAGAATTTTGTAAAATTCAATGATGAATACGTTCTTGATATTTAAGACTAATCGACAACAACTTAATTTAAATAATGCAGCAATGCTAATTCTACGACTTCTGCTTTTACTGAAAACAATTGTAGGAGTAAACCAACTAAAACATAAAGTATTTTTGAAATATACCCAAAAGGAAGTCTCTTGACTTTAACCCCATAAATCAGTTAGAGAAGAGGTTCTCAATCTTTGGCAGACCAAACTATGAGATATGAAGATGACGTAGATATTTTCCAAATATTAGTCATGTGTCTTAAACCTTTACGGAAAGAAATCTCAATATATCATATATTGGTATGATGTTAATATTGATCATAAATACGAGATCCTCATAAAAACTACTAAAGTTTAAATAACTATTGGAGATCTTATTTAGCTTGCGATAAGTTAATTTAATGAATAAAATGAATACTTACAAACTCCATTTTCATCAGATGTTAATAATTAATATTTGTTTGAATTGTATATTCCAAAAAAGAAAAAAGGAACTCCAAATGAAGATTTTCCAAGTATTTATATTGTTAAACTTAAAGGCTTTGCTGATTCAACCTTGTTATCTCAATCAAATCAAACAGAGTTTGCTCTTAAGGTTTCTTTAAAATAATCAAAATATTAAACAAGCCTTTCTAATAGCAAACACTCATCGGCAATTAAGCAAAATGAAAAATAAGTATTAGGTTAAAAAAACTCTAGTTCAAAGAAGAAGAACCTATTTCAATAGCTATTCTTTTTTTGTAATTCAGCAGAGGATTATTGAAATATTTTGAAGTTTAAACTGTTTAATGCTATATATATTTAACAAATAACAGAAATTCATTAATTTATTGTTTGTTCATAATGTCGTTAAATCTTTCTCTCATTGATCTATTTATTTACTTGAATCTACCTAATTGGAAATTCTCTGTGTATTGGTTCTTCTGCCGTTTGGATTGCTTAAAATTTAGTTAATTACTTTGAGTTTAAATATAAGAGTTATAACTTGTTTTTAAGCAAGATATCAGAAATCGATTGTTTCATATTAAGTATTGAAAGTGGATAACTTAACTATAGGACAATTAAAGACTAATATTTTTTGTTAAATCAAATTAAAAAAATTTTTTTATCTTTTAATTTATCGTGATGTCATAAGTGGCATGCTTCGGGAATTTTTTTTCCCCTATCCCTTCCCTGGGGCCTGAGGGACAGTGGAAGGAATAGAGAGAGCATGATGACATAGAGAGAATAGACGATAAAACAAGGGGAAAGAGAGTGAGATTCAAAATTGAAGGAGCCCCCCCAGACCCGGTCGAGCCTAGCTGCTCGGAGGAAGATGTTGAATTGAATTGAATCAAATTAAAACAATTCATTTATTAAAATATATACTAGGTTAATATAAGATTGAAAATAGAATTTTTATCCATCCTCAATAATTTTAATCCTCTTACATTTACTAAGAATTAGGTATTTAATAAATATATATTCTTGAATCAGTTTAATACACACAGCAACAATTTGATCCATATTTAGCCTGTATAAACTCGATTTTTTATTCTTTAAAGTAATTAAATTGTTGAAAAAAAAATATAAATATCAATCATTTGAATATCAAAATAATTCCTTATTTTATTGATAGTACTTTAAAAATTAAATTCAGAATACTTAAATTATTATTATTATACTTATTTTATTTTATTTATTAAATTATTTCATACTGCTTTCTAATTATTTATTAAATTGATTTAATAAATGAGAGTGATGACTTATTTCATTTAATATGTATAATCTCAGTAGTTCAAATTAATATTAAATTATTTTAATAAAATAATCAATGAATCAGAGCTTTAGATCACCTTAGAGAAAATTGGAGGGTATTTTGCTATTTATAACTAAAGGGCCAATAGTTAAATTAAGAATGAGAAAAATACTTGATATAAGTAAAATAAGGAAGGAGGAAGAATAATTTTAATGCATGTTAGATTCTTATGAACCAGAGTAGAGGTATCATCGAAATTTAAACAAGTGTTTCTTTTCAGGACAGAACCTTCTATAATAGAACTTTCAGATCTACTTCCAAAAGCATTAAAAAAGTGGAGGATAGAAAAATCTCTGAGGAGTATACTTTATATGGGTTTTCTCGAATGAAAACAGAAAGGACACCCTTGATTTTGATTAGTAGGAAATCAAAAAGAATTTAGCCTGTAATTGATGCAGACAAGGATATCAGTAACTAAGAATGGTTTGAAAAATGTAAATAAATGGACCCTCCTTAAGCCAAAGCATAATTTTATGATAAAGCTACTAAGTACAAAATAATATATAATAAAAGTTCGTACGTCTGGTATGATGTTACTGTGTTAGACTACTTCTAAGAGACTAAGAAATTCTCAGTTTAAAAATACCCAGAAGGATAAACAAAGAATGTTACTAGATTATCTATTCAGTTTTATAATTAAAATCAAGATCTTTTTAAATAAGCCCAATAAGAAAAGTATATAAAAATATTTAATATATAGAGATCAAATTAGATCTTAAAAGAAAATCGAGTTAAAGAAGATTCAAGATATTACCAATGTTAGCGATGAATATGTTAATAAACCTCCCTAACATTTGAGATTCAGATTCATGAAAAAGTTTTAATAAAATGATCGTTAAGGGTTATTATCAAAACTTTTAGAGGAAGTTAATTAAATTTATACTTTTGACATGAAAAAATGTGTATTCTATAAGGAATTGTAGAAATACAAATAAGTATATATCCCATTGCCAAAATATTAATTTTACTATAAGTATTAGTAATAAATCGAAAATAACTAATCTTTTATGCAATAAAACACAATATAAGCTTGGTAAGTGATGAATTCGCGTTGTTAAAGGTTTAATCTAAAAATAATTGATTTAAATTAATTGTAATTGCTAATCCTCAATACTGCTTTCTTGGAATATTGTTAAAACAATATATAAAATTACATCTATTAGGTCAATTTATAAAGAAAGTATAAGAAGTCTGAAATATAGGATGTCTTATAAAAGAAGTATAGTTTCTTAGGTAAAGATTAAAAGACCCATATATAAAGCCCTTTGCATAGGATTTTAAGAAAGCTAGATTTAATTTATGCTGATTTTCTAAACCACTTATTATAGATTAACACAGAGACTATTTTCAATATTTATAAATAATTCATACTGTAACCTAATGATACATTCTATGTCAATACATCAACATTCCTAGTGTTAGAATTGCAAGTTAAGATATTAAAACATGCAAAGCCTAAAAACAAAGTAATCAAACAGATGGAAAGACTGACCAAATAATCAATCAGAGAGAGAGAATAGGAGATATAAAAAGAAGAAATAGAGTATGATGAAAAAATTACTATAAATTTATCGGAGTATGAAGTTATTGAACTCCTAACTTTTCCTTAATTTCAATTAATTGAGCAAGTGAGCAAAGTCAATAGGATGGAGGGTGATATTATGACTTTGTTATTGTTGAAAAATGAATTGGCATTAACACCATATGATGTTGAATAGCAGAAATAGTATATTAATCCAACAATAGACATAATAAAGAGTGAATATAGAAAATGTGAATAAATACTAGTTAAATTTTAGAAGTTTGAATTCATTTTAAAGAGGTTCAGATCCACTGAGGTAAATTAGCTATTAGGTATTTCAACTAAAAGAGTTCCACTGTCTTAATTAAATTTTGATGATATAGACGAGAAAATCAAATGTTTAGAATAAGCTAAAAATGAAATTATCAATAATTCTTCTGATTCAATTAAGCTTGGATTATTCACTTTACAATTGAAAGGAATAAAATAATTCTTGGTAAACAAAGCTGAAGAATAGAAAAAACTGATTATGAGTAGGATTCATGAAGTTATACAATTCAACATAAAAAATATAGGAGAATAATATGAAGAGGTATATAAAAAAGGATCACATATTCCAGATACAGAGGAAGAATTGATAGACTTAAAATTGATGCTTGATGAAATAAATGTGAAATTTGGGAAATTACGTTTTGAAATTAGTTAGATGTAAATTTAATAATTAATTTTTTAGAATGAAGTATGTAAATATATTTGAGGAAAACTACTTTGATTTCGATAACAAAATTATTGAATCATATTATCATCTCTTATATAAGCCTAAAGATATTACTCAAATCATACATAAAAACAAAGATGTCATTTTAATTAAGGAGAAAGAGTTCTTGAAGCGTTTATAGTAGGATGAGCAAGATTTCAAAGAAATTATGTACTAAATAGCAGAACTCTTTAATTAAATCAAACAATTTAATGATTATAGTTAAATTAAGACTTACCTTCCTCAAGTTAATTAATTAAATAAGTCCTTCAATTATGCCAAAGACCAAATCAGTAGTTTTAATATTCGCTAGTAAATGCTATCGATGCAATTAACTAATTAGGCTGAATTAGACAACATAATGGTGTAATTCAAACCATATGAAAAGTTGTGGACTTTAGTGGTATACATCTCCAGCATATGCATTAGAGCAAATTCGAGTCCCAAAGGGAAAAGTGGATTAGTGGATCTTTCAAGTCATTGAACTATTAGGATATGATTTGGAAGTTAAATTAGTTTGCAAGTGAGATAGGATCGATGAGTTCTAATTTCGAAGAGGAGAATGAAAACTTGAAGAGTTTATTAAAAGGGTTTAGAAAAGCGTTGGATTCTTTTAAGGATATTTTATGGGTAGTTGAGGCTTTAGCGATTGAGGCATTTACAAGAAAGCCTTAGTTTTGGAGAGAGTTGTTTAGAGAATGCAAAATAAGTAATTTCGATCCAAAAGAGGAGTTTCCATTTTTTGTTTTGCTGAACAGAGGAATTTTGAATTTTAAAGAATAAGTAATACAAATTTCAATAAGAGCTGAAAAAGGATGGAATATTGAAAAGAGATTATAAGAGATGCATGGCAAGTTGAGTTAAGTTGTATTAGAAGTAAATCCTTATAGAGAGACATTTATATTTAAAAACTTAGATGAAATATAATTAATTTTGGATGAATAATTCAGTGTATTGACAATACTAAAAGCATAGCCTCATATTAAGTTATCAGTTGGACAAGCTAATCAATTGGAATATAAAATATTATTGATTTAAGAGACCTTGGATTTCGGAATGAAATGTCAAAAATAATGGATGTATTTGGATCCTATCTTTACAAGTTAAGACATATAAACGAAATTAATAGAGGAGACAAAGAATTTTAAATTAGTAGATCAGGCTTTTAGAAATTGTATGAAGGAATTTAAGAAGGAACCTATCTTATGGGAATGTATTGATAGTGATAAAATGAAAGTAGATTTTAGCAATGGAGTAATGTTGTTAGATTAAATCTAAAAGAGTTTAACTATATATTTAGAGTAGAAGAGAATTGTATTTCCAAGATTTTATTTTGTTTCAGATGAAGAACTAGTCCAAATCCTATCTTAGACCAAAGATCCAACTCAAATACAGAATCATATTTATAAATGTTTTGAAGCTATGCATAAATTATAATTCACTTCAACCAATGCCATTACTGGGTTTCAATCTACCTAGGAAGAGAAGATTTAACTATTCTAAGATGTGAAAGTCATGGAAGGTTCAAGGAAGGGAAATGTAGAACTGTGGTTGCTAGATTTACAGAATGAAATGAGAACAGCTATCAAAAACTATTCCTATTAAACTTTGATCGATTTGATATCAACCAAATAGGAATTCATTTCAAAATGGCCTGCCTAGTGTATTTTATTGGCAAATTATATAAGATGGACTCGTAACACTGAATCAGCTATAAGAGGATAGTAAAAGTTAAATTTGGCAACCTTTTGTGAATAACTAAATAAAGAGTTGCATGAAACTGTATTATTGGTAAGAAAAGAAAATAGAATAATTCCTAAAACTATTCTAGAGGCTATGGTAGTTATGGAAGTACATGCTAAAGATATAGTTTAATCTTTGTATAAACACAATGTATAAACCATCTTTGAATTTGCTTGGATTTCATAATTGCGATATTACAACGAAGAAAATAAGAATGTTTCTGCTAGAATGATAAATGCCTCTGTTTAATATGGATTTGAATACTTAGGAAAGGTAACTAGGTTGGTGATGACATCGTTAACAGATCGATGTTAAAGGACTTTATTGGAAGCTTTACATATGAATTACGGTGGAGCACCAGAGGGTCCAGCTGGTACTGGGAAATCAGAAACTGTAAAAGACTTAGCCAAAGCTGTTGGAATGCCTTGTATTGTTTTTAATTGTTCCGATGGTCTGAATTATATTGCCATGGGTAAATTCTTTAAAGGATTGGCTTCTTCTGGATCATGGTGTTGTTTTGATGAATTCAATCGTATTGATGCTGAAGTTTTGTCTGTTGTTGCTTAGTAAATCTACACCATTTAAAAGGCTATAAAGGAGGAGAAAACCAATTTTATTTTTGAAGGGGAGAACGTTCAATTAATTAGTACTTGTGCAATTAATGTTACAATGAATCCTGGATATGCTGGTAGAACAGAATTGCCAGACAATTTGAAAATTCTATTTCGACCTTGTGCAATGATGGTACCTGATTATGCAATGATAGCTGAAATTTATTTATATAGTATTGGTTTTCAGAAAGCAAGAGAATTAAGTAGTAAAATCGTTACATGTTTAAAGTTATGCAATGAATAATTATCTAGTTAGGAACATTATGATTTTGGTATGAGAACCTTGAAGGCTGTATTAAATTCAGCTAAATCTATGTTTAATGAAACAGAAGAGGAAATATGTTTAAATGCTTTGATCAATGTAAATAAACCAAAATTTACTGAGAGTGATCTTCAATTGTTTATGGCTATAACCTAAGATCTATTCCCAGGCATTTAACTAGTAGAAGGAGAAGAACTATCGAATTTATATGATGGATGTTAAGAGTTGGACTTATAAATGGACAAGGAATTCTTTGAAAAATGCATACAATTAAACAATAACATTAATGTCAGAAATGGAGTTATGTGTATTGGATAAGCCTGTACTGGAAAGACCTCAGTCCTATAAACACTCAGTAAAAGCCAAGATGCTCTCATATTAAAACTAAATCCAAAAGCCATTACAAGTGATCAACTCTATGGTAAACTAGACCCAGAAACTAAATAGTGGGCAGATGGAGTAGCTCCAATTTTAATAAGGGATAGTATTGATAAACATTAAAAAGTGTGGATCATGTTTGATGGTCCTGTAGATTCTATTTGGATAGAAAACTTGAACACTGTCTTGGATGACAATAAAAAGTTATGCTTGACTTCTGGTGAAATATTAAAAATACCAGATACAATGTGTATGCTATTCGAAATAGAAGACTTGAAAGCAGCCTCTCCAGCAACAGTATCAAGATGTGGGATGGTATATTTCTTACCCATAAATTGGTATCTGATTGTTCAATCCATCTAATTACTAAAAGGATACGATAAGGATTATACAATTAGAAGAATAAGATTGTAAGATATGATTAATATTTTATATAGTTTGCTAGATAACACAATAGCTTGGGTTAAGTCGAGACATTAAGTTTTTATAATTTATGATTCCATTAATATATTAACATGTAGTTTCCTTAAGTTGCTATCAAAGTACTTAACTGAGGATCTGGTTACAAAAAACTATGATAATTTAATTATCTTTTGTTTAATTTGGTCATTTGGAGCAGCTATGGATGAGTAAATCAGACCTCAATTTAATCAATTTTTGAATAACTTATTATAAAAAAAGGTATCTGATTTAGAAACCTAATTTCCAGCTGACCCATAGTTGGAATTATAGATTGAAATATTGGATGATTATTTTTCATATTGTTACATTGAAGGGAAATGGATTAAATGGATTGATGTATTTAATAATAATCTTATTTATAGACATAAGTTCCTTAAAAAATATAAGGTACAATGTAATTCCATGAGATTTTTGCATAGACAGCAGATACAATTAGAAATGATTACTTTTGTTAGATAGGATTGCATTTTTTGTTTGCAGGTCCAACTGGCACTGGCAAGTCTTTATCTATGAACAAATATCAGTAGTTTTTAATTACGTGTTCTGGGCAAACCACTGCTAACAGGTTGCAAAGATTGATAGAAACTAAAATTAATAAGCGGAGAAAGAAAGGTCATTATTATGCAGAGGAAGGATAAATCAGAATATTTGTAGATGATTTAAATATGCCCTATAGAGAACCTGAAGGATCTGTTCCAGCAGTCGAACTATTGAGGTAATGGATGGAAATGAATGGGTGGTATGATTTGGATTCTAAAGAATTCAAACACATTTGTGATATAACATTCTTAGGAGCTATTCATCCTGCAGAGAGGAATTAAATCACTTTGAGATATTTAAGATTCTTTAATCTTCTATATATTGGTGGTCTAAATCATTAAAATCTAACAACTATGTTGAATGTTTTTGGTGAATGGTTAATAATGAATTAAGTGGAAGAAATTCGAGACTTAAAAAATACACTGGTTGAAAAAACTATCAATTTATATTTGAGTGTGTCGAAATTGCTATTACCAACTCCATAGAAATCTCATTATATATACAACTTAAGAGATATCTTTAAAATATTCGAAGGAATCAGTAGAGTGAAAGTCATAGATAATCCGGTTCATTTATTTAAATTATGGACTCATGAATGCTTGCGAGTATTTAGTGATAGACTTATTGATGAGGAAGATCAAAATAAATTTGAATAACTAATTCAAGATACTCTTATTTAATTGAATTTAGAATCTATTGAAATAGAAAATCTCATCTTTTCATCTTGTTAAAATAAACAATATGAAGAAGTATATGATCTATCAAAATTAAGAGAAAAGTTAAATATGATTTTGGATAAGTATAATTCACTAGATTCATCAGGTAGACTTCAATTGATCTTTTTTAATATGGCTATCATTCATATTATAAGAATTGTTAGGATTCTATCTAATGTTTATGGACACGTTTTAATGATAGGTATGGGTGGAACAGGTAGATCTTCATTGAGTAAGATAGCTAATTTTATTGTATTTAATAAATCCCTGAAAACAATAGACTCTAGATCTTGGAACGAATAGTTATTGATTTAATTAAAAGAAACAGGATTAGAGAATGAATAAAACACAATATTATTTAATGATTCTTAATTTTAATCAGAGTACATGTTAGAAGATGTATGTAATTTAATGAGTCATGGTGAAGTGTCTCATTTATTTCCCCCTGAGGAAAGAATTAAGATTTAGGAGACTGCAACTTATAGTTAGTTTGTTAAAAGTTGCAAATTAAATATACATGTTATTTTGTGTATGTAACCTGTAGGTGCTCTGTACAGAAAACGTTTAAGAACATTTCCAACAATTATTAATTGTACAACTATCGATTGGTTTTCGACTTGGCCTGAAGATGCTTTAGAGTCAACTGCTTAATAGTTCTTACCAAAACAATTGGTTAAGATGGGTGTTGAGGTTCATTATAAAATTCTGTAGATTACTGAAAGATTCAAATAAGAATTAAGAAGATATTTTTATGTGACACCTACATAATATTTATAAATGCTTTAAACATTTTAAATCATTTAGGAACAGAAGATGGGATAATCTTAAGTATTTATTGAGAAGTTTGAGAATGGGGTCGAATAAATTAAAAAAGCAGAAAATGATGTTGATAGAATTAAAGCTAAGTTGTTTGAATTGCAACCAAAATTACAAAAATCTAATGAAGAGAATAATTAATTACTTATAAAAATTCAAAAACGATAGGAAGAGGCTGATAAGAAGAAGCAAGCATGTGAATTTGAAGAAAAGATTTGTTAGCAATAAAGTGACGAAGCAAATGAATTGAGAAATAGTTGCTAATAAGCTTTGGATAATGTGTTACCTTTATTGGCTTAGGCTACTGAAGCTTTGGAGAGAATTACTAAAGATGATATGATATTATTGAAATCATTTACTAATCCACCAGTGTCAGCTGCCATCGTTATGGAAGGATTAGCCTATGCATTTGAAGAAGATCATTTAGTCAAAAGCAAGAATAAAGAGCCTCCAGTCTTACAGGATTATTGGGATTACGCTAAGAAGTGTTTACTGAATGACAAATTAATTAAGAGAATCAAAGGATTAAAGTTAGAGTAGATTCGATAAATCTCATTTAAGAACATATAAAAATTATAAGTGTTTGTGAAAAATCCTTTGTTTGAGAAGGATAGAGTATTCAACGCATCAAAGGCAGCAGGCAATTTGGCACTTTGGATAAGAGCTGTACTGGAATCCTATATGGCAGTTGAAATAATTGAACCAAAGAAGGCAGAGTTAAAGCAGGCAGAAGAAAAGTTGCAATAAGCTGAGGAACTCGTTCAAGAAAAGAAAAATGCTTTGGAAGTTGTTTTAGAAGAGTTGCACAGTTATTAGTTAGAATATAATAGAGCAAAGGCAGAGAAGGAAAGAATAGAAGAGTAGGTCATTACTATCAGTTCTTAATTGTAGAGAGCAGAACAATTAATTGCTAATTTAAGTGAAGAAAAATCCAGATGGAATTTAAAAGCATAACAATACAAGGAAAACTAAAAGAATATTATAGGGGATTGTATGCTTAACTCAGCTATTATTGCCTATTTAGGTGTGTTCCCAATTCAATATAGAGAAATTTGTTTAGAATTCTGGAAATCAAAATTGTAGGAATACGATGTCTAAATCTCAAGCAATTATTCATTATAAAATCAATTGAGTGATCCTGTTCAAATTAACAGATGGCTTTAACAAAAATTACCAAATGATTAATTTAGTATCGATAATGCCATTATTATGAAACAATCAACAAGATGGCCATTGATGATAGATCCATAACTTTAAGCTAATGAGTGGATCAAGAATATGGAAAATCAAAAAAGTTTGATTATATTTAATGCAATGTGGCCTATCAGTTAAATATAACTATAACTACAACATGCAATTTAAATAGGTTATGCTGTTTTATTAGAGAATGCAGGACAAACCTTGGATCCATTGTATGAATAGATATTGCAATTCAATCAATAAAAAGGGCAAAGAAACTTATATATCAAGTTTGGCGATAAGATGATAGAATACTCTAGTGATTTTAGATTTTATATCACTACTAAACTCTCTAATCCTCATTATCAACCTTAAGTTTGTGTGGTTGTGACTATGCTCAATTTTTAGGTTACTTAAGAAGGTCTAATAGATCAAATGTTGAACATAGTAGTTAAGATTGATGAACCTTTGAAGGATGAACAAAGGAATAAAAATATATCATAATATGTGCTCAATAAAAATAGGTAAATTCAAACTGAGAATCTGATTTTAAAATTGTTATCAGAAGCTTCTGGAGATATATTAGAGAATGAAGTTTTAATTAAGACTTTGCAATAGTCCAAGGATGATGCTTACGAAATTGAATAAAGATTACAGAAATTAGAACATGATCAATTGTTGTTTAATTAAATTAAGTCATTCTATAATCAAGTAGGGGAATTGGTTTCGGACATATACTTCATAATTAATGATTTATCCATAATTGAACCGACCTACGTTTGGTCATTGGAATTTTACATCTAGTAATATTAGAAATCCATTAAGGAGGCCTAATTTGGTAAATAAAGAAGAGTGTAAAACATCATAGATAAATTTCTTTAGCACATTTACATTACAATAAATAGATCATTGTTGGATAAAGATAAATTTATCTTTAGATTTTTATTTTGTTTAAAAGTGCTTAATATTCCAATTGAATAGATTAGAACTTGTGTAATAGGGCCTTCCATTACTTAAACTGATTTAAAAATGCCTACAGCTTATGATTGGTTGACTCCTAAGATGTGGTTAGGATTGGTTGATTTAATGGAGAAGTACCCTAAAGATTTCAGTTGGTTATATAAAGATATAGTAGAAAATCATTAATTTTGGAATGGATACTTTTATAGCCAATAATCATATAAAATATAGATACCATAAATTGAAAACCAATTCAATTCTTTGATGTTGATAAAGATCATAAAACCTGAATAATTTATCAATAGTTTCAATGAATTAGTAAGATCATTAATGGGCAAATAATTCTTGGAGAATATCCCATTTACTTTTGAGTAGTTCTACTAAGAATCTACTCCAACAACTCCATTGTTATGTTTAATATAGCCAGGCAGTGATGCCAGATAAGAAATAATACAATTGGCAGATAAATTAGGATACTAGGATAACATCTACACAGTTTCTTTAGGATAAGGTTAAATATAATTGGCATTGAAATTGATAAAGAATGGTATACACTAAGGTAAGTGGGTTTTATTATAAAATTGTCATGTTGCCTAATCTTTTATGCCAGAATTGGAGCAATTGTTTGAAAACCAATTTAAGAGTTAGAATATAAATAAGGAATTTAGATTATGGTTAACAAGTCAACCTACAAATCTATTTCCACATAATGTTTTACTGAAAAGTATATTTTTATTAAATAATTAATAGCTCTGAAATTGACATATGAATTGCCAAGAGGTTTAAAGAACAATATGTTAAGATCATATTTCTAATAAGACTAAGAGAAATTCGAATAATGCAAAAAATAAGATGAATGGAAGAATTTATTCTTTTCGTTGACTTTATTTCATGCTTGTATTTTAGAAAGAAGAAAATATGGTCCATTGGGATGGAATGTTAGCTATAATTTCTCATAACATGATCTTGAAATATCAAAAGAATAAATTCTCTACATTCTAAATCATTAACATGAAACCTAATGGGATGCATTATAATATTTGGTTGCTGAATCGAATTATGGTGGTAGAGTAACAGATCCTTAGGATAGAATACTGTTGAATATCTTAGTAAATGAGTTCTTAAATGAAAATACAGCAAAAGAAGGATATGTCTTTAGTGATTATGTTAAAATACCAGAATCAAATAATATACATGGCTATATTAACTATATTCAAACTCTACCAATTGAAGATCCGCCATAACTTTTTGGTTTACATCCAAATGCAGAAATATATTCCTCAATTTTATAAGTTGATCACATTAGTTAAGAGATCTTGTAAGTCTTACCGAGAGCAATTGGAGCTCAATAGAATACTGATGCTATTGCCAAACAAAAATGCAAAGAAATCATTGATTTATTGCCTTAACAATTCAATATTGCAGAATTGGAAAACAGATATCCAATTTTGTCACAAAACTCTTTGAATACTGTACTACAATAAGATGTTGGCAGATATAACAAACTACTGAGAACAATAAATTCATCTTTGTCTAATCTTATTAAATAGATAGATGGATATATTAATATGTCTGATGATTCCTAGGACATACTTGGATATATTATGGATAATAAAGTACCTAACGAATGGTTGAAACACTCATATTAAACAACTAAACCATTAGCAACATATATCAAAGATTTATTGGATAGATTATCCTTTATTCGAAAGTGGATTACATAAGGAGAACCAATAGTATATTGGCTAGGTGGTCTATTCTTTATACAAAGTTTTTTGACTGGTATTCTTCAAAATTATGCCAGAAAACATAAAATACCAATAGATGAGGTGAAATTTGACTATGAATTCTATCAAAGTAAACCAAGTTCAAAGCCAGAGGATGGGTTTTATGTTGAAGGCATATACTTTGATGGTGCGAAATTCGATTTTAAAACTAATTCTATTGAGGAACCTGAAAATCTCATTCTTTACTATAATGCTCCTATCATTCATTTCAAACCTACTTTAGAACAATAAGTACTGTAACACTATGCATGTCCTTTATATAATACTGTATAGAGAAAAGGGAATCTGACAAGTACTGGTGGATCAGCCAATTTCATATGCAATATTAAAGTGCCAATCAGATAGTCTGACAGTCATTGGGCAAAGAGAGGAGTAGCTATGATTTTATAATTAAATTGATTTATTTTTATATCTATTTATGTGGCTTAAATTTCTTTTTTGTGTGTTAATGTACTTTGAGGTAGAGTAATTAGGAAAGATTGCTATTAAGAGTTAATTCCAAAATGATATGTTGATATCATACACAAGTATTATTAAAGTTAGAAAGTAGATGCATTTTCTTCTGGACTATTTTTGGCAGTAGGGATTGTTCATATCCTCCCAGAAGCACACGAAACTTTGGCAGAGTATATAGATTATCCTATTGCATTTTTGATAGCAATCATGGGATTTTCCCTTATACTATTTGTAGAAAAAATAATTTTCCGAAATGTTGAGGAAAATCCAAGTTGTGTTGAACTATAGCAATTGGATAAATAGGGACATCATTAAGCAATCCTACTTGATAATTTCGATCATCAGCACACGAATCAATTGATCCGATCTTTAAAGCATAACCAAAATAATCTTAAACCCTATTTATTATCCACTGCTATTGGATTGCATGCTGTATTTGAGGGGATAGCTCTTGGTGTAACAAGAAGAACTTCCGATACTTTGGCCTTGGGATTGTCTTTGATGGGTCATAAGTGGGCTGAAGGTTGGGCACTAGGAGTAGCGTTTAGGGAATCAAGTGTTGAACAAGATTTGCAAATAAAATTCATCATTTTCTCTGCTTTGCTCTCTCCAGTTGGTATCATCATAGGAATGCTGATTGCTAGTGAAAGTATCTTTGTAACAGGGATTGTTTAAAGCATTACCGCCGGAACATTTATTTATATTGCTTCCACTGAGTTGATCGTTGAAGAATTCAATAAAAATTAAAACAAGACAATCAAGTTCATACTTTACCTTTTAGGTATAATGCTTATGTCTTTTATTGTATATTTGGAGTGATTTTATATTAATTTATATACACAGATTTATACGAGTCATAAATAAAATTATCGATTCTGAGGTAATTCGAACGTAGGAAATGATTGGATTTGATGGGGAATTGGATTTGGGTATTGTTTGAAATATGGGATGTTAAATATATAATATTATAAATAATTGTTTAAATATTTTCACAAAGCAATATAATTAATATGAATAGACTGATTACTAAAGAGAAATCTAGGAGTAATGAAGGGAGAAAGGAGAAGAGCGGATTGTTTCAAAATTGTATGATTATTTTTTACCAATTCAGATATCACTAAGAAGGACTTAGAACAAGTGAGTGGGATATTATAACCATAATTAAGGACTTTAAATTTCGACGAACTTACTAACGTATTTAAATTATCCATAACGTTTAGGGAACACTAGATGATCATATGAGTTGTCAAACATTTTTGCATTGCCTGCCAAATCAAGATAATTTGGATTCTTTGAGTGATGATCATATGTGTCCATACAAGAGAAAATATATCATTGATCAATTAAAGAATGTCATTAATTAAGGACAAGGTATATATTTACAAATAATAAATAGGAATTAATTTATCATTGTTAAGAGCATTGCAAAAACGAACCGATTCGTGCGAGAAGAAGAGTGATGTCAATGCATTGACTGACGATGAAAATATCTCGAATAGAGGATTAGAACAAATTAAGACAGTCATGGATAAGTATCAGGAAAGATAATAAAAAATTTAAAGATATAAGAATAAAAGAAGAAATTGGGAACGAAAAATATCTTACTCAGGAAGATCTTAAGTGGCTGAATAACGATTAAGAATTAAAGGCAGATTCATAAGTAAAGAAGATTAATAATCAATTAAAAAATTGATTCATAACAAGTAATAGGAAGATTTTTATGATAAAAAACACAACCTGAATATTGAGAAATTTCATTAGCATACAAAACTATTTACATATGCAGAGGACCCAAAAATGATTCCAAAAAAATAAATCTTAATGGACATCAGGGATGAGTATTAATTCCAATAATAATAACTAAAGATACTAAAATCAATCAAGTCCAAAACTAAAATTTTCTAGATTGTTTAGAAGTAAAAATCTTGAAAAATTATATTATATAATAAATTAATACATTATTTTAATTGTTATAATATAAATAAATCCTTAATAAATTACAATAGCAATTAAATTAAAAAAATGAATAATAACAATATCAAAATTGAAGTTATTACTTATTCCTTGAATCAGGTTTTGACTTAATGTTAGTGAATGTTTGCTTAAGGAGATTTTCAAAGTTTGTTTATAACTAGAGGTTAGTTAGACTTGACTTTGGATTCTTTTTTAGAGTCCTTTTTACCAATTTATCTATTGTTGCTCTGTTTAAAATAACATTATTATTTTGTTTTTCTAGATCTTTAGTAAAATAAAACTGAGAAGAGAACATTGGTTGAAAGGCAATGTTTTACTTCTGTTCTCTTTGAAGCTATTCAAAAAAGTACTTATCATTTTGACTCACTTATCTGATATTCAATTTTTGTAGATCTGGAATATATGGAGGTTTAACTTATTTATTAATAAAAGAGACCAAATCTACATCTCTAAACCATCTGTGTGAAAAGATTTCATCAATTCCAAAGCGAGAACCTAATCTCTTATGAGGGTCTTTGATCATCAATTATCTTATTAGATCTTTAATATCTGTACTTAGATAATCTGGAAATTCAACCTATTCTTTGAGCAATCGGGCATAAATGATATTTTTGTCATCAGCATAAAAAGGAGGTAATCCAGTTACAAATTCATATAATAGACATCCTAAACAATAATAATCAACTAATTAGGTGTGACCTGTTGTTTAGAACATTTCAGGAGCCATATATTCAGGTGAACCACAGAATGAATAGGCACAAGTGTCTTTGGTCATATTGGGTCTAGCCAAACCAAAATCAGCCAATTGTATATGACCACTAGAATCGATTAGAATGTTTTCTGGTTTAATGTCTCTATAAATAATTTATTCATTGTGTAGGAATCCTATGGCTAAGATAACCTCAATGATATAAAATTTGGCTTGTTATTCTGAGAGTCTTTATAATTTTTTGATGTAATTGAACATTTCTCCTCCAGGACAGTATTCGATTCCAAAAACAATCCAATTTTTGGTTTCGAAAGCACATTCAATTTAATTAGTAAAGATAGAACCACTATAAGTAATTTGAATGAGAATGTCTCTCTCATTCAATATTAGATCTTACTTTTAATGCTGTAGGATGAATTATTTATTAATCAATTTGAGAGCAACAAATTTGCCATCTATCAGTGATCTGGCTAAGATGACAGTTGAGAATCCACCCTTACCAATAATAGAAATGAATTGAAAACTGCTTAGATTGATTCGTTTAACGCTTTGACTGTAGATAGGCTTCAATCTAATGGTTTTATTGGCAAAAGAATCCATAGGTAAATTTGGTTGTTATAGATAGTAATCAATAGTATAATTTTCATCCACCGTTGAGAACCCAATTATTTAATTGTTATTCTATTGTTTTTACTTCAAGAGACTAGTTATTTTGTCAGTAGTGATATTGGGAGCGAATCGATAGTTTTAAACCTCATCTTATGAATAGTGAACATAAATGGATATTTCCTACTTCTAAATTTTGTCTTGGGATTGCGATTTACCAATTCCAGTATACATAGTACTCCCAATTAGTTCTTCCATACTATTTCTCCTTGTCATTGAGCCTTGAATTGGTTTTAGTTATTGACTATTAGATTATTAAGGATTGGAGTTTTTCTGTGTTAGGAGTAAATTAACACCTTTAGTTATGTGGAAGAAATTTTCAGTCGGGATACGCAATTATTTGCTTATTGGTCTTATTTTGTCTTTGGAAACTGATTTTTGTGATTTCTGTAAACTATTTACTCTTTCAGTCAAGCTACCATTATTTGTTTTGGTAATGTAATTTGGTTTAACAACAAAATCTTCAATGACTCCCTGGGATATTTTTCTATTGGGAAATCGTTGAGGGGAGATCAAAGTGTTCTTGGAGATTTGGGTTTTTTATTAAACTGCCACTCTGGATGGAGAAATTAGTATATGATGTTGCATAAATATATTAATAATCCAATTATTAAATGATAAAATGGAAAGTGAATTATAGTGTAAAGTGAATGAATGATTTAGTATATGTGAGATGGATTTGAAATGAGAATATATATATGTATACATTTTAAAGTCAGAGTAAATAATTATATTAATTTATGGAATAACATTTCGATTAATTTCACGAGGAATAATATGAGATAATGGACGAGTAGAATTAGACGGGGATAAATAAGGAAATAGCATATGAAGAATTGAGTGGCGATGAGGCAATGGAGTAATCCTTTAGTGTAAATTCATAATATATGGGCCATAATCGGAAAGCTAAAACAAACTTATTTATGACTAGTATGATAGTAACTAAAAGCATATTAGGGGTGGGAATCCTTGGACTTGTAAGAAATGCACATCTATTTAGCCTTACGTCACATATAACTTTGGGTTACTTTTTACAATTATTCTGATTATCGCCTTTTATTGGCAAACCTAATACTGTACAAATATGTTTTTGCAATGCAAGAATTTGTCAAAAAGAAGTAACATTTCAACAATTGGATTTTCGGCATTTAAATCAAAAGGTATAATTGTTTTCATCAATTTGATAATTATAATAAACAATTTTGGTTTATGCTTTGCTGAGATGATCATATAGGGAACAGCCATTTAGAATGTAGTGAAGTCTCTATTTGATGCTAATGATGGAGAATGGTATACACAGAGACAATTTCTCAGTTCAATATCAGGCTTGATCATGATCCCCATGATGGTTATTAAGAAAATTGAGAAACTCAAATTTGCAGGTGTTACAGCAATCTGTGCAATGAGTTTATTTTGCATTAGTTTGATAACCAGTTTTATAAACACAATGAAAAACGAGGGCATGGCAGTTGGATTCAACATTTTGCCTTATGATTTCACATTCATCAAGGCATTTGGAGCCTTCCCCACTTTATTACTAGCCTACAATTGGGAATTCAACTTGTTTCCTGTTGCAAAAGGGATGGACAAACCAAATGACAAGAAAGTGATGAAGGCTTGTTCTTATGGGATGATTGTTGCAACATGTTTCTATTTAATGGTTGGAATTATGGGTTGTGCCATTTATGGTAAGGAATCACAGACTAATTTCTTGGCTAGTGTGACCAAAGAAAAGATGGGGAATGTGCAATTCTATTTGTTGAATGGTTCCTTCTATGTATCTACTGTATTGACTACTCCTCTGGTGTTCTTTGGGGCAAGGAACAACTTTTTGCAATTGATCAAAGGAGAAAAGAAGAATAAAGTGAAGGGAGTTAACTTTGACTCTCTGGATGAGAAGGAGGTGGCTTTGTTGAAGAAGTAAAAGAAAAAGAGATAATAATCAACTAAGTATATGTACTATATTTGGTCAATTGGATTGTTTGTCATAATTACGATAGGCTCGATTTACATCCACTCCTTAGAAATAGCATTTAATTTTGTTGGATCGGTATCTTCGAACTCTATTGGTTGCGTATTGCCTAGTCTCTTTTTGTTTATGCTCATGAAGGAAGGCTACAAGAACAAATAGATGACAAAGATGGAAAGTCTACAGGAGAATTTAGCCAAGATATTCTTTGTCTATTCTGTTATAATGTCATTTGTTTGTTTGACAAGTGAGATTCTGACAACAATTTATGAATGAAGCTGTAAAAATTATATATTATATATATTAAATTAAAATGTAATAAGCTATTCCTAATATAACACCAGAAGTCAAACAAAGGTTGGAAGATTAAGGATTCAAGCCATTTAAATACAGGCCATTGCCAGAATATGCGAATCCCCATTCACTTTAATGTATTCTCATTCTTACATAGATTGGTTGACTAATGCTGGTTTAGGACTCATTTGTCTTGTTGGCAGACATTATGCTTCATCCCAATAATCCATTAGAATATTATGGTCCGCATCTGCTGTATTCATTCCTCTATATGCCATTGCCACCAACGCTAAACTTGATGGATTGAGACAAAACAATTTTTACAGGTTTCCATTTCACCTTTCAACCTTAGAAAAACTTTGGATGACAGACTCGAATTGCACCCATTGACCAGGAGAGCTTGGGAAAGAGCCAAGCAAACTCACAAGGAGTATTAGGATCAATTGAGAGAGGAGATTGCTACTTTGGAGGCAGAGTTGAGGAAATGAAATTATTGCATATAATAATAAAATTATATAATCATGAATGATTAACTTCTAACCATGACAGCATAGGAATTCTAACAAATTTACAAAGTAAGTCATTCATAGATTATCAATAAGGAGGTAGAATTCAAACTTGAAAAATTGCACAATAAGAATAATGTCATCTAATAAAATCTTGATGTTGATATCATCAAAAGAGAACTCTATCAAATGATCAAACAAGAAATTGATCAATTATAATTCTTCATTGAAGAAATCAAAGATCAAATGAAGTCACTTGAAAACAACATCAACAGCATTGACTCCAAAAATAAGTGATGAAATCTCTATTCATTTTAGGATCAAAAGATTAAAAGATAATTATCTTAAGGAAACATAACGAAACAAAGCTATCACTCGTATCCTCAACAATAAGTCTTCATTTTAAAGTGAAAAGCAGTATGACGGAGTCAGCATCCTGAGTCAATCTGGCACTGGAGAATAGCCTGACTCTGTGCCTTCCAATTCATCTCAATTTGAATACTAATAATAAAACATCCAACAAACCGACAGCTTTCAATAGTAAGATAAATAGTAGAATGGAATCACCATTTAAAATCAGGATTCTCCATCCAATTCTATGTTATATGAAAATGTAATCTAAAGGGATTCTTCAAACGAGATTAAATTTAATAATGAAGAACAAATAGAAGCCGAGGTTGAGGGTGAAGCATAGGAAGAAATCAATAATTAAGTTTACTTTATTGTATTGGTCATTGTGATTATTATGGCAGTTTTAATCATTTGGTTGCTATATGATGAAGATATTCTGTGATTTTTTATCTATTATTTTATTGTTATTATTATTATAATGGAAGATTAGATTGATAACGAATTCTTGGATGAAAATTAACAAAACCAAGATCTAATAGATTGCGAGCTATGCAATAGGAAGTTTCATCCTGAAAGAATTGAAAGACATCTTATTGCTTGTCAAAAAGCACAACTGAAATAATAAGAAAGGGACAAAATAATATAAAAAAAGAAAAAACAGATTGAACAAAAAAAATAACAACTTCAATAAATGGATGTTGAAATAGTTAAAACTAATTGGAGGGAAGAACATCAAAAATTTTAGGAATAAATCTAATATAACCGAAAATTAAAATAAGTAATAACAGCATTATATATTAAGTTAGAAAATGAAGGATAAGATGTAAATTAGTTAACACCACCAGAAACAAAAGTAAATTCCAATTATGTTTTCTGCGAATATTGCGAAAGACATTTTGATAAACGTAACAATTAAATATCTATCTCTAAGATGTTGCTGAAAGACACATCCCAAAGTGCAAAGAAACCAAAGCCAAGCCTAAACCTCCAAGGAAGAAGACCGTTGATGTGATATAACCTTCCTAACCTCAACTTTAAGAAAAAAGATAAGCCTAAGTTAGTACCCCTTCTACTTCAAGTCAAATGGAAAGAAAGCCCATCATCAAAAAATAACTATCAGACTCATCGCAACAATTCAGACCTACTAGTTTATAAAAATTTATAGCAGAATAGTCTGGCAAAGCAAATTTAACAAATATAGGTATTACTTCAAGTTCTAAACAGGTTTTATTGACTGCAAATCAAGGGCTACTGCTATCTAAGATACAGAGTGTCCTCATTGCAATAGAAGATTCATATCTAGAGCTGCTGAAAGACACATTCCTATTTGTGAGAAATTAACAAGAAAACACTCTTTTTGTATGAATATTTCATTAATAATTAGAAATCAAATATCATAATAGAAAGAGTGTTCCCATAAAATAAAATAATTTAATGATGATGGTAGCTCCTACAGCCCTTTTACCTTAAATTTAAAGAAAAGGAAATAAGTAGTTAGATGTAGGAACTTTGCCTCCTATTGGAAATAGTTAAAAGTTTTGTACTGAATGTGGGAATAGATTCTAGGCTAATCACAAATATTGTGGGGGATGTGGACATAAAAGAGAACCTGAAATTGTAATTTGAATTATTAGCATTCATGACAACTTAAGATTTTATTTATATAAAACAGTTTTTCTTTTTTTGTTCCCAGTATTTCTAGGTACTTGTTTTTTTTGAATTTCCCTCTGTTTATGGGTCCATTAATTGATTTCCGGCGGCATATCTTTATTTTTAATATAATCTTCTATTTGATTGACATCCACAGCTGTATATGATTCATCTTTTATTTTATTGAACAATTCTACTAAAATATCTAAGGTTGATTAATTATCTCCGTTTGTGATTCTTAATACTTAATTGTGTTTTCTGAACTTTTTAAGCATGTATCTAATCAAAGTCATGTAGAAATGTTTCGCTGCTAGATGAAAACAGTTATTTCCCATTTTATCTTTAGATAGCAAAGAAAGCTTAGTGTTTTTCAACAGAAACCGAACTATTTCAATCTCACCATAATAACATGCCCGATGAATAGCTGTTTAACCTTCATTGTTCTTTAAATAAATATTGATGCCAGGAATATTAAATAAAACTGATACTAATTCAATATTCCCACTTGCACAAGCAGCAATAAAAATACTGGCTCCTCCATTTTCTTTCGTATTAACCTTGGCTCCAACACTAATTAGATATTAAATGATCTCAATATTTTGATTAATAGTGGCAATCATAAGTGAGGTATCTCCTTATGGATTTTTATCTTCAAGTAGTGTAGTTAATTGATTCTCATCAGTAGAATTAATTATGTATTTAACAATCGCAATTTGATTCATTCTCACTGCTAACATTAAGGAATTTTCCCCTTGAAAAATGGAAGTGAAATTATAATTAGTTGATTAGGCTATTTATTATAGTAAATCCAAATCTCCATTTATAATCGCATTTGCAATTTTGTCCTGGGTTGTTTATGAGAAGTATTTAATTGTAGTTTCAGGCACTCCAATTGCATATAAGCCTTTCACAATATAATTTCCCATTTAAATAATATAAATTATGTAGATTAGATTTATCATAACTCATCATTATTAACAAAAGTCCATCCTCCTAAATGTGCTTTGGATTCCTCTACTATACTTTGCATATCAAACACATTTCCATCAATTTTAGTATTGATTCTAATTTTCCTGTTTGGCTTAGGCATTGTCAACTCTCTATTGTAGACAACTTCCCAATTAACATCCTAGAAATATTGATGTGCCTTGATTTCTTCTGAGTCTCCTTTGCCCGAACCTAGACGCTTGGCTGGATTTCGTTATAATAACTATGAGAATTATATTGAATTGGTACTGCTTTTAATAGATTTTTAGCCTCATTAGAAATATATGAAGGTATTTTGAGTTAAGCATTTTCAATATTATAAAACAATTCCTCTCTATTGTTAGCATAGTAAGGAGGCAATCCAACCAATAGTTCATACATCACTACTCCTAATAAATACCAATCAACGGCTTTTCCATGACCAGATCTCTTCAGCATTTCTGGTGCCAAATATGCAACTGATCCACAAAATGAACGAGCACCAGTATTAGGTTCTAAGATACCTTCCTTTGATAATCCAAAATCTGTCAAAAGAGCATGACCTTCGGTATCCAAAACAATATTATCAGGTTTCAAATCTCTAAATATAATATCTCGTTTATGTAAATCTTCTAAGGCTAAAACAATTTCACATAAATAATTCTTCACTATGTTTTCAGGGAGTCTCTTCTATTTTTATAAGACTTCTCCCAAATCCCCTCCTGGACAATAATCTAAAATCATGAACAATTTATCCTAAGTCTGGAATGCAAATCTTAATTTAACTATGAAGGGATGAGAGGTTATTGACAATACATTCCTTTCCGTTAAAGCATATCTGGTCAAATTATGTTCTAATGTTATTATTAAATATAATTGTACTCATGATCCTGCTTTTATGAAGCACTTTCATTGCATATAACTAATTGCTTTTCTATACTAAATAAACTTCTCCAAAACTACCCTTTCCGATTAATCCAATCACTTGGAATTACTAAGGTCCAATCTTCTCTTCTTCCTTATTCTTAATAGAATCAGAGTTTGTGGAAACAGTATTTGTTAACTATTATTTAGCAGAATGAGTTGAGTTTATCTTATTTAATCTCTCTTATTTAATTTCTTATTAAGTTCTATTGTTTGGAGAAGATGATTGTTTGTTTACAACATTTAAATTTTTGCATGAATAACTATTTAATTGAGTTGGAGTTTAAGCAAAATTTTGTTAGGTTTATTATTAAATTCCTTAATATTATTACTATTATTGTTATTATTGTTATTATTATTATTATTATTATTAATTCATCTATCCTCTTTTAAATTAAAACATTTTAAGAATGACATCATTTTAAGTATTCTATATTTAGACCATATTCATTTTCTATTCTTAAATTAAGATTAACAAATAGATTTACATAGCTTTTTAATTTCGTCACTATAAGTCTAGAATAAACGTTGGACTTCCTCATTTTATGCATACTATTCAGCAGTTTTATGTTCTTTGTTGATTTTAAACTAAATTGATTGTCTTTTCAATAACAACTAAACGACTGTTTTATGATTCTATTTACAAGCATAATGTAATGCTGTGTTTCCAAAAGAATCTTAGTGATTGATGTCTGAACCTGCATTCATCAATATCATCAAGACTTCATCTTATCCACTTATATGTTATTAATCAATTCAATACTTTAAGGCAGCTAAAATTAATGGGGTCATGTGATCTTTGTTTTATGCATCGATAGCAATTTACTTAAATATTAATGCAGATGTTAATTAAGCATTCCCATTTTTGGCTGCATAATGAAGTGCTGTGTTATCCAACATGTCTTTAGCTGAAAGAGATGCTCTGAGTTCTGAATTGATCTTCTGTCTGGGAGGTAATTTTACTATGAATTATAAACTTAATTATACAAATATTATGAACTAATGTTGGTTCCAATAATTAGAGACATCCACCAGTATTATTGTTCTTACTCTCCTTAATGAACCATTAATTTAATTATTTTTTTATATCTTCCAACTCACCCGTTCTTGGAGATGTTGCTTCTACTGTTTTTGTTATACCAGAAATAGAGATAGGTATTTTCGGTTCATCAGCCTAACTAGTTTATCTCTTTGAGCTCGACACTTTCCTATTCTAAAAAAATGGCACCAACTTATGTTAAGAGTGAGAGCGATCAGTAGATAATTTTGTTTGCTATTTTAATTGTGAAGTTGTCTTAGGAGTCATTATTTTTGAGGCATTAGTTTGGGATTTTGCTTAACTTAGTCTCCTATTGTTTGCATCTTGGATTTGCTTTAATTTATCAAGATATTCTTAAAGACTTGGCTTGCTATTACTGTTAATATTCATTTATTATTTTTCTAAATATTATTTATATAATAACTTATAATTACATATATCAAATTGAATATTCAAACTCTAGTTTCCCTTCAAAATCGAAAGGTCCACAAATTTATTTCATCATTATTCAATCAAATAAAATAACTATCTTTCTTGATCTGAAAAAATTGATTTAAACACTTTGAAATCAATTTTATCTTCAAATATTAAATTAGATTTATTATTAAGACCTATCTATCCCTTAAGTGTAATATAAAATCTTTTAAAATTATGATAGCTTTGCTTAATGTAAAACTCTACTTAATTTTATATTCTCCCCTCTTCTTAAACTCTTAATATTGATTATCCATTATTGTAATTTATATTAGTTATCTATACTGCTAATTAATAGAAATAGTCAATTATCAATATGGTTTAAAGATATATATTTTATCCGAACTAGAGAAAGTAACCTGATTTGGTATATTGGTAGAAATTAATCTCGAAAATGAGGAATATAACTATATCTTTTGTTTTTAATCTCAAATAGATATTATAATTCTGAAGATCAATATAAAACGTATAAAATCTTTATATAAATCACTCTTATCTAGATGTATCTCAACGCTTCTATTACAATTGCTGTTATTTCATCATTCTCAATCTTTTTGATTACTCAATTGAATCAAAATAGTATGATTATGGATTCTACTACTAGTAAGTATGTTACTATTAGTAACCCTAATCTTATTATTATAAAGGTTGAGTTCTTTCTTACATCTAATTGAAATCTTAATTGTATTATTAACGTAAAGTTTCTTATTAAATATAAATAGATACAATAAAACTAGGATTAGTGAGTCTATTATTATTCATATATATTTTAGGCTGGTTTCAATGGCCCATAAACAAACCTCTCTTTATCCTCTGCTGGATTGTATAGAAATGGATGAGGATTACCTACTAATGAGACTAGAATTATTACTGGATATTGTCTTTTGATATTCTATTTATTCTTAAGTCAATGGAGGAGAGGATAATGGATAATATTTGATATTCTTGTTGTTCAAATGTTTAATTTCGTATTAGTTTAATGTTTATTGCATGTCTAGTATTAAATTAGCATTTACTCCCAATAGTATCCTCAATGCCTCCTAATTGTTAAATGTTTTATTTGAATAGTTTGACTTATTCAGGAGGAGCAGGATCATTTATCGCTTATAGATATTGAATTTATCTCTTTTAGAATTCGCTTACATCGTGAGGGTCTTTGAAATATGTTGGCTACTTAATAATTTAACCTAACTAGTTTGAATTCACATTAAAGTCTAAATAATTATTAGGAGCAGGCACAAATTGATTGCCCAACATATGATCCATCAATAAATGCTATTGTTAAATCGGTTTGCTATTTTCTTATTAGCTCCTAGCATTTTCCAGTGTTTATGAGTATTATAACAATTATCTAATTTAGAATGCAATCAATACCCTTAATCTGCAAACAGGGTTTATCGAGAAAAATGATCAAGCAAGGAATTTTATTGTGGGATATTCAATTGTTATTGCTAATATTTTGGGACTTGTGGATAAGCCTAACCAAGGTTCTAACAAACGCTATTAATGAGTTTTATGAAATACTCTCGATCGAATTGCTCCATTACTTATGGGAATTAGTCAGGATTCTTAATGTTAGGATTTTAACAAAAGTTGGATGCTGATTACCTAAAAACTAAGAAGAAATTTGATATATTTACAATCCTTCTCCATTTAATTGGTTGTTATATATATTTAATAATAATACTTAAATAATTATATGATAATAAAAATATTAGATGTCTAGAATTCTTTATATTGGATTAGATAATTCTAGAAAGGAAGATAATAAATACTAATTTGACTTCTCATCATTGAAAAACTCTAATTTTGGAGAAAAGATTTCTGACAAGTAATCTTTTATGTCTTCTTACTTTTCAAATGACCAATCTTCCAATTTGAAATCTGAAACTTTTGGTTGTATATTCAATACTTCTAATTTTGATTGTGGTATTTCCGTCGCTTATTATGAAAAGATTTATTAAAGCTATTCTTACTTTTCTGACTTCTAATCAACTGATTAAACTTATTGCTGCCTCTTCCTTCTTTGCTCCTCAAATTTTACTTTCTACAATTATTTCATTAACCTAATATTTGATATCAAAATTTCTGATAAATTCATCCTACCAAGCTTTACTAGCTTTGAAGTTGGGAATGTTAAATAATTCTATAGCTTTCTATTTTAACTAAGATCTCCTAACTCTCCTTCTCAATTCCACACTTTCCTTTATGATCCATGATCTTAGTTCCTCTTCAGCTTTTGTATTGAGTTTCTTTCTTCCACATCCAGGTTTACGAGCTATTCCATCTTGATACCACCTCCTTAGGTTTTTAATTGAAGTGTTGTATTTCTCACTTAAGATTTAATACATCTCAAGAGAAGAGTCTTTTTGTAAGCTCTCTAAAATCTGCTGTTTGTCATCTTAACCTAGGATATTGTATTTCTTCAATGCTTTATTCTTCTTATTTTAACGCTTAGTATTCGAGTTGCTACTATTGTTATAGTTCATTACAAGTGATAATATTAATAAGGAATTTTATTAAAAGGCGCCGTTAAGGTTGCACAAATCCTTGTATTAATTGGTATATTTATAATTTTAATTTTAACTATCTTATAATTTAAAATTTAATCTACATAACAAAGGAAATATAGAATTGTATTAAAATTACAAATTTTAATATTATAAATATAAAATATATCAATAATAAAATAAAATTCTTAGCAGATTCTCTTTATACAAGAGAATTGAGTTTGGGGACAGATCGTGCTATAGTGAACTTCATCATAGGGAAAATAAATGAATTTTTATTTTGGCGTTATTGATAACTCAATGACTTTGTCACCTGTGTTCTATTGTTATTATTGGACATCATCAGAGATAACAAATGTAAAATTATTACATAGGTATAAAATTTAAATCATTATTATTTCTTCGTTGGTTTCAAAGCACCTTTTTTGCAAGGTTTTTTAAATGCCCAGTCAACTTGAACTTTTTTACCATAAATTCCATCTGACTTGTTAACACCATTCAAAGCATCTTAAGCATGGGCGAAATCACTAAATTCGATTAATGCATAACTAATAATTTTATTAGCTTCTACCCTTTAACAAAACCAGTTCTTCTGTCAAGATTCAAATGGAGATTCTTAATTGGACCGTATTTGCTGAAGGCATCAAATAAATCATCTTCTTAAGCTTCTTCATGAATTCCTTTGGCAATAAGAATCCATCCTTCAACAGCTAAATTATTAACCTTATTTATTTTACATTTCATTGGTCCTGGACCATCATCACTTTCTAAAGATTAGAAATTACCTGCCTCTCCTTTATATCTATCCTCATTATCATTGACTTATTTTTTTTACATTAATTTATAAATTTAATGGAACTTCTTTATCTAAATTGAATTAGAAAAAAGTTCTGAGCAAAACAAATGTACAAAACAGAAATTGTAAGTTAATTTTTATAATGCTTAGATTTTACATATTATTATTATGAAATATTGTAATTTTATTTCAAATTCCAAACATCTTTTATATTTAGGCTGAAGCTATGCTATGATAACTATTTTTGCACATATTGAATATTCTTAATCCTATTTCTCGGTTTTTTTCAGCCAAAGCTCTATAAACAGGACATATGAACTTCATTCTTCCATTAGCTCTTAAAAAATCACTCAATTTATCACTAAATTAATATTAATCAAGTATTACCCTAATGCAACAGGATAATTGTTCTTGATTCCATAGATTAAAATTCTATGCAAAATCTCAGGATTATTGGATTCAAATAATTGATACTCTTCTTCTAAATTCTTCAATATTCTTTAATCAATATCTTTGTTTCCAATTAAATCTAAAATGAAGCATTTTTCATTTGAATGTAAGTTTTAGAAATCATCCAATTGCATTTAATTATCGTATAGATCATTCGCTAATTTTTCATATTTTTTGCTAAATTATTCCTCTATTTTTAATTTTTCTTTTGGCATTCCAGGATCAATAATCCATGATTACCATTGAATATCTACTCCTTCAATATTATTTTCAAGAAGGAACTTCTCCAACAGACTTCTGAATTATTCTGAATTCAATGTATCCTAAGAAACTATTAATCTAATAAACTCTTAAAATTTCTATTCTCCAATTTAACCTTCAAGAAATCTTAAAAATTAACATCCTTTTTGATAAGGAATCACAGAGAAACAATCATCAGGATTTTGTTAGTCAAGTTTTGGAGATAATGTAGTATACGTATGCTCAGCCCCAAAGTTATTGATACTTTTCTATAGACTATTATCCTAAAAATAATAATTTTAGTGATTACGCCTAATAAACCATGTAATGTCTATTGATCTTTTCCAAAAATCTTGCCAACCATTTTATTCTCAATAAAAGTAGTGATACCTTCATTCAACCAAAAACATTCCCAATTTTGACATGTCATACTATTTCCAGACCAAGAATGTATCATTTCATGAATGAGTACAGCGGTTTCACTCTTATCACCCACAACCAAGGAAGGTGATAAAAATGTCAAATTTGGATTTTCCATTCCTCCATAAGGAAAGGCCTTAGGTAATACAATCACAGTATATTCATTCCATTTATAAGGTGTTAAATACTCTTCAATAGTTGAAAGATATTTCTCCATGTCAGAGAACTCATTAGCACATTTATTGATTAAAATAGGTTCAGATATTACAAATGTCCTTTCACTAATTTTTTTTTTCTCTAAATCTCCAGCACAGATGGCAAACAGATATGAAGGTATAGCCACAGGTTATTTAAATTAGAATATATTCTTGTTATCCTTTGAAGTTTCTTAAACTAACAATCCTGATCCGAATGCTTTTAAGGGTGCAGGCACTGTCAATTCAATATCGAAAGTTGATTTGATTGATGGACTATCTTAGCATGGATACTAAGTGAATTAATAATAATATGTACTAATGATCTTGCATAAATAGCTTCTGATTATGTAAATAAGAAAGGGTGCTTATTACCAAATGTTTAAGATGGTTGAAGCCAGTTTTGTGCAACCTATTCGTTGTTAATATTTTATTAAGTTGAATATATGATTTCAACCTGGAATTCTTCATTTTCTTATTTTTCAGTAAATATTTCTAATTGATCTCCTAATTCCTTAACAACTAATTCTTTATAGTGAAATTAAGTCTCTTAGTCATTTACCTTTACACCTTTAATAGATAACATTTTAGCATCTAATTATATTTTGTTCACTGATTTAATGGCCTTCATCTTTAAAATTACTCTTCCAGTTAGTATTTATTGTACAAAATCAATTTCAAGCGAAATTGAAGTGTTCAATGTTTTCACTTAATCTATGTTAGATAATGAGCATTTATCCAATTTATTGAATATTGTTCCTTATAAGGATTATTCATTAGATTGAAATTGGTTAAGGGATTGCTACTTTGATTATTGCTTTCTTATTTTAGTTGAAACCACTAGAATGGCGCCTATGACTCCTAAACCAATCACACCATATAAAGATTTTTTGTAGTATCTACTTTGATAAAATTATCTTAAGGCTTACATAATATTTTATTTATTTAATACAAATGTAAGAATTATCACTTAATAAAATATAAGAAGAAATTCCCTAAATTAGATATCGAAGGCCAAATTATTAAATTCCTATTCTAAGCAGGATTTCAAATGAGATCAAATCAATTCATTTTCCAAACAAAACAATAGTCTAAAATAAATCCAACGAACATAAATAAATTAAACCTTTGAAATTGCTACCCTATACTCCAATATCAATCTAATAACAAAGATCAATTCCATATAAATATTCTAAAAAAATCAATTCAAAAAAAACTAGTGAATTGGATCATCTGGATTTTGAAAGCTCCTCTAGATAATTACAATTGTTTTTGGAATAAGAAAAAAACCAATTGAAATCAGAGAAATACATATAGTCATTACTTGAGTGCGTAAAAATGCCCTCAATCAATACAGATATCAATAGGGATAATAAATAAACAATTGATAGTTTAATACAGTCTCAAATTGGGTCTAGTGTAAGAGTGAACAGCTTGAAACCTAAACTATTTAATAGGAAAAGGTCAAAGTCATATGAGATCTTCGATAAGAACTCTTACTACTATTTTGATTCTCTCGACTTGTAAAAATATTAAATCATTTGATATATATTATTTGTTTTAGTTATGTTGTATTTTATAACATTTTTCATCTCTTTAAGGAGTTAATCGATTGATCTTGTTTGATTTTTTTTACAATTAGACTATAGGTGTCACTGTCTTAATACTGCAATAAATAGGCAACTTCTCTCTTAACGTTTTTGGCAGGAAATGACTTGTAATTTTGTAAAATCTTATTTAATGATTGCTATTTGTCACTACTGACTTATTTGTGATTTTTTGATCTCATTTTTTATGATTTCACATTCGATTTTTAATTTTTCTATTTATTATTGTTATTATTGTTATTATTATTGTTATTGCTATTATTATTGTTATTGTTGTTATTATTGTTATTTTTTTCATTCTCTTCAGATTCATAATCACTACTTTATTAATACTCACTACTACTAGATGATAAGGAAGAAGAGGAAGATAATTCCTATATATATTCAACATCAGATCTAAACCATGAAATAACATAACATACTTCTGAACCTTCTTAGTAATTTTCTTTATCTTCTTCTGAGTTTTTTATTTTTTTTATGTCATTTTTGAGGTTTATTCTTTTTGTTATTTCTGTTATTTAACTTCGTAATTCCAAATGAGAATATCTTATTCCAATATTTTCCATTTCATTTTCTCCCTCCTCATGACTTACGAACACAGCAATCTCAAATTCTCGAAATCCAACCTAATTCCCTACATATCTTTGAAACTGTTCAACTATTATTTTACAAAAGAGTAGCCAGTTCTCTTTTGATTATTCAAATAATATACCTAAAGTTGACTGGGTTTTTTTCTATATAATTAATCATCAGTTAAGGGACGAACGTACTTTTCAAAAATAGAATCTTTAGTTAATTATTCTAGATCCCCTCCACAAATAGTATATAAGTCCTTCAATTTTATCATTATATCATTTCTTTGACAACGGGAACAAAAACAGATAGCCTGATTAAATTATGGATATTACTTAGCAAAAAGGACAAACCCAATCTGTCTTCTAGGTTACTTCCTCAATTTTTATATCATAATTTTATTTCAAACACATTCTACAGAACTTTCTTTAACAAATCAACTCCCCATCTATAAAATTAGCATTGATGATTTACTCTTTTTTGAATAAATGCTATATGCAGTTTTCTTTCTATTTGGGACTTATCTTCTACTCTTTATTCCTTCATCATCCACTAAAAAGTTTACATATATTTTTACTTTGAGTAAACAAATAGGAATCTGTTATTGATGAATTTATAATCGGTAATCCCATGGTTCCACTTCTATAATTACAAGAGATAAGATATTCTTCTCTAAACAGCATTTTGCAATGGTGGCATGCCTCATATCTTAACAAAGTAGAATCATTATCATTAGATTAAGCTGCTTTAGATTCTTTGGTTAGATTTTTATTTATCAATGGATTAGGTTTTTGTCTGTTTTATTGTACTTGATTTATTCCAATAAACTTTATTAATAAAATAACATGATACATTTTAAGCAATGTGAGAATATTTAGTTTTTTAAGGGATATTGTAGAATTTAAATAAAGAAGTATCTCTTAGTTTATCCAATTCGTACATCAAATCTTCCTCTATATTGACATAGGTTGAGTTTAATGCTTATTCGAATGCTACACAAAATTAATAACCATTAGGAGAATGCACACTGTTTATGACTTTAACTATAGACTCTGCAGTCTATCTATAGTCTAGCTATTCAAGACTCTTTCTTAAATAAGTCAATAATGCATCATTATTATAAATGATTTGATTTTTACTGAGAGCATTATTGCCTCTGCCTTACTTATAAATATGCACTTAGGTTCCAAAGACATTTAAAGGTTGCTCGCTTTTGATTTTTTAAGTCAGATTTTATAGATCTTTCTTATTGGATTTATTTAGTTGTTATAATTCATTTGAATACTCTTATAACTGCTGAAATATTTCATCTTTTTGTCCTGTTCTCAGTTCTATCTGTTCATTCAACTTGTCTAACAATTTATCCAATTATGCATTTTCTTATATTAACGAACTTAATTATAATGTGCACAATACCTGATGTTTTTTTATTTAAATTTAACCATTGATTTTTGTTTCATGTAATAAATTTTCTCGATCTAAGGTATTTTTAGAGCCTTTGCTTTGTGAATGAGACCACTCAACTTGATATGCTTCTAAATATTCTCCCAATAAGTTTTATTTTCTGATTAAATCTGTTGTTTATTTAAGATTTATCTTGCTTAATAAAACTTATAATCAGCATATTTCACAGGAAATTCTGTCACAATAGCATCATCATTCATAGCTTTGAGGTAATCAAGCCTCTCATACTCAGGTTCATCCACTTTCTTAAAGTACACTTAGTTAATATGTCTCCAAAAATAACATAAAATGTATTCATTCTAATACGAACTGTTGATGTAGGAATTGTTCTATGATGTTCTAATCTTCAGCTTGCGTCTATTTGTAATGAATATTGATCTTACCTGGAGTATTTATCATAAATATCAAAATTCCCATTCTTTTTATCTAACTTTATTATTTTCTCAAGATTATTTTTGTTTTAGTTTTTATCTGCATTCAATTAATTTTCTTCGCTCATTCCTAAAATAATATACTTGAAATAGCAAAATATAAATGTAGATAGGAATACGGATGAATATCGTTCAATATTCTCGTTGTATAACAATACCTTTCTTTGATTTCTCTCCTTGGAAAAAGAGTGATATTTATTAAATAAAATAATGAAATCGGGTATAATTTAAATTAATACGCTATCTAAAATTATTTAAAGATACCCGATCAGCCTTTCCACATAGTCTAAAGAACAAAGAGTTGTCATTATACACATATATATTATACACATTATAATCAAAATACTAACAAGCCTTTTGAATGTCATATTCCTCTAGGTTTCGAAACTCTACAAGGGGGAATTTTTTTTTTTTTCAATAATCCTAAAGAAAGCGCTTAAAATGGCTTATTGGCACATTTATTTGATATTTAAATTTTTCCGAAAAAACATTTACTACTTAAAATAATTACAAAATGATTTTAATAATGTATTGTGTAATTTCTACACTGTTTTTATTAAATAATTCAAAATCATTTTAAATAATTTATTATAAGTGAGTGTTTATTCTGATGTCAACAATGTTATAAACTTTTGGAGATGGAAATAAATCAAATTTACATCCAGTATTCCTGAAGTTGTGACTATTTTTAAAAATAAATAATATTGTTTTTAAGATTATCACACATCAGTATATTAAATTATATTGATTAATAAATTGTGATTATTTTCGAAAAGATACAATTTATAATTATTTATCATTCAAAGTGCAAATAATCAGATAGCAGGATATATATAATCTTTTAAACTATTTTTAATATTCCCTTATTTGAGACCTTTAAATTGAGACAAAAATTAACTACTTTACATTCGTATAATACTGCTCCCAATTAAATTAATTATTATCAAGTGTTATATACGATTATTTATATAATTTAAATTCAAATTAATGGAAGAACCGAAAGGGATTGTCCGACATATATAGACATTGCAAGATCCACAATTGTCTCGATCATACAGAGGACATGAAAAAACATATTGTCTATCATTTGATCCATAAATGAGATAATTGGCATCGGGAGGAAATGATTCAATAATACATGTCTATAGTTTCAAACCACAAGGAAGGCCATTTAAATTTAACGGACATAAAGGAGCAGTGTACAGTGTGCAATTTTCACCAGATGGTTAAATAATTGCAAGTGGTGGAGAAGACAGGACTATTCGGTTGTGGAAGAATTCTGTGTAATTTTATATTAATATGAGCTGAATAGTTTGGGAAAATGCACAGCAATTAAAGGACACATTGGAAGTGTGAGATCTTTATCATTCTCTTCAGATAGCAGTATGATCGTATCCTCATCAGATGATAAAACTATAAAGGGATGGAATGTATTAAAGAACAACTTTATGTTCTCATTGGCAGGACATACTAATTGGGTCAGACAAGCCAAATTGTCTCCAGACTCTAGATTGGTTGTGTCTGGATCAGATGATTCAACAGTTCGTTTGTGGGATGTCAATCTATCTAAAGAATTGCAGAAATTCAAATGTGAAGATTCGATATATACAATTGATTGGATCAGTGATGGAACTACAATATGTGCAGGTTAAATGGATGGTAAAATTAAAATATGGGATGCTCGTTCGATGAGATTAATTTAATATTATGAGTGTAGTAAGAAATCAGTAAATACAATTAATACTCATCCTAGTGGTAATTTTCTATTGTCTGGTGATGATGAAAGCAATCTAAAGATATTTGATCTAAGACAAGGAAGATTGGCATGGTCACTGTATTCTCATTCTTAGCCTATTAAATAAGTCTAATTTAATTATGCAGGTGATTATTTTGCTTCAGCTGGATTGGATTCAAATGTATTGGTTTGGCAATCTAATTTTGATGAAAACATGAAACCTTGTAATGTTATCAATTTTGTGGATAAGAATATATCAAATAACGATTCATAAACATTATCATCTTCAAATCAATTTAAGGTTCCTTAAACTACATTCAAAGCCAATAAATAGCAAAATAAAATCAATTATGAAAACTAGACCAATTAATCTCTGTTGACTAATCAGACTCATCAAAGTCCTTTAGCTTAAATGTTATCAACCAAATTTGAGAAAATTGTATCTTAAATGGATCAAGTTACTTAATTGATTGTATCAATCGATAAGAGAATCACATCAAATGAAGATCAAGTTAAAAAGCTATTATAGGTATTAATATTATATATTGATATTTTAGAATGAGAGAGTCAAATCAGTTCTTGGTGTTTATGAAGATTAATATAAGGAACCATATTAGAAGGCTGCAGTTTGGGAGAACTATAGAAACAAACAACAATAGAACAACAATTAATTGACTTTGTAGCAATAGTAACAATTACAAGATCAGGAACCTGTCTTTGGAACAGGATCTTTTATGAGAGATGGCGAGTTAGAAGATTTCCCAGAAGAAAGTGAATAGAAGTTGAAATAGGAGTATGAGGAAGAGAAATACAAATTGCAATAAGAACATTTATTGGAAACTGATTAAAATCAATAAACTTTCAATGTTACAGGTGAGCAGAATATCTTTCAAACAGGGGCTCTGGATGGTACTTTAAGCAACAAAAACAATTATAATAATACATTTTCATTGACATTCACTTAGAGATAAAACTTATAAGAATAATTGAATAATTTAGGAGATTGGAGGGAATAGCTTGAGTAAGTTTAAAGGGAAGTAATGGAAAATTAACAAGATAATGATTAGTTTATAAGAGAAGTTAATGAAGATGAAGAAGAACAATAGGAATAATAGGATGAGTAAGATGAATAGGATGTGCAGCAATAATAGGAACATCAAGGTTAGTAAGTAGAAATTCAAGAGGAAGAACACCCAGTTTAAGAGGACTTTTAAGATGAACAAGGAAATCAAGGAGAGGAAGAAATCAGATATTAAGATCAAGGAGCGTAAGAATGAACTAATTAATATATATCAATTTTTATGATTTATATTTTATCTACATATGTTGCTCATCAAAATATTGTTATAATTACAAATGTGCAATAGAATAGAAATAATGGATAGGCTATTAGGAATCTTCTATGTTGCAATGCTAAAATCTGATAGTTATTTTATAATTTTACAGTATCGAAGGTTTTTGAAACACTGGCAGTAGACCAGACTGCACAAACAATAGCTAATGCATATCCAAATGATGAACTAATTAAAATGAATGATTATTTAATACTTCAGTTACAAAAACACGCTGAGAAATGTCAACAATACTATAGGTGCCAGTCCATAACCCAAATAACTCAATATTTTATAGAACTCTATCTGCTTGCCTTGTTGTTGGATCATAAAATTCATTAATAAATAGAGCAACATCCAGCCCCACAATCCAATCCCATAAATATAATTGAAATGCACTTTTCCTGTCTATTGAATTAAATAAGTATTTACTAATAGTGGCAATAGTCCTAAGGCTGCAACAATTAGGACGGGACCTGAGAGATCTGGATCTTCCAAATACTCGCTATCACATTTTTAGAAAAAAAGAACACTCAAAATCCTTTATTTAATGAGCAATGGCGAGGTTATATCAAGGTCTAATTTATCGTTGGGTCTATTGGATTACCTTCTAATAGTGGTATGTCTTCAATGGATTCCTAAGGTTGCGAGTTTGATGAGTCAAACAATAAATGTTTCTCTTCCTGATTTTCCACGTTGTCACCTAATTTAATGGTTTCATTCAAATCTTCATTTTCTGTAATTATCAGCAAAAGTGATACATATGTCAAAGGGATTACTCTGGAATTGCCTTGGGTTTTCATTTGGATCTATAATACCAAATGGATTTTTGAGTGGCTACATTAAATTAATAATTATGATCTAAAATGGTATTCTATTGAATATAAGATAAAATGAATCTGAGGAATAAAAATAAATTGATCTCCAGAAAAAAGTAATTATAAATTTCATCTTGCATTGATGGATAGTCGTTTTTTAATATTTTTGTTATTAAATGAAAAACTCATATTTGCTTTTGATCGTTGCCATTACATTAGTACATGTACATGGCTTGGAGGAGTCTCTGACCCTTATGAGTTTAGAGTAAATGAATTCGTTGGACACATCTTAATATGATTGCTCACGTCCATAGTCTGAATTCATCCAGATGGAGAATTCCTTGTCCTAATGGCAAGACTTGTTGGAACATAAAGATTACATTGATCATGATATTAAAGTACTTCAAGGCATCCAAGCTAAAGTGGGCCTCAAAGCATCACATAAATAAGTGATCAAATCATTAAGTCAACTAAAATTACCAAAAACATCAACAAAGATAGGTTTGGCTGAAGTTGAAGCACTAAAGCAATAATGTGGATGTCTCAAAAATTCTGATGACAATTGTGATGCTCTTTTAAAATTGCTATCTTATTTCATCCTTTCCCTCAGAAATGTTTAATCCTAAATGCCAATAACATCCAATAACTGTAATTAAAATTAAAGGAAAAATACATGATCTCTAAGTCATCACAGCTGGATGTGGAGGTACCATAGATATCAAAGGAGATGAAAGTTGTGATACTCCATAGTAACCTGAACCTACCACACCAACAGATGTTCCTTCTACAGATCCAGTCCCATAACCTACAACTGACCCAGTACCAGATGATCAAAAAGATTCTGAAGAACCTGCAGAAGAAACCACCACCGAAGAAACAGTAGATACTGCCGAAGAAGAATAAGGAGATTAATAACCTCCTGTTACTCCAGAGGAAACAACTTAACCAGAAGAAGGAGAAGCTGATGAAAAATAACCAGAAGAAGGATCTCCCATTGCTGAAGAAACTGAACCAGCTGCTGCAGAAGAATAAGAAGGATCACCTGAAGAAACAAAAGCTGAAGAAGGAGTTGACACTCCAGCTGCAGAAGAGGAAGCAGGTGTTTTAGCTGAAGAAGAAGGAGCAGAAGAATAGGCACAAACAGCTGAAGAAGGAGCATAAGAAGAAGTGAATTAACCTGAAGAAGAAATTACAGAACCTGAAGAGGATATAGAAATTCAAGTACCAGAAGAAGAATCTGAAGAAAATGCTGTAGAAGTTGCAGAAGAAGGATAGGCTGCAGAAGAAGTCCAACCAGAGAGTGCTGAAGAAGGTTAGGTTGAGGTTGCAGAAGAAGGATAAGCTGAGAGTGCTGAAGAAGGTGTAGCTGAGGCAGTTGAAGAGACAATTGCTGCTCCTGAAGAAGAAGAGTTATAAATAGATGAACCAGCTGAAGAAATTGATATAGAAGTACCTGCAGAAGAAGAAGCTTGTGAAGAAGAAGAATTGGACTAAGAAGAGGAGGCATTTGATGAAGAAGCTGGTGAATAGGCTGGTGAAGAGGCTAGCGAAGAGGGTTCTTAAAAGGAAGACACTTAAGTACCAGGAGAAACAGAGGAGCAAGCTGAAGGTGAATAACCAGGAGAAGAGTAATAATAATAACCAGATGCTGAAGAGACAGAAAGTTCAGTTGGAGAACCATTAGAATTCGAAGAAGAGTCAAATGGTGAAGTTCCTGCAACAGAAGAAACTACAGCTCCAGGTGAAGAAACAGCAGCTCCAGGGGAAGAAACTGCAGCACCAGGCGAAGAAACCGCAGCTCCAGGTGAAGAAACTGCAGCTCCAGGAGAAGAAACTACCACTACTGATGAAGAGACAACAGATGCTGAAGAGAGTAGTGTTGGTGATGAACCTGTACCTGATGATTAATAAGATGAAGAATAAGAAGTATTACCAGAAGGGTGCAGAAAAGTCCCTGAAGATGTTTTGGACATCAGTTGGTAGAGTACAGAAGCAGTAGCTGTAAGTGATTTACCAGTTACAGAGACTTAAATCATTGGATTATCATTCTATTTCAGATGGTTATCAAAATTCCCAGATGCTGTTCCAGAGGGATTGAGTTAAGAAACTAAATTCTTTGTTGCTGGATTAGGAAATGCATTGAAATTCTATGTAGGATAAGGAGGATTCCATTTCAGTTCATTCGATGAGAATGGTGTTGAAACTTACAAGAATGCTGGTCATGGTGACATTGAAGGACAATGGGTACTTGTATACTTTGGTATTTCCAATTAAAAAGTTACAGGATTTGCCTAAATTTAAGGATAAGATGTTGAGACTGTCGAATTTGATGTTAATTTAACATTAGATGAATCTTATCAATTGGTGATTGGTGGACCAGATGGTGATGTTAAATCATTTAATGGTTAAATTGCTAGAGTATTTGCATTCAATGATGAATTGTACACATAAGCAACTGAATTCACTTAATTTGTTACTAAATGCTATGGAATTCCTAAAAACATTTATAGTGGTAAGAGATTAACAATTCCAATTGAGAAGGAGAGAACATTTGTATCTCCAGCTTCATTTGATTATGATAGTGTTTTTGAAAATAAGAAGCCCATGTTACCAGATGAATATTCTGCCAGTGGTTGGTTCAAATGGGAAAAACCTAATGACTAAAATATCTGGCATTCAGGATTTAGATGGACTACCAATAATCAAGAGACTAATCAGAACTTCAGAGTTCTTGGAGATAGAGGACTTTCTTTCTTTGTTGGAGATGAAGATAACTTACAGGGACATGTTGCCTTTTGTACATATTCTTACAAGACTGCTAATGGGTATTTAGTTTAATTATTGTAGTAAATCAAAGGTTAATGATTGCAAGATGGTTAAGTATGGCAATAAATTGACTGAATGGTTCTATGTTTATTTTGGATACAGTAGACACTTGAACAAGGCTTATGGATACATGGAATTCACACACGAGATGGCTCAAATAGAATTCAAGGATGTTAGACACTATTTTGCCAGCAAAATTTATTTCTATTTGGGATAAGATAAGTTCTATCCACCTTTCAATGGCAAGGTTCAAGGATTCATGTTGAATTTCTTCGATGGATCATACAGAACATCCAGTTATGATTACAGTATTAATTATCTTAATATTGCACAATAGCATTCGGATATTTCCCAAGACCAGTCTATGAATATGATGATTCTAAGGAATTGATCCCATCTGAACCAGTAGTAAAGCAGAAGTATTTGTCACTTCTTATATTGTAGATGTCCTAAAGTGGTTGAGATCACTGTTGACAATGCATCTGATGTTTTATGTGCTTTGAGCAGTTATTTGTCTGCTGTTGCATAAGGACATGACCCTGCTTCAGATCCTAAGGCTGAGACCTTCTGTTTCTGTTTGGTCTATGAGGAAGGTATTTATTGTTTGTCTTAATTTAGAAAATGCTACTCCTGAATTGTTGATGTTGGCTTAAATTTTTGGTGGAAAGATTAAATAGAAATCACCTAATGTTAATTCCTCAATCAAGAAACTGTTAAGCAGATAGAATGCACTATTAAAGTGATTGTTAGAACATTCAATATTATTTTATTAATTAATATACTCTCTACTTAGGTGGATTTTAATATTTTTCTATATTATTTAATTCATCCAACATGAATTTATTTAGATCAAAAAAAAAGGAAGAACCCAAAAAGAAAATCACTCTCACCATTGTATTTCTATTGATCCTATCTTAGGAACAACTTACCATGTAATTCATGAAATCTAAAGAATACATCAATCATGACCGACAAAAAAAAATCAATGAAGCTATATAGCAAGAAACAAAATTACTAAATATGCTCAAGGCTCCTTAGAGAAATAGGAAAGATGAAGAAATTCAAATCATCAGAATTGTTAATATCGTTAATACCATTGAAGCTTATGATAAGGCCATTATGTATATAAATGTTTTTTATACTCTCTAGACAACTCAACAATATTGATCAATTTAAAAGTTAAATTGTAGCAAGTTAAGGTGACCCCAACAGAGTCTAATAATTTATTCCGTAACTTTGATATTCCTAAAATTAGTTATATTGCCAGTGTGTGTTATTATATCGAAAATACTAATGATTTAAGAGGAGCTGTTGATCTCAAATTATAATTAAACGAATATTATGGATGCGATATTGCCAAAACTTATGAAAGATCAGTTGATCCTAGCGCTAAAGTATTAGTTAGCATTTTAAATCTATCATCCCCTTCTGTTATAAAATATGCTTAAGACTTTAGTAGGAAATACTAAATACTTGATGTACCAGGTGTAAACTATTAACCACAATAATAATAACAATCTTGGGTTCCTAACTAATATCCTACACATTAATAAGGTGGTTATCCATAATAAGGTGGATATCCATAATAAGGTGGATATCCATAGTAAGGAGGCTACCCATTATAAGGTGGATATCCATAATAAGGAGGGTACCCATAATAAGGCGGCTATCCATAATAAGGAGGGTACCCACAATAATAAAATGGATATCCATAATAATAAAATGGATAACCTTAATAAGGAGGATAACTATAATATAGTGCATTCCCATAATAAGGAGGGTACTCTTAAAATAATGGATTATAATAAGCACAATAACCATATCCTCAGCAATAATAATAATAAGCTAATTATTAATAATCATATCAAAATTAATCATAAGCTTAAACTTAATAAAATACTATCAATCCTAATTCCATATAAAACTCTAATCCCTATGGATAAGTATAATAATTTAGCTAACAAAATTTATATTTAAATAATCCAACTGTTTATTAGCCTTAAATTTCTCAACCATAAATTGGAATTAATCCTAAGTAAAACTCAAACTATAATTACCCATAACCATAATAATCAATATATAATTCTTAACAACCTTAAAATAATAATATACCTTAATAATAATAATAATCATAATTTTAATCATAATAACAATAAGTAGATCCATTTGCAATACTTAATCAATCAAATAATTAATAGATGATAGAATTACCTTCAATATCTTAATAATAATTTACTTAACCAAATATACCTTTGAATCAAAGTAAAAACGAAAATGGATTGGTTGGTGAACAATCTCCTTCAGCATTTCATAATCAATCAAATTAAAGTATTTAATGATATGTTATTAGATTAAACTGCTGCAATTGGTTAAGATATAAATAGAAGTTAACCTTCTCAAATCAATTAGAATCCCCAAATTATTCCTGTATAAATAAATCACGATTTAAGATCTTTAGAGATTTTACATAAATTCAAGACTGGTTTTCAACAATCTATTAATTAATCAATTCAATAATTGCAGAAGGCGGGTTTAAGTTTATGAGTTAATCATTCATTTATTCTATTAATAGAATTTTATAAAATATTTGATATATTTTTATCCATTAACTACCATTAACAAACATTCTAATGGAAATCCAGAGTAAGCAAAATAAATAAAAAAAATTTTTATGCAAAATATTATCTCAGTTGAGGTCAATTCGATTAATTATAGTAATGTGCATTTTTAAGATTTTTCTATCACAATATCAAATTAATACCATTGTCCATGTCAAAGAGTTGTTTATATCTCTTATTCTTAATCTAGAATCTAAAATGAAATAAGAAAAATCTTCTCTTCCTATTTTAACAGGAGGAGTTAAAAAACATATTGATCCAACCAATTTAATCTATCTTTTTTTGTGGCCAAAGCTTTTATAACTGTGATGATAAAATTACAATGTCAATTCTGGATAAGAACATGTTTATTGCGCAGTTTATAGGGTTCTTCAAAATCAAAATTTTCCTGTTGTTGAGAAATTCATTTAAATTACAGCAAATTGATGATGAGGCTCCATTTAAAAAAATTCTAGGCAATGTTATCCATATGACTACTGTGTAAACTTATTCAACATCAACAACGACTTGGTAGCAACTTAAATCATTCCTGTTTGAGGATAGTTAGATACCTCTTATTTATCCTTAATAAAGCCAATAATAATTATTTTCATGAAAACTCAAGCTTAACTGAATTTGTCTACACTATCATCAAAATAGCAAAGTTTTTTGGCCTCCTTAATAATAGCTAATTTCCACTTACTAATAAGCAAATTCATATAGATATTATAATAAAGATGATGTTTTTTACATAAAATATAAAAACCTAAGTTTCTCACAGTATTTTCTGAGGTGGATATATGAATGTAGACAAACATAATAGAGTTGTATTGCTAAAATCATTACCATTTATTTGATTCCACTAGGAGTAAAGTCAAAGTATAATATGATTGTAGTTTACATTAATCGCTCTAAATGTGTATAATTAACTCATAGGTAACGCTAGCTATTTATTGCTATTAGGATTTAAAGTACTGATAAATTAACCAAAAATATTTAAAGTATAAACACTACCAATTTCGTATTATTATAAATTTTATTAATAAAAAATTAAACGTTAAATTTCATGGAGTGCAAACAAAATCAATGTTAACATACTAATCCTGTCCCTTATAACAATAAGTTCTTTTGCAAACTTTGCGGAATCCATATGCCTTAGGATGGAAATGTGGCTATAAAATCAGCTAAATTTTCATTTCCAGGCTATATCAATCCCATCTAAAATCTAAAAAGTCAATGGAATAGATCAGTTCCTGTTGCCCAGTTACCATTAGATTACTAAAGAGTATCAATATTATAATTAACCATAGCAACGTATATCTATGATTGATTATATGATGGAATGGAGTGAAAAACTTGGTTTATCTATCAATTCTCTCTTCTTAGCCGTTCAATTCTTAGATTATTTTGTATCATAAAAAAAGGTGGACCCAATTCAATTTAGATTGTATGGAGCCACTTGTTTAATGCTAGCAGGTAATTCCCATTCTTAATTTAAATTTAGCTAAATCAATAGAATTAGATGAAAGAATCCCTTTCATCAGTAAACTCAGAAGATATACTTATCTACCATATGCAACTATAGATTTCAGAAAATGTGAATGTTAAATCATCAAATAGTTTAACTGGAATTTATAATACACTACATTAATAGACTGGGCTGAGACTGTAATATCATTAGGAATCGTATACGAATAAGACGAGTTATCTTAAACTGAAGCTATTTTGAAGGAAAAAGCAACAAATATCCCTCAATCCTAACAAGCTCAATAAACTAAATAAGAAAACATTAAAGAATAAGTAGAATCCACACCTAAAAAGTCTACTTCTACCTCTATTTCTAGAAATGTTTATAACAAAGTTTAAGACTAATTTACGAAACTATGTTTGACCCTATTGAAAGATGGGTCTTACCTAGACAAGGATCCTTCTGAACTGACACTATCTCTAATAGGATGTGTTCGAAAAACATGTGGTCTAAAAACTCCATTGTATAATTATTCAATTATTTATAGACCTAAATGTTTACTAGAATTATATGAAAATATCCAACCTAAATTCCAAGATTCCATAGTTGATTTATTATCAAAGTAGACTAAATAACCAACCTCTGTTGTTGGCAAGGCATTCACAAACGACCTAGACTTTTTCAGCTTATAAAATTACAAAAACCGAGTTATATGAGAATACTATAGTTAAGTATACTTATTTCATAATTATTATTACTATCTTTTCTGTTTTGGGATCAATTTGATTTTTAGTATAGTATCATATGTCAATCCAAGAAACAAGTTATCAGAACAGTATTCTAGAACTATTTATCAAGCAATGTCAAAGTTTTGTTTTATAAATTTATTTATAATATTAATATAACCCAAATTCATTCTTCAAGCATCTTTTTTCCTTTATCTGCATATTCTTTATTTAAATCTTCCCAATTTTCCAAAACCATTTCAAATTATTCAAAGATCATTGAATGAGTTAATCTATTTCTAGATGGTCCAACTTCCATTGAGTAAATCTTATGTGATGTATTAGTTTCAATTGTTCTGTTCAAATAAACACCATAGCTATGGTTAACCTAATCATTTACACATAATGAGGAATCCAAATTACTGCTGCTAAACCAAATGAGAGTCTTGTTTCTCTTCCGATGTAATCATCATAAAGACCTCTGAACCACCAATGTCTATTTCTTACTGCAATAGCTGCTCCCATTTATTTAATTATATTTAATTAAGATTTATTTTATAAGTGTATATTTTCAATTATCACTAAATCTAAAGGATCTGAGTGGGTTTGTGGACGTAAATCTTAAGAATCATTGTGTTTGTATATTTTGAAAGTATAATTTTGGAATTTTTCCTATTAATTTATTACAAATTCAATGAAATATAGGAGTAGAGTTTATTGAATATTAGAAGTGTTTTAAATAATAAATTAAAATTTATAATATTAACAGTTAGTAAAATGTATTATCAATAAGTGTTGAATACAAATCAAAGTCAGGCATTTGTAAGCACAATAAATACTGAAAGAGCAAGATGTCAAACTTAACATTACAAAGAGAATTCTAAATCATTTCTCTATTAATAGCCAATTTAGTAGCAATAGTAAACTTTGAATGAATAGTTATTAATATAAAATTAAAAGGTATTTAATAACTGCACAATATTAGCTTAGCGATTAAAATGTTAGATTATAAAACGAGTGTAAGAGACTAGAATACCATTTGAATTTAATTTAACAGAATTTTTAGCAATTAAAATAATTGTATGATTAAGATTAATTGGAAATGCAACGCATAACACATTTTTGTCATCAACAATAATAAGAGCATAATGCAATGTAAACAAGAATATTAGACTTGGAATAAGAGAATTTTTAACTTCATCATGAAATAGATCATTATTAGAAAAATTTAAAAGAATAAGAATTTTTGGAGAACTAACGAAGAGAAATTATGATAGGTTAATAGAAGTTGATAGAACTTTAAGAAGAGATGAAAAAAGAAGTAGAACAAATAAAGCATGATCCTTTAATGGAAATCTTGGAATTATGGAGAGATAGAGCCTTGAAATCATGCACTTATAATAGTTAATAAAAGCCAGTCAAGTAATTGAATACAACAAAAGAGAAATATCAAAAATTGACCAGATTAACCATGTAAGCAGCTGAATTATTAAGTTTTAAATTAAATTATAAATGATTACTAATGATAATGAAATTGAATAAGTTACCCTAAAGATTTTGTAATCCTCTCATTATCAAATACAATTTAAAGTGTCATTTTTTGTCACAATTCCAAAAAAGAAATCCATTTGCCAAAAAATCAGGAACGTATATAATATTATCCTATATCTAAAGATATTACAATTTTAATTATATTATTAACATTGAATCTGATATTTTGATACCTTGATATAATAACAATTAAAATTAAACTATATTTTAAAAAAGAACTAGGTGAAAAATAATTTCTAAATTATAAACCATTATTTCATTGGGTCAATATAAAATAAAAGGAAATAAAAATAAAATTACATATATTTACAAAAATTCTCTAAGTAAATAAGTAAAGCAGATAACTAAATTTGCTATTAAAAATGTATATATGGATGGATTTCCAATTTAAAACAAATTTCGAAAAAATTGAATATAAACAAAAATGATTAAAATAATAAATGGGATCAGAAAACAAAATTAAACTTTCAACAGTTAATGATTATAAGGTTTGAATAGAAAAAACATATAGTAGATTGATATTATTAAAATAAGAAAAACAGAAGTATATATAATTTAGTGTTGCATTTGATGATAAAATTAATTTATATATTTTTATAAATTAATAGATATATTTTTTAATCAAGCTTTTAAATTAATTATATTCGCAATTATATTAAAATTTCAGTCTAATTCATTAATATATAACAAGTTTGATATTGGTTAGGCAAACACAACTTTTACTTTGTTATATTTATTTGTATCTAAAGCTTACATTTTTCTTGTCTCCAAACAATATATTAGTTTAAGCAAGTGACTGGCTAATTTGGCACTATAATAAACCTTATTCTAAAATATAGATTCGATTTTTATATTATTGTTATGCAACTGATTTAAATTATGATATTGACGTAATGGCATATTCGATATATTATATATTTAACCGCAGATTCGGATATTGTATTTTAGGAATTAATTAAGTTCTTTTATTCGATATATGTCTTTGATTGTAAGAAATATATCAAGCATTAGAGAAGAGTGGAGATAACTCATGAAAAAGAAGATTAAAAAAACCAAAAGAAAGAATTAATATACTATACCATATAAGTTTGATGATGATATTTAGAAATCTCAATAAAAAGATGATTCCTTGTTGATTGTTTAAAATATACCGACAACAATCCCAAATTACAATGTTTTCAGATTAAAAACCAACATTTAGTTTTCTTTAAACATAAATAAGGATCACTCACTTGGTTCGCTATTTATGGACCCTCACTCTAACAATTATAAAATTGTTAGAATAGATAAAAGGAAAAACCTCTTCATTCTTACTTTAGATTAAATAGATAGACCTATAACACCAACGGAAGTTCTGTATTCTATATTTAGGGATAGGAACTCAGAATTAGCCCAAGCATTCATGTAATATAATAGTAGAAATCTTGATCCAAAAAATTTCAAACTTCGCACAATGTAAGAAATGCTGGAATTTGAATATTAGATTAAAGGTAAGCCTTATGCAGTTTATGTAAATATATATAAAGACGGCATATGGAAAACATTTTAAAAGATTTATAGCTAAGAAATACTACAAGTTTAAGGTATATCAGAGGACATGCTCTACCACTATTGCAACGAAACTAATTTAATACCCATAAGTGCTTATTTCGATGAGAATGATGAACAGTTGAATGTTTGTTATAAAATTTTTAAAGGAATTGTTGGCCAATAATCAATAAAAAGAGAATATATGAATTACAATGGAGAGCAATTTACTGCCTCTCTCACAGTTTAAAGTTTCTTTATATATGACGAAGAAAAGGATGTTTTATTCGATTATACATACTTTGTCACGGATTGTGACAAGAAATGGTTATCCTAGGAGAGAGTCAAAAAGAATGAGTTAGATTACTTTAATATCAAACCAAACTCTTGTTCGACAGAAGAGTCTTCCTATTAAGAGCCATTAAGAAGATGTGGATTCAAAATTTTAAATCAGAAGTGAGATAATATTTTTAATTATTAAATATATTCTTATAGTTATTGAATTAAAATATAAAATTTAGCATTTTTATATTTTGTACTTTGGAATGTCTGATTTTCTTAATAATAATGAAATATTCTAAGAAATACCAACAAGGTTTACAATCCAAATTAAAATAAAAAATGATACTCTTTAAATTACTCAGGATATAAAATTAATATATCATCTTTAAAAAATATTTATGATGAAAATGTTATTATAAAAACAAGAATTCCAAACAAACAGGATTTTATTTTATTTTAATTAAATTCATTTATTGAATTTGTTCAAAATCATTTAAATCAATTAAATTGAATTCATTTATAAATTAAAGTCTTAGACTTAATTTCCACAATTTATATTAAATAAGGAGGAAATCACAGTTAATTACTGTAACTTTATAATTGATAAATCATTGATCATCATTGGCTTCCTCCTCTGGGTTGTTCCATAATGTAAGATTGTCCCTTAATAATTGCATAATGAGTGTGCAGTCCTTGTAGTTTTCTTCATTTACAGAGTCAACCTAAGCAATTGCTTATTCAAAGGCATCATTAGCAATTCTTATAGCTTCTGCTGCATTTTATAAGATCTCGTAATAAAACACTGATTAATTTAGATGTAACCCTAATCTAATAGGAGAAGTGGTAGATAAATTCGATTTTGCCAAGACATCAGCATCTCTAATTATTAATGGATTATTTACTTATATGCTTGAGTAGCTTATTCAACAGCTGCATGATATTCGTTATCTAATAAAAATTCAGCAAGATATCTATTATAATCTCCTTTCATCTTTAAATAGAAAACCTTACTATCAACTTACTTGGCATTTGGGTACAATGTACTATCAATTAAGTTCAAAATCTCAGCGCAAGAAATTTTCAATTCTCCTTCGATTTTATGTTTATAATTTCTAATATAATTCAGAGTGTATTAATCAGTTTATTTTCTTGATTCTTTTTATTCAATAGCAGTCAAAACTCTTAATTCAGCTCTTTTATTGCCAACCTATCATATATTAATCTATTGAATTACCACATTTTTATATGCAGCTGATAATATACTTCTCTCTTCTTTATTAAGTTCTTAATCAAGGAAATGTTTAATAAATTCTATCATATCATTAAATCTTTCTGTTTACTAAGCAATTTTAGCTAAGAATAAAAATTCCTCTCTGCTAAATTTATTCATATTATTAATTTTATATATTTCTTCGATTAGGAGAGAAAGAAATCAAATAAGGATTCAAAAATTAGGATCTTTCGATTTCTTAAATATACAATTACACTAAAGTTGTAAGATAAAGAAAAAATTCAATTTATATTGTATATCAGAAATGGCATAATTAATGTGTATGAAGAATTATTTATTTATTTGGACTGTTGTACAAATGATGATGAAGTATATACATAAATTAGAAATTGAAAAAATTGCAGAAACAATTTTAATTTTATGTATTCCTAACAAAATCAGATATCAAACTTTAGAATGGGCTATTTAGCTTTACAAATTTTTGATAAACTTTAAAGAGTATGGATATTATTGTCCTTTATTTTGAATCTTTTACTTCATTATCTCCATTTGCTCCACAAGTTGATTACAATAGCGAGTTCAACAATTGTTATCTTGGAAATCAACAAAAACAGCTCAATTCTCTAAGATTATTAAGAATTCCAAGTAGGACCTAAACAATACTAAATGATGATTCCTTAATAAATTATTTAAAAAAAATGAATTTAATCAATTTTAATTTTTCATCCCAATTTTTTTCTTTATTTCTAGAAATATGGTTATCAATATTTGGTTCTATAATAATTAATGAAAAAGTAAAATTATCATAGGAATGGTGGAGCCAAAAAGAAGCATTTAACATTTGATCAAAAAGTTATGGTCCTAAAAAAATTAGGACCTAAACCATCTAAATTAAGAATTTAAGCTATGGCATAATAATATAACATTTCATCATCTACTATTATGAATTGGATTGAAAAAGGTATTTGGACTTAAATACCCTCTGTTATACCAGAATTAGAATATTAATCTAACAAATAAAAATTAAAAAGATAGAGGGAGAACCTTATTGAGCTTGATGATACAGATTAGAATAACACAAGAAATTAAAAAAAAGAAATTGATGAACCTTAATAAAATTTATATGATTAAATAGAAATTATATTATGAGGACTTAATTCTATTTTTATGAGAATCAATTTATTTCATTTTATTAGTAATATCTAATAAACATATAAAAAGAAAAATATATATTTAAATCAAGCCTATAAGTAATATATTTAATTTTTAAATTAATAGCTGGTTTCTTTATATTTTTTTGCCAATAATTTATGGTATTTCATATAAGCATTATCAGAAGAGTAAAATTAAATCAATTAGTTAAATATTATCTTGCTTAGCTTGATTTCTGTATCTCAAAATAACTATTAAAATTGATCTATCAATGTATATGTATATCAAAATAGTCATATCATTGATTATCATTTTTATTATATATAGACATATGGCACTATGAAATAATTTTTAATTAACGCCAAAGATAAATCAAAGAGATCTACTCAAAAAGTTGAAATTAAACATATTTTCTCTCTAATTAAACTCATTTCGAATGTTGGTAGTTCAAATTTTAAAATTATTTTTTTTAAACACTTTTAAGAGCATTCATTTCCGATTTTTAAAGTTTCTGCTATTCAATTTCGAAAATAATAAACAAATCTAAAATTACAAAAATAATAGATAAAGACATAATTAGATTTTTTTTCTATTTTCAAATTTAGAGACTATTTTTTAGTAAATAAGATAGAATTAAATTTATAAATCTCTTTATTTAGTTGATGTTAATCTAATTAGAATAATTATTATATCTAAAATTACATTATTATGGACAAATTCTCGTATATTCATTGTAAAAAGATTTCTTTGAAGATTATTATAAAAATTTAATTTTTAAAGTTGTTTTATATTTATTTCATCATAGGAATATCTTTGTAAAATATATTAATATTAGCTATTAAATATAATAAAAAGAGATGTATATTTTTATTAGATATATAAATTTTATTTATTAAGTAAAGGAAGAATTAAATGAATTATGATTATATGGGAGCTATAAAAATCAAGGATGGTGTATTCTTAGGGGATTAATTTGCATCTTAGGTATATTTCAACAATTTTATCAGGATCTGGAATTCATTGTTACAAATAAAGTATCACGAATAGTAAATTGTGCATCAAGATAGATACCAAATCATTGGGAATCAATTGGAATAATATATTTGTCATTTCCATGGGTAGATAATGATCAATAAGTATTTTAATAATATATGTAGATTATATTTTAATCAGATGAAAGTATTAATGTTGCAATAAAATTCATTGATGATGCTTTGATTAATGGAGAAAGTGTGATTGTTCTTTCAGCAAGAGGCCACAATAGATCAGTGGCAGTTTTATGTGTTTATTTAATGAAGAAATATAGATGGACTCTTTATAAGACTTTATAATTTATGCATAATCGAAGACCAGATCTAGAAATCAAAGCTCATTTTTTTAATTAACTATTATCTATAGAAGCTCGATTTTCGAAATAAGGATATGGAGCAAAGACCTTTAATTGGGATGAAATATACACCCAAGGAGACAATGATGAAATAGTGTTACGGAACACTTACTTAAATTCTTAGGCTCTGGGAGTAGCAGAATTTAAAGATCACGATTCTAAACCAAAAGAATACAAGTTAATTATTTAATTTAATTAGATTGACATTCGCTGATAAAATTACAATGTAAATACCTCCATATGATAAAATAATATTCTCAAAAAGTAAAACAACATCTAAAGTTATTAAACCAATAATAAAAGAGTCTGGTTCTTCGAAACAAATTGACTCTACATTCCAATTTCCTTAGAAGTAACAATAATAAAAACTAAATTACGAATAGAATACAAATATTTATGATAAATTATCTCAAAAACAAAAATAAACTGATCAACAAATATAAAGCCCCTTATAAATATCTCCTATTTAACCTTAAAGACCGTCTTCCGTATAATAAAGTTGTAAGACTATTCAAATAATATAGAATAACATCATAAAGTTTAATCAAATAATTACATGGATTCAAAAGAACAGTTTTTTTAAAAGTCTTAATAGCAAAATCAACTTGCAGTTACTGGCACACGTCGCCCTCAAACAGCTCCAAACTAGTTAAAGGCTCCTAGAGTTTAAACAACACCTTATAAAGGAAATAATAGCTAAGGTTAAAAATATGAAATAGGTTTATAACCTAATTCTTAATTTAAACCAATGAGAAAAAGAGCATAATCTCCAAAGGCAGTTTACAATATTACGAATCCATATATATAAAGAGAGTTTAAAGCTAAGACATGGAAAAAATGAGTTTTTAGCTACATCTTTTGATTATTTTAAATTGTTGATACATTATTCTAGTCATTAAAGCAATAGATTCTCCATTAAATTAGAATATAAAGTATTAATTAACATAAAATTATGAATCTATCAAAATTTTATTCGCATAATAAACAATTAAATCGAATAAGAAAAAAGTAAAAGTCACCAAAGGACATTAATATGGACACACCTCCTATAAAGAGATCAGTGACTTATAATAGTGATTCAGATTTAATAAACAAGATTGTTAATACAGAAAATTTAGTTGAGTTAATAGAAAAAATATAAAAGCAAAGGTAAGATCCTTACATAAGGAATGATCCACCTTAAACGTTAACCTTACCCCCAATTTAACATCAAATAGAAAGATAACACAATATAACTTAGAGAAATTAAAAAAAAAAATAAGAGAAAGAATATATTCCATTTACTTATCCAATTAATCCAAAGAAGATTGCCTATTATTAAGAGAATAATCTATATGGAAAATTCATAGAACCCACTGAATATAAAAAAATAAATTATGAATCTATAAAAACTATGTAGAAATATGTACATATTTTAGTGAATCTGCGATATCAGAATAATTAGTCAATGAAAGTAGATTAAAACGATCAATGACAGAACGTAAAGATGAAGCACATAAGAACAAATTCAAATTAATTTAGTCATCAACAGAAGATAATTTAGAAAATGAAAAAGCCATAAAAAATTATACCTTATCAAAAGTTGATTACGAAAATTTAGAAGCACTGTATAGCAAATAAGGAAAAATGAATAAAATAATAAAAAATGCATTGAAAATTAAATCTCAATAAAGAGATCCTGCGAATGCTTCCAAATCTGTTTTATCAGAAAGAATATGATCATAAATAGAGTTAAAAGAACAATATGAATAATCATTGGATTTAGCTTTATAAGGTTATGTTGTCTATGATGAAAAATAATTTGAAAAGAAACAAGCAAACTGGTCTTCCTTGTTGCAAAGATTGACTTTAAAATAGTATACCAATAGAAGTTTGAAGTAGCAATCAGTTCATCAGAGGAAATAACTCTTTGTTAATAAAACCCTAGATATTCAAGATAAATGTTAGGAAATATTATATGAATGAAGTATGGCTAATATATATACTGTATTGAAAATTGGATTTAAAGAAATTCTAGACTAATTTATTAACATAAGCAGGGTGGCGAAGTGGAATCGCGTTGGGCTCATAACTCAAAGGTCGGTGGATCGAAACCACTCTCTGCTATATTTTTATTTATTTTATTTATTGCATTCTTAATAAGAGCAATAGAAAAAAGAATTCTTTAATAATTTTTATAAATTCTTTAAGTCAAAAATTATCGCATATCTAACTTATTTCTGTATGAGTAGATATGTGTCCTAAATCTTTAATTTGCCTTCACTACTTGCTTTTATGACCTTACTACAATCGGGAATTATAACAACTGAGTTAATTGCAAATCATGTGCAGGTATTATAAATGGAGTTGATATAAATACAGTTTATAATCTGGAACTGTGCTTTCCTAAAATATTAATATTTTATTTAAACTTCTGCTTCAATCTAAGTATATTTTCGTATATCTATTTATTTATTATCTTGCAGTTTATAATTGCTTGATAATTGGCTAAAATTATTCGCTCTGCAGTTGAGATTTGTTAATATTTTTGAACTAAGATTAGAGTGTTAAATAGCTTAAATTTTATAAATCATAAATTTCTAACTAGTTTTAACTCGTTAAATAAGTAATTCTTTATTTATATGGTCAACCCTTTCTTGGATTTCTAACATTTTTGATTCTAATAGCTCTAAGTCTTATATTATATGCTATTTCACTTTTGTAATAACCTTAATCATATTTTTTTTTTATTTTTTAGCACTCTGTAATATTCTTCACTAATTCTACAAAATCTTCAAGAGGCGTCTAATTTGGATAGGTTGATTTATCTTTTTAACTGTTTTAGGGTAACACCCTGTTTGTTATTGAAAATTTTTTTGTAATGCACAAACTTGTTATTTCATTACTATGTTTTGGAAATTTAAGATTTGTAGATCTATGCTAAAAGGAATTAATCATAAACTTATTATAATTTAATAAAATATCAATTAAATCTCACTTACATTAGAAATAGAAAGTATTGAATAAATTCTTGTAAAATATATTGATTTAAAATGGATTTCATCTTTCTATATATCTTATTTTTCAGATTTAATAAATTGAAATTTTTAAAATATATTTTCAAATCAATCTGATTTATGGCAAATATAAATAGAATTTCGTTTCATCACGTAAATGTTTTTCTCATCTGCAGAAACTTTGAAGCTTTTCGGGTTTTTAATAAATATTATTCTAGAATATCTTCTATTTGATAATGATTAGATTTCCAAAGAAAATTCATTTAGAGAGTAAATTTTCATTAATTATTGACCTAAACATTAGCAAATCTATTATAATTGAAAGGATTTTTTAAAAAGTAATTTACCTGTTTGTATATTGAATACTTTAAATTAGGTAGAACTTGATAAAAATAATATTTACGATACTATTTAACATTTATTCATTATACTATCGGCTATTAATATTGATTTATATATTTTATTGGTTTTAAGAGAATAGAAATTGCACTTTTACATGATATTTTGCTCTATTCCCAATAAAAAATCATTTTAAAAAAATAAGGTCATTTTTGGTTGATCATAACATCTAAATAAATTTTAAGATGTATTATTGATAAAGTTGTGAACAAAAAAATTATTTTTATAGCAATAACAAATTAAATTTTAATTTTAGTGAAAAGCTGGGATTGTTAATGGATTGATTTATGATTTATATTCCATAAGTTTAATATTTGCAAAATCGTGTTAAATTTCAAAGAGTCTAAGTTTACTATACTCCATCACTATTAGAAGATAAGACTGGTGGATTAGCATCTTTGAAACCAAGAATTTCATTTCCATAGTAGTCCTTTTATATTAATCGTCTCTGATATCTATACAGATTATTTTGTCTTATGCAACACAAATCAAATAAGACTCATCTTAACTTAGACAACTCTCATATATAATAATCTTTTTATTGAATTTTATGGTTTTCATCTAAATATAAGTATTTGAAAGGTTCTATTATTTCATTAAAATATTTGAATTATAATGTTATTATCTAATAAGAGCTAAAAAATTCAATTTATTTCAAAATGTTTATAAAACTCAAAGTCTTCCTTCCCTTCCAGATGATTTTCAAAATAGTTTTCTCCAGCCGTAACTTTAGGAAAGGTTAGCTCTAAGTAATTGAGGGCTAGCTTGTTAGGTATTGGCAAAATCCATTATATAAAGTTATTTCCTAAAAGTCTTTTCAATTTGGAACTGTAAACTTCGTATGATGAATACTTACCCGCTCTTTATTCATTATAAGTAGTCAAATCAGGTAATTAAATAAGTTTATCTTTCAGCAAATTAGAAACTATTAAATAAGCTCCAATACTAATAATAAATTATAATAGTTTTGTTGTAACCTCAAAAACTGAAATTTAAGCCCAAAAGGAAGTCAGTGTTAAATTTATTAATCCCTCAATGTGAATTTGATAAGCAAATTTGACAATCGAAATTACGCATGAATTACAATGCATAAACAATAAAATCGTAAAGTACACTAAAAATTGGCTAAAATATTTTAAATTCTTGTAGCCTACACAACAATTTAGCCAAGCACAATGATGATCTCTGTAATGAACGCATATATTACAAGTTTAGCAATGATGGGTCTTTGGTGGTTTCCAATTTTCGCATTTTTCACATTTCTGATCTAAATATTTTTCATTTAGCTTAATAGCTTTGATGCTACAATTTTTTTCTTTCATTAATTCAATAGGAGTCTTAGTAATTTTTATTGGTCCAGGATGTGTATTTACGATTTAATAGTGTGACCAAATAAGCAAAATTTAAATAGTAAATGGAGCCATCCAATTGATCCCAAAATTGCTTTCCAAAATAATAAAAAAGGAAACTGCATAAAACGACTATAGGATTTGTTTAAATGGTAATTAATTTATATCCATCAATGAAGTAGATAATTTAAAATTAATATTAACGATTTCTTTATATAAAATTGAAATGAGAAAACTTCATTATACTAATTTAAGGAAGTTAGGTACTCTTTATTATTTGGATGATATTTATTTTCTATAATTAAGTATGGCAGCTCTAACTTGATGATTAACTTTTAGATTATTTTTGGAAAGTTTATCATAAAAATTTTAGTACTTATCAGGATCGAAATAAGTATCTTTCAAGTGCGAAGGTAAGACTGATGGAGAGCGGAAATATGGATTGTAGATTCTGGGTTCTATCATTTATTGAGGCTCATCGTTTATAATGGCTTGAGCATTTAATAGTTTTTTTAACACAAAATCAATTTCGTTTCTTCTATCTTGTAACTATTATTATTGTTGCTAATTTTGCTCTATTTTTTTAGGTTATGGTAAAATTGTTGCATTTGATGATTTTCTACTTAGAATACTTGTTTTATATAGAACTTATTCTTAAACCTTTTCTAAAAGATCTTGAGTACTAGAGTAATGACGATCTGTTTAAATAGGTGGTATTTTTTGCTTAATTTTTCTCAGTTATTTTTCTAAAGATTGATTTCTAGCTGTTCTAATTTCTGTGTAATCAGGAGTTGAATCTTTTATTGGTTTTGGCATTGGCAAAAATAATAAGTTGGAGTTTTTACGATTGAACATTAAATTTATATATATAGATTAATAGTTATTTAAAAACAGATCTCATATGGTGATTTACTATTTTAGGTGTAGTACCTCTTTTTCATTTGTGGCAATCAACAAATCAACTCTCTCTAAATATTCTAATTCATCTTATAATTTTTTGACTATTTGAGAATGTTTCTTTTCAGCTCTCTTGAGGAATTTTTACAACTTTTCTTGAACATTTTCAAATTATTATTGTTAAGCTTATGGAATTCTTGGAATAATTGGTCCTGGTTTACTCCTCAAAGTATTCCAATTGATTGATTGTAAAAATGGATGTTTTTTAATTTACTCAATAGATTCATGCCCAATCCTTTAATTGTAATCAGGATTCAATAGTTATTTCAATAAATCATAAACGCATTCTGAAATTTAAGATTCTGGATCATCCCCAATATCTGGCCAATCTACTTTGCCTTCCAAAATATTAGAAAATATTTTATCTACAGATTCATCATTAAAAGGAGGAATTCCAACTAAAAATTCAAAGAGTATAACTCCTAGAGACCAATAGTCAAGTGTTTTATTAGATGACGACACTCCTTTGATAATTTCAGGGGCAATATAATCTGGAGTTCCAACAATTCTTCGTCTCTCCTCTTCAGATCCTTTGTCATATTGACTGTTATTGGATCTAGATTTCTTAAATGAAGCTCCTCTTTAAATGATATATCCAGGAGATGAAGATAAATCCTATTTAACAATATCTCTCTAACTGGCTTTTCTTTTGACCATCATCTTATTGAATCCCAATTCGCTCAACCCAAAATCAGCCAATTTAATGTGTCCATTCTAATCCAACAGAATATTTTCTGGTTTTAAATCTCTATGAACTATATTATTAGAATGTAAATATTCTAATGCCAATAAAATTTCAGCAAAATAATGTTTGGCTATATTTTCATCAAATGCCTAATATAATTAATATTGATTACTCCTTCAATCATCAAAATTTTAGCAAAATCACCACCAACCATATATTCTTATACAAAACATAAAGATGATTAATGTTAAAATGAATAGAATGCTTTGACAACGTATTCTCCTGTCAATATTTCAAATATATTCCTCTCTTATTTCAATTAAGTTAGTAGTCTTTCAAAAGGTCTGTTTGAACAATTTATTATTTTCAATGCATAATGATCACCTGTTGCTATTCTTTTAACAAAAAATACTCCACCGTATGCTCCTTATCCTATTTGTCTTATAAATTGAAAGTCTTTTAAACAAATATTCCTCTCTTAGTTTCTGTTTTCAGCATCCAATTTAATTATTTCTGTATCTGAAAAATAGCCTTTTTAAGATGCAAAAAAACAATCTTGTTCAAATAAGATTTATTCAGTTGAATCTATTGTTTTATTCTATTAATCAGAATTCTCAATGCTTATGTCTAACTCACTCTCAGAACTTGCTGTCTAAGCAAAACAACTTTTCTTTTTTGTCTGAAAATGACAGGACTTTTCTTACTCAGTTTCATCCTAATTCTTAATTGTTTAAGCCGACTGCTATCTTTAGAGAAACTGACTTATTTTTCCACTCTTTTTTAAATTTCCCATTATTGAAACCGATGATTTGGCAGGAGTAGAAGGTCTTGATCGTGTCTTTTTTTCAGATTCATTTGTTTCTTCGGTTAGACTTGAAATGTGTCATTATTTTACTTACTTCAAACTGATATAATCCGAAAAGGAATTCAACCTATGAGAATCTCTTATAGAACTAGGACTATCCTTACTAAACTTACTTACTCTAAATGATATGCTACCAAAATTTTATATCTTTACTATCATATACTTAAGCCATATTTACATTTAAAGCAATAATCTAACCTTTAATTTATTAAGCTATTCATTTACTCAATTAAATCAAGAGTACTCTGATCCTCTATGCTCATTTAGGCAGCCATTATCTCATTTTGAGTTATCAAATGGTCTATACTATATTGTTCTTATACATTTTGCATCTAATTCTTGATTCACTACCTTCTCTCCATAACTTATCAATAATAGTAATATTCTATATTCTTAATAAACCTATCTCGTGTCCTCACATTGTTGTATACCTTCATTTTTGCGTAGTCTCAATTCTTTCATGCTATATTCACTATATTTTAACAATTACAATTTTAATCCTTGTTTCAAATGAATTTCGATGTTTCTTCATATAAGCTTTTTCACACAAACGAGCAACTTATAAGTTTAATTAAACTAATTTCTTTCTTTATTCAGCATTATGTCTACAAGTTTAATTATGAATATCCATTAAATTAATGTTGATGCTTTAATTGCAAATACGACATATTATCAAATATTCCATTAATAAAATTATTTAAATACGAAACTATATCAAATTTGAATGTTATAATAACTTATTTAGATATTTGAATTAATACATAAAACAAAAAACTCTATGTATTAGATTACTACTCATTAGATTACTACTTGTAATTATAATAAATTTAAAAAATAGAATCAAATATATTACAAAATATGTATTTATTTCATTCATTCTTTTAATTATTTGAGATATTTCAGGAAATAGTGTGGAACATTGAATTTATTTAAATATATAGATTTTATCTTAATTTAACTTTACATGAATGTTTCTCGTAATTTATATATATATTGCAAGATAAATAAGTTAATTTGTGCTATTTTAATGTTAAAGGATATTTTACAGGTAAATAGTAAATTGAAATTGTCAAATTATAATCAAAACCACTTTCATCATATAAGTCAGAAGTTAAAGAGAATGCTTAAAAAGAAAAGTAAAAAATCTAATAAACACATCAGGCAGAATATATGAATAGATAATTTCTCTGTATAGAGTTATTGATGAATAAATGAATTTGTAATTAGAGTAAAATAAATTAAAGAGAGTAAAAGTAATTCTCTATTAAATTACTTTCACAATCATGTAACTTTAAAAGAATCAGAATTGTTTATTTAAAAACAAGACCAAATAATCTTAGTAAAAAAATGAGTAATAAACTTTAAATATATTTATTAGTAATCATAATTCTTTCTTGCTCTATTTAGTAGTGATAAGGTCTTCAATCAGTGAATTACAGGAATCTTTGGGTGTTTCATATTAGTCATCAGGTGTCTCATATAAATCAAGATTCTTAATTCCTGAAAACTTTTTTGTATATATTTAAGCCAGAGGCGATCCATTATCAAGCTAGGAGATGATGGCATCAAAATCAAACTTTGTTTAAACATTAAGGTTCTCGAATTTTCGATTCATTCTATGTATAATGTTAAATATTTTAAATTATTATTCTAATTTTTACAAATTATATTATCTTTTTATAACATAAATCTATACTACATTATGTCATTTGAATTGTCATTAAATTAATTGACTAAAATAATATAAAATAATTTTGTCAGATTTAATAGGTATAAATTTATATAATAATATAAAGAAAGAATTACTTTAATTATACCTATTCTCATTATTCCTAATTTAAATAGCTTTTATTGAAATTATAATAAGGATGACAAAAAAAAATATCATTAATTCTTCTAATTTTTTAATTTAGGACTAATAATAAAAGCTAAAATAAATCTTAAATAAATTATAATAAGTATTATTATATTTACTCTTGATAATAAAGATATTTTGATTATATGATAAATTGTATGATAAATGTGACTTTAAAATTAGAGTATTTGAAAAATATATAATACAAAATTTTTCATTACTTTGATAGATGTTCCTTAAAGTGAACTTTGATAACTCCTACCTATTTTAGATTTGTTTAGATTCCAACATCATCATTTAATTGATCATCAAAATCATCGAAGTCATCAAAATCATTGAGTTTGCTGACTTTTTTTTTTTGATTGTTTTTTACTTCATCCTGATAATACTTATCTCCTCTATCTTCCAAATCTCTAAATTCACCATTTTAAAAGATTTATCCTTACAACCTTTGGCCAATCGGTTATCTAATTAGAGAAGATTCTCTAGAGAGAGACTTTTTTGAGTTTTGGCGAGATCTTTGACAATTGCTATCCTTAAGTCTGGTATTTATTTTAGATACTACTGAAGGTACATAATTTAACACAACAGATGATTATTGTGAACTATATTATTCTATTTAAAACGACTTTCTTTTTTCACTTTTTTTTAAATCAGGTATTTTCAGATAATCGCCTTATAAATTAGAAACATCAATATCATTAAAAGATTATTATGCCTAATCTGAAGATTTAGTAGAACTAGTTTAATTATCATTCCAATCAAATTTTCTATCAAAATTGATTCCATTTTGTTATGCAATCTTTTAGAATAGACTAAATAAGTATTTATAATCTGGAGTAGCTGCGAATTTCAATTTCTATACATAGTCCATATATCTTTAAAATTCTGTTGGAAGTCCCTTACATAATTCTCTCATTTCTATTTCCATTTTCAGTTTCCCAACTAACCTAGTTTTTTCTCTATCTGAAGAGGAAGTAATATTTTACCATGGTAAAATTCCTATCACATTTAATTAGACAATACCTTTTAATAAGTAAATGAACACATATCCTAAACTTTCTAAATCATCTCTTCGTGATAATTCATATCCTTTATGAGCTGAGACACTAGCATAACGAGTGGTTCCCATGAAAGGCTTATTTTCTTAAAATTATCTAATAAATTAAGAATTATATTTACATATGTTAGCCATTAGTACGGTATTTTTTTGATATACCATAATCGACTAGATACACTTATTGAGAATCATTTCCTCTTCCCATGAGTATGTTTTCTGGTTTAATATCTCGATGTATAACACCTCTTTTATAGAGGAACATATAAACCTTTTATGAACTTCTTCTATGATCGTGAGCAATTATTCTGCTAAGTTACAAATTGTTTTTAATGATAGTTTTCTAAATCTTTTTAAAAAGTGTGCTAAGTCCTTTCCAAGTAATTGCATCGCCATACAATTTGAATTATATTCATTTCCATACCAATAGAGTTTTGGAACTCCTGAAGATTAATAATATATGTTTACCAACAATTCCTCTCAATTCTTCTATAATTTATATTTCTCTCTCTAAACTCATTAAATCACTGTTTTCTTTTTCAACTTTAATGGCTACATAATCTCTTGTAACTTTATCATGACAGATATAAACAACTCCGAAAGACCCTTTTCTATCAAACATAGTTAATACCTTGGTTTAATTTCTCCTTTTGCACAAATCTTCCATAATAAATCCTCCCTTTCTCTTATTGCATTAAAATTAAAAATATATATAAAGCACAAATATTAAATAAGATTTATAAAAGAGAGATTCCATTATTAGAATTTAATTAACTAAAAATGGTAATTTAATAATATTTTTAATTTATACATGTTCCGAGTTTGTAGATGATAATAATATCATTCTTCATCTTCATCATCAACAATAAAATTATTCATAGATCCTAGAGAATCTTCATCAATTGACTTCTCTTCATCTAATTATCTTTTTTTTGTCCCTTTTTTAGCTTATTTTTTGGTTTGTTTTTTTGTTTTCTTAACTTTTGAACCTCTTGTATTTTCTTCTTCATTTTTGTTTTCTTCTTCTTCAATCTCTTTTTAAGACTATTCAACTAATGGTGCCTCTTCACCAATTAAAGGATTATAATTTTCACTCTAATATATAATTAAAAATACATACCAAATATCTTTCAGCATTGACTTATCTTTTAGCTGCTTTTTCCTTTAATATTACATGTCTTTTATTATACATTTTTGTTAATTGCGTTTTGACTTGAGCGTTAATAGTGCTCAATAAATTATCCTTCAATGGGTTGAATACTTAATCATGAAGATCTTCTTTCAATTAATCAGGAGTAATTCGATATTCTTCCATAATTTAAACTACACTCCAAACAGCATCTTTATCATTTCGAACTATTTTTAATTCTAAAAATTGTTTTATCAACTAAAACAAATAGTGAGAATACAATCTGATATCCGATGTCAAATAAGTAATTGGAGCTATTCTATTTTTTATTTAATGTCCTTCCCTTCTAATTTTACTGGCAGTTGAATTCTTTCCCAACCATTATGGGAATTTTGGAAAATCCATCTATTCCCCAACAATACACGAAGGATAGACACTTGATAAGAATCCAAAGGATGGCATTAATGACCATTGTTGATCTCTTCGAATTTTCTTTGATATTATATCTCCTTCAGCTATTAATTCAGCTGCTTTAGCAACATTATTAATATCTGAATGATGCGATAAAATGTAACTGTCTTAAATAATAAGAGGAATTAAGTCATAATCTAAGAAGAACATGTCCAGCATATCTCTTAGTGACATCTATCTTCTTTGATTTCTATTGAGTAAACTTAAAGCTGCATTAAATGTATTAAAAACACAGACTTTATCTTTTTTGAATGCATTCGGTTAGAACATCTTTGCTTTTGATTACAATTTTTATAATTCCAACATATTAATACTTTATCTGATATCACAATCAAAGCATATAGCCAATTTTTCGAGATCTTCAAGATTCATATTTATATTCTCTTATTCACAAATGTATTTTAATCTTTTTGCAACTGATTTTGCATCTGGCTTCTAAAATTTAATACTATAACAATGAGCTAACAACGATTTTAATTTTTAGTTGTCAATATCATTACAAATACAAACAATTGGAACTCGAGTGGATTTTATACATTCTATTAAAGCCGATATTCCACCTCTATCTGATCCAGTCATTCCATCTACTTCATCCATTACAATTATAAAGTCCTTGTTAGGTCTAAATAGATTCATAAGCACACTGTTGTCAACCAAATCATTTAATACAGATCTCAAACTTCCTTTGTTTCTCTTGTCTGATGCATTGTTTACTATTAATTTCAATCCTAAAGCTTCGGCTACTAATCTTACCATTGAAGTCTTACCAATTCCTGGAGGACCACTTATTATACATGCTTTAGACCTTAATTTATAAATATATAAATACGTAATATTTCCAACAGGTTAGAATCTACCCATTTTTAGGGGTATAAATCTTTTCTTCTATTTCTAATTTTATTCCTCTGCTGAATTTGGATGCTAGAATTTGTATATCCAATCATTCAATTGAGTTACACTTGATTTATTATCAACTAAATCAGACAATAATTTTGGCATGTATTTATCAGCTAAGCTAAGATTCTTATCTAAATTTACATTCTCTGGCTAATCCTATTTCTTGGATCCTGATTTCTTGTACAATTTAGATAAATTCGAGTCCGGAAAAATCTCTTCCATTCCAACACCTATTTTATCAATAAGCCAATCATTTAGCTCACTTTCTCTTACAATCTTTGTTCCTTTTTTTGTAGCCTCTTTAAATTTATTGCCTTCTTCTCCTTTTCTTCCATCTTCTAACTTGTCTGCCACAATTAAATAGCTAGTCTTCCCAGAAATACTGCCAGTGACCTTAGCTCCATTATTCTTTAAGAACTACTCCAGTTTGTCCCTACTGCAAACATTTAATAAACCACTCAAAACGATTGTTAAACCCTTAAGTAAATCTGGATCATTTTTAAATTCTGGTTGATGTTCTTATTCAATTTACTTTTTATTTTCAGGCTTTAAGACTTTTGAGTTTTGTTTTTCCCATGTGATGTTGACAGCTCCTTTCTTTTTTTTAGCTTATGGTTATTATTCAATTTGGATTTCAAAACTTTATTTTATATCAGGTCCTAAGTGTCTAGGTGATGTGCTTTTATTATTTTTATCCAAACCTATCCTATTTAATTTTTCAATTATTTCATTTCCGCTGTCCTAATATGGATCTTATTTTTGTCTGTATGTTTATTGTTATTACGATTATGGTTGAATTTGCTATTAAGATTGTTATTTATTCTTATACTATTCTTAGATTTTTCTCTCTATTTCAAATTATTCTTGAATATTAATATCATCAACATTAATGTCATTAGATCGTTTTATTATGGATTCTTTTAATTTTCCTTATGAACCTTATGAGGGATTAAGAAGAACACTTTTTCCAAAAAATTAAAATAGATTTGGTTAATTAGGTTAATTAGGCTATCTTTGAGCGGATGGCTTTTTTTATGATTATGATAAATTCTAGGGTTAATTAGTTTTGGACTAATTTTAATTAGGAAACACATCAGAAATCTGTGGTGTTTATTTTTCCCCCATTGATTATTGAGTTTATTTTTAAGCTTATTATTATTGCTGCTTTTATTTTTGTTAACCATTTTTGCTTTTGGCATCGTACTTATAATTGTTAAGATTATACTCTTCTTCAATATCTGAAAGAACTTCTGTATGATTTGATTTACTCTCAGGTGAATTACGAATTAACCTTTTTCGGGAATTGCTCATAATTATATTAATAATATATAATCATTCTTAAATTTCTTCATATTAATTATTAAAATACTATTCAGTTTCCAACAAATAAATTTACCATGCTATTAAAATGGGCTTCTTTTGTTCAGGATTACTTACTATATGATCATCCAAGACAGATAAGATTTCAAGCCATTTGTTTTTAAATTCCTCATCCAATTTAGATTGATTAATCTTGTCTATTTAAGTTTAATATTCAAAAGCCCAATTCTCTCTCAGCAATCCAAATTTCTATTCAACTTCCTCAGGATCTAATTTATATTTATGATATGTACTTTAAACATTCAAGAAATTATTCTAAGAATTATCGCTAAATATATCTAATTCTAAGCAAAGAATTGAAAAACGATCAAATGACAGATACTTCTCTCCATCACACACCAAATCAGCATTTTCTTAAAATTTGCTAGATAATTTAGCTTCATCATATTTTTAATTCTCTATATATTTATTTAAAGTTAACCATTCTTCTAAATTGCACATACCATTTCCATCTAAATCGCTTGCATTAAATGCATTTATTACAAATGTTTATATATTTTATACATTATCTCTAAACAATCTTAATACTTTCAGCATCATCTAATCAAAATCTAAGACTCCATCTCTATTTTATTATGTAACATCCTTCTCTACAATTGAGTCTAATTCTTTTTTAAGCTATATGTATTTATCTTGAGATTTAAAGTAATATAAAGATTCTAAATAAGCCAAAGCTCTGATATAAGGAACAAATTGTTGAGTATTGGCTTCATTATTCTTTATAGTTGTGCCATAATTACTCATACTATTAATTAAATCCAATGCCTCTAAATATTTCTTTTATTCTTCTAAACTGAAATTAGAACTTTCCTCCAATAATCCTAAAAACTTTGCAAAAACATTTACTCTCACAATGGCAATATTTTTTTGTATCGAGATTAATAGAATCAAAAATTTTTATTCGGTGACTTTTGTGTATCCAAATTATTTTAGATAATAATTATATATAAAGGATGCCATATCTTAATCTTTCAATAATTTATTTTCTTTTTAACTTTAAAGTTTTTCTTAGTATAAGGTTGTTATATATTTTAACACTAATTTTATAGGGATCGTATTTTAAATCTATCCTATTTTCTTTTGCCTTATTTTCTCAATTAAAAATTTAGATTAATTCTTCTAAAAATCATATGATATTGTTATCTAATATAAAATCTATAGTGTTACTCTCTATCCTAATAATGGACCTTTGCCTACTGTTGTTTATGATGTTTCTTTTTGCTTGTTCCCCCCAACTGCTTTGACATCAACCAATTTAATTTAATTCTACTCTAAATTTTAGTTGTCAAGATAATTCTTTTCAGATTTTGTCTAATGCAATTTTCCTGTTATCTCACTTATATTGAGCTTCAATTATAAATTATCGATTTCAAGTTTTTAATTTAATTTAGTTACACCATCAATATTCTAATAATTCTCTTATAATTATTAATTTAATTCCTCAATCTAATTATTCAATTGAGCGATTCTAAATTTCTGAAAATTAATGAATTAAACTATTTATTTCTGTTTAAATTCAGAAGGTCTATGAGTTGATTATTTTATAGATTATCGATGCATTATTGATTATCTGGTCGTTTATTAAGATTATGGTTTAATGTTTTTGAAATCTAAATAAGTTATAATGATTACCATTAGATTTTATAGATGAATCAGAAAGAATTTCATAATTTAATGGAGTATTTGTGCATTCAGTTTAGTTTTAGATCATCTCATCTAAATTTATTTAATAATTATTCTATTAATTAAAATTGTTGAATTCCAAAGCCAAATTCATTATTTCTTGTGAAATATCTTCATACTTATAATCAATCAATTAAAGGTCTGTTTAAACTTCTTAATCTTTATAAAAGTTAATTAGCAAATCATCCTGAACTTAAATCTCTACGGATCTTATTTCTATTATTTTCTCTTAATTAATTTCTACCTAATTCAATGAATAACTATCATGATTTAGAGTATTATTAGAGGAAAGTGATCTCTTACTTGTTTATTATTATTATTATATAATCAATTAATTCAATTGTGTTAATGATTTATCTTTACCCAAAGGAGATTCTGATCCTTTACTTTATCTTTTATCCAATTTCTATATTTTATTTTCATAAAATTATAATTTAACCTACATAGCTTAATTGTCCAAATCTATTAATCTATATTTTTTAGCCTTGCTCTCAAACTCAAGATTTTTCTATTTCATTTATTTTATTAAATTGCGTTCATTATTGAGTTAATCTCGTTATTCAGCCATTATTTTAGAACCTTCCATCTTGATTTTATTACACTCATTTTTTAATTCCTCTATTTATTCTTTTAGAAACAGGATCTCAATCTTTTACTATTTAATAATTCCTTCCAATTCATTATTCTAATATATTTCTGATTACTTGTAATTATTTGCCTATAATTTATAAATACCCATATGATTCAATTGCACTTCTCTCATAAATATTTAAAATAACAATCCTAATTCTTTAAAGTCTTCTTGTAATTATGTTGTTATAAATAATTCCATTTTAGATAACACCTCTTATTTATTTAAACCATTGACTTAAGATAAAAATTATCTTTCAGCCTCTTTAATCAACATTCTTTTGTTTTCATCTGAGTTGATTGTGACTCCCTTTTCAAATGGAATTACAGACACTAATTTCCTTGAATAGGTTGTTCCTAAACCTTTAATTTTAAATCCAGATGAATTCTATGTTGTCCGCAATTGATTTTAAGATTATTTATTTCGCTGATCTAAAAACTAAAATGTTGCTATCAAATAATATTGGAACTTACATTATCTATTACGAGTTTATTCCAAAAATTCAGTCAATATTTTTTTACAATTCTAGGTTCCTCTTTCATTTTCACATATGCTGGTATTATAATGGCTTCGAGATGTTTAACTACCTACTTTAGAAGTTTATTTTCTCTAAATAGATTTACTTGAGCTAGCACCAAATAGAGATTTATCATTTAGATAGCCATTTCTATCCATTATTTGTTAAGATAAACTAAATTAATATATATTTCTAATTATCATAATGAATTAAGATATTTCTAATTTAGTGAATGCTTTCATATTGAATAAAGAATAATCGAATACTAATCTAAACTTTAAAACATAAAATAAATGTAATAAATATTAATCTCTACATCTAACCTGGATATATGCAAAAATCTTAGATCTAAAAATTATATTCCTTAATTTTAATATTTATACTCTTTAATTAGAACAAGCACATTTGAAATGAATGCTACAATTTTTATCATTATCATCATTATTTTAGAATATGAATTTTTTTTTTATATATATTTAGCTGTTAAATTAATAAATAATGAATTCTGTTTAGTAAAAACAATATATATCTCTAATTCTCATTTTCTCAAATTACCATAAATAACCCATAAGAGTATGTTATTGAATTAAAATATGGTCTAAAATTATAAAACAAACATTTGCGAATTGAATAACTCCTTATTTACACAGGCTTCACAATTTATCATAAATAATCCGAAATGTGCATTTTCTTTAACTCAATATGAGCCATAAAATTAATTAAAATATTCACGTTAAATCAATATGTAATTTTATTATAACAAAAATTATGATACATTAAATCATTATTTCACATTTTTAGTTAGGATATTTAATATTATTATTATCTGATTTTGAAGTTAGTGATGTTAATTGTTTAAATAGAAGATATATGAATTAATCGATACTTTTAATATCGGTATTTCAATAAAATCAATGTTAATAATTTCTATACAATATTAATTCAATTTAATAAGATATTTTTTATTTATATTAATGTATTTTGTTTTGATATTTCTTTAACACCCTAATGCAAAATTCATTATTTTTAATTCAAACTGTTATAAAGACTACTATGGGGTGCAATCTATAAAAATAAAAGAATAAGTAACCAACTCTTGGATTATCAGTATTTATATTTTAAAATAAACATAGATCTAACAAACAGAATTACATTGTAATGAATAAATATAAACTCCAGATACCATGGATATGTCCAGTCTTAAATAACACAATATTATAGTCTTAAAGAAACTACTTGCTTCTTCAAGTCTGAATGTTGATCAAATTGTTAAACCTCCATTAAAAAAATACTCGCATTCCACCTTAAGTAGAAGTAGAAGATAATGATTAAATTGATTTTAAGGATGTACATTGTTTTTAAACTATAATTAAATAATATTAACTCAAATGGATTAGTCAAGTTTAGTTTAAAACCGAAAAAAGATATAGGAAATAGATGCGGTGAAGGCTTTAATTATAGTATAGTTACTTTGTAAATTGTATCTACTTAGCTTTCTTTATCGCAATTCTAAATAAATCAAGTAATAAATTTACAAGTATTTAAAATCATATATTTGATGTGAAATATTAATGATAAAATTATTGAAGTAATTTTAATTAATAAGGAACACCTAAAAAATAAATTTAATTGCTTGTTGCCCTTTTACGAGTAGCTATAAACAAGAGGCAAATATTGTATTGTGTGATGCCTTAAATGCTCTTATGGAAGAAAATTATAAAAATTCTAAATTAGATATTTTATCAGAATATTACACAAAAATATGGGAAGGTAGATTGGGATTAGTTGAAAATAAGATATTATTCTGTTAATTTTTGGAAAATTCAAATTAAATATTGCGTAAAGAATTTGCCATTGATAAAATTGAAAAGGATGATAATATTAGAATTAATAAATCCCTAAAAATATTTCATGTATTTAACACTATTACTGAACTATAAATAATAAGATGGGAAGGTATTTAGGATCTATTTCAATGGATTAGAAATGAAAGCACATACGAATTATTCTAGAGAACAAACAAATTACATATATATCTCAAATATATACATTTATTATACGTCAATCAGTATGATATTTTGGAATTTCACAAAAGGGTAGAGGATGCTTTATTTCAATTTAAGAAGGCAACACCATAATTTGTGGATGAAAGATTAGAATACTATAATGCTATAAATATGTTAAGATAATTCGATAGAATAGAAAAAGCACATTTAAAGATGACTATTTTGGAATTGAGTAAATTGGAAAATAGATAAATAGGATATTCACTTGAGCAATTAGATATATTATCATAATATATCAATTTAGTATGTGAGGTGTTTTTTCCAAATCTATTATAAGACAGAGATATTTTCAATTTTGTTTAAGAGGAAGAAGAAGAAGAAGACGATGAGGAAAATAATTAGGATGATTACACTTTAATTGAACCATTAAATAGATTAATTAGATTATTTTTATAATAAGATGCATTCTATTACAAAAGATCTATTTCGAGCTATAGAGATAAATTAGTTTAGAAAGAGGGATATGTAGATTTAGTTGATCCAGTTAAATGGAGACAACTTATGTCTGTATCTAAAGGATTATGGGTCTTGACTGATGACAATAAACATGATAGATCTTGCATAGATCTGTTAGAAAATGCAATTTTTAGAAAATTGGAAACTGACACCGCATCAATAACTGATGGAATTTAAATCATCAAATATATTTAGGATATCCAAGAAATGAGATAGGGTCATCAATTTTTAGTAAATAGTTACAATAAATTTAGATAATGAAATCTATTTGTGATTAAATTAATAATTAGGAACTTTAAGATTTATCAATTACACGATAAAATCTTCCAAGTTTATTACATTAAATGTTGACTTTGGAAAGAAAAGCAGAGGAATTTGAATTGGCTTTTATTTAACCTGCTTTATATAGATTAGAAACCTGGATTAAAGAGGCTAAATTTGATTAAGAATTAAAAATGTGTGATTGGTATGATCTCTCTTTAGTAATAAAAAAACACTAATATAATGAAATAGAGGACTATGTTAACAAAAAATTAGAGTAAGCATGAACATAGATTTATAATATATATTAAAGTCATCATTATTAAATAATTTTAATTATGAATTAGTAAGAAAATGTGTTCTAAAGTGTTTCAACCAAATCCAAAGAATATAAAGAAGAGTGTAGATAACTATTGGAACGAATTGTGGCTCTGTAACTCAAAGTATTTAAAGCTCCTGACTTATATGTAAAAGAAGTTTTAGGTGTTGTGGAACTATATAAACAAGTACATGCTTAATCCTATTTTATAGTAATTTGAGTTAGTTAAATAAAATCCAGGTTAAAGTAATGGTAAATTTAGTATTATTGCTTAATTTTTATCGAAAGTGGCTGTATATTATAAGACAGACTTAAAATTTTACATTGAAGATTTAATGGAACTTATTAATCATTTCTAAAATACATTGAATTAAGGTTTAAGAAAGAGAATCATATTTTGTTTGTTGAGATTAAGGGGAAAAAATTTAATTGAGCCTTTTCGAATGATAGTATTTTTGATGAAATTGTTTAATTGCTAAGATAAGGATTTAAGGAGAATAATCTTTAGATTCATTATCAAAGACATAAAATAGTTTAATAAGAAACATCGAAATGAAACATTAAATAAATAAATCTAAGTATAATTCTTTATTAACTTTAGAATTTTATCATTGATTTAATTAAGAAATCGTAAGAGAATATTGCCAAAAGAGCATTATAAATAATGATTGAATTATATAAAAAAAATATTTGGAAAGACAACAAATGTGTAAATATTATTGCTTAGGGTTGTTTTAATTAAAATTACAAAATTAAATTATTAGCTTGCTATTTTTTAATTGAAACTACAGAAAATCATGTCGAAATTGAGTCATCAGAGGATGAGGCAGATAAATACATCTAGAAAAAAGGAAAAAACAAATGTGTGAAACCAACCAAAGCTAGAGAGCATAGAGTAGAAAGAGAAAAAAAAATGGCAGATAAGAAACAAAGAAAGAAATTGTCAAGATTGAATAGCAATGGAGGATTCTTTGCTTTAGATCAAATATACTCCCCATAAGATTTTGCTGAAAGATTATTTGATAACCTAAAAAAACATGATAGCGAAAGATTCTCTGTTAAATTGGCTATGATGCATCTGATATCCAGATTAATTCATAGGCATAAATTACTTTTAATACCTTTTTATACTTATGTATAAAAACATTTATATCCAAATAGTAAGGATGTGCCAAAGTTGTTTGCTTATCTAGCAGAATCTATACATGATTCAATACCAAAGGAAGATTTATAACCAACAATAAGACATTTAATTGATCAATTTGTAAATGATAGATGTTAAGAATTAACCTTAACTATGGGTTTAAGAGGAATTTATGAAATATTATAAAAGCATCCAAAGATTTTGGATAAGGAAAACATCACCTATCTCATTCATTATATCAAATATAAAAATAGAAATGTCAGCTAAGCTGCAAGGTCTATATTGAATCATTTCAAAGATACAAATCCTTAATTATTAGATAAAAGATTGAGAGGCAATAAATGGAAGAGTACAGAAGAATTGGACGGTGAATTTGATGACAATTTTATATAATAAATAACAGTAGGTGTAGATGGAGCAGAATTATTATAATAAGAAGAAGAGGAGAAGTTGAATAAAAAATTCGATATTCCTATCTATTGTGATAGAATATTGACAGACGATGACTTTAAAAGAATTAGAGCATTGAAAAGAAAGTAAGAAGCTGAAATAGAATAAGCTAAACTCTAAGAAAAATAATAAAGAAATGAATATATTGAATAAGAAAATGAAGATGATGAGGATTTTATCGATGATGAGGAAAATGATAATGATCTAGATGATATTTCAGAGATTAGTGGAGATAGTGCAGAAATTGATGATAATGAGAATGAAGAATGGGAAGATGAAAGTATTGAAGAGGAAGATGTTGATGATGATGATATTAAACCTGATAGCAAAATCACAAAAGAATAGAATAAAAAAAGGAGACAATCTTTATCAGATTTGGAAGAAGATTCCGTATAAGAGTATTATTCAGATTAAAGCTAAATGTCTGATGAGAATCCTCATGGTTATGTCAGAGAAGAAGATATAATGAGATATAGAAAAACTAAATCAGAATAAAAACATGAAAAATTAGAAGAATTGAAAAATGGAACCAAAGAAAAATGGTAATATAATTATTTATATTTTAAAGGTATCAAGGTCCTAATAAAAAAAAGTCTGAGTTTGCATCAACCTCAAATAAAGAAAAATAAAAGAATAAACCATTATAAATGATGAGAGCTAAGAAAGTTGAGTAAAAGAATAAAGAATCAAGAATTAAAAGCAAAATTAAAGATTTAAAAAATAAACTAGGGCATGTTAGAAGTGGAAAATAAGCTCAAAGGTTAAAGAAATAGAAAATTAAGTGATTGTGTGTATATAATATAATTAATTATAAAATCTCATTAAAATGAACTCAGAATAAGAAATGATCTTCAAGAAAAGAGAGATGTTTAGAGTTTAAATCAGGAGAAAATAAAATGAATTAATATTCTAATAAAAGCGCCAATTATTCAATGAGTCATCAAACTCATAAGATTGGTAAACACCAATGGACTAGATATTTCAGTAAGCATTAGAATCTAAAATCATTGCGCCTGATTAAAAAGTATTGTCACAATTATTTACAAATGTAAAAAACTTATTAAGTTATGATTATTCAATCAATCCAACCCTAAAGTCCTTTTTATCCTTCATGTTTTTCAATTTATAGTATATCTAACTAAATGAATAAGATAACTGGATGACAGATGACTTTTTAAGTGTTATTATCAATTGTTTGTAAGATATTCAACAAACATTTTAAGATTTGGAAGAAAATGAGAACACACTTGATTTTGATCAGAAACTATTTGATTTACTTAACCACATTCTCATTTTCGTATCATAATTATCATCTAAATTAACTATGAGTAAATAATCAGCTTAATTTAAATAAATAGTCCTACTTATTATTACTATTTTACATTACTTATATGATGCCAACTAATTCGAAATCATATGTAAGCTAATAATTAATATTTTGTTGGAAAGATCAGAAGAATATATTTATTTAATATAATAAAGTATATTCCCACAAATATTAATTCACAAATATGAGGAATTAAACCTCCAATAAAATTATAATATACTTTACTATATTTATTTATATTTCGGTTTGATAACTGGAATATGCCATTTATAATATGGTACTTAATTATTTTAAGACACTTATTAATTGTCAAATATAATAAATTCTCAACCTTAAATTTCTGATCAGAATTATTATAATTGTGTTGAATAATATTTATATTTCCTTTACAATATTACACTAAATATTGATGAGAATAAACCAAGAACCTATTAGTTATTTAATATTTTGATAGACAAAGAGATCGTTATGAACGTTGCAAATTTTCTCGTTTAACTTAGATATGAGTTCGAATAAATACATGAATTAGGATATAAATTCTTAATAAATTTGAGTATGATTTCATCATCCTACTCAATGGAAAAGTTGATAAGTTAAAATGTTTTCAAGTTGGTTTTATTTTAAATAAACCACCAATCGAATTAATAATATTTGATATATCCACTATTCTCAAATTTATTGACTACGAATAAATAATAAACAAAATAGATGATTTTTGATTCAGGAATTTTAGGTAAAGCATATATAGGATTTCAGACTGCTCTAAATAATAATTAATAATAAAGAAGTCTAGAAATAATTCAGTGCATTATAAATATGTTTCAAACTATCACTCAATAATAATAGTTATTATTAATCCAGAAAGGAATGCTAGAATGTTTATTTGATTATATAATTAAATAAGATATGGATTAACTGGATTTGAAGACAGTTGAAGAAATATATGGAACCTTATATGAATAAAAATAACTAAATCCATAACTATAATTCACAGAAGAGTTTAGGAAGAGATCAGAAAAAATTTATGAAAATTTAGATGATGATTGCGATATAGCATTTTTTATTAATAATATAATAAATATTACTGATTGATTGCAATTGCATGTTTATAATAATTTATCAAAATTTTCTTAATTATGAAAAAAATGGAACCAAAATAATTAGATTAGTCTTCATCCTTAAATTGCATGTTTAGTGAAGACGAATTAGATAACATGGATGAAATTTTGGTAATAAATAAAATTGAGATGTGAATATAGTCTTAGAATGATAGTCCCATAAAATGTCCTCCACTAAGTGAAATTACTGAGGATTGCTTTAGTGTAAATCAAATTGAATAATAAAGTAAATAATATTAAATAAAGAATTAGATGATCAACAATAAAGAATTAATTAAAGACATAAGAATACTGTACAATTAGTATTAGATGTGAACATGGTAAACCAATATATTCAAAAAAATGCCCGTAAAGCCCATTCAAAAGAATTTCTTAAAGAATTGGTCTCCAAACAAAAAAACAGATTTTAATTTGATGGATTTAATTTAGATTTAACATGTAATCTATCTTTATTATAATTGATATTACACCATAAATCATTGCAATGGGATATCCAGCAGACAATTTTGAGTCGTTGTATCGAAATTCATTGGAAGAAGTTTAGAGATTTTTGAATACAAGACATCCAGAGAAATACAAGGTTATTAATCTGTAATAAAGATAATTAAAATTATAAGGTGTTCAGAAAGACAATATAGACATGATTTGTTTTATAAGGTTGTTGAATTTCCCTTTGAGGATCATTAGCCTCCTCCTTTCTAAATTATATTACCATTTTGTTTGACCGTATCAAAATGGTTAAAAAAGCAAGATCGAGTTGTAGCCGTACATTGCAAAGCGGGTAAAGGAAGAACAGGAACGATGATAAGCTGCTATTTACTCTTCTCAAAATAATATGATTCATCAAAGGATGCTCTAAAATATTATGCAATGATTAGAACATAAAATTAGGAAGGAGTAACAATACCCAGTTAAGCAAGATATGTTGAGTATTTTAATATTGCTCTAAAAATGAATTTATTGTACGTTCCAGCAAAAACAGTGGAGTTAATAGAGGTTAGATTAGTCGGAATACCAAATTTCGGTATTTTTGGAGGATGTAGTAAGATATTTAAGTTTATTATCGTAGAACCTTTTATAAGAATATAGAATGAAAATAAATAATTAATCTAATAACCAACAATATTGACTAATTAGGATCAATAGAAATAGTACAGTGCCATATTCAAATTTTAAGGAGTTTACTTAAGTGGAGATGTAGTAGTGCAATTTTTCCATAAATCAATTGTTTTGTATATATTGAATTAAATGAGAATAGAGAAGAGAAAATGTTTTAGGCGTGGCTTAACACTTCTTTTGTTATTATGAGTCCATAACTCTAAATTTTTAAACGTGATGAGTTGGATGGAGTAGGCAAAGATAAACAATTTAAGAAATTTCCTATCAATTTTAGCCTGGAAATTCTGTTTGATAAAGTTGTCGCTATTCGTAGAAGATCAGATTGTATAAAATGAAAAATATACTAAAATTCATTGTAGAAATAATTTCTCTTATCCTAATCTATAGTTATAAAAACATGATTCCATTATCACAAGCACATGACCTCATTTACTATGACTTAAAATTTTTTTGATAATGTATTTTCTTTGAGGGAATGAAACCCTATAGGCTATCAATTATTTGACTATTGAAATAACTTAAAACGATGATAATACAATATGAGGGATACTCGCTTCCATATCTTATGAAGGAAATTGTATTACTGCAATGATTTTCAAAGGTTGATGAACTAATGAAACCTTTTTCCAATATTATATCTCATCTGCCTTGATTTTTCTAGTCAAAGTAGGAAACACACTAGTATTCTTCAGGCTTGAGATATTAATATGAGATTCGTCTAATTCTTCATCTTAACGTACCTCTTTCTTATTGCTTCCTTATCTAGAGATTTTAACTATTCCTTTTCCCTCATCATTTTTAAGAATTCATCCCTAATGTAATTTTTCATTCCTTATTTATTCGATTTCACTAGATTTCATTTTTATTCTTAATTTGAATTTTAAATCATTTATCTTTTTTTCCTTATTATCTCTATTAAATAGCATTACAGTCTTTATTTAATCAATCGGATTAGCTGTATTACTTTCTAATTTCGCTGAATTTGCAAAAATATTCAAGCGGACTATGCTAATATGATTGATAATTGTTATTTCATTAGCTGTTTTTCCTAATACTTGTCTCAAAGCTCTAGCAATATCTTGTCAGCCTCCCCCTCAAAGAATTTTAATTTATTCCCATTATTGATTTAAATTCTAAGCCTTCTTTAATTCTCCATAATCAGCAAATAATCCCTCTACTTGGAAACTGAATATAATTGCTATTTAGTATCCTACTCTTTTTGATTAGAAACTATCAATAAAGAAGTGTCTTCAAATCTTGATGGAGATCTTTTTATTTGAAGTTGTTTAAATAGTCTATTTTTTATATTATAATATTTATAAATTTATGAATGAGTTTCAAATTGAACTATCCTGAATGAGCATATTTTCAACCAGTCATTCCCTTTGAATATGAATTTTTCACTGATCTTTTTCTCTATAATTGTGATTCATTAAAAAAAAATAATTTCTTTTTCCTTGTTATTATTCAATCAACGATTAGTCTATTTAAAAATTGTTTATATCTAAGGTAAAAACATTTTTCTTATTCGATAATTTTTCTAATCTTAAATTTGTTGTAAATGATACTAATTTATACAAGATAAGAAAATTTTAACCTTAGGTTTATAGATAATTTAAAAAGCATTTTGGTAAATTTCAGTTTATCTGCAATATTTGATTTCTTTTTTAACTTAATATCGATTTATAATTTATTTTTATTTTATTTTAGACCTAAGGGTCTTATTTATGAGTACATTTGTTCCTCTACTGACAATTTAAATTTTTAACACTAGAATTTTAAACACTTTCCATTTTTTGTATTGTTTGAAATTTATATCACTTACAATAATTTTTGAGAATAATTTTTTAGAAAATAATATAAATATTGTATTATTTAATTTTTAACTAGTATTCGAAATCTGAATCCATTCATCATTTAATTTAGTAAGTAATCTCAAACAAATGATATACTCTTCTTCAAAGACATTCTTTCTATGTGCGAATCATAATATATCGACAGTTGATTGAATTCTTTATAATTATTAATAAATAAATTTTATTCACTCATATGATATAAATTCCTTATGCAAACCAACAACTTTCACAGATTAAAATCGCCGAAAGTTAAATAACTAATATTGACAAGAATATCATAAGAGTATTGCAACTATTCTCTATTACTGGATAGTTGGATATGGATATTGAAAATATAAGTAATCAAAATCTTAATCCAAGGACTTGAATTATCAGATAACTCAAATTTTTATCCAGAAGCATTGTTCACTTACTTAAAAACTTTCGCTCCAAGCTCCATTCAAAATTCAAATCAATATAAATAAAAATTTTTCGATTTCTCAGTAAATTAAAAATGTGTATTTAGGATCTTTAATCTTCAGCCCCTTTAGTAATTAATATAATTAACAGTTCAAAAGATGGAATCATTCAATTTCAAAACTTATTATCATTCCTAAATGATTTTTCTTAAACACCAATAAATATCAACCAAATTAAATGCTTAGAAAGAATTTATCATGTTGATTAATATGCATTTTAATAAGACTAAGCAATCGATTCACTTAACAACGAGTATCCTCTACCCTAAGATGTCACGCCAATTTCTAAAAATAAATAAACTTAAATTTAGGGTACAACAAAAGTACCATTAGCAAAATAAGAAAGTCTAGAAAAAGTGAATTCTGGAGAGGGATTTAATTATTCTACTTTCAAGAAGCTTATATTATCTCAGTCCATTCCTTTAGCTAAATAAAAAGCACAAAAAAGAAAATTAATATATGAAACCAATTAGTAGTAGAAAGTTGAGATTAATGTCTTGAAATAATTTGCAAAATTAATTTAATATGAATTAGAATTATTAGATAAATCTGAACAAATTCGATTACAATTGAATACTGATAAGGCCTATAATCATGTAGGAATGTTTAATATCTTGGATGCTCATGGAAATGGAGAAATTGAGTTCTAATATATTGAATAGTTGATGAATAAAGCACAAATTCCATTCAAGCCATAAGCATTTAAAGCTTTAGTTAGAAGAACCAACTTATTGAGTAATAATAATTCTCTATCTGAATGTATGATTTTTGAAGGCTTTCGTTTATTGACAACTGTTTAAAATCCATACTTTAAAATTCCAAAACCTGAAGTCGAAACACTACCCTCTAATATAGAATATTCAAGGATATTAGGTGCAGAAGTGACTGGTCAAAATTCTTCGTAATTATCCATCTCAAGAATTCCTGATAAACTTAAAAATTCTACTCAAAATTATAGATCTAAGCCGATCATCCCCTTATATAATAGCAGCAATCCTTATGTAAATGAGACTCTAAAAAAATAAAGCAAAATTTACGATAGTCAAAAATAAAATTATGATACAATATAAAATGATTATGTAAAGCTAATTATTAAATATTAGATTGTTTATGGAACCAAAAGAGAATGGGAGGAACTACAGCATTCAATGAATTCAGGGGTGCTAATTGATACTCAATCATTAAAGTCATAAATTCAACGAATTTAGAATTCTTAAATAAATTTCCAGTCAAATGCATCAAATAGCAAAGCTCATGTTTTATAATAGAAAACTGAAATACAGTTAATTTAATAATAAGCCCTTGAAGAAGATTTAGAAAGAAGAAAAAATCAAGATTTGTCAAAATAATTATAGCATGCTATGAATGCAAATACAAAAGGATATTATTCAAATCTTGTAAAAATTGAAAAGGAGAAAAGGAATACGGAAGAAATAAATGAATTTGTTGTGTAAGCACCATGGTATCAAAACGATATGAAAATCAATAAAAATGTCAATCTGATTAAAAAACAACAAGAAGAAATACACAAATTTTCTGGGCTAAATTAACCATATACATCTATAAATTCAAGTTAACAAAATTTACAAAACAATTCCTCTAAATTGCCTCCAAAAGTTCCTAAAAAGGAAGGAGTTTAAACAAATATTTAACCATTACAATAATAACAAAATAACTAGTAAGAATAACCTGCCTAATCTTAAATCATCTCCTAATAAGATGTTTCTCCTATAAAATCAAGAATTTTTTCATCTTAAAAATACAATCCTTTAATATATTAAGATAATTTACAATAAAAAATAATGGATTATAAATGCGATATCCCAACAAGATAATTTGATTATTAAAACTGAAATATTTTATTTTTTTTGTCATATTTGTGTCATATTTTATGTTTAAAGAATTCAATAATTATTATATTAATCATTTTTAATTGCATTCCAACTATATAATTTTAATAATTAATTTATTAAATTGTTTCTAAAGAAAAATGGTATATTTTATGATTAAAACATAGGATGGAGAAGATGAAATGTAGAAATAAGCAAGATTAATGGCTGAGAAATATAAGGATGGACCTAAAAAGAAAGGCGCATTGGTGAAAAAAACTTAAGAAGTATTTCTTTAATATTTACAATTAGAGAACATAATTTGATTCAGCTACACACGAAATGCAAAAATAAGCATAACAACATCCTCCTAAATGATGATTCGATTATTATTACAATATTATTTAATAATTAAATCTCCTTTCCACCATTCATTTTACACAAGATTGTTCTAAGATGATCAAACAAATAAGTTTTTTCCATATTTGATAAAATCACTTATTAAATTCTACAAATTTATTGTCCTCAATCAAGGCATTGCATTAGAAGCATATATAAATCGAAAAACAATCTCAAATTTTATTGTTTATAAAAAAAACTGAACAAGTTAAAGAAGAACACTCATATTATTTTAATTAGTCCATTCTCTTCTCAATCCAGATTTATGTAATAAATTCATACAAATTAATACTATTTGGATAGGCTATTGTCCTTAGTGTAAATAGATAATAAAATTTAAGATTTTACAATTTTGTTTCCTTCAGTATTCTACTTTTAAATCAAATAGCCAATAATCAAAAGTATATAATAAATATATAAAGTTACTAAAATTTTGAATGGTTTAATTTGATTTTCTGTGATACAAGGAATTCAAACCAAACAAAAAGAAGAAATCCAATTTATTCAATTAAAAATAAAATAAAATACTTAAAATACTTAAAATTTAATCCATAATGAATTATCGAAAAAAACTCACCAAAAAGCATAATCAGATTTGCATATTATTGAAAATGAGAACCTTTTGATGAAAGTATCTTAGAAATTCGATTTAATTGAGAGTATTCTTCTTAAAAATTGAAGATAACTATTGTAAAATTAAAGTTGAATTACCTCTAACATCATAGCTCATTTAAATCAAATTTTTTTTTTTCCAAATAATATATCTAAATTGAAATTCCTAAAAATGTTTTTAGTTCGAAGTCTAATGATGGGTCTTTGTGGAAAAATAATGTTCTAATTTTAGGTGTAAGCAGCAAAGTTATTTATTGATGATATTATCTTTTTGAGTGTGGAAAATATAAGTAAATTTTGCATTTTTAAGGAAAGTTTGGAATTACTGTCCATACTTATTTCACATGTGGAAATTGTACATAAACAATATAATTGAAAGAGAAATGAAATTTTAAGAACAAATTTAATTACATTATTGTAAACAATAGGTATTAGATAAAGAGGAAATATGTTTCTAAAAATATGGATCTGGGTATTCATCATCATAATCCTATAGAACCCAAATACAATTCAAACATTATGGAAAAACATCATAAAAGATCAAATTTTATAAAAATTTAAGATTTAAATGTAAATTCTAGCTAATGGCCAATATTAAATACCCATTAATCAAGATGAGAAAGTATTGTAGAAAAATTATAAAATCAAATTCATCAGTTAGAATTTTGGATCACTGAATATAGCACTTTGAAATAATTAAATAAGAAACAGCGCATCTTTTAAAACTAGAACATACAAGATTCTGTAAAAAATAAATATTACTATAATAAGAGAAATGTTAATAATTCTTGAGAAACAATTATTGGAGTACATAAACAGTTTATTAGCAAAAACATCACTACATTCTATTTCAATAATAACTATGACTAAAATTTCATCCTGCCTGATGTCTGAGTTGTTCAGGTGGTTTGGCTAATTTTAAATTTAAATACAAAAAATGTAAATTGTATTTTTTTTGAGAAATGGTAAAGGAATAGTGGATTACTTTCTAATAATTTATCATCTGCGAAGATTTTAATTATGAAGATCTTGGAGTTGGATTAATTATCGATACTGTAAAAGATAAGATAACTTTTAAAAGAAAATAACTACATCCATATTATCATCTGGAACTGATCATATCTTGATATTAAGAGAAGTTAATCATTCTGCTTAACAAAAGTAGATGGCTTCATTTGATCACTGTAGATTAAAATTAGAATTTGAAGCCAGTCCTCACCGAGATGGAAGGGCTGATCAGAATGAATATGTTACAGTATCAAAGGAGAGAGAAATAAAATGTCGTCAACTCATAATGTAGAATGAAAATATCTTATGTTCAATACAAAACAATGCTTTGGAAAAAAAGCATCATAAGCAAAATAGAATTAGAATTTATTTGTAAAATATTAGAAATTCGATAATTACTTTAATAAACTCAAAAAAAGTCTAAACAATAATAAGAATTAAATATTTAATATTTTAAAATCAAATCTAATCCTCCGCTAGCAACGAAGAGATGAGGAATTTTTAATTGCTTCATTAATGATGATAAATAATTCTGTACAGGAAAGGATATATTCATAAATTGCATAGAAATATTAGATAAATTATCAAGCATTGAGCATTATTGTCCGAAACCCATTCCATAGCTACAAGAATAAAAAAAAAGTGGAAATAAAAAAATTTGATAATGCAATCTTATTCGATGGTATAACACATTAACTCATATGACTTTGCAATTGGAATGTATAAAATGATTAGGAACGAAAAACTCATTTGCAATCAATAAGAAACTCAGATGGGTAAGATTATGCCAGTGAACAAATTCTACCTTGAAATATCACTAAAGGAATAATTCAGACCTCCCGTTATATGAGTCCTTTATTAAATTCATTGAACTCTGCTTCTATCAAAAACTACAAGACTTTTTAAGATATAAAATTCTCAAATCTCGAATAGGTTTCATCTCAGGAATGGGTACTCATATAAATATCTTTCTGATGTTTAAATTGGATTACAAAACGGATGGTAAAATTAAGAAATGTTTGGCATTTATCGATTTTACAAGCTCATATAATACTAGAGAAAGTTAGAGATTGTACGGGATATTTAAATAGAGTAAAACATTTGATTAATAGGAAGTTGGCATTTTGGAAGCTATTCACCACCGAATTGTTTGTGTAGATGCATATAATTTCTAAAACAAGATCTATTTAAAAATGGTATTCCTTAAGGATCTCCGATATAACCAGCTCTATTTCATTTACCTAGATGAATTCTTAAAAGATTTAATTCAATCCATTAGCAATTCATTCCAGTTCTTAGGATATGCTGACGATCTTATGTTATTGACTGCATAGAGAATTTGGGTTTCTTGGTTCCTTAATTAAAAATTTATCTTCTTAATGGAATCTACAAATAAATTATAAAAGTGTGGCATTATAGCAATCAAGATGAAAAATAAAATAGGAATCAATTTGTGAGTTTCCTGTCGTGTAATAATATAAGCAGATATTGACTACTTCTTATATATGACTGTCGCATCTTTATTTCATAATAAGTCGCTGTTAAATAAACTAGTAAAACTTAGGAAGAAATCATTCAAATAAATTATGAGATTCCTACCAAATACTCCTGATATTTCCATTGGGTGCTTTTTAACTACCTATTAATCTTCGATAAAGGATAATTTGATTGAAACATTAAAAAATTAGAGGACAGGAGAATAGAGTATCCATGGGAGGACTTACTATATATTGCTATGGATATCAAACAACCAGAATTAGAAATAATACCTATCAATTTTTAACTTTTACTTAAATTTGCTTTAACTAAATCCCCCACACATGATATATGTTGTACTTTCTAACTCATTTTAGCTAATCAATTTCCCTCATTAAAGATGACTTAGAAAAAGTTTAAGATAGCTAGAAATAACAAATAATAATTGAGGACTCGAAAAGAAAAAGTGCTTAAAATTAAACTATAGAAATTGATCCAATGAATTAAGACAAAATAATTGAAATTAAATTTTATAATTCACATCTTCCAAATTTGGGCTGGTTGCAATAGTAATATTTAAATTATAAAAAACAATATAAGTCAAATAGTAATGAATATTTAAGTACAAATAATGTAGATAAAGCAATATAATTGAAAATGGAATGAATATTTAAGTACAAATAAGCAATAAATTAAAAAAATATAATTAAAAAATGAATATTAAAGTATAAAAATGATTAATTTTCATAAAATATATCAATTAATTTGAGAAATTATGTTTTTTTAAATTTATTTAAAATATTAGGTTTTCAAATGCAATTTTTTTTGTTATTTTAATCCTAATGAATAGCATTTAACTGATCATTAATTACTTAAAATAAATATATGAATAGCAAATTTCATTAAAAAAAATATTGGCATGATAATTTACAACACAAAATACCTCATAAGATTAATTATTCTTTCGAATGAAGTTTTAATATTTTATAAAAATTAATTAATATTTAGAATGGGAAAATAAAACACACAAAATAAATAACATTCAAGAAGATTAAAGGTTGAAGATTAGTAAGGTTTGAATTTGCCCATAATTAAACAAATTCGAGGAGAGTTTCGATGTGATTTACCATCTCATATATCAAGTCACATTTTGGTTGGATAAAGATTAGAAATAATTAATTCAAAATTAGAAAACTACATGTTTCGACTAGAATGGAAATAGCGAGCTGATGGAGTTAATCCAGTTGGAACAGAATTTAGGTACAATGATCTTAAACAAGTGTGTCCAGGTTTATTAATGAAATACTTATCAAAATTTATCGTGCTTTCTTGAATGATGAAATTAAGCATTTTTAGTCATATATGATAGATAATAATAATAAACATTCCTTTTAATATCATTTTTTTAAGAATTAAAAGCAATATTTTTTTTATGAATCTATTTAATAAAGCCTTTTGAAACATTAATTGACATTTACAGGTTTTATATAGATTACAGGATCCAAATTAATCGTTAACAATGTTCTAAAATTATTTCTAATAGTAGTTAACACTATTCAAATAAATAATCATTATTTCAGTTTATGTATTGGATTGAGAAGCTTATTTTAATTAGTAAATTTTATATTTTATGATTTCCATTTATTGTAAAATAAAGTAGAGTTCCTAAGGTTAAAGATAACCAATATACTCCTTTTATAATTCAATTAATATTGAATTTAAGACTTTAATATATAAAATCTATGTTTCTTGTTCTCTCTAAAGTGACTAAATTCCTTATAAATTTAATCATAACATATAAAAGAAGGTGGCCTGTATTAAAATTAATCTAATAATCTTTAAAATTTTGTTAAGAATTTTACCCCTCATACCCAAATACTATAATTTTTGAATTAAAGCTTAATTATTATTTTTCATTTACTACCCTCAAATACATTATTTCTCTTAAATTTTAAGATATTTAGAACAAAATAATATACTTCCAAAGTTCTATAAGTTGATATTTCTTACATTATTTAAATATAAATTTATTAGTCATCCTCCATTTAAGCTTGTACACTATTCAGGTGTAACACAGGCCGTTGCATTCCAGCACTCTAATGGGTCATCTATAACGATAGGATCTCCATTTGAGTCAATGGTATTATTATTACATTATACGTAAGCACAGGAACATTTTAGGAATTCACTATTGAAAAAATTTTATATAATTTCTCCATTCATTTCACATTCTACATCAAATTGACATTTTTCAACTAGGTAATTTAATTTCAAATGCTCTGTTAAATTTTAAGCGCAATTACAAGGTGAGGGAAAAGGATTGCCTAGATTAATAGAATCTGAGCAAGCCATACCATAACCAATGCCCATAGATTCAAATCTGGTCATACAAAAGTCATGATACATACACTGTTCATCTACCCAATCAATTGGTTAATTGCAATTCACACATTCCTCACTAGGTTTAAACAAATCAATTTCACAAAATTTTCTACAATCATTATTAAAACCACCATAATTTTTCCCACACCAATTTCCATACTAAAATGTTTCAGAGATTTCCCATAACGAAAGTATTGAATTCTTGCAATTCTTATTTAAATTTTGACTTCTGAGTAAAGTAGTCTATAATTATGCTTCTATATAATTAAATTATTCCTGTGTTCCCATAAAACATTTATTGTGTACAATTGTCTATAGCAGATTCTTCTCAATTCTAATTTTTTTTGTATTCGAAATAAAAGTTTAGGCAAATATAGAAAATAAAATCAATATATTAATCATTTTATATTATCAAATGGATTAGGAAAATTTGTTTTAAATTAGCTTAATCAAATTAACCAATAAATTATTATCAATCAAATTATTATATTATATATTATTATTTAAGTCATCTTCAGAAACTAATACAAAGGAAACTCAAATTTGGAAGCAGAAAAATTTTGAATATATTTTAAACTCTTATGAAAAGGTTGTGAAGAATATTTTTATTAAAATAGTGAGATAGGTTCACTTTACGGTGCTTATAATTACTGTATTTTAGTGTAGTTAATGACAGAATTATTCAAGAAATGTAATTTAAAATCTGATAATTATTAAAAAGGAACTGCAATTTAAAACATAGAGCTCGTTTATAGTTTGAATAGGATAATGAAATATAATAAACATGTAGAATCAATTTAAATAAATTAAAAACAATTGTGAAAAATTATAAATCAATTTTTAAATCTAAAAGACTTAGTTTTTTTTTTGGAATTTTGAGGTTATTGCTCAAAAATCATTTTTCTAGTCAACATATTTACTACAGGAGATTATTTTATTATTTGCTACTACGCTAGTTATCTTTTTTGTTAATATTAATTATCTAATCGTGATTATGAAATCTTATATTTTATGGAGTCTTAATAATTTGGATGAAAAATGTTTATTTTTTCACTGAATGAGTAGAGATCTTTTATTTTAGAATTCTATGAGAAACTTCTTATTTTATATTACTCATTTTATGAGAAAAATGAACTTACAGTCTTTTGACCATCAAATTAATCAGTTTTAACTATATCAACTGGTGTAAATTAAATATTTGGAATGGAAGTTGAGTTTTACTTGATTTGCATTAGTTAAATATGTTTTTCAAAATCATTCATATCCAAATCGACTGCCCAATTCAAAGATTTCTTTATATGAGTATTCTATTACATCAACTATTAGAATAATTTATCCATATTTTATTCTCTGCTTTAAAAATAGAGAATTTAATCATCTTATACTCTAACTATAAATAAGTAATTTACTTGTCTATAGAAAGTAAATCATATAATTTTAAATGAGTCTTTTTAAAATATTAGCTTAGGTTCTTATTGTTGTTTATATTAGTCTGCCATTCAGGCTAAGTGCTCTTTCTTTATAATAATAATTAAGTTATTGACAATTATTATTGTTATTATAATGATTCGTTATTTAAGGAATCTTAGTCTTAACTATGAATCTTTAAAATAATAAAATATAATACTCACTCGCTTAACTATGTCATTATTCGTTAACTTTCTATTAGCAATTTCTAATTACAATTTACATTCTGTAAAAATGGATTAAATGAGTTAAATAAATACTCCTTATTTACCATCATACATGTTTGATAAGCAATTATAAATGGTTGGCTAAAATGTTGATGCTTTTGATCTAAATATAGATTTTTTAGCCAACAAAACTTAATAAGCCTCAGCAAGCCTGGCAATAAATCGATGTAATAATCTATGGAATGATAATTGGAGCATACTTAACTTCACTTTCATTATTTAATTATTTATTATGAAATTACTTTAGAAATTTTCTTTCAGTGTTATCGTAATATTCGTATTGCTCTGTTAACTCTTCACTATCTTTATTCGGTAACTAATCTAAATTAAATAATTCTTTGAATAATAGATTTAGAGTTTCTTGATCCAGCTACATTTTATATTTATTAATGTTTTAATTTCGATAAAATTTATAATAAGCAATAGAAATATTATAGTATAAATGCAAGTATTATTGTTGATAATTAACAATAAAATATAAGAGAAGCAATAAGTTCTGTTTCCAAAAGATAATCAAAAGAATTACAAATTAATCATAAATTACACTAGAACTTAATTCTTGTTTATCTTCTTTTGTAGATATATGCTAACGAATTTGTTTTCATAAAGCTGTATTATATAAATGTTGATAATTTTAAATTTTATAAAGCAACAGGCAACCATAGAATATTGAGAATCTTTTCTAAAATTCTATTTGAAAAACTAATATTTAAATTTACTTTAATTTTGAAAATGTCTATATAAGAGGAATAGTATGTAATACTTTTCAAAATATATCTATTTTTCAAGTGTTGGTTTTTAGGTTTTATTTCTATTGTTAATCAATTAATAACAAAATAATTATGAGTTTGGATTCTTCTCAAAAGTGCGACGAAGAAACTGGTTTAAAATCTATCGCTCTTGAACCTTTAGAACTTGATGAAACCTACTAGACCCCTGTTGATATAAGATGGGGAAATTGTTACCCATTATTTTAAAAAAACAACATTCCAAAAATTGTGATTGGCCCTCATTGTAATCACTATTAAATATTATTAAAGGGCCATTGTTTATTTGTGCATATTCTTTATTTTTTGTAGCTAGTGTATTTTTAATTGGGTGGCATTTTACCAGTACATCATCTGAATTCATTAAATGGGCTACTTTTATTATTTGTGTCAATTAATGTTGGAGTTATGCTTGGGTAGCTTTAATTAATCCTGGAGTTATTAATTACGATAAAAATAATTCTATTGATTATAGACCAAGACCTTCGCCAGAATTAGGAATATAGAATGATAGCAAGACTTGGTATTGTAGTGCATGTAAATTGTTATAATTATATGGCACTGTGCATTGTAGTGATTGTGATGTGTGCATATAGGAAATGGATCATCATTGTCCATGGACAGGAAAATGTATTGGAAAAGGAAACATAAAATAATTTTATTATTTTCTTGCTAGTACTTTAATATTTATGATTTTTAATATTATTGCTTCATTAACACAGTTAGATGGAGCAATAAACGGAACTAGAAGGAAAATAAAATAAGGTAGTTGAAGAAAATAAATTTATGTTTTAATTTATAGTTTGATTAATCTAAATTCTTAACTTAAGTGTAGTATAAAATTTATGTAATAATATTATTAACAAAAATAAGGGAACTGCTTATATGAAAAATTGAATTTTTCAACTTTCAATAAGGAAATAAATTAGTATTTATATTTTTTTTTTTCTCTTAAAATTTTCTGAACACTTTATAAAAAGTTTGGATAAAACATAACATAAATTCAACCTAATAATTATTTACAATAGAACAATGAGCTATTTAATTGACAATTTTTACTTGATTCTGAATTCTTGTTGTTTTTTGATTTATTGTTTTTGTTTTTCTCTTTTGGATATTTATTCTTAAATTGAATCTACAAGTAACTATAATCTTTCATTAATGTTTGTAAGTTTATTTATATTTGAAATATAAATATATATTATTGAATAATTCACTTAAGTTCTAGAAGATTTTGAAGTTCCAATATTTATTTTTCGAATATATCAAATTTATAAAAATAATGATAATCAAATTAGCTCAATTTGATAATCTTTTTTAAAATTTCCGAAATTTCAATTAAACTGATATCTAAAGGCATATACTTTTGTGAAAAGAAGATAACTTTATACCTAATTTTAAGAAAAATATGAATATGAGGAAGATTGATATTAAAAATAATCTATTTAGACAAAATTGATAAAAATATATATCAAAAATCCTATATAATTTAGACATCAAGCACTTATTTATTGATTTATTTTATTATTGATCTTTACAGAATTGAAATAGAATAACTTTAGATAATTATATAATTTTTATTTGAAATTGGCTCTAAGTTCATCTGTTTATTTAATTAAAGAACGATCCAGAGATATTTAGATATGAATAAGTTTAAACAAACAGGGACTGTCTATACGAAATTAAATTAGATAATAATAATTAAGATTATAATCTCTTGGAAGCAGATATGAGTGTAAGAATATAGGCACTGTTATTGAATAATTACATAGCTTTGACTTCTGTAGGTTCTTGAAAGGAGTAATAGGCTTATCAGTATTTCAATTAGAATTTATTCAATAATTTCTGAATAAGTTTGAATGTCGATATGTTATCTTACAAAATTAATAAATTAATCAGTATGAAATAACTCGAAATTAATAAACAGTTCGTCACTTAAAAGAAGATTTCATAAGGGTCCTTTGGAATAGTGTTTTTAGGAATCGATTAGAAAAATGGAAATTAAGTAGCTATAAAAGTTGAGAAACCAGAAAATGAACACTTACATTCTATTGACAAAGAAGTTGAAATTTTATCAAGATTGTCAAATATTAAAGGAGTTCCATAAATATTTTATTATGGTTGGGAGGATTCGTATAATGTTATAGTCATGGAATTGCTATAGAAAGATTTGGCATCCATTCTTAAATAAAGGAAAAAAATGTGTTTAAAATCTGTTCTCTAACTCTCTATAGAGCTAGTTTAAATATTAGAAGAAATTCACAAACAAGGAGTGTTACATCGAGACTTGAAACCTGAGAATGTAATGTTGGATGATAATAATAAAGTTTATTTGATAGATTTTGGAATAAGTAAAATATACATTCGTAAAAATGGAATATTAATGTATTATCTTAAATTATAAGTAAAAGTCCTTTTAAAGATAGAGTACCATTCATTGGTACTTCCAGATATGCTTCGATAGCTGCACATAAAGGATTTGAGTTAGGAAGAAAAGATGATTTAGAGTCAATGTTATATGTTATGTTGTATTGTTTCAAAGGGTATCAGCATGAGAATAATATTAGTTTAGTAATTTACCTTGGCAAAATATAAAGCATGTACCGGATGATTAAAGGACTTAAAAAATAGGAGAGATAAAAGAGAATATCGCAGTGAAAGAGCTATTTAAAGATTTGCCAACCGAATTCATTAAAATTTACGAGTAAAAATATCCTAAAAGATTTAGATATTTGAAGAGGTTAACTTATGCATCAGAACCAGACTATAACTCTATTGTAAAGTTGATATAATAAGCAGCTCAACATGCTAACATTATTATGGATCATAAATACGAATGGGATAGTCAATTGGCTAATTTGGACAAAAATATGAATAGGTATGGAAGTTTATAAACTGAAGAATTGCCATTAAAGCAATTTGAAAAGTTTTCTTCTAATTTGAATAATTGCAACAATTTAGTTGCTTAGACACCTTCCAGATTTAATCAATTGTATCCTCCAACAACAAAATAAGAATCCTAATAAAATAGCAATAGTATCTATGGGAGTGGGCATTAGAATATAAGTATATTTAATTCTATGGGAATCATTTATTAAAGATCTTTAGAAGAAATAAGCGAAGAACTATAGGATTCAATTCCAGATGAATTGAAAAGTCACAATTAAATTTATTTATAGACTTTGCCAGAATAATTGAAAAAACCTAAGTTATTCTTTAAGACTACTTAGTTTGATGAGGATGACGAATAAGTCAAAGAAGATAACTTATTGTTCGAAAAATATCGTAGTTTAAGTGCTCAATAAACCACTATTTTCTAAAATCACAAAAAATGACTTTTATTTATTTTCATGTTTTGTGTTATAATTTAATTTCTAAATGCAACTTAATATATAAGAAGTAGAGACTACTTTGTATTTAATATTTATTTTATAATTTCATGGACCCGGCAAAATAATATTTAGTTAATTGTGTTTAGGCTCTTCTTAATTTGCCTCAAACTCCTCAAGGTTTAGCTTCGGGCCAAACATTAGATAAATTTATGATTGCTTAAGAGAAAAAGAGTTTGATTCTTTAATACATGTAAGGTCAAGGATTAAAATTATTTAATCCTAGTAAAGTTGGTAAACTGAAATGCAATATTTAGATGAATTAAATCCATAAACTAAATTGATTGCCATAACTAAAATTGATACAGATGTAATAACTGAGGATAATTATTTTACTAATCTCACAGTCTAATTATTATCACCTAATGTAGTAACAGAATTGAGTAATCATTTATCAATGATCTATTAACCATTGATGGGAGCTGGAGTTGATGAAAAAATTAAAAAAAAGTTATCAGGTTTCAAGTAATGAAATTTGATTTAAATTATTAGACAGGTCTTATAAGGACTTTAAGATAATGATTTCGACAATGTATAAACAGAGCAGAGAAATATTAGTCGACCGATTGATGAAATAGAATAATGGTTGAGAATTTCATAATCTGCAACAAGTTCAGAAAGTTAATAGAGAACAGCAAATCAAGTTTGTTAGATTTACTAAAAGGTTACTTAACTATGGAAAGATGTTAAATAATTGGAGATAAATAAATTTTCAGATTTATTGGATCAAACTTTGGTTTGTCTTGATGAGTTATACACTTAACAGTTATATAATGAATAAAAATTATCAGGAATGTTATCTTCTATGTACAATTAAATCATAATAAAATTGTAAAACATAATTCCATAAGGATAATAAATATTTAGTAATAGTCAATAGCAGAAACTTCTATTATTAGAATGCTAGAAGGTGATAAGAATGTTTGGAGAAAATTTAAGGAAATATTTTGAATATGATTGGAAAATTAATCCTAATCTCTAAGAATTTGAACAAATTGAGAAAAGATTGAGTGATCTTATTGAATTGCGAAGTATTTATGAAGAATTGAAGAGAAGCAATATTGATTAAGATTTCTTTAAGGAATTATTTGAAGTCAATCCATTTATGTCAATAGGTTAAGATTCTTTATTTAATGTTGCTTACAAAAAAGTACTTAATAACTTAGAGACTGCTGAATAAGATATCATAAATCTTTTAAGATAATAGGTTTTTAAATAGTAAGTGATGAAGGAAAATCCGTTGTAAACTATTAGAGAGATGTAGAGATGGACTGGATTATTATCGAGAAATACTATATAGAAACACTTTTTAACAGAGCGTGATTCATTGATTACTTCAATTACTAATATGATTTCTAAAATTGAATAGGAATTTAATACAAGATCAGGAGCTGCTTTTCTTGATGATGGAGAAGAGGAGAAATTGCCTTATTAAATTGGGTTCTCTAAAAATATTCACTAAATTGTTTGGTGCAAATCATTGATTGGAAAAGTGAAGAGGATTATTTAATTAATATAATAATTATTTAGTGATATTAAGAAATCTGCATTAATTTATAGTTATGTGTTAAAATCTTATAAAATAAGTTTAATAATTTGAATAGGAATTATTTGATTAGTGGAGAAAAGAAATTGACTCACAATTAAAAAAAAATGAAATTTCTTTACAAATTTCTGGAAAATTGATGGAAATTGATATGTAGGATGGCTTAGTGAGGGTTAATTATTCAGATAAATTAGTTTAATTGATAAAGGAAGTGAGATAGTTATGTGAACTTGGCTATAGAAAGAGTATATCAAATGAAATACATACAATTGTGGAAACAGGCAAAAAGTTTTATAAAGAAGCTTTAACATTGAAATCTATTGCTAGCTTCTATAATTAAATGTCTGATTAAATTATTGAATGTCAAAAGGCAATGCTAATTAATTAAGCAGTAAGATTTGAAGATACTGTGAAGAATTCCAAAAAAAAAAATAGTATCACATGGGAAAATACTCAAGAATTGGAAAATTATGTTTAGAAGGTTTAAGAATCTGCAAATGAAATAATGCAAGAAAATAAAAGATTAAGAAAAAATCATTAATAAATAATTGATAATATTTGTTTATTGTTTTAGATTGAATTAAAATAAAAGAATCTGTGGAAGGAGAAGGTAGATTAAATAAAGAAAGTAATAGAGTAGACATGTAATAGCATTGATGGTAAATTCACAGTTGGATGGAGAACTCATATTGATTTTCAATTATATAAGGCTTTAGAATTTCAATATAAAAAAGGATTTTAAGAAATGGATCATGCTATTAATGAGATCTAAGCAGATCTTGTTATTAAGAATGGTTAGGTTATATATAAGCCATCTATTGAGGAATTAAGAGAGAAATATTACAATGAACTGAAAAAATACATATAATATCCTTCATAATTTATTGGAGTTGGTGGGAATAATGATATTTACATGTAGATGCCAGAGAGGAATGCTGTGTTTGTTATATAAGTTTATGAGAAAAGTGAACATATTTTTGAAAAATTAATTGGTTTAAGTAGTCAATATATGTGTTGGTCAGTAGTTGCACTATTGGATGCTGAATAATTATAATTATAATTGGGTAATATGGAATAATGGGAGAAATTTATGAAAGAAGTTAGACAAAGAAGAAAAGAGTTGGAAAAAATTAATGATTATTAAAAGGTTTGAGTGCTTTAACATTTAATTATAAGTTTTTTTTAAGCAATTAAGTTTGATTGAATTTGTTTGACTTAAATTTAGTTAGATTAATTATTGTTTAAATTGAATTTGAAAAATTTAAATTTAAGAATTAATTATTAATTTAAATTTGAACAATTTTTAAGTTAGACTCAATAGAAATTATCATAAAAACCATAAAATATTAATTAGATGAATTAAGCATTAAAGAAATTTTTTTAAATAAAAGCATAGAAATTTGAAATGACTTAGAAAATGCAAGATTGCCAATAAAAACAAAAATTTATCAATTCTTTGAGTTCTTAATCTCAAGCCTTGAACCCCATATTAATATAATTGTAATAAATAAACAAGAATTGGGAGAATTTTGAGCTTCTGATAGGAGATTTCGATTCAATATTAGCTGAATAGACTAAATAGTTAAAAAAGGATATGTAAGCAAGGGCTAAGGAAGTAGACAGTGAGATCGAGAAGTTTTATTCAAGATATTCTGCTGTAAAACCAAAATAATTGAGTGAATTGGATAGATCATCGGCAAATGAATTAGCTGAGAATATGTAGCAATGGAGATAATAATGGAAATAATTAGATGAAAAGATTTAGACTCTTATAAAGGATCATCACCACTTTGAAATGGAAGTCCCAACATTTAATTAATATGATAAGGTTAAGGTTGAAATGACAGACTCAGAAGTAGTGTGGTGTTATTATGATAAATTCTAATAGAATATTAATAATCTAGGCAAAGAGGATTGGTTGAGTTTCAGAACTAAATTATATATGTTTTAAGAGTTATTGTTACAAGAATAAGAATAAATAAAGGCAGAATTAGCCAAAGGAACATTCACTAAAAAAGAAGCAATAATAAATTACATCTTTTCTTAGATTGAGTTATATCTTAAAATAAATCCATTATTAAAACTAATTGTTGGAGATGCATTCGAACCAGAACATTGGACTAGTTTGTTTATGATTCTTAAGTTAAAAGAAATGAAAAAGGAAAAGTTGCTATTCAAGGACTTACTTTATTGTGATAAATTAATATTGGACAAACAAAATGATATTAGAGAATTGTAAGCTAGAGCATAAGGAGAAATCACTTTGAGAGAAGCTATCTTTGAATTGAAAACATGGTGTGATACTTCAGAATTCGATTTAACTGATTACACTAATAATAACAGAGTTACTCCTTTAATTAAAGAATGGAAAGAATTAATGACGAAGGTTAGTGATAATCAATCCTTATTGGCATCTTTAAAGGAATCAAAATTCATTGGAAGATTTAAAGATTAAGTGGATTAATTCGAATTGAAATTGGGAGGAATTGATGAATATTTATCCAAATTATAAATTATTCAAAGAAAATGGGTTTATCTAGAACCTATTTTTGTCAGAGGAGCACTACCTTAAGAATAAGCAAGATTTAGGAGATTGGATGAGGATTTCAGAAATATCATGTTGGGAATATAAAGAGATTAAAAGGTAGTTTCTTTATGTAGTATTCCAGGAATCAAGGATACATTGGATACAGTGTTGGATCAATTAGAAAGATGTTAAAAGGCTTTGAATGATTACTTAGAAGAGAAGAGAGGTAAATTTCCAAGGTTTTATTTTTTGGGAGATGATGACCTATTGGAAATATTGGGTCAATCTTAAAATCCTCAAGTCATATAGATGCATCTAAAAAAATTATTTGCTGGTATAAACTCTGTCGAATTCAGCAAGGATAATACCTAGATTTATTCTATGTTATCATCCTAAAAGGAATAAGTTCAATTTAATAATTCTATTTAAGTAAATGATATAGTAGAAAGTTGGTTATCAGTATTGTCTTCAAATATGAAAGAGACCTTAAGTTAATTATTGAAATAATGCTTAAAAGAGTAGAACATGGATTTCAATAAATTCCCATCTTAGATTCTTTGCTTGTCAGAAGAGTAATTTATATATCAATATTAATAGAATTAAGTTCACTGAATAAGCAGTTTCAGCATTGAATTCGAATAAATTACCGTAGTTCAAATAAACATAGTTAAAATTATTAGATTAATATACTCAATTGAATGCACAATCATCAAATAATTATCTATTACAATTAAAATTAAAATCATTAATTTTAGATCTTATTCATCATCTGGATATAATAAATTAACTAATTGACAACAAAGTTTCAGTATTATCAGATTGGTATTGGTATAAATAATTAAAATATGAATATTAAAAAGATGCACAAATAATAATGTGCAAAGCAAGATTTGATTATACCTATGAATATCAAGGGAATGGGTAAAAGTTAGTGCATACACCCTTGACAGACAAATGCTATTTAACATTGACTTAAGGAATGTCCATGGGTTATGGAGGCAATCCATATGGTCCTGCAGGTACAGGTAAGACCGAATCAGTAAAGGCACTTGGGTAGTTATTTGGAAGATAGGTGTTGGTATTTAATTGCGATGAAGGTATCGACTTTAAGAGTATGGGACGTATCTTCATGGGATTGGTTAAATGTGGAGCATGGGGTTGTTTTGATGAATTCAATAGATTGTTGGAAGAATAATTATCAGCTATATCATAATAAATTCAAATTATTTAAAATGCTATTAAGGAGAATTCATAATCTATGACTTTGATGGGATAAACCTGTATGGTTAATAAAGATTCAGGCATATTTGTTACATTGAATCCAGCTGGTAAGAATTATGGAGGAAGATCTAAATTACCTGATAATTTAAAATAATTGTTTAGACCTGTGGCTATGTCAATACCAGATAATGAATTGATTGCTGAAGTCTTATTGTATTCAGAAGGATTCAAGAATGCCAAGATTTTGGCAGAGAAAATTATCACAATATTCACATTATCGAAATAATTGTTAAGTCCATAGTAACATTATGATTGGGGATTGAGAGCACTTAAAACAATATTGACAGTGGCTGGATAAATTATATAGGAAGAAAGAAAATAGGGAGTAGAAATTAATGAAACAATCGAATCAGAGTTGCTGATTAAATCTATTAGAATTAATACAATGTCAAAGTTGACATATCATGATACAAAGAAGTTTGTTTAATTGGTCCAGGATGTCTTCCCTAACATAAATAGTTAGGATATTATATATGAGAAATTGACAAATGCAATAAAGGAAGTGTTATAAAGCATGAAATTGAGTGAGATAGATAATTAAATTGCAAAGATTCTATAGTTTTATGAAGCAACTAAATAGAGAATGGGCGTAGTATTGGTAGGTCCATCTGGTTGTGGTAAGACTACAATATGGAAAAGTGTTAAAGAAGGCACATGAGAAATTAGGGTAATAAGTCAAAACTCATGTGATGAATCCTAAATCTATGCCTAGAAGTTAACTATTAGGAAATATGAATAATGACACAAGAGAATTTAGTGAGGGAGTATTAACAGCATCAGCTAGATTGGTAGTTAAAGAATCAGTGGATGTCTTAAATTGGATTATATGCGATGGAGATATTGATCCTGAATGGATTGAATCATTAAATTCAGTCTTGGATGATAATCATTTGTTAACATTACCTACTGGTGAACGTATCTCATTCCAAAATAATGTTAATTTTATCTTTGAAACTTCTGATTTATAATATGCATCACCTGCTACTGTTAGTAGAATGGGAATGATATTTTTGAATAATGAAGATATCAGTATGTAATCTTTAGTGACTAGATGGATTAATAAATTAGAATGTGAAGAAGAAAAGAAGAGTATGCTATTAAATCAAATTGAATCAACTTTATACAATTTACTAGAGGAAATATTCTCTTATGAAGAATCATAGATTGTACCTACTACCAGAGTTGGTTTAATTATGAATATTCTATCCTAATTACAGAGAATACCTACTAATAAATAGCAATTCAATTATTTCTTATTGTAAGGCTTGTCTTCCAATTTCCAACCAGAAATCAGGTTGAAATTCTAAACATTAATTAATTCTAATCTTGAATTAAATGAAAATGGAGACAAATATCAATATATTAATCAAAATATCGACGAATCCTAATTCTCTGATGTTAATGATCCTCCTGTCATCAAAACAGTTGGCCATTAAAAAGATCTCTAAATGTTATAATCCTGGATTCTCAATAATGATCCCTTCATTATTGTTGGAGAAGAAGGTTGTGGCAAGAATTTATTAATCCAAAGTGCATTCAAAGAACTTAAAAAGACTATCAAAATTCAAATAGCAACAATCAATTGTAATGCTTAAACTAGTGCATCTTAAATCATTCAGAAATTAAATCAAATCTGTGCCAAAGGTACTTCAGCCTTGGGCAGAGTATATAAGCCTAAAGATTGTAGTCGTTTGATTCTTTATTTAAAGGATATTAACCTTCCTAAGCCTGATAAATATTAAACTATTCAACTCATTGCATTTTTGTAATAATTAATTACACACAGAGGGTTTTATGATGAAAATTTAGAGTTTGTCTATTTGGATGACAAGATCTAAATTGTTTCTTCAATGAATCCTCCTTCTACTATTGGAAGACATTAATTGTCAACGAGATTCACAGCTAATGTTAGAATCTATTATATTGAATAACCATCTAATGATGAATTATAACAGATATATCAAGAATATCTTAAAATTCTCATTTTTAAAGATAACAATTAAAGTAAAAAAGGTGCTTAATTATTAATTGAATGTTATACTTAAATCAAATCCAAATTCACCGTTGATGAACAAAGACATTATCTCTTTACTCCAAGAACTATCACATAAATAATTTTTGCACTAAAAAGATACAATGATATATAATCAGTATTCCCAGAAGCTCTACTCAATGAATTCAATAAAATATTTAGAGATAAATTGATCTCTCAAGATCAGTAATTTAAATTTGATTAATTGATTTTACCAATTTTCAAAAAATACTATAAGGACATCCAATCATAATAATACTTTGCCACTGTTTAGAACCTCCAAACTCTGTCGAAGATTGAAAAAAAGGATTTTATTCAACTGGTTTCTCAAGCTGTTCAAATTTATTCCAGAGAAAATAGAGAATTAAATGTTGTGATGATTGAGGAAGTACTCTCTCTTTTAACATCCTTAAACAGAGCTTTGTCTTCTCAAAGTCAAACAACACTCCTATTAGCTGGCAGAAATGGTATTGGAAGAAAGATGGGTTTGTAGATAATGTCTACTATGCTTAATTTAGAAGTACTCTAACCGTATACATGTAGAGATTATGGAATCAGAGAGTTTAAGAGAGATCTTAAATCATATATGGAAACTGCCTAATCTAAGAATTGTTTATTGATTTTAGAAGATCATGTGTTATTATAATAAGGAATCTTAGAAACTGTTAATTCCTTAATCTCAAGTGGAGAAATTCCAGGGTTATTTGGATATGATGAAATCGATAGATTAATCTAAAATCCAGAAGAAGTGAAGAGGGAATTTTATGGTAAAACCCTTTATGAGGCATTTCATGAAAGAGTAAAGAGAAATATGAAGATTGCTTTGGTGATGGACAACTCTAATCACGAATTCTAAACTAATTGTGCTTAAAATCCAGCTTTGTTTACAAATACTACAATTATATGGTAGACTTAATTATCAAAAGAGAGTTTGTTACAATTCATGAAAAAATAGTTAGAGTCTTCCAATAATAATAATTCTGTCAATGAATAATTAATTAGTTATGCAGTTGAAATACATAGAAATTCAAAAGCCGATCCAAGAAGCTTTTAATCTTTGACTTAGACTTATAGTTTAATAATGGATACGAAGATGTAATCAAAAGGATCACAAGCAGATCATTTATAAAAAGGTCTTGAGAAATTATAGGAAGCAAATAACTTAGTAAATAAGTTGACTTAGGAAGCCTAAGAAAAGAAAGTCTTATTGTCTAAAAAGTAATTGGAAGCAGATGATGCTTTATAAAAGATATCAAAAGCAATGTAGGATGCAGCTGAACGTAGATAAGAAACTGAATAATTACAAAGATATCTTTAAGAGGAAGAGGGCAAGATAAAAGTGTCTAAGGATAAGGTTGAAGATGAATTGAGAGATGTTAACCCATTAGTATAAGAGGCACAGAATGCAGTCAAAGGAATATCAAAGTCACATTTGGATGAATTAAAATCGTTGGCTTAACCTCCACCTGCAATCTATGATGTGCTAGGAGCTGTTATGAAAGTTTTTAAGTAAACAGAAATAAATTGGAAAGCTATTAAGAAGTTTTTGGGTAATAAACAAGTAATTGATTAAATCATTGACTTTGATCCTCATATGATTACTGCTGATATCAGAAAAGATGTTGAGGAGGAAATTGCCAAACATTCCAATTCTTTTGAAAAATAAAATATTTATAGAGCTTCATTGGCAGCAGGACCATTGGCTGATTGGGTAAAAGCAATATTAAAATATGCTACAGTTTTAGAGAAGATTTCACCTTTAGAGAAAGAATTATCAATGATTAGTAAGAAATTGGATTCGTCTAGAAATAGATTGAAATAATGTTAAGATGCATTAAATTAACTTGATTAAAAAGTCCAAGAATTAAAAAACAATTTTGCATCTAAAACAAGTGAGGCAGAATTACTTAAGAGAGATTTAGAAAAAGCAGAACAAACTGTGAGTTTGGCATCAAATTTATTAGATAAATTATCAGGAGAAAAGGTGAGATGGTAATAATAACATGATTTAATTGCATAAGAATTAAAACAATTTCCATTAGATTCGTTATTATCTGCATCATACATTACATATTTATCCTCTTAAGATGAAAATGTTAGATATAAGACATTATAAGAATGGGTTCATTTGACAAAATTATAGCAATATGATTTCTTAAAATTTATGTCAAATGAGAGTCAAATATTGAAATGGAAAACACTTGGTTTACCAGGAGATTAATTGAGTATTGAAAATTCAGTTATGGTATTCTCATCTTCAAAGGTGTCATTATTAATTGATCCTAATACATAAGCCACTGAATGGTTGAAGAAAACATTGTCATAGGCTGAAATATTGAATTAAACAGATCCTAAATTCAATAATCAATTGGAGTTAGCAGTTAGATTTGGTAAAACTATAGTGATCTAAGAAATTGATTAAATTGAAGGATTATTGATCCCATTATTAAGAAAAGATTTATTGCATTAAGGTCCTAGATGGATAGTTATGATAGGAGAGAAATCTGTTGATTTTAATGAAAGTTTTGTAATGTATTTGACAACAAGGAATTCATCAATTCATTTGCCTCCTCATACTGTATCTCTGGTATAAGTTATTAATTATACTGTCACTAGAAGTGGTTTGGAAGGTAAATTACTTAGTATTATCATTAATATTGAATAACCAGATTTAGAATAGAAGAAATAATAACTATTGGAAAATGAAGAAAAATTAAAGATGTAATTGGCTGATTTAGAGAAAACTCTTTTAGATGAGTTGGCAAATTCATAGGGAAATATCTTAGAGAATAGAGTGTTGATTGATAGCTTAAATTAAACAAAGTCAAAATCATAAGTTATTGCTTAGAGTTTACAAGAGTCTTCAAAATTACAGGAAGATTTAGACACATAAAGAGATGTGTACAGACCATTATCTTAGAAAGGTGCTCAAATCTTCATTCTTATTCAAAGTCTATAGAACTTAAATAATATGTATAAATATTCATTGGCTTACTTTATTCAAATATTTTAAAAGACTCTAGATATCAAAGAGAATTTTGATTCAAAACAAAAGAAATTAGAGTTTGCTGGATAGAGTTTATTGAAAAATATCTTCAATCAAATAGCTGGTTCATTGTTCAAATAAGATAGATTAATCTTTGCTTTACATTTGGTAAAAGGGTGCAAACCAGAACTAATTGAGGAAGAGGAATGGTAATTTATGATTGGTAATTAAATACCTAATGACAGTGCTCATCTTCCAAAATGGGCGTCTTAAGATAGAAAGGAAATATTTGGATAGTTATAGAATCTTAAATTAAATATCAATTTTAATTCTAGTGAATGGGAATAATGGAATAATAATTAAGAATGCGAGAAAAATTTCCCATAATCTGCTAAATTAAAACCATTTTAAAAAGTGCTTATTGTTTAAACATTCAGACCTGAAAGGGTTTAAAGTGCATTGAATGAATTTGTTTGTCCTAATTTAAGTATCCCAAGTGTTAGTGGCTAGACATTTAATTTTTAGACTGTTGCTTAAGAAGAATTAACTGCTTAAATTCCATGTCTATTTGTGGTCTCAGCTGGTAGTGATCCTTCAAAAGAACTTGAAGAATTTGCTGAATAATAAATTGGTAAATAAAACTTTCAAGAAATGTCTATGGGGGGTAATTAAAATGAATTAGCATTAAAATTGATAAAAGAAGCAGCACAAAAAGGTTAGTGGGTATGTTTAAAGAATTTGCATTTAGTTATTAGTTTCCTTCCTTTATTAGAAAAAACCATAAAATAATTAAAGCCACATCCAAATTTCAAATTGTGGCTTACAACTGAAGCTCATCTGAAATTCCCATCTATACTTCTTGAAACTTGCTATAAGGTATCATATGAAGCACCTCCAGGATTAAAGAAGAACCTATAGAGAATAATAACAAGTTGGCCCACACATAATAAATAATCTGTTTATTAAACACAATTATTGTTCATCCTAACTTGGTTCCATGCTTTAGTTTAAGAAAGAAGAACCTATATTCCATAAGGTTGGAGTAAGTTCTATGAATTTTCATATGCCGACTATAAAGCAGGTGTCTAAATAATTGAGAATCTATTATAAGAGTCCTAAACAATCTCTTGGTAAACCTTATATGGATTATACGAAAATGCTATTTATGGTGGAAGAGTAGATAATGAATAAGATATCAAGGTGTTAAGAGCTTATTTAGAAACCTATTTCAACTAGAATAAATTATAAAATGGAACTCTTAGCACTGGACAATAAATACCATAAACCAATTAAGTTAAAGATCTTATTAATTTAATTAATAAATTACCTGAAAATGATGTTCCTGAATTTTTTGGATTGCCTAATAATATTGATAAAGCTGTTTAAAGATATACAATATAAAGAGTTGTCAGTGGATTGAAATCTATGAATAATATAGTCGGATCAGAAATCAAGTTTGATAAAGAATTGTGGTCGAATTTATTAAGTCCTCTCATCAATATGTGGGATCAATTAAAAATAAGGGATACTATCTAAGTTACTAACTAATAATTAGGGTCATTGGATCCAATTGAATCATTCATTTATTTAGAAGCATAATAGACTTGGAATCTGTATTAGATTATCAACCATTCCTTTGAGAAATTAAAGAATGTCTTATACAATAATGGCTTATTGACTAGTGACATTATTGATATTGGATTGCTATTTATCAAAGATATCGTACCTCAGAAATGGAGTAACTTCTGGGAAGGTCCTGATGATATCAATTTATGGTTGAAAATATTTATTAAGAAACTCAATGCAATTAAATCATGGATTGACAAGATACAAAGAAAATAATAATTAGATGAAGTTGATCTAAGCGAGTTATTCCATCCTGAAATATATATGAATGCACTAAGGTAAAAAACTGCCAGAAAATTAAATATTCCATTAAATGAATTGAAATTATAAGCAGATTTTGACAATCTTAAACACCCTCTTGTAGTTAAATTAAAGAATCTATTATTATAAGGTTGCGGATTCTCCAATGGTTAATTAGTTGATGATATGAAGATAACATCTGAATTCATCGAATTACCTCCTTTGAATATCTCTTATGTGGAGAAATCATAACCAGAGAAGAATGGAATTGGGGTAATTTAATATTTATAGTCTTTATAGGATTTCCCGATTTACTTAAATGCCAGCAGAGAGAAATTACTATGCAGAATTAAATTACTTCAATCTGGTCAAATAAACGATAAAATCATAGCTGGTGTTGCATTATTTTTGAGTTAAAATGATTGATTAATTATGTTAAACATCAATATCTATATAAATATATATAGAGAGGTTGATATCTTCATATTAAAGATGAAAAATAAAAGAGCGGTATTATATACATCTTCTTTAATTAATATAATTATATGTTGGCTGTTTATTTTCTATTTATAAAGTATATAAATATGCTAACGTATATATCATAATATCAATTAAATAGACGAAGAATCTTTCACTTCACAACATGTTTTAATCATTGATGGTAGGGATGTTGCTAGCTTTTAATGTACAATGCTTATTGTTTCTTCGATTATTCTTTTTAGCTCTCTTAATAAATCATTTTATTGTCCCTAAGTTTAGCATAGAGTAATAATTTATTAGATAGAACTATTTGAAATGATTTCTAAGGTTTTATCTAAGACATCTATCTGTTCTTCATCATATTAAAATGAAACGATGCTTAGAAATTATATCAATTTTACCTATCTTTTTATCCTGTTTACTCATGAGTTTATGTATCCTTAGTACTTGTCTCTTTTTAAATTTAGTAAAGCTTCTATTAAAGATTTCCAATAACTTTAGTTTTATCTTCTAATTAAGATTAGAAACTTTCTTTATCAGAATCACGTAGTTTAGCTATTTAATCATATTTAGTTTTCCAATCTCTCACAGATTATTGATTATCTTCATCCTACTTATGTCTTTCTTTAACCAAATCATTAAAAATATTAGTTAAATTATCATATTCTTTTTTTAATTATTAGTATTCATTTTTTAATCTTTAATTTTCAATTTGGTATTTTTGAATATCATGCATTTTTTTTTCATTCGTAGGTGAATTAGTTGCAGAACCTTCTTGAATGATTGCAAAATTTTCTTCTTCTTTCTTTTTCATTTCATCAAATAGTTTGTTTTTAGCCTCTAATTCAGCTTGACATTTCTCAAAATCCTATTGCTTTTTCGATAACTCTGATTTAAGCTTTTCAATTATTTCTTATTTTTATTAATCCTTTGCTTTTAATTACGATTATAAATCTGAATTAGAATCTTTCAAGTCTTATATTTCTTTAAGTAACTTATTTAGTTTAGATTAAGTTTCCTATTTCTCTCTTTCCTAAATTCATTTAATATTTTACTTTATCTTCATTGATTTCATCTAACTTTGGTATTTCATATTAAATATATTATTCTAGGAATTTGAGAGTTGATAATTCAAATTCAAGATTGTTGATTTTTTCTTTGAATTCACTGACTTCTTTTTACAGAGTCTAAATATGTGATTAATAAGTGATACTTTTATATAATTGGCACTTTATTTTAGTTTTTCTCCTTGAGTATTTATATTTAACATAAAATAATAAATAAGTGGTATTATAAACAATTTCTATAGATTTCATTTATTAAAGATATTCTTAACCTTCTCAAAGACACCTTCATGAACAGTTGATTACCCTTTTGTTTCACTCTTCTCTAACTATTAAATTTATATTATAACTATACTTTCGCCAATTCTTCAAAAAGCTTTCTTTATTGTTCATTCAAATTTGTAGGAATTTGAATTTTTAGATTCACAACTTAATCACCCCTTTGATTAGAATTAGGTGCCAATTTGGTAATTCCCTAAAATTAAATAAGACTATTACTAATCCACTTAATCTAATTTTTTCCCCATCTTAGCTACCTGGTTTTATACTTATTTGCTATTCGCCATTAAGTGTTTTGATCTTAACTTAATCTCCAAGCACAGCCTAAGCAACAGAAATGTAAGCATTAGTAATTAAATCATATCCATCTCTTTTGTAATATGAATCTGGCTTAACTTATACTTTAATAATTAAATCTCCAGCTTTGCCTCCATTTTCTCCAATATTTCCTTTGCCAGTCACTCTTAAATTCTATCCATCAGCTATGCCCTTTGGAATATTCACAGCCTCAGAAGTAGCTTACTTCTATATTCCAGCTCCTTTGCAAGTTGTACCTATATAATATTAATCAAAATTACAGGGATTCTTGATTGAGACTCCAGTTCCTCTACATTTAGTACATGCCATTTATATTGTCATAGCTCCTTATCTGTAATTTATTGAACCTCTGCCACCACAATTAGTGCATCTTCCTGGTGCTGTTCCTGGTTTGCATTTGGTTCCATTACAAGTAGAACATACTCCAATCTTCTCAAATTGTATTGTCTATTATGCCCCATTTACACTATCCATAAATGATATTTCCAATTAGATAAAAATATCTGCGCCCTTTATTTATCTTTCTGATTCTCCTCCCATATTAAAGAATGACGCAAAATCACCAAAGATAGATTCATCGAATTAGAAATCTTATGCTTTGCCTCCTCTAGCTCCTTATCTAAAAAAGCTACTATATGCTGCAAATGGATCCTAAGCTCCAGCCTAGTCCTATTCATCTCCAGTCATTCCCACTTAATCATAGACTTTTCTTTTATTTTCATCAGATAATGTTTCATATGCACTATGTCTCATGTTATTCATACTTGTTAATTTCTGCAAACTTTTCCTTTGCATCTTTTGATGGATTTGCATCTGGATGATATTTCTTTGCCAATCCATAATAAGCATTCTTAATGTCATTTTAGGAAGCATTTTTTGGTACTCCCAATAGTTCTGGTTTTAAAATAATATAGATTACCATACAGATCCTTCTTAGATGAAAAACAAAGAAAAGGCACATTTGTGAATCTCTTTAGAATGTTCCTAGACAATAATTGCATTGTTAACCTGAAATAAATTAAGTTATTAATTTTATAAATTATTTAAATGATTCATAATGTAATCAAAAAACACAAAGGAATATCTATTCTTAGAAAATGTGATTTTCTTTGATCTTTGTTTACATATTTTAAATAATATTGAGAATATTACTTAAGTAATTTTCACATATTTCAAATGATATGAAGTTAAATATAATTTTAGGTTTATTTAAAATAATAAATGATTGCACTAATTAAAATCAATAAATTTTTCTTTGAACATGCATATTATTTCTATTTTTTAATACATTTTCTAATTATGCACTCTTTCTCAATTTTTCTTAATCTTTCTCTTTGTTTTTGTGTTACATGAACATTTACATAATTGTCATTTTATTATTTTAATATTTTGGTTAATCTGGAGATCTAAAAGGATTAATATTCTAACAATTGCTGAGATTTGAATTTTTTGGAGATTCTGATGACATTGTCTTTTCTATTCTTTAACTATCGCTATTCTTTAATTTAGGTCTATCTGTCAAATTGTTATTTATGAAACTATTATCATTATCTTCAAATAGATTGAATAATTTTTGAATCAATGATTTAAAGTCCTTTCCTTCTCTTTCATCTGTTCTTCCTACAAATTATCCTATCAATTAATGAATCACATTTAAAAATTGATATAATTTATTATTATTCACCATATTTTGAGATTATGACATATTATCATAAATTGATTTTTATAAATTATTTTAACTATTGAAAGCATCAAATAGATTTTAAGTTAATTTCTTTTATTCATCTAATTATGCTTATAGAGTTGAAATTTAATATTCATAAAGATCCTTATTAAAAGTAGATGTGTTATGTTCATCTTGATTTTTAATTCTTCTACTTGGTTGTAAAGATGAATATTAAGACACGTTTTCTGTTTCTGCTAAACTTTATTTTAATTTAGTAATAGTCTCTGATTTATCTGATATCTCATCCTTTAATCTTTCAATTTCCCTTCTTAAATTAGCTATTTCTTATTGGTTTAGATTATCTTATTGCTTTTATAGAGCTTTAACTTTATCTAATTCATTTTGATATTGTTTTTATTTCAATTCTGAATTCTAAATGAGAACATCCTTCTCATTCAGTTGATCATTGTATGACTTTTCAATTTATTTCAGTTTATTCATGTATTCACTTACCTTATTATCAACAGTTGTTTAAGATTATAAAATTTGTTATTATTATCTCAAATTCTTATTTTTTTCAGATTCTAATTCAACTCTTAATTGATTCTTATCCTTTTCCATTTAAGTGATCTTTTCATATAAATCATCTTCCTATTTCTTGTATCTCTATTTCTACTCTTTAATATCCTCTTATATCTAATTTCCATTGTCACATTATTATCTTAAATATAAATTTGGAATTACTTCAATTGCAATGATAATTTTTTGAATTCATATTAAATCTTATTCATTACATTTTATTGTATCTATTGAATATAATCAATCTATAAATTTTGATTGGCCCCACTATTCCAAATCATGGTTTATTTCTAATTTAAATCAACAACCAATTCCCATATGTTCTCTTATTACTATTGTTCATTTAACTTATTTAAAAATTGAGTCTTAATTTCTTCCAATTCTTCTTCATGTTTCTTATTCAATCTTTATTATGCATCAACATATAATTCTTAAATCTATTACTTAATCATTTTCTTAGCTGTACTGAATTCCTCACTTTCTTTATCTAAACAATTGTTCTCCAAATAATACTTAACTTTTCTCACAAACTACACATAAATTAGAATATAATACAATATTATGTGATTTCTCTAATTATTCCTATGATATTCCATTCTATTATAATAAATCATCTATGCTGTCTTTATAAATTTTCAAGCCCCCTATGAGTGTTCTATTCAATTCCTATTTGCATATCATTTGCCATTGTGTCTCAATAACTGGCATATTACCTTCATTGATAGTATTCACAAAATGTCTATAATACTAATATTAAGAATTACTTGCACATTTCAACAAAACTAAAGGGAGTAGTTGGTTTTCCTTTGTATTATTTTAGTGAAATCTTATAAGAAAACTTCTTTCTTAAAGCCGTCAATTGTTCTTAAAATTCAGTTCTTAATTCTGTAAATTTCAACTAAGATAAATGCTATAAATCTTTTTCATCTTAGGTGGGTCTCACAAGAGTCATACAATCTCGCTCTTAAAAAAACTATGTAATATGTCTTCTTATTTTATTCTTATTTTCTATCGTTTCACTAAATCCTTTTAATGGTTTCAATGCATTTTCTAGATAATCCTTAGGTGTAATTTTGTTTCCAAATTCATCTTCTAATCTTAATGTAAAATCTCTTAGTATCCATAAAAATGAAGGGAATGTCTCAAAGAGATCCTTCTGAGTTGATTCATCAGTTTTTTGTAACATTTTAGTTAAATTAACCTATTGATTATACATAAGTGTTTACAATCAATCCCAAATTTTGTAATGCCATATCATCAATAGTTCCAACACTATTATAGATGAAATATGAGCTCATCAACATTGCCAATAGAAATATTTTAACATCATGATTTTATTCCTCTTCCAATGAACCTATACCTTCTGTATCTATTAAAATTGCAGGAATAGGTTCTTTTGATCTTCCAGATTCGAAATGTATAATTTCACTCCACATCCATAATCCCTATTGATATTTTATATCAATTTAATACTTTTGTGCAGGCATTGACTGTGCTTCCCACATTAAATCCTTGATTCTATTGTAACAGCACTTAGTTAATTAGGTAACTTTTCCCTGTTCTGTATTTGCCTACAACTACTACAACTGCAAAATTCTTGCACTTATCGGCGAATGATTAGATAATTTCAATTGCTTCTTATTCCAACTTAAGTTCTGATGATAGTATTGATATTATTACACTTATTTTCATCTACTGATATTAATTATACTGCTCTTGGTCCTTTATTCATAAAATTTAAAATTCAAATATTTATTTGTATTGTTAATATTTAAAATACTAATACACTAAGAAATATATTGCAATTTTAAGTCTTTTTAATAAGAGTCAGAAAAATAGAAATCCTTGATTAGTGGATAACTTATTAATGTTTAAACTAAATTAGATTGATTCCATTCTTCTATATTTGTTTTAAAATGGATTTGAAGATGTAAGTATGTTAGTTATTGGAGAATATTGATAGGGTAATTGAATTAATGGAGAGATTGATGAGGACTTAATTGGGAACACTCAAATAAGAAGATCAAGAAAAACAAAAAGTTGATCCAACATATTAATTTGAATAATTATTATTTTATAATGTATCATTAATGTAATATAATATATATTTAAAAGCATTAATCATAATAGTATAGTTTTTGGAGTGAATTATGTTAGATTTGAGCACTCTTTATATGATATTATAATTAATCGCTTGATAAACAAAATTTTAATTAATATGGCTTCTTAAAGTGAAGAGAAGGACTTGATAGGATCCATATTAAGTGGTAATGATGAATTCGTTATTGTAGATTAAGATGACAAACAAGAAATCATTCCCAAAAAGGCAAGAAAGAATTTATCTTTGAAATCAAAAGAATTCGATCCTCAAATTCATCCAAAACATCCAGAATTTCAGACTTCCAATGCAAGCATATTATCAACAGGATATTAATCGCATTAGAAATAACGAATATTTTTCCAAACTTAAACATCAATAGAAATGTATATATATGTTTATAATCAAATAAATAGTTAGTCTTAACTTTCAAATACTTTACAATAAACAGCAGATTAAGATAATAACACTTGTTCATTTGATCATTTCTAATGTACAATTAATTTTTAGAATTTAAAGCCTTCGATTCCTTTGGTTAGTTATAACAAAGAAAACAATCAACAAAGAAACACCATACTATGCAACCTACTGAATATCAAAATCCTACATTAATCTTTACCAGTGATTAATGCATTGATGGCAAATTATCTTTGAGTCAAACAGATCTTGTAAATAGATAATTTTTAATATAAAGGAATAAATATGCGGGAATTAATTGATCAATAGGAAACTGTAAAACATATTGGATAGTAATGACATCAATAAAAAAAGACTGATTTTTAATCAAGTAGAAAAGATATGCTTAAAGGCTTCAAAAGATATGTTTGGAAATTATACAGTTCAAAAGGTCTTTGAAGTTGGAAGTCAAGATTAAAAACAAAGAATGCACAATCTGTTGATTAATCACATCTTCGATTTATCAAAAAACTAATATGCCTGTCGAGTAGTTCAGAAGATGATGGAGTTTATAAAGTAACCTAATTACTAATTAAAAGAGACTATCCAGAGTAACTAGAGATATTTCTACAAAATTTTTATCCATATATTATTCCATTATTAAATGATCCTAATGGTAATTATGTTATCCTATCATGTTTTGAGTTATTCAACAAAAATTAACTCATCTTTATTATTCCAATGATAGAAGATTCGGTAAGCATTTAATAATTAATTATAGTTGTAATTCATGTCAAAATAAACTTATGGTTGTAGAGTCATTTAGAAAGTATTAGAGATATATCCAATTGAGCATACTTAAAAGATGATGGATATCTTAATGACTCTTGCATGTCAATTATGCTATTAGGAATTTGGAAATTATATCATACAGTATATATTAAAGAGTGGACCTCCCAAAGAAAAATAAATCATCTGTTAGATCATTAAGGATAATTTTGAACAATTAAGTATTAATAAATTTGGAAGCAATTCTGTGGAAAAGTATATAGATGTTATGGGGCCTAATCAAATTATTAACATCTTATGTTCAATCTCAAATGATTAGTAATAAGTCTATTTAGTTTAGGTTTGTCTTTTACAATTTGTCTGTCAATCCTTTTGGCAATTACGTAATGAAAAAAGTGCTAATTAGTGGAGATCCATCTGTACAGTATTTAAAGAGTCTCTTGAAATAATATCCAGAACTTGTTCAAGGAATTAAAAACTCTGATTTCGGATAAAGAGTTGGATTAATTATGGATGCATTATGAGGGTCATTAACTTGTAATAGTATCTTGCTTATGAGTATTATTCTATAAAATTGTAATAAGATTAGTATCCTTCTATTATTCAACTTGTTTATAAATAAACTTATAAAATTAATTTTGATTATTCTTTCTCTTAATTACAAGACAAATTACTCTCCCCTACTAACGTTTATACTTTCATTCTTGAAATTATTTAATTCATCAAAAAAAAAATTTAAGACTCCTTGAAAGTAATGTTGATCTTAATATTATGGTTATTATAAAGCTGGATATTTCTTCCAACTATCCATATTCCATTCCTTCTCTTATATCATTAATTAATTTTAATTTGGTTCGACATTATAACCAATATATCATGTCAGAATTCATCCGAGACATATATAAATGTTTAAACTCTTCTAACGACACTAACCTAACACGAGCAAACACTTTAGCACCTCTCAAAGATGGATATTTAAATCAATCTAAAATCAAATTAAAATCAAACATTTAATAAAAGGTAAACTTGAAAAATATTAGTATTTTGGTTTAAAAATAAATTTATAAAATTAATCAAGATTCATATAACTAATATTTTATTCAGATATTTGGAGAAATCTGAAAGAAGTTAACAAACACAATTCAGAGTAAAAAGTATGAAATTTATTACATATTAATTTATTTTTATAATTAAATTAGAAATATATTCTACTGCTTAACCTTTTTTTTTAATATCATAGTTGATTAGAGTTATCAATTATTTATTCAACTGTTCTATAATCTAGGAGAAGGACTAATTCTCAAAAATGAAAGGGTTTCTATGAGAGAAATAAAGAATTAATTGATCTTTATTGAAGAAAATTTCTAATTCCATTTACAAGTTAAAATATATAAAGTAAAATAAAAATGTTTCAAAACAAGGATATTGCCATTGATTTTTAATAGGATTTCTTTTTGACAGAATAAGTGAAAGAATTTGAAGCTCAAATTTCAGGAAGACTTCTAACTAAAGATGTTCTATTAAAATTTACTAACAAAGAAATAGTTTATATAGTTGATGGAAGCATTATTAGAATGTAAGATCTTAATTTATATATCAAGTGATTAAATCTTAGATGTAAAAGAAATGCCACAGATAATGAAAAATTTAGAATAAATCAAATATCTTAAATGGATGGGAGATTTAGGCTAAAATTTGTCAAAAATTGGAAAATGGTATATTATATGGAGAGGCTGCAATATAGATATGGGAGGATGCTATTGTGCTGATGGAAAGAAGTAGGGAATATGGAAGGAAATTCTTATCAATTATAACAAGTTATATTAAAGATATCAATAGCTAAGTATAAGTTTATGAGTTTGGTCTCTTCAATGGTGGTTTGAGATAGGGTGTTTGGAAAATAATTAACTAAGATTAAGTGATGTATCCATATTTATATTTCATAGTGGAGGAGGATCATATGATTTACAGGGGAATAAGAATGGTTAATGGTTGGAACTTCATTAATAATGGGAAAAGTACTTAAATAATCTATAATTAGGGATTCAAGAGAGATTATATTATAAGGTGAATATAAAAATGGCCAAAAAATTGGAAGGTGGGATACAGTTGATATTGGATTAAATCAAAATAAAGTTATGTATGATTTTAGCATAAAATAAATAAGTGGTGGTGGAACATATAATGAGAGTGGACTGAAGAGTGGAAAATGGTTAGAAATACATGATTTATGGGATCAGTTAAATTTTATGATATTTAATAGCTATAGCTCAGTTACATTCCATGGTGAATATAAAAATGGTGAAAAATATAGTAGCTGGACGACTGTGGATAGGGAAAATTAAAAAATGTGATTTGATTGTTCTATTATTTTTTAGTGGTGGAGGATCATATTAAGAAAATGGAATCAAGAATGGGGAATGGATTGAAATTTGTGCTGAATGGAGGTAATTATGAAAATAAGTAATAAGATCTGTTTGCTAAATTAATTTTAAAGGCTTATATAAAAATGGTAAAAAAATTGGATTTTGGGATACTCTTTAATATGGAAATACAAAAATGTATGTTTACTTTTTATAGAATATTAGCGGAGGTGGAAAATATGATGATAATGGCTTAAAGCAAGGTAAATGGATAGAATTGCATGATGAATGGCAGCAGTACAGAACTAATAATAATCTAATTAGTTGGGATAGAGAAGTCACTTTTGAGGGAGAATATTTTTAAGGGAAAAAAATTGGAAAATGGAATACTATACTGAATGGAAAATAAAATATGTTAATTTATTATTTCTTATAAGAAAACTTTAGTGGAGGGGGATAATACGATTAGGATGGATTGAAAGGTGGTTAATGGGTGGATTTATGTGATGGTTGGGAAGGGTAAACCTTAAAAATACATTTTATAGTAATGGTGTAAATACGATGTAATTTACTTATAATGGAGAATATTTAAAAGGGAAGAAGGTTGGCAGGTGGGATATAATTGACAAAAACTAAAAATTAATGTAATTAATTTTAATATTATATGTAAAAATATCTTAGTGGAAGTGGATCATATGATGAAAATGGAATGAAGGATAGTAAATGGATAGAATAACATGAATAATGGAAATAGTAATTTTTAATTATTTTTGAGTAGCAATTTAAGAGAAATTACATATCATGGTGAATATAAAAACGGTAAAAAAATTGGTTATTGGAATACTTTTCAAAAAGGAGAAAAAGTTGTGTAAATTAATATGATCTATGTTTATAATCAGAGGTGGAGGATTATATGATTTAAATGGAATTTAAGATGGGAAATGGGTTGAATTGGACGATTCTTATGATCAAGAGTTAAATTATTGCTATTAACTTTAGGGAATCCGCTATCACATACAATGGTGAATATCAGAATGGTAGAAAATGTGGCAAATGGGAATCTGTTTATGATTAAAACACAGTCATGTAATATATTTGTGAGAGTCGTATAAAATTATAGTGGTGGGGGAGTCTATGATGAAGTTGGATTGAAAAATGGATATTGGATAGAGTTAAATTCTGAATGGAGAACGTAAATTATAATATAATTGGTAGTGATTCAAAGGAAATAATTATAAAAGGAGAATATAATAAGGGTAAAAAATGTGGATAATGGGAAACATTCCAGTTGATTTATGGGGCAACTTAAAAAATGTAAATTTATTAATAATTATTAAGTGAAACTAAAGAATATGATGATTAAGGTTTGAGAATTTGAAAGATTATTTAAATTATTGAAAACTTAATTAATGACATATGGTCTTAAATATATATATTCTCTGTTTTTGATTTTATGTTTAATCATCATTAATCTTAAAAAATTACTTTTCAATAGTTTCAATTTCAAAGTTCAAAACAATTTTCAGTTATCTAGTCTTTATCGTTCTTCAAGGAATGGATATTTGGATTATACAAATACTCCCAAAAAAATATACAATGTATTTAAGTTGTTTTAAAAGAAATAAATATTATAAATAATAAAATGGCTTTTATTTTTATTTTATTATTATATCAAAATTCTATCAATATCATGTATAACTATTAAAGTTTTCGCAAAGGAGGTTTAGTCACCTTTAAATAAAAACAGTATCAAGTTTTAGAGGTATTTCCTTAAGGAATATAAGGAACTGTAATTAAAATATAAGAGGAGAACAAGGAAGATTAATTTGCTTTAAAAATTATAAATGAAATTACAGAAAAGGAATTGTAGATAACACAATAGCTTTAAAAAAATCATCATTAAAACATAGTCAAAATTATAGACTTTCAAAAACAATAAAATAAGGTTTACATCTTAATGGAATGTTGTGAACACAATTTATATTAAGAATTAAAAAAAAATCCATTGGATCAAAAAGAATTGCGATATTTCATGATTAGTATTGCTAGAGGTTTAAAATATTTACATTCTCATTCAATAATACATAGAGATCTAAAACCTGAGAATATACTTATTACCACCTTGACAGAAAAAAATAACAAATAATTATAATAAAGAGTATATAAAATAGCAGATTTTGGATTATCTTTGTAGTAGTAGCGTGCTTAGACTAAATATGTTGGAACATGCTATTATATGGCTCCAGAACTAATAATTAATCTTGATTAGCCTTACGATCATAAAGTAGATATATGGTCTTTCGGAACTATTGTGTATGAAATACTAACTGGAAAAACACTATTTTAAGGTCGGTCAACGTAAGAAATCTATAATCAGATAAAAAGCTAATGTAATATTGAGAATTAAAAGGAATTAAATCAAAAACTGTAGATCATCAAAGATAAGAATTACTTGGATTTAGTAACCAACATGCTCAAATATGATCCCAATGAGAGATTTAATATAGATCAAGTGATCAGTGAACTGTAGAATAAAGATTAAAATATAATAAAAAATAGAAGTGTAAGTTGCAATGTTACAGTACCTAAGGATCAATAATAAGTTTAGTTTACGCTTAATAACCAAATTATTTGGAGGCCTGCACAAAAGTTAAATTTTCCCATAACCCTACCACAAACAATTAACAAACCTAACAATATATAAATTGGACCTATCTATTTATAACCCAATAATAATGGTAAACAACCCAATTATTATGTAAAATGTTTTAAATAAAATAAATGATTTCAAGTTATTTTGCATTTGATAACTTTATTTATTCTTAAGAAGGTTTATAGTTTTCTATACTCGATAATATTATTATTTGATTAACAGAATCTGAGATGGCTGCAATCTTCAAGAGCCTAAGAATCATTTTACAATTTTTGTATATAATAAATATGATTGATATAAAATTCAGAAATTTTTTAATCGTTAAATAATTTAAAAATGGACTCTCTTTTTGCTCTATTTGATTAGTTCATTAGAATCAATTTGATAAATTATCCTTAAAATTAATAAGCCTACATATCAGAAAGCTGGGAATAATTCTTGAGTTTATTATAAACTTAACCTCTGGATTATGGGAAGATTTACACATTAATAAATAGAATGACTTATGAAGATTTAACATCAGCAAAAAATGAAAGACAAAGTTCTACTTAAAGATAAGTAGCTAGGAATATTACCGCAGCTTCTTCGCCAAGAATAGTTTCAACATCTGTCTCAAAGAATAGTAATGAAATTGTTAAATTAAATTACAGGCACCAACATTTTGTAAAAGATTTCACAAATGGACAATGTAGCAAGCCCTAAAATTGCGGTTTCCAATCTCGCGAGTTAGCAATCGTTAATGAATAAAACATCATAGCAATAAAACGTAAAATAACAAGTATTTATTATGATAATATAGTAAATGACAGAAGAATTTAACAGACATCTGTTATTGAGTAAAATTAAAGAATTATAGTTCAATTATTCTGTTTCTACGGACAAACTATATGCTATTGCAAAAATATTTCAATCAAAAGAGTGTTAGCCAACATCGAAATCACCAATTAAATATCCATTAACACAATATACTAACAAATCTAGAGGAAGTAATCATAGTGCGGAACATTATAAAATTGTTGCTTGATGTTTCTTTTTTAATAAAATTATTCAATAGACTAACCTATTAATATTATACATTATAAAAAATAAACTTAGGTTATCAAAATTTAAAATTGAAGCAAACTAATCTCTATTTTTATTTTTTATCGAATTTGATAAATAAGATCATTTTTATTTATTTTAAAAAAATGTGGCTGCTTGATTATCTGGTTGCTTAGAATCAACATTTTTAGGAATCATGTTAAAATTATTCTAACGATAAGGAGAACGAGGGTTATTGATTATATTAGATTATTAGTTAGGAGTCCAATTTTATTAAATTTATTTAATATTTCTTGGACTCTA